CGTGAAAAAAGGTACAGAGGGTCAGCTGTCTGCTGCTGTGAGGAGCCTGGTGCCATGGCCTTCATAAATTTCACTCCTAATTTTTTAGGCCTCAGCATGAATACATACCAATATCATGCAGCAGATTTGTTTTCTTTTCAAATTAAACAAGGCATTTGTATGGCCACTATTATTATTATTATTATTTTCTGTTTCGTGTTGTTTCAGATAACTTTTTTGTCAGCAATACTAGTCCTGCACAAAAACTGGAGGTTTAGTGCCACCCACTGGGATAAAAACTCAACACTACCAGGGAACTACCGTATGTTAATCCCCATTTTGCTTTGTTTTGAATAAAAAATGCAAGAAACCATATCCTAGAACAGCTCACATAAAGATTTTTTTTCATTCTTTACTCTCATTGTTCTTGTATTCCGTTTTTACTACATAAATGAAAATGGTTAATTAAAGAGCTGTAATGCTCATGTTTGACTACTAGGTGGCAGTGTGTAGCAGAGTGTAAATCATGTTCTGTGTGGAGGGAAGGGTTTTCTGATCTCTCTCTCTCTCTCTCTCTCTCTCTCTCTCTCTCTCTCTCTATGTCCTCTGTCTCTCAATTCAATTTTCAATCTCAATAGGCTTTATTGGCAAGTCTGTTTGTATAATATTGACAAAGCATTACATTTACAGTTACAGTACATTATTCTGTCTCTCTCTCTCCCTTTATCTTTATCTCTGTCTTACAGACACACACACACACACACACACACACACACACACACACTCAAACACACCTATTTAAATTGTAATCCTCAATATAACAGGAGCCTCTGGTAAACACACACACACATTTAATCCAAAGGCATTGTCTTGCACTATCACAGACTGTATTTTCTGCTTATTAAAATGTTGTTGACTTCAAATTAGGTGAAAATGCAAACAATCAGGGACTTCATTGGGCATGGTTAATTTGTCTCAGTATAAATTCAGCCTGTAGCAGTCTTAAACCATATTCATACAGAGAGTGGACCTCTGTTATTTAAGAGTCTACACAGATACAAATTTAAAACTTATAATCTCTACAAAAGGTTGGTGTTACACACAGTAGTCCTTTTGTTTGACCTTTACTTTGGCCTTTTTGTTTTTGTGTCATTAATGAAGTCTCTGGGCTCTATTTTCGTCCGCGCCGGTGAGGCGGCGGAGGGCGGCGAGCCCCGCGCAGTTGTATTTTCGTCTGGCGGAGCCCGGCGTAAGACCAGTTTGGTATTTTCGTGGACTGAGCCGCACGGAGGCGAGCCGAGATCCGCCAAGCTGGGCGTGGTGGCGTGGCAGGGGGAGGTGTCCACAGAATCAGCTGGCGCAGTGACATTTTCGTGCTCGCCACCGGCGTGTAAAGTGCGCTGAAAGCTCGCCGATTCAAACCTGGTCAGCTTTCAGCGCAAGGCGGAACGCAGCTGGTCTAGTAGTATTTTGGTAGACCAGCGGCGTATCGACATACGTCACTGATGCCTCACCGGCAGGTTTCCACAGTGTCAGGCACATTTCAGTGCAATAAATAATCATCATCAACTATTAATGTGAGTCAGCACATACATTTGGATCTATATTGATATATTCTGATCTATATGTGATCTGATGAGCGCGTTTGGCACGCGTTTGGACACACAACCTGACCGAATCAACACAGCTGAAACCGCATCAAATTAAATTAAATATCTAGTAAATAAACACACATGATGAAGTTAACAACATATGTAATTCGTCTCCCTCCTTTTCTTTCTTCCTCTTCCTCTTATTTCTCGCACAGCTCGACCTGGACACGTCTCTGTGTCCTCTGTCCGTCTTGCTGCTGCTGCGGCTGAACAGATTATTTGTTTCAGTGCTCAGATGCGTGATCTACTTTAAGCCGACATACGGATATTATAATATTCAGTTTTGTGAGCCAAATTTATTTTATATGCCATCATCTATGAAAGACAGAGCCAGGCCACCGAGCGCGATGCGTCATTTACGCACAGATGGTTCCGATTTAATGCCATTTTTGGAGTTTATGTTGTGATCTGTGCGCTCAACCCACCTTTGTCACGTGAAGTTTGAATATATGCAACTTTATGTGAGTGTCTTTATTTGTGGAAAAGGGTGTTTGTCTTACCACTGGGTCCAACATTACACACACCAAATCCATCTGTGCTTATATGAGAGGGTGTGGAGGACAATTGTTGAGGAGCTGCCCTCTGTCGCCATCTTGTGGCATTACTGTCTTAAGACATCTCTTGATCTCTTTGACTACTTCATGAAAATAGTAATACGCCTCGCCGGTGGCGGATTTAAAGGCAAGGAGAGGAGCTTATGTGATTGGTGAAAACAGGTCTCGGCTGTGTTAAACCCACTCCACGCCCTCTCTCCTCCCCATCTACGACTTATGGTGCTGGGAGGAGCTGAGTTAGGGAGGGGGGATACTTACGCCGGGCTGCGCGGCTCACCAAAATACCAAAATGTGCTTGGGAACGCCTTGTCAGCGCGGCGGATCTGACTGACGCTGCGCTTGCGGCACGTCTCCGGCGAGGCACCAAAATAGAGCCCTCTAACTCTGCTATTTGTAAAACTGAGCTTGATTAAATGAGAATCATTCGCTAAAAAAGGAAATAATCCAAGAAGACAGTGCCATTTTTTAAAGAAAATATATACACCTGCGTACTGTCTCCCAATAGCTGTGACAGATCTAGTAAATAAGGCCTCTGGTACAGCAGGGAGGGAGCCCTCAGAATAAATATGTGTACTGCTGCATCAAAGCTGCTCCCTCTAAGCATTTACACTCAATTATAACAGTTTGCACATGCCAACACTTTTATGTAGCTTTACCCACTAACTGTTTTTATTAACTCTTTTTATCTTTTTGCCTCTTCTTTTTAAGAAAAATAAGGCCACTATCAAACCACACACTCCAGCCTTGTGGGAACTAACAGAGCTATCAAGTTGTTGTCGGCAGAGCAAAGCTTTTATGTCTGCACTATTAGCTCCCTTTTAGTGGCTAAGAGGGTTTCCATCTACTTAAATGTGTTTGCTCTTTTGCTTCTGACTCTGACTGTGCAAACAAAGACTTGCTCTGTCAGCTTGTTGCATCCAACAGGATGGAAGTCACAACGAGCTAAAGGGTATCTGTTGTTGAATCATTCAGACAAAGTTACGTCTCTGAACCTGCTGTTTTATTGAAGAGAATTCTCCCTTTGATGAAATGTCAATTAGGGCCTGAAACTTCTCTCAATCCCAGCAGTTTGAGTTTAGCATAGTTAAAATAATAATAATACATTTTATTTGTTAGGGCGCCTTTCAAGGCACTCAAGGTCGTCAGTTATGCCTAATATCATTATCCAGCACTACAGTAACAGTAAAACCTCCTGAAGACAGACAGTTATCAGCAGGTTACTTTGAAATAAATGCAAAGCAGGTTGGTCATATTCCTCTCAAGTTTGGTTGGCTGCATTTGATCTCATAATCCTCAAATTTGGTCAAGCTATGAGACACCTTGAGGACTAAAAGTCATTCGAATCTTAGACAACACTTAACAAATGAGGCTGGTGCAGTATCTCTTAAAACAAATATTTAACTGTATATACATACTGCAATCTTACTGTAACAATTTAACCCAATGAACTCCTGTATCAATATTTAGTTAGAGAAACAACATTAACAAGTGGCAACAGTATATGTCAAGTCTTATACTTATTGTGAGTCCTGCTAAAGTATTAAGTGTTGTCAGAAAAGCCTGAAGATCTTGATGTGCTTCATTACAAAGTCTAGACTTACAAGTGTTCAGCATGTCCTCTGTGCCAAACTTTTGCCTGAAACAGGAAGTTATTGTGACATTTAGGTCACCACACCACAAATATGATCAGACTCCTTACCTAAGCAGATGTTCATGCCTCTTTTTTAGTCATATGCATGGTGACACATATTGATTTGATCACGTTTATTTATGGTGGCAGTAGCTTATATCCTTAGTCTGTCTGTTGTGTCCTTGGGCAAGACACTTAATCTACCTTGCACCCAGAGTGTGTCTGCCGCTCGTGTGTGATTCATATAAATGTTGCTTTGTATAAAAGCGTCTGCTAAATAACATTGTAAACTTGTAACATGTGACAATCATTTAAATTACTTTGAGTTTAGACAGTAATTTCCACCTCCAGTACAGGATTATAACAGTTATTATAACATGGGAAGTAGCTGGAAATTCATAGTTATTTTTCAAATTCTCTGATCTAAAAAGTACCCCAAGAGCTCAGTTTTTTGTCTTTTTTTTACAAATCTGATGGTTTTCTATTATTCCCAAAAATACATAGAAATATTTCAGTAAATTCTCAAAATTCCCCCAAAATTTCAGTTGTATTTTTGAAAGACTTTTATTTATTTCATTTTATTTTTAAGACCTTCAAATGTTTCTGAAATTTTCTATTGGAAATGCCCAGGATATCTCAACGAACAATTCCCAACAACTTTTATCTATTTTTCTTTTTTTAAATTGTCATCAAACTTCTCAAAATTCTTGAAAATTGCTGCAATTGTCTGGAGAAGAGTCAGAAATGTTTCTTAAACTTTCCAAAAATGACCAAACAAACGTTTACAGGATAAACCATTTAGGTATTATTCACAGAAGTGGAAATTATCAGGCAGGTGAATCATGTCTAGACCTGCAAAATAGTCTGTTTTTTTTGCCATGATGTTAACCCAACCAGAATTTTCTGAGGTGTACTTTTGTCCAAACTGAACAAACTCATTGTATGCTCTTAATGTGAACTTCAAAGTTCAGACAGTAATACTCTCAAACTGTATATCCCAAGTTTATCCTGATCAAGCATGCAGGATCCTCTCAGTAATGCTTTGTTTTTGTTCAGTCTTCATCAGCACATCATGTAATACCACTATCTCACTTCTATTATTGTATAATATTCAATATATATTTAAATAACCCTCCTCAGTGAAAGTGTAAGAGATTGTTAAATGATCAAAAAAGGAAATACAAATTGGATTCATTTATCACTTGTCATCATTTAATTTCCTCCACAGCCCATTATAATAAATTTACAGCAACATGAGACACTTTGGCATACTTGCTGGAGAACCATGCAAAAAACAAACTTTTAGTTATGACAAACTTCATCGCCAAACATACAGAAAAAATTATCCTACAATACGAAACATGCTACGTTTTCACTTTGGTCGCTAACAAATTCATAAATATGTTGCAAACTTACAGCACAGACAGCCCTTCAAGATACACCAACATTTACTTACACTCAAGCAGAGTACAACATGCAGAAGACACTGATATTTGATATCACACAAGACTTACAGTCATTCCATTTTGATTTGATTTGATTGTAAACTGTCAAAATTTGAGGGATCAAATAATTTGTCTTAAATGAGACTCAGTAAAATTTGACAGATCCACTCATCTGACTACCTAACATTTGGGTTTGACTCCCAGACACAAAGCCAGCTCGTTTCTCTGTATCTTGCCATCCTTGTTGACGTCACAGTGGCTCAACAACACGGCTCGTAGCTTGTCGAGGTCATGACCTGTGAGGTTCGGCTGAGGGTGGTGGAAAAGAAAATACAGTGAGGGAATACAGGAAGACATTTCACTGTGAATATGTTCTTTGTTTGTTGCAAAGATGCTTTTTTGTGTTTATCATAAGTGATAAGATATCAGTACAATGACAGCGTGGATTTGAGTAACTATTTTAGCAATTTTAGGTTTATTATGTCAATAGTGTATTTTTGATGAGAAACACAAAGGGAAGTCTTACCCTAACCAGTCCCATCATGTCTTTGACAAAGCCGTCCACCTCAGGACCCTCCAGTGCTCCAGTCTTACTCTGAACAGGAAGAGAGAAGTCCAAAGGATGTCTTAAATGATTGAACGTTCAACAGTTAGCTGCAGATTTTTTCGTCAGCAGCAGAAAGTTGCTCATCCTCAACATGTTCAAAGTTTAAATGACTATTTTAGCAAGTTTAGGTTTATTATGTCAATAGTGAATTTTTCAGAGCCTGACACATCCCAGCATGCTCATTAAATTTCCACCACACAGTCAAATTTATGGTAAAATAACACAATACAAGGTGTGCAAGCGGGATTTTAACTAAGTCAAACAAAAGCTTGCGCCTGTAGTGATGTATGTAGACTGGTTTAAAATGTGAGTTTAGTCTTTCACCATGAGTATTAGGATATTTTAAACTGCTTACTATGATTTTATGCATATTTTCACCCTCAGAGAGCAGTGTTTCTAGATCCGTGGTAAACTTAAAACAGCATTTCAAAAACTAGACAAAGTTTCCACTTGTTGACCTATTAATCAGAGTTTCAAAACAAGCCCTGATATGAGGGAATAAGTACCACTTAATAATCCATGAAAAAAAATGTAATTTATATTATTTTACAGAGTCAGACACACTAATTGCTGACTCCTGATTTTATCCAGGGCCATCCTGAGAATGAGTCACACTGAGTTAAGTCAACTGACCAGAGAGTGACGTGAAATCCAAATGGTCTTATTATGTTTCATTACTGAATTAAGGAGATAATTAGAGCTGTTGTTGCGGGTACTTTTCTGAATAAAGGACATATTATGAACATTATGGCAGTGATATGTGAGTTGAGTGGAGAGCTTCTATCAGGGGAATGTGAAGCTTTGCTGGTTTTTGGTGTAACAGACAACCACACCTCAAAAATCAAATAACCCACTGTTCACTTCCTCTTCCGAGTGCTTTAATGAGCTCTGAAGTGATGAAATTAAGAAACAACAGTCCCACTCTGTGCAATAATGTACTTACAACATCATAATGGGAGAAGATCTTGTCAAAATCTCTTTTTCTCTCTTCTTTACTGGAGGCCTGGGAGAAACACAAGATACAACATATGGATTAAAAAGTAGGAAACATTTTAAAAATGAAACACAAAAGATTTATTTTTACAGTGTTGTAACTTGGTTTCATCTTTATGTTTTAGTTGAAGAAACACTTACATCCATTTGGAACTGGAGCAGAAAATTTTCCTCCAAAGCAAGGATCCTAATGGAGGAAGAAAAATAAATTGACAGAAAAAAACAGCAGTTCAGGAAGCCGTCAAACTCTTTCTGGTCCTTTTAATCTGGACCTGACAAGGGTCAAAGTTTACAAAAAACTACACACTAACCCTAAAACTGAGCTCAAACTAAGCATTTTCAAAGTCCAAAACAAAAAGCAACATTAAAAATTGAAGAAATGAAGTGAAATTTAAGAAAAACTTCAAAACAATAATGTCAAATTTGAAATCTAGCTATCCTAAAGCCTTCATGTCTACCCATGAACCTCAGCTCAGTCAGTACAGATACAATTACTGCAACAGCTGTTTTGAAACTCTATGGAATTTTAAATGTTGTTCTTTTATCATCATGTTTGACGATTACCTGGCCAAGTCGTTCAAATCCAAACAGCCATCCTTGTTTTTGTCAAAGATTTTCATCTGCAGGAAAAAGAAGACTTATTGAGATGTTAGATTTACTGCACGTTCCTGCTCCACCCCTCCAAGGCTAAATAAATAACCATCAATCTGACGATACATGTGTGCAATATACAAGCTGTTCTCTGTGTCCTTGTGCCTTTTGTCTACATCAGCTGGAAGAAAAGTTTTTGTAGCTTTCAAATCTATTTAGACTTTTGTTTATGACAGAAAGCCTAAAACTGACAGTTTTAACAATATATGATGGCCATTGTTTTGTTTTGTTTCGTTGTAACTACAGTATTACTTCAGGGCTTTACAAAGGACTGTCTCTGAGACTGAACTGCACACTTACCATCGTGTCTGTGTACTCCTCCAGCTTATCAGATGACACTTCCTTGTGATGCTGCAGGAACAAGTCTTTCAGGAAAGCCTGTCAGTCAAAGGTTTAACAAACCATCAAATCCATTGAAAAAATACACAAAGAATGAAGTATCATTTGTGTTTACTGTTGAACAAACTGAGTGTAGCTGAACCCTTTTGTAATCCAACCGTAAGCAAGATTATCCTCTCCTTGAAAATCGAGTAGTGAGAGTCTGAACTTTTCTTTGTGTTAGACTGCAGGAAATAGCGGCTGAGGGTTACACTCATTCTCAGCCTCTCCTACACACGCATATTTCCTTGAGCTAAAGAGATGAGTAATAGGTTCTGTATTATGAATAGATGTGCATTTTATTCGTGTTGACCACCAAACCTTGAGCTCCTGAGCAGATATGTAGCCGCTGCAGTCCACATCATACTTCTTCCAGATCTGCAGAAGGAGAGGGGAGAAACCAACAAAAGCTTACATGATGTGACCAGGGTCTGCAGGTGCATTTAAGTCTTATGGGATACGGCTAAACTTGACATGACACCCTTAAAGTGTCATCACGGCATCTGATCACTTTTGATATATTACTCTCATTAAGATCCACAGTTGATGGAAATGTTAGACATCATATAGATGAGATTTTACTAGCCTACAGATCCTATTAAACTGTGCTTGATGCGCAAAACTTCCTCATAATTTGCATGTGTTCCAACCTGACTTTTAAACTGCTTTACAGACTAAGCAGGGAAGGGTTATCTATCTATCTATCTATCCATCCATCCATCCATCCATCCATCCAGCCATCCATCTATCTTCTGAATGTTATGAGTCCCAAGAGTATTGCAGTTTGTAATTCTTCTATCCCTGATGTCCCTGGGTGACATATGGCCAAAAGAAAGTATATCATGTAGGCAAAAATTGCAGGAAAATGTGTATTTTTTGTGATTTAAAGAGCTCTAGTGACTTCCATGTTGGTCTAAGATAAACACATATAGGCTTAAATGAAAGCCACAAGGATCCCCTTTAAAATGATACCAAACAGTCTATTGTAAACCTTTGAGAAATGTCCCTGCCATGAGCCTAAACCAGATATACATCAGTGTAAAAATATCACATTTATCTTAAGGGGTGGTTAACTTCATGAGCTGATAACCAATATTTAGCGGGGCTGTAGATTAAATTTGCCACCCTGAGGTGTACCAAATATCTGGCGGGCCCATGGACTATTTGGTGAATGTGATGATGCAGATAAATGTCCTCTGTAAAGACGATCGAGGTGACTGATTAAACGTGTACTGCACATGTTTATTTTTCTATGGCTTTAAAGGCAGAGAACAGATTATCTGAAGGAGGTCATTATCGATACCTCTTCGATTAAGTAGCTGTACTGTAGAACAAACTCTGCCCACAGCAGAGAACAGCTCAGCTTCTGTTTTAGTGCTGAATGCAGCTTTTACAAACTGACGCTGTGCTAACCACCAACATCTGCAGATAACACACTGACTTTTTATAACTACCCCAGACAACCTCACCTGAAAGAAAAAAAGATCTAATTATTTAATCCAGTCCTCAAGTCAAATATCTGGTGAAGCAAAGCAAGTATTTGAGTTTGTGTTTAACAGTCTGTCATTCTGATTTTCAACTTGTTTTGCGGCATACTTTTACTTCAGTACAATGCAAATTAGACAGACCTGGAACTAAAAAAACAGACAATACTACAACGGTCCCCTGTCAAACTGTCGGGTGAGGTCTTTTTGAAGAATTTACCTTCATGAAGTCGACGCTGTTGTCCAGAGGAGCTTCTCTGCGGAAAATTAACAGGAAGTTTTCATCTTGAGGGAGTATCATGTTGGCCAGCTGGAACAAAGTCAGAGATCAGAGCTTAAGTTAGTGATTGACATTCTGTTAGTGATCGTTCAGTTTGTCATGGTCTGGCCTGTCTTCATGAAGTCAGGTATCTGGCTTTTTACATCAAAATTTCAAATAATAAAATAAATCCAGTAGAAGTTCAGTCACCCTGGGAAACTGTCAGAAGAGGCTTGTTTTTAGATTTTAAAATTAGATCAAATTTATAATCCTTGGATGTGTTTTTGCATTAATGTGCCGGCTTTTGTCTCAGCTGTTGGTTTTAGTACAAACTGAAGCTCAAAGTCAGATGCACCAGGACAGAGAGGATGTCAGATTTATATTCCTCCTGGCTCCTCCTGGCTCTTCTCCAGCTCATGTTGCTCTTCTCCCTGCTGTCCTTCTTTAATAGTATCAGCCCTGCATTAGAAGATTAAACTGGCTCCCATCATCAATTTAATTAAAATACAAGATGATACCGCAGCCATTTGGATCAGAAAGCTGCACAACGGCTCACAATGGGATAAAACGCAATGCGCCACCAGTGAGCCGACCCAATGAGAAGCAGAAATCAACCAACACATGTCTGAGATGAAGAGATAATAATATAATGGGCTCAGTCATTATTTCTTCATTCTCTGTTTCAGTTCATATTTATTTAGAACCAGAAGTGCAAAAACTCAAAACCTGAAATTGAAACCTGGACCTACAAATACAAGATGTAATCCATTAACCACAAATACACGATAACCTGCAAAAACTGTGCAAGCACTGTTGATTCATCATAGCAATAGCAAAGGTGAATTACACAACACCTGATATTGCAGTTTAATACAAACATTGAAGTCTCTTAAAGGCATCCTTACTTCTTGATATGCTACAGCCACTTCAGATACATGCTGAGACACTTACTCAGCAGTAAAGGTGCAAGAGCGATTGTGTTTATAGAGCTGAGAAGATTTTTACTCATACGTAAACTATGGTTATAAACCATGAAGCATCAAAGTAGACAAGAAAAAGCTGGCAGATACCACACAGGATGTGACAGCTCTGCGAAGGGTCTGATGTTGATTGGCTGTGAGGATGCAGGAGGAAACCAAAACCACAAATAAGCTAAAAGTGCCAAGTAGATGCAAACTGAGCAACTCCACTAAAGTTGGGGCGTTGAGTATAACATGAATAAAAACAGAATACAACGATCAGTGAAGGCTCCACTATGCTGAAAGGTACATACAGGTTTTGAAAGGAACATGTGCTGCCATCCAAGCCACGTCTTTTTCAGGGACGTCCCTGCTACACAGACTCTGTACGTACAGCAAGAGTGTGGATACTAGACTGGCCTACTTGTATTAAAATGTGTGAAGTGCAAAATACCACAACAGAGACCCCTGAACTGCTGAGCAGCTGAAGTCGTACATCAAGCAATAATGGGAAAGAACAAGTCCACCTCTAAAGCTCAACTAGTGTCCTCAGTTTCCAAACACTTACTCAGTGTTGTTAAAAGGACAGGTGGTGTAACACAGCGGTAAACATGACCCTGTCCCAGCTTTCTAAGAACTTGTTGCAGGCATCAAATTTGAAATGAGTAAATGTTTGCAAAAACAAAACAATGAAGTTTACCCGTTTGAACATTAGATATCTTTTTTTGTAGTGCATGCAATTGAATATAGGTCAAAAAAGATCTGCTAATCATTGTATTCTGTTTTTACTCAGATTCTACTCAATGTCTTATCTTCATTGGAATTGGGGTCTGTATTTATTAGAGGAGTCATAATTCTCACAGTCAGCAGCTGGTGTAGCAAACCCATCTTGGATTGGTTTGTCAGTCTGATGCTGAGCTTGTTGAATAGAACTGGGATCAGAAAGGTCCAATCAACATTAAACAATTGCAGTTTAAACAGTGTTTTAGTATTTTTAACCAATATATTTAGACACCCACTGTTCCCCTATAAACTGCATTCATTATGTGCTAAAAAAGATTGTAAAAATCCTCTGAGATTCTTAAAGTGAAATACTTGATTTAAAAGAGACCCATTAATTCGTCCAAACCTGGCCAGGAAGTGAAGCTTTAAGAGAAGCTTTTCTGCAAAGAGGTTTCATCTCACTGTTCCTGCATCAACCATTGTAAATTATGGTTTTCAACAGGCCACTCATGGCACACATGTATTGATTTTTCCACATCTTTATGAGTAAAAGCCAGAGCATTTGGGGTCTGTGAGTTCAAGACATTAAGGGTTGAGTCTAATGAATGCGCACAAGCTCCTGTCACAGAATGAATTGCTCTGATGAGGAGCTGCAACCGCTGTTGTGCCAGGAGAAGAGAGGGAGAGCCAAGTCATTAGAGCATAGTTTTATGTTTCTGGGAAGGAGAAGGAACCTCTTAATTCATCAATTAAATGCTGGTTTGGTTTTATAAACTGACCTAAAAAGACATTTTTAACATCACCCCTCAGGAGTTATAACCAATTTCTTTTGCAGCGTCTAGAATCTCCAAAATGTTCATTGGAGTCATTCCTAGATGAAGGATTTAAACGGTTCAGTGCACAAATTACATAGGGTTTAGTATAGTTCATGCACTATGTATGGTACATTGTTAGACTTTTTAGTCCAGCTTTGAATGCAGCTCTCATCTCTTCTGTACAAGATGGCTCAGCATGATTCTCAGCAATCTCGGAAATTAGTCTGTATTCCAGTTGAATGCGGAACAAACTGTGTCATTGTCATGGATACATGAGATTAATAAAAGATGAAGACCAGATGCAATGGGATGGTGGAAGAGAAGAGACAGGGCAAGTGGATGAATCCATTAGAGAGAGCAAAGAGGACAGGAAGGAGATGTGTGATAGAGGAAGTTGTAAGTGAGAAAGCTTGCTGATGAACAGATAGTAACAGAGATAAAAGGAGAGGACTGGTGTTTCGTTTCCTCTCTGAAAAAAAGCTAAGATGCAGACAGAAAATGCAGTTTTCTGACTTAAAGCAGAATGAGTACATCACCTAAATTTACTCTGGATAAGTCTGAAAGTTAATGGTCAAGTGAAAAAGGCTTTCATGTACCTCTTGAATCTGTAGTCGCCCATCAGCAGTCACATCATAGGCTGACATGAACCTCTGCTTCACTCTCTGAACCCTCTCTTCAGTCACTTTCCCCTGCAAAGACAAATTTGACGCAGATCTTACCATTTAAAAAAAAAAAAAAACATCAAGTTCTATAATGAGTGAAACTCAGATACTATGTTTACAAATGTAGAAAAAAAACTCTTGTTGAATTTATACCCATTCACGAGACAAAAGCACATCATCAACTGATAAAACTCGTTTTTGAAAGAGGAATGTTGTTCAAGCTGAGTCACATTTATTTTAAGTAGCATCTCCATGGAGACTGCTCCCAGATACCTGTTCTTTCAAGGTCTGCCTTCTGAACCCTGAGATGATTGCAGCTCATCGAACGTTCCTTACTCAAAAATCAAACAATGAGCCATTTTCACACACCTGAGTTTTCTGAGTAATTTTTTATTATATTTTCGCAGTTTAGACAAGAGAATGACAGATAGAAACCTCCCTTATTTTTCTGTTTCTGTAAAAACCTGGTTACCCAAAGATGCTGAAGTCTATTTCATGATGGCCAGACTGGGTGCACAGCCTCCTGACTGCAGACCTGTACTCTTTACAGAGATTACATGGATTCATCTTCATCTCCACATTTAGTGCCAGCACTCCCCTGTTGCTTGGCAAAGGTTTTTACCCCACTGACCGGGAGCATTCATGAATTTGGATCCCCATTAACCACTACCAGGGAGGCACTCATGTAAACATGACATTAGAGATTACAATATAAGACAATTACCTAACTGCACGGGTCTAACTGCAACATTCATCCTGTTGTGTTTAATGTGAAAATGTATTTGGATCCATATAAGCGTTTGAATGGAAATTTAAAGCTTTTAAAACTGAGCAGCATATAATGAGATTAAAAGACTGTACTGTGTTGTGTAGAGATGAATGCTCAGAGCAGTACTTTACCTTAGGGCTTAAGTGATGCAAAGCAAACATCAGAGACACAAAGTGACATGTGGTCTTAAAGTGTTTGTTTTAGCACAGACCCATTAGCACACAACCACACAGTGGTAACACACAATAACACACAAATGTAGTCTGGAAGTGAACTAATAATTTCATGCTCAACAGGTTGTCTGTTATAAAATTATAAGAGATCATTTTGACAGAGTCCAGAGCCCTCTAATTGTGTTGTGTCCAACATCCTTACATTAACCCCACCCATCCTGATGGCTACATCGAGCTCCAGCTGATTACACAGCAGAGATAAAGTAATGCAGATCTGTGAGGACAATTTGTGCATTTTCCAGAAGCTGTTTACAGTTGGTTTCTCATTTGACCTTATATTACTAAATACAGTTATGTGCATTTAATTAAACGTTTGCTGCTCCTGATTAAAATAATGAATCAAAAATCAATGTGTACATAAAGCACTGTTCATATAACAACATAAAATTCTCATATAGAATAATAAACGAGTGGAATTATACTGTACATTATTGTAAATTCAAAAACAATGATACTGAAGTCGCACCTTGTTGCTTTATTCTCTTGCAGCTGCCTGAAACATGCAATGGATTGAACTGGTGTCATCACTCTTAACAGATCAAACAAAATGACTCACCTGTGAACCCAGTCTTTTAATCATATGGCGGAAAAACTCATCCAGCTCTTTACCCTCAATGTAGCCATTATCTGTCAAATAAAAAGAACATGTTTGTTTGTTTTTTTGTCTTTTTTAATCCAGGAATCAAGTTTTAATTTTTCTTAACCATGTTTGAGTGACAGTAAAGTCAGCAACAGTCTTCATCAACATCAGCTCATAAAATATTTTCATATTAACATTGACATAGTTTCACTGGTGTTACACATTGACCCTTTGCATCAATTTTGCACTCTGCAGTCACAGAAATAATCCAAATCCTGATTGTAAAGGACTCACAAATGTCTTACTACGATGAAAAGACTTCTATAAACAGGGCTTACATTATAAAACAATAAAACCATTTAAAGGTATCTCTGAAAAATGATAATAATGAACTTTCCTTACCATCTGCATCAAAGTGTTGCCAGATTTCCAGGAAACCAGCTGCATCTAGTTTATCAAAACCACAGTCCATTGTTTTCAAGAGTGGAATTCACTTAAACCTAAAGACTGAGGTGACAAACTGTAACACTGTACTGTTGTCTGTCTGGTTGATATATACAACTCTGACTTAGTCTAAACCACACCCCTTTTGCACGTGAGGGCGTGTTAGTGTGTGTGCAACTGGAGACAGTACAGTAGAAACATGTTTGCCACCTAGTGACTACAACAACACACTGCAAAGGACACATTTCACTGCAAGCAAACAAAATGCAGATTTTGAAGCCTGTAAAATTATTTTAATCAATATTGATATCTACATGAAGAAATGTCAAACACCAGCAGAAACATATTGATCGTGACAAAAACAGAACTAATAATGAGCATGTCATTTGATTTTTTTCTTCTTCTGGCTCAAGGAAAACAGTCATTGCTTTGCATCATGTTTCTTTTTTTTATAAATCATGATGAAAATAACATTAAATTGATTACATGTAATAACAAATTAATACATACAAATCATTAATTTCTACATTTATGAACACAATGTACATGTGAGAGGAGAAACAATAGAAATCGAGACATCACTGGCTGCAGTTTTATTCCAAATAAGTTACAAACAAACTCCTAGTATAGTAGTGTACTTAGTACAAAAACATTATACGTAGGATATGCTGTCCTCACATAGGCGTGTGATTAGTCACAGTGTGAATGTTACATGTGTATAATACACATACATATATATATACACACGCACACTACTATGTGTATGAAAGCACATATATACATACAGTACAACTGACATCATGCAGTCACACACATACATGTAGACTCAGGGGTCTAGACTGGTTATTTTCACTTTATCCGCTCCGTGCACCTACAGAAAGGAAGTGGACGCTCATTTTCAGGCTAAAACAGGAAATCATCAACATCAGTCTTTCAAACATCATGACAGAAACACAGCCAGCTGCTTCTGAAACCCTAAAATGGAGAAAAACATGTCCACAATGTGTTATTTCCCTAAACCAGGACAGAACAGTCATCAGAGTGCAGCACCTTGTGTAAGTGTTTGAATTTTCTGTGTCCTGGAACGATGATTAACGTCCGACGTTTGAGACTGCGACAGAAAACCAAAGCTGCTGACATCAAAGAGAGAGTGACTATATACAGGAGAAAAGTGTTATTCCCAAGCTGTTATTAGTGACAAAAGAGCAACATGTTTTTATAATTATACAAAAGACAATGAGTGAGACCATAGAAAAGATGCACCGGTGAGACCTTTGGCCCTGACTTTAGTAAGACTCTTATACAGACAGTAAAGTTAAATTCAATGTGTGCCCTTTTCCCACTGCATGTTCAAAGAAGGTTCAGTCCAGGTTTGAAGTTAATGCTGAAATAGACGATGTGATTCCACTTATGTTGATGTTGTTATTACTAATGTTAATACGATTTCAAATATAGATAATTCAGATTCTGGTGAGTGATTTGCAGCAGTGTGAAAAGGGCAAAATGTGTTTCAAAAGAAAAAGACAAGAGGAGTTGGCCTGAGACCTGGACTGTTGCACCTCACGGTAAATAGCTCCCCTCAGTTCACTTTCCCTTCAGGTCCTGCATTCATGCTTAATTTTTCAGAAAGATCGTTAATAGTCTGAATTTTCAATAAATGCCATTCAACACAGGATGGAGCGAAGGTGAACTAGATTCAAAAACTCTGAATGTGAAGTCTGATGGCTGAGCTGAAGGCTAGAGTTCCCTCAGTGTCCTGCTTTCACACAAAGACCAGACTGAAGAGGTTTATGTCAGATTCTGGATCAGATCGAAATGGAAAGTGAATGACCTTTCAGCTGACATTCCTATTTTTGAATCTGTTCTCTGCCTTCACAGGACCATTCGTACACCAGAGGAACATCAACACATGCAGAAGAAGAAGCTGTCTGTCTGTCTGTCTGTCTCCAGCAGCAGTTATTGTAATGCTCTATGGGTTAATTTTTCCTTTTCCTTTTGTCAGTGTTGGCACTTGGCATTTCTCTTTGACAGACAGATACACCACATAGCAACAGGCAGGGTCAATAAAACTGTCTGCAGTTAAAGGTTTTTTACAAGATATAACACAGACAGTGTTAGTTAACAGTGCTGGAGCCTTATTGATTATCTTTTGTACTACAGTCCTCTCAAAAGCTACACTTCATATGGTCACTCCAACTCCCACACAGAGGACAACGTGAGTCCTGTCAGGCTGCTTGACGACGGTCATAAGTCCAGTTTTCAGTCCAGTTAGTCTCCTCAAATTGACCTGCAGTTTGACTGTCAGGAAAGCTACATTGAATGTCCATGTGTGATTTATAATGGGCTGAAAGTCTCAGCTGAACCTGTATTTTCCTGAAAACCAAAGATAAATTGCATAATGGGTTTAGACTATCTGTAGGAAGTCTACAGGAAAGGTGCACATGCTGAAAATAGAAAATGTAAAAATCTATACAAATATATTGAGAAGGATCAGTATGGCATTGAGTCTTGGTCAGGTTTGAGTCCAAGTACAGTACAGTGATCTTGGTTTTATTGTTCTGTGTATGTTTGGTCCCTGGGGAACTAGCTACTGAAACTAACAGCTACAAAACATAAAATAATAAGTGATTTTAGATTTACTCTCATTTTTCACAGTCTCTCTCCCTGTCATAAGCACAAAAAGGCTGCTATTTCCTGAATGCATCATGTCCTTTTTTGTTTTTTACAAGGTTTAAATAAACTTATTATAACTCAGCTCAATACGTCATCCACTCTTTCCCTCAAATCCTCCAAAACGTTTTAATGTTAGAGATGTGATGGTTTTACCTTGCAGCAGTTACTAAAGGCTGTTAGTGAGAAGGAAGCTCTTAGGTTTGGTCTACTTAGTGGCATGTTATTGACTATAAATCAAGAATTCCATCATAAACAACCAAATTAACTTTCATTTGTGACTAAATATTACCTGATTCTACAGCAGGTCCTTTTTTCAAACCAAGTTCGACTAGTACATCCTGACCTGATGAGACAAACCTCTTATATAAATGAAAACATGTTGATTAATTTCCCCTCGAGTCAATCTAAATAAGAAAAACATGCGAGGCTTGTCCACTCATTTTTCCCCCCTCATATCAAAATAAAGTCTTTGTCTGCCTCCTCCCCAGAGTCTGATAACTTCTTGCTTGCTGACTTCTCCTTGTCTCGGTTTGGCGATTGGTCCTTGGTCTTGAGGGAGCCGTGATCCTCAGAGTTGGTACGGAAAAGGCTGGGTCTCTGGACAGAGTCTGACACAGACCCCGCTCTCACTAGAAACAGAACAGGGGGAAGAGGAGATTAAGAAAAAGAAAGTGTTTTTTTTTTTTTTTAAGAGTTTGCAATATTTGGAAAAATGCTTAATGCCTGAAACCACAAATTATGGCCAGAAAATTCAATTTCTTTTGGAGCTGAAATGTTTATTTCACTTACTACTGAAAACCTAAAAAAATTTAAAATGTCCTTAAAATTTAACATATATATATATATATATCTATATATATATCGGATTGTATTCAGGTGTTTTTTTCAGTCATTTGTTGATCATATTGATTTGAAAGGAGTATCATAAAAGTATGTATCAAATATGATACAAAAGGCATTAAAGGTTTAAGAGCAGCTTTGGCCAGATTGCAGCACTAGTTCATCCTCTAACTTAATTTGAATATAGAAAATCAAACAGGAGGTCTCATCTTTGAATTCCCAGTAACATCTCAGCAAATCAGCAAAGATCAAAAGAGCAGCTTCACAAGACTAAGGAGCTGCTCTGCAACCTTGGCAGGATACATACGGCACAACCCTTCATGATATGAAAGCAGTGTATGAGCATATGCAGATAGCTATCACTGTGGTGGAAACGTTGTCTGATCTGTCTTTGATGAGTAGAGTAACTATTCATATAGGTGCTACTCCACACTATCATTTGAGACTACTCAATCATCTCCAACATGAATAGAGCCAATCGAACATTCTCCTGTTTCTACTCCCACTAAATGGCTCTTGATTTCCTGTTGAGAGGTACGCATTGCTTTGATCAGGGGGGAGGGAAATGTGCTAGTTTGTCTTCATTCTCATAAAAAAAAAAGTATCATCTTATCGTAGAGTCAAAAGTTTAGTGTCCGTTTCTGGAAAATAAGGGTATGTAAAACAATCAAACAAACAAAAGAAAAGAATAAAAATAATTTAAATGTGCAAGGGAGCAAATATTACACTCAAACAAACACTAAAAGGTGGCTGTTCACAGTATGAAAAAAAAAGGAAGATGAAGTGTAATAAAAATGATCTCACAGCTGCCAGACAGGCTGTTACATAATATATTAGTTTTAAGGGATGAAAGGAGTGTGACCTGAATCTATCAGTGTCTCATATTGTAAGTGCAGACAGACAGTCTGCCGCCATGGGGAAAAAAGCAAACACGAGGGAAACCCTTTCATCAGATACAGACATCTGTATAGTGGAGAAAACTGGCTTAAGGACAGATTTCAGGTAAAAAGGTATAAAAAGGTGACTGCTTATATGTGTAGTGGAAATTTCTCTGCAGTAGAAAACTGTTTTATCAGCAGACCCACCATCCTGAGTGGTTTTGTTTGCTGACTGTAGACTTGTCTGTCCATCCTTCTCCTTGTCTGACTGTATCCTCTTCAGCGTGGGAGGAAGAGTTGTGGCTTTTGGTGACACACTGCCGCTGCTCGAAGAGTCTGGACCCTCATCTGCCAGCAGGAAACAAACAACTATACTTAACATACATAATAATGTTTAATCTAAAATACTGCATATTGCTTATACAGTATATCTAACCAATATCCTACACTATCTGTATCCTCTAACGATTGGACTCTACCTATGCTCCTGGAGCTGCTGCTGCTGGTGCTCCTTGGTTTCTGAGCGATAGTGGGTCGAGCAGCCAGAGCAGGCTTTGCCCCCTGTGGCACTGGTGGTTTTGGACTCACTGGTCCACTAGGGGAACTTGACGAAGATGTCGCCCTGAGTCGAGGAGCTGGCTCAGGCTTGGTCTCAACACGAGGAGGGGTTTTCTCTGGCGATCCAGTCGGGGGGTCGGGTTTATTAATTGACCCACCAGGAGACCTGCTTTCTAACGTGGCGGGCTGGGGCTTGGCTGTTTATGCAACACAGACGGACATGAATATGTTTGAATAATTATGCTTTCATACCATCACTTTTTAATATGAACTCAGACCCTTGATTAAGAACAGTCAAGTAACAATGCCGCCCCCTGCAGGTCTATATTCATCATTAACAGTTGGCTTCAAACTACTTAAGCCTCTCTAACACACTTTTTTGTATTGATTAAATCCAAAGCCTACCTGTTGCATTGCTGTCAGGCCTGTCAGGGCTGGAAGACTGGAGAAGACACAGAGACACAATGTTTTATTGTTTAAATTTAAGAAAATCTTCAGCAACTCTAACTCTGAATAAAAAAACCACCATACTCCTTTTACATGACAAAAATCACAAATACCACGGGTTTGAACACACAACAAAATGTAATAAATTGTCTTAAACTTCAGTCATTGTGTTAGATTCAGGTTTGTTTTTAAACTGACAGGTGTTAGTCTGTGGTACTGATCCTACATAACACTGCAGAATCAAAGTTCAACAGAAGGGGGCGCCTTAGTGTTAAAAACACTGAGGATTAAGATCACAAGCTGTCCTTCCAAGACCTGGCTGCTGAATGGCTGACCATTTCACCTCCACACACACACACACACACACACACACACACACACACACACACACACACACACACACACACACACACACACACACCTGTAAGCCGGCCAGAACAGGCAGATGGCAGGAGAAGCTTTCGTTTCACTGATACAACGTCAGAAACACCCCTAATGCTCAAACACCATAACCCTCTTACAGTAGAAGCACATCAACACCAAACACACACCAAAACAGTTTTCAGCCAAAATCCTTGACAGGGAAATCTTGTGAGCTCACACTAGCAGGTGTTAACACCAACTCAAGCTTCACAGATGCATAAATGAACACACAGAGCAGGAACAGTTTTCTCCTCGACTCTGTGGAATGTCATTATAATCAATAAAAGCAGTTTATGAGGACAAGTAGAAATGTGAAAGAAACAGCAGAGAATATGTAGGAAGAGAGCGGACTTTGGTCCGTTTGGGGATTCATATTAAGAGAAATATTCCACACACACTCATGCTCCCTGCTGTGAGCCATGACAGGAATTTACATATCAGCCTGCTTCTGTCCGTTTTCCCTTCATGCTTTCATCTCTCCTCTCTGCACTTCCCACTTGCTCCCCCTCTCCTCCCCCTCACCCTGTCATATGGCAGAAAATTTAGGTTGTTTTTTTATGTCAACATGTTGACAGGTGCAACAACTAGCCCGCAGATATAAAAAAGTTTCTATGTTTGTGCGTTCGCGTGTGTGGGATCCTTATTTTGTGTTCCTCCGGATAGAAATGTTGAACATCAAAGTCTTGAAAGGATGAGCGTGAGCACTTCATGTGCCTTGTGGCCAAAACAAAATCGAAAATGTCCCATCTTCCCCACCCGTCATGCAGCCTTATTTTTGCACGTACCTTTAACTGTAATTTTATTTTGTCCCCATCAGAAAAAAGTTAACCAAGTTCAACTCCAAACTCTGCTTTTCTACATTTCCTACATCTAAGTCGGCTTGTCTTTAATACACACGTGGACAAAATTGTTGGTACCCCTCAGTTAAAGAAGGAAAAACCCACAATTCTCACTGAAATCACTTGAAACCTACAAAAGTAACAATAAATAAAAATTTATTGAAAATTAAATAATCAAAATCAGCCATTACTTTTGAATTGTTGATTAACATAATTATTTAAAAAAAACAAACTAATGAAATAGGGCTGGACAAAAATGATGGTACCCATAACTTAATATTTTGTTGCACAACCTTTTGAGGCAATCACTGCAATTAAACGATTTCTGTATTTGTCAATGAGCGTTCTGCAGCTGTCAACAGGTATTTTGGCCCACTCCTCATGAGCAAACTGCTCCAGTTGTCTCAGGTTTGATGGGTGTCTTCTCCAAATGGCATGTTTCAGCTCCTTCCACAGATGTTCAATGGGATTCAGATCTGGGCTCATGGAAGGCCACTTTAGAATAGTCCAACGCTTTTCTCTCAGCCATTCTTGGGTGTTTTTGGCTGTGTGTTTTGGATCGTTGTCCTGTTGGAAGACCCATGACCTGCGACTGAGACCAAGCTTTCTGACACTAGGCAGCACATTTCTCTCCTGAATGCCTTGATAGTCGTCAGATTTCATTTTACCTTGCACACATTCAAGACACCCTGTGCCAGATGCAGCAAAGCAGCCCCAAACATTGCTGAGCCTCCTCCATGTTTCACCGTAGGGACAGTGTTCTTTTCTTCGTATGCTTGGTTTTTGAGTCTATGAACATAGAGTTGATGTGCCTTACCAAAAAGCTCCAGTTTGGTCTCATCTGTCCAAAGGACATTCCCCCAGAAGCTTTGTGGCTTGTCAACATGCATTTTTGCAAATTCCAGTCTCGCTTTTTTATGATTTTTTTTCAGCAGTGGTGTCCTCCTTGGTCGTCTCCCATGAAGTCCACTTTGGCTCAAACAACGACGAATGGTGCGATCTGACACTGATGTACCTTGGCCTTGGAGTTCACCTTTAATTTCTTTGGAGGTTGTCCTGGGCTCTTTGGATACAATTCGAACGATCTGTCTCTTCAATCTGTCATCAATTTTCCTCTTGCGGCCACGTCCAGGGAGGTTGGCTACTGTCCCGTGGGTCTTGAACTTCTGAATAATATGAGCCACTGTTGTCACAGGAACTTCAAGCTGTTTAGAGATGGTCTTATAGCCTGCACCTTTAAGATGTTTGTCTATAATTTTTTTTCGGATGTCCTGGGACAATTCTCTCCTTCGCTTTCTGTTGTCCATGTTCAGTGTGGTACACACCTTTTCACCAAACAGCAGAGTGACTACTTGTCTCCCTTTAAATAGGCAGACTGACTGATTATGAGTTTGGAAACACCTGTGATGTCAATTAAAGGACACACCTGAGTTAATCATGTCACTCTGGTCAAATAGTTTTCAATCTTTTATAGAGGTACCATCATTTTTGTCCAGCCCTATTTCATTAGTTTTTTTTTTTTAAATAATTATGTTAATCAACATTTCAAACGTAATGGCTGATTTTGATTATTTAATTTTCAATGAAATTTTTATTTATTGTTACTTTTGTAGGTTTCAAGTGATTTCAGTGAGAATTGTGGGTTTTTCCTTCTTTAACTGAGGGGTACCAACAATTTTGTCCACGTGTGTATGACACCAACAAAGTCTACACTTTAAAACAAACTCAACAGTCAACTCTCATGAAAGTAATGCATTAATGTAAGTTTGGTACTTTCTGCTGCTCTTCTTCTTTTCTGCCATGTTATTGTATTTTTGTTTTGAAAGCACATGAAGCAGAACTTTGTAACTGATCAATCTCTGTTAGCCCAAGATCCTCTGACTTTTCTAACACCTAGTGCATTTGATACACTGACCTACAGCTCATGCTAACAGGCTTTGAGTGAAGTTAGAAAGTTCGACTAACCTCATAAAGGAATAATTATGCTGAAAATTAGGAACTGGTGCTAAAGTTGCAGGTTATTCTGCATTACATGTTTGAAAGTCTGTCCTTCAAGTTTATTTTGGGCAAAATTTATATAATTCCCCTTCTTTCTTGGCATCTCTGAGTACTTTTTTGATGATTCTCACCTTGTGAGCTCTCCTCTCCTGCTTAGCCTTCATCTCTGCCAATAAACCACTTCCCATCATCTGCAGTCCTGGGTACCGCCTGCCTCCCTGAGGACTCCCTCGTCCATCTGAAGTTTCCCAGGGCTCGTCGATGGAGTCAGGTGTCCTCAGCTCCTCAGAGCGGTCAGAGCTGCTGCTGTAGTCTGTGGGCTGTGAGCGGCTAGAGGCGTCTCTGCAGTGAACACATGAACTTTTTAAAGGGCTACTACACTGAAAATTTAAAGGTAAATGAAAATGCTCTACAACAGAGAAATAGTGCTTTTCGTCAATTGGTACCTTGACTTTGGCTCAGGGGCTGGGCTCTTGATGGCCACCTTTGGTGAGGAGGGCTCCTCGGGGATTGTGGGAGCTGGTGTTGATGCTACAGTGGATGAAGGAGGCGGCTGGTTTTTCTCAGACTTATCTGATTTGTCTGATTTGGAGGAACGTTTGATGAGGTTGAGGAACCCTCCTTTACTTTTCTTCTTCTCTCCATCCTGAGATTCTGAACTCTTCAGGGAACGTCTGAGTGGAGCGGGAGGACAGAGAGATTAAAAATATGAGTGCAATGAACATTTAGTGAGAGAAAACTTTAATGAGTACAGGAAAACATTTAACAAATCATGACAAGAATACAGTACAGAAAAATCCTTACTTGGAATCCATCCTGGTGACTTTTGTGGAGAAGAACTCATCCACACCTTCATCCACCCTTCCCATCAGACCATTCTGCTCCCCATCCTGAGATGGAGCCATGTTTATTTGCTGAAGAAAGTGAGAACTCACGTTACAGCTTCAACAAGTATATACAAATATTTTTAATTGAACCTGAGAGATCTGCAGAAGTTTTACTCACAGGTACTTTGCTGGAGTGCATTTTCTTGTTTCTTCGAGGTCGCAGTTTAGTGAAATGCTGGAGCTTCTTTTCCTCCTCGGATGGCAGTTCCACCATCACTCCTGATGTACGTTGCTCCAGTTTTGGCAGGTTTTGAGAGGGGGTAGGGGGAGTTCGAGACAAGGCGTCCTCCATATGGATAGGGACATCCTCCAGGGCTTTGTCCAGGTCAAACTCCATCTCTGCAGGATGAACAGAAATTCCAACACTTGTAAGTGGACGGAGGGGTACTCTTACCTGTCATTAAGTCTAAAAAACATTGATATCAGAGAAGTATTCCTAAAATTTAAAATTATAAACCTACAGTTAAGAGAAAACATAATTCAATATTTATTGTTTAGAAGAAACATGAAATAAAATTTGACCAAAACGTGTTTGAAACTGCTTACCAAAGGCACGAGACACAGGCCGGAGCATTCTGCTGTGAATACTCTTTCTCTTGGATTTAGGGGTCATCTGGAAGAGGGGCAGATGACTGTTTAGATTTAATAGTCACAATTAAGCACATATCTGTCCATATGACTGCCACTTTCTATTGTTTAATACTAACTGAACAAATCAAACTGTTTTGTATATCAGGAAAGAGAAAACACAGCAGCATCCACACACATGGTATTTAGTATATTGCATCATCAGGTTGACTTCTCTTCTCTTCTCTTTACTCTTTTGCTTTTTAGCTGTTTATTCTAGTCTGTGCCGCTGTTCTCTTTGTTGTGAAGCACTTTGGTCTGCATGCTTTTATGCATGAAATGTGTTTAATGAGTTGAGTAGAGGCTGTTTGGACAAAAGAAAATCGTACCATAAAGCACATTTTATTCAGGTGTGTGCTGAGTGGTGACAAGCAGTGTAATGTCAAGAAAAATTAACAACTTTAAATGCCGACTTTGATGGCGTAAAAGAAATCTGAGAATAAGTCAATAAGTGATACATAAAGAAATCTTTTTATAATCATACTACATCTTTCTACACCATCTTTGAAAGAATTGAAGTTGTCAGAAATGCAAATAAAAACAGTCCTGGTGCTATGGAAAAGCTGCAGCAGAGAGAAGTGGATCACAGAGAAATGAGCAGCCAGATGAAGAGAGAGAACAGCAGAGCAAAGAGGGACAGTCCAGAAGTACTCACACTGGTGCAGCAAAAAGTCTCCATGAAGCAAAGATGGAAAGAGAAAAGGCAGAAAAGAGGAGGAGGAGATTGAAGAGGAAGAAAGACAGCACACAGTAAGACAAAGAGAAGACAAAAATGAAAGAGAAAGCCGGGAAAGCCATGAACCCTTCATTTGAAGGAAAAGTAGAAGAAAGAAGAGATCAGTAGAAAAGAGGGAATGATGGAGAAGACACGACCAGACACAGAGGAACATGTCCTCTGCAGCTCATGTACATTTAAAGTCATACACACTACTGCATATTAATGCTCTTCACCTACAACCAACATCTATCTTCGATTCTCAGAAAACATGTTACAAAGGTTCACACCTCATTCAGACCGAAACATTTACACAAAACTAACTAACTTCTCAAGACGATGGCTTCCCACAGGTTTTTTTTTATTCTTGAATGTATTAAATTGTTTTCATCTTCTCGTGAGCTGCACACTAATATATAAATTAAAACCCTTCCATCTTATAGAAATCTTAAGTGCACAAAATTCTAATTATTACATAACTCATTGAGCCTCGTGTCATTGCTCATCTTACTGATACAACTGAATTGATCAATTTCACTGCTTATCCAGTCAAAAAAGAGAGAACCATAAACATGAACACTCTACATCACCAGGTATGTGTCGAACCTGAACCTACTGGGCTTGAACTATACACACACAGACACACACACACAGATGCTAGAGGTCCAATCCTACCATGCATGTCTCTAGATCCTCCAGCCTCTCAGCCTCCAGGAGCTCAGTCGATGCTCGTTTGGGAATTTTCTCCTCTGGGACGTCCAGATCCACCGACTCCTGCAGCACCAAAGGGCGACCTCGCCGCACTAAGTGATCCGCCTGGAGAGAAGAGAGGAGTCCAGGAGCAGATATGTTTGTGAAAGATGATGTGGGTGCAAGGAAAAGGAAGAGAGGATGTTGATAAGAAGAGGGGGGAATTACAGGATGACAAGACCAGACTTTTGCTTTAAAAGGTAGAAAAGCAACAATTTGATAAGCTTACTTTAAAGTTGCAGCTAAGAATATCTTACCAAAGTGAGCTGGGAAGAGGACAGAGCCTCCAAAATCTCATCCACTATGCGATCAGACAGGAAAGAGGCAAGACTCAGCTTCACCTCACTGACAGAGAGAGTTAGAGAAGGAAAGAGTGAGTGATGGTCAGGCGGGAGAGCATCAGTCTATTGAGTTCAACACTTACTGACACACAAACAAACCTGATCTTGTTGATGATATCCACTCCAGACTGCTCCAGGAGGGTTTTGGTCACAAAGCTTTTGGGTACAACCATCTTAGTTGAGCTGGCCTTCATTAACTCAGGACGAAGATTACTCTTCTTCAACACATGAGGGCACAGGGACTCTGCAGCATCCATCATGGACTCTAACAGAGTCTGGCGGGATGAAAATGTAAAATGGATCAACAAGGGTATTTCTTTTTTTACACTCATTTAGACGTGTTTTTTTGGGGTGGCTACAATCCAGTGTAGCTTAACTAAACCATCTTGTTTAACCATGTAAAAGGTTTAAGTCATAATTGTACCTGCAGTTGTTGGTCCATCACAGTGGTCACCTCCCCAGCCATAGACTCCAGTTTCTCCTGGATGGGTCCTGCTGTAGAGGCGTTCACCTCCTCTCTTGCTGTTGATCCCAAGTGGTAGAGATTCGGAAGAAGCTAAGAGACCAAGTGAAGAAGACAAACAATCACGTAAAGGAGGTCTGACCTTTTAATGAACTGATTGCTGTAGATAAAAAAGAAATTCATATACCAGCAGGGCTTATGTCAAATGTGCCTCTTCTCACCGTTTTAGAGTTTCTGGCGTCTTTGATGAGGTTCTCTGCTGACCTTACGTCCTCCAAGATGGCATCTGTTTCCGAGTTCCTCAGGGAGTTTAGGTGGTCCTGCACCTTCACACAAATCCTGTCGATCATCTGGAAGACAATGACAAGAAAGATTTGGTCTAAATTCACCAAACTGAAGCTGTTCATCAAACTTTTGACTAACACCAGAGCAAACTGATAAGCATTTCCTCTGAGGTTGAAAATCAATTATCAACATCAGACTTAAGGTTTTTGTTTTTATTTTACATTTTTTTAATTTATAAAAAATGTTTGTTACCACACCTGCTGTGTAGTTGTGGTAACGATGCCTTGTTGCAGTCGATACGCCTGCTCCTGTAGGTATTTTCTGGTTTCATGGTTTCTGTACAGATAATTCTCAATCTAAGGGGGGAAAAAATCCATCATCACATTAATCAACCAAAGCCATCATCAGTTAAATCAGTTCTTCTGTTTGATTTAGTTTTTACATTCAGCATGATTTTCATGTTATAAGAATAAAAACAAGATAAAACAGCAGTCGACTGACAACACTGAAATGATTCATCAAGTACCCTTAGTAAGGCATCCTCGGTTTTCTCCGGGCTGGCCTTCAGAGCCTGGGAAGCATCGATGATGGGGATGGGCATGAAACGAATGGTGAAGTTCCTAATGGACACACAACCAAACATGACATTATTCATTGTTTATATCACAGAGGGAGATAAACTGGCAGAGCTGTGGGGGTAGACGCAGGCCTACTGCACAGAAAGATAATATTTGAGGTATGAGCACGTTAACACTCACAAAAAAAACAAAAAAAATTGCACAAATACTGCAGTTTTGGTTTTCTTATGGTACTTTTCATTCTTAGCGTTACACCCTGAGCTTCAAACCTCACCAAAAACTCCAGTGATGGATTCCAAGACTGCTTCTCGGAGAACAAAACCTGACAGGTTAAGATGTGAACTAGCGGTCTGACCTTGTTGAGCTGTTTTTTTTATATTTTTCGTAAACTGTTACATCAGCAAATCAGTCACATGTCAATGTCAGACCCATGTTGCATTCAAAGTAATGCGACGAGTCAAATGAAGCAAGTTCCATTATGACAGATGGATTAAGGTGCAGTTATTTGGGGGTCTTATGTGGAGATATTCAAATATTCAAACAGCTGAATAACATCAGGTTATCAGCTATAGTATCTTGCTTCTCCTTCCATGGTGGCTCTAAAGCGTGAGATAGCGCGGCAAGTAAATTGAAATATTAGGAACAAAATACAGCAATACGAACACAAAATACAAAATTTAGTTGCTTTAGAAAATGTACAGAATGAACTGACCCTCTGGTAAATTTGTGCTTTATATCATATGTCTTATTTTTATTAACTCAGGGTTGACAACACAATACTCATATTCACAATAGTCACAGAATGACAGAGAGCAGTGGGGAATAAAGCAAGATGGAAAACGGGGAAAAACGTGGGTGTGGTGGTATAAAAAAAGCTGTGGACATGCTGATATAGAATTAAGGATGTTTGGGGGAAAGGCAGAAGGCTTAGATTTTCATGGTTTTCAGCCCCAGAATAAATTAATCCATCTTTCCTCAGACAGAGCTGGTATCATGATAAAACAAAAATGCACCAGTGAAGAGCTGTCAGGCAATGTGGTACGATTAATAACAGTAATTCAACTCATGGAGGAACCCTGCTGCTTTTCTCTCTCCCTCAGCTCTGGAGCGCACAGATCTGCTGTACACACTTTACTTCCTTACAAATTACACCCTCCATCATCAGGCTGAGACGGTCAGTTTTTCTTATTTCAACAGCTAAATGAATGCTGATGTTTATATAAGCATATGAAATATGCTTGAAATTACAGAAGCAACTAATGAGTATTTTCCCTTACACTTATTTCTCCTCATTTAGCTGTAATTTAACAGCGCTAAGACGTACAATAGGGAGGCCAAAACATGAGAACTTAGTCAAAACATTTGCTAATTTTGCTTGAAACATTAACTCTTTATAAATTTCAACAGTTTGTTCATACACACTTTTTATGTGACCTGCTCTACATTCTCAAACGTATATAAGGTGCGCCTTGTTTGACTTTAGGGTTAGTATAGGTACAGGTGTGTCTGTAATCTTGGAGAAGCCTTTTGAGTACTGGTAAACACAGGAGATTTTGCATCCTCTCTATTCACTCAGAAACCTGCACACATTTCTTGAGAGTATTGAGAGTCTGAGAGAACATCTTAGGAAGCGAAACGTCAAACATTTTCAAACACCTCCTTACAAAAGAAGAATACTGAAGACTGTAGGAAATTGATTGAAAGGAGGATGGATTCATTTCTCTCTTATGTACCTGCATGCACACACAGCTGCTCTGCTGTGGGAATAGAGAGGTGCAAAAGAAATGTTATTCAGTAATGCATTACAGAGACTAAAAGGGGATTTGAAAAGACGTGCTACTTAGAGAGCATGATAAACAGACAGAGGGGATGAGAGAGAAGAGTGGTGTGTGTGCAGGTGAGTCCCAAAAGTAGTTAGGGAGGTGCATATGTAGCTTCATACTGAGGGACAATATCAAAGACTTAGATCCACTAACAACACAGGTAATAGTCAAAAACATCATCCATCCAGTCAGTGCACTTTCTGCCTGCTCTGCTCTCTCATCCACTCATCCTCAGCATCTTTTTCTTCCGCTGTTGTACCTTCTTGTTTTATTCCCTGTGTTTGTCACTTCCTAGTCCCCTTCCTTCCTCTCATCCTCTTTACTCAACTTCTCCTGTAAACACACCTCAGGGGTTTCCTCCTGCTCAGCACTTTGCTAACTAACATCTGGGCTGCAACAGCTCCCCACTCATCCATTAGTTTGTGTACCAGCAGCATAGTCACATACACACACACACACACAGACACTGTCAGGTACAGATACAGCCACTTACTTCTCAAGAGCGGCTGCTACATCCTGGAGACCCTGAGGGCTGGTGTTATTTTTATCCCAGATCACAGTCCTGCTCAGAGAAACACAGACAGTGTGACAAAAGAAAAAGATGTACAGAAAATTTACAAATGATTGTCATAAATCCCAAACTTTGACCACTGACCTGAGTTTAGAGTTGATCTGAAGTGCCTTGGCCAGCATCTTGGCCCCCATGTCCCCCATGGCGTTCCCGCTGATGTCTAACCTGGTGAGCGAAGAGTTGCTGCCGAGAGCGTTCAACACTATAGTCAGATCAGTCTTTAGTCGGGAGTCTGCGAGTGACAGAGAGGTGAGGGGCTGGGGAAGGGAGACAGAGATAGAGGAGGAAGGGTACACGTGGGATGAGAGGAAGGGGAAAGGATAGATGTTGAGAGAAAGTTTATAACATGAGATCAACAGGTGAAAAACAATCTTCCTGTGAGGTTTAACGTTACTGCATAAGCACATTAATATTCTTCTGGGCAGGACCAGCTTGATTTCTCGACCAATGTACATCACCTGCTTAGTTTTTTCTTGTCTTATATTCATTTTTTAACCAATGTTTTTTTCCTTCACAAACTCTGATCTTTATTTCTGTGCAAAAGCTGTAAGTATTCAGCACTGTCTACAGTTTCAACCATTAAAGTTACCCAGTAATTAATCTCGAGTTTCTTAAAAATAGTGGTTTCCTTATAGATATTGCAGAAGCTGAAGCAAAATATTTAATGAAATGCAAAAACACATCCCAAAAATATGCAGTGGCTCTGAAAGTCACATATCTCAGAACCACAACAAATATTTCACAAAAGAATAAAACCTTTCCCTGAATACAAAAACATTTCATCCCATGAAAGTTTGAATATTAATGAGACCAAACACAGTTTAATTATGCAAATATATTTGACTGACCGTAAAACACACATGTAGAGAAGCAGAAAAATTATTTGTAACCCCTCCAAAATAACATGAACTTATTTTGTTTTTAATGAAACCTCTCAGTGTTTGATGGAATGATTAAGCATTCAGTGAAATGTTTTTTGTGATATGAAATATTTGTACAGTTGACCTTCAGGGCCAAAGTAATACCTCAATGATTCTGCAGAACCAAAAACAGCAAATCCAAATCAAACATTCATCAAAGGATCAAGCGGACTTGACAGAGACCAAAATGTCAGAGGTATTATCATACTAAACTCCCCAAGGCAAAATGAAAAATTCAGCACCGGATCAAGTGGATTTTTTTGTGATATGAGACTGATATGAGGGTTTATAAATGTCCAGCAGTGCCCATCTGTTCAGCACCACTGAGACGCTCTGTGATGTGTGTCATTTACACAGCTGGAGACTCCTCAGAGCTGTTCCCACTTAACATGCTGAGGCCAAGAGAAGGTGCTGACGGCATTGATGCTTTTTGTGTCCCTGGGCAGACAAGAGTTGTGCTCTCAGGTTCTGATTATGTAGCTACTGTGATTTCCTTATGAGGTTAGATTGACTGTAAAACAACACTCTTGGTTTTATTTGCCTAAAGCAAGATTTTAAAACCTTTATCTGTAAGTACACACTACAATTACTACATAATACATTGTACTGCGGTATTATCTTCAATTAAATACTGATATCTTTTCTTACAGTACTGCAGCAAACATAGGTGACTTAGAACAGTTTTTTTCTTATTTCTTTCTGAAACTGTTTGATTAATTCTCTGTAATTTAGCATGAAGAAAGCAAAAGGTACAAAAGTGTTCCTTGAATCTCCCAAATGAAAATCACAAGATTAAAAAGACGTCCTGCGCAGCATGTCCAGAATAACTACATCTAAATATGACAGAAATAGGTGGTCCACATAGGGGATGTTACGCTTTTATGGTACAACAAAGATCCAACAACAAGAAAGGAAAAACTGAAGACAAAGAAACAAAAGATTAAACCAGAGTTTATGACTCTGTCTGCTTTGTCTTGCAAAGAAGGGTCAATAACAGTGAAGACTGATGCATAATTTATGAAATGAAAAAGCATCTCTATAAGAGTTATTGTCTTTTGAAGGAGCGTGATTTAACTGAAATAACTTTGAGAGGAAACTAAAGTATGTTTGCTGATTAGTGTGTGGAGCAGAATCCAAATGGATATAATGGCAGGGTCTTATCTGAAGATGCAGGGAGAATTTTTTACTGCCTGCATGCGCTCCTGCGGGGCACAGAGCAGACATTAAAGATGCAAATTGAAATAGATACAAGTTTATGGGCCGAGGACATGGAAGCTAATTCCTTCTGCTTTGATGTAAAGCAGAAACAAGATCACTAAATCACAGTAGCCAAGCAGTTTTTTTTGCGGCTCAACTGGAATATACATTTTTTTAAAAAGGTGCCTGAAAAAGTCCAACTGGTACAGACGGAGATATCATGTTTGCAAAAGCAACTATAGTAAAAGAAAACTCTACAACATTTGTGTGTATTTGTAGGAAGTAAATGACTTTGGCTGGGCCAGATTTTCAGCCCTTATTAATCACTCCAATTATAAAATGATTGTTTTATTTGTCTATTTCTGTTTCGTGCAAGTGAACACCGAGTAGTGGTTAGAGACAGAGTAATGTCTCATCTCACTCTTAGCTAGGTTTCTGTTAAAGCACATCTTTTTCTCTAATAAGCCAGATGTTCACTGTCCCGCTAATTTAGTGTAGTTTGTGTATCTGATTACAGTCTCGCAGCCAGAAGGTATCTCAGGTCTAACAGCCTGGAACCACGCCAGTACACAGAAACACAACAGGCTAAATGTGCCACCTGGATAGGCGTAACTGTAATGTGTCTGCGTGTGAGTGTGTGTATCTAAATATACAGGCGAAAGATAAATAGATGTCTGTTAAAGACAACTTGAAGTTGATTTCTCTTCAGGCTTTCTCTTATCTGCTTCCACACACAAGCTCTGGTTGTTTTGCAGAGAGCCGGCAACCCACTTCTCTCTCTGAAACACTCACACAATAGCAACACTGATGTGCGTATTTCACTTCCCAAGATGAGTTGTCCTGTGCGAGCTCCTGATCAGCCTTTGACCTCCCACCTTTAACCTTTTCCTATCACTTCTTCTAGCTCCCATCCATCAGCTTACTCCCTCTTCTCTCTTTCTCTTTGTTTCCCACCTGCACAGTTAGATAACCAGCTGATATACATCATCCTCAAGCCTACAAGCATCATGACACCAATCCAGCTCAGAGCAGCTCAGACAAACCGTCAATCTAGCACATCTGACACTGAAGGAGACAAAGAAGGGCAGGCAGTGGGGCAAAACTGGTTACAGCTCCCATGATAGTTAGGCACACTGAGGGAAGGGAAAGTGAATTGATAGTTTGAAGTGGGAGAAAAAGTCATTATTTTGATATAGTGCTAATGGTTATTGAAGTAAAATAATGATTCTTCTCTCTACATGGTAAATTGAATGCAGAGGCGAAAATATCAATTTAAGATTATTTTTAGAGTCTCAAAACAACTGCTGATTATCACCAGACCACCACAAAATTTCAGTATTTTATCTTACTTAATGCGTTTTCACTTTCCAGTATATGAGCAAACACTACTGATCCTTGAAAGACCACTGGGGAGACTCATATTCACATAAGCCCACAATGGAGAGGTCAGAGGTCAGTTTTAGAGCAGCGAGTGGTGATTCAGGGATTTGTCAAAGCAACAAAGTGAAAGCAAACTAAAAACTCACCGACTCTTCTTCCTGAATCAGGTGGACCAGGCTGTCCAACACTGGGGCAAGGTTTCTAAGAAGTAAGAGAAGAGAAAGTCAGAGGGATAACATCTGAATCACAGGCACCACAATCATCTTTAAAAAAAACAACTCAACATAGAGACATTCAAAGTCTATTTTGTCCTCTTTAAATCTCCTGTCATTGTGATCCCTTCACTAGTTCTGTTATGTACTGCATGTAGAAGGACAGACACTGCTGCCACATGGCTTTGTGGCTAAATCAGTGCTGTTCATCTAAATTTACACTTGCATCTGCAGTCTTTGGTTATTCACAAAAGGCAAGGCTTAGTCACACTTATCCCCGACCAAACCCAAACCGAGGCTTAACCACTTAGGTTTCTCTCACAGCCACACTCTGTACACGTCAGCTGTGCGGTCTGCCCTCCTGTGTACTTACTTGGATTTGATGTTGTTGAAGTTTTTTCCCATGGAGAGGTGTCTAATGGATCTGTTCTTGGCTAGCCACACCAACAGCGTGGACAGATCTGAGTCCAGGCCTGGAGGTGGAAGAATAGGTTAGGAATCTGTAAATTGATCTACCTAGGTGTTTGCAGATATTGAAGTCTAGCTCAATTTGAAGACAAGCCTTATCAAATTTAGTAAATATATGCAACGATAGGCATAAGCTTCCACCCCACCGTTGTCAGAGATGTCCAGACTGGAGATGTTTGGGATCTCTGCGATACAACCTTCAAGGATTTGAGAACCTCCTGACCGCAACTGAAAGACAGAAGAGCACATTTTGCAAACATGACGCTATAAATATTAAGAACATGTGAAACAATTAAATGAAGTAGAAACAGTGGCATCCAAAATGCTCCATATATCACTTCAAAAGAGTGACTGGTAGTACATCTGACTCTGCAAGGTAAGCTTGATTTAGCAGAAATTAACTATTCTCCCACATGCTAAGCCTGCTCAACCGCAGCAGATTTATTATGAGCTTGTGTTTTTAAACAGCAAAGAATAATTCTTCAGGGTCACTCGGTTTTATCACAGTAACTAAATGCAAGGTTAACCGGAGATGTTTTCAAATTGGAAAATCCCAACAAGGAAAGATAAGGTCTATAGGTATTGAATTTGAGTGGGTTGCTGACGTTACGCTGACAGGCTGACTGTTACTTGACCATACTGTAGGTCTGGGCTATAAACCAAAAATTTACTGATACTAAAATTTACGACACTAGTCAAAGTCATTTTGCCCATGTCAGTATATTCGGTGTCAAATAAATAAATAAATAAAAGTTTGTTTTAGATGTGTGTAGGTAGGCTATGGTCTTATGTTCCTTTAAGACACTGTCCTACGTTGGAGACGTGACTCCACCCCATCCAGTCCGTGACAAAGAGGGAAAGACAGGTGAGGAGATGGAGGATGGTTCAAAAGTTGTAGCGGCTGGAGCGGCAGCTGAAGTAGGTGAAGTTAATGTGGGAGGGGGTGAGCAGCTTCTGGAGTAGTTATCGTCCATTTATTGTTATCTAGGTGAACTTCTATTGTGATATTGATTTGAGGCCATATCGCCCAGCCCTACAATACTGTGTTTATTTTGTCACTGCAATGGAGTTAGGTCTGTATTCCAAATCTGACGACATTAACTGATACACCAGCTCAACTACAGAACTGCAATGTAGCCAACACAGAAACTCAGCATGGACAACATATAATGAAAACATGCAAGAAGGACTTATGGTTGAAAAAGACTAACATCGTAATGAAAAAATACAAATAACTAAAAACAACAATACAGAACATTCAAAACATTGTTGCTTCTAGTTACATTTTTCCATTTCATATGACACACTGATGAAAAAATGAACCCTTGCAAGCAGAAAATACAAGTATCAGCCAAAACAGACATGCAAATCCAAGTGATGAGGCATGGGATGGTAATTATTAAGAGTGAGCTCAGTGGTACTTACACAATGGCCAAGCTAACAGAAGCATTAGAGTGAAGAAAAAAAGCACGTCAAAGCTCATAATTACCAGCAACAAAACATGCAGATGCTTAATGATCACACTGTTCACACACATTTGCACACACACACTTTAAGAGTCATACACTGTCCTTATCTAGCATGCTGTCAGCCCACTCAGTGCATAGTTCTGGGTTGCTCCCACCAAACGGTTCATTAAGGCTTCAAAAGAGGGACAGAACGCACGATTTCTCTCTGCAGCCTCGGTTTGGGGACATTTCTACGCATGTCTTCTGCATTGGATTTCCTGTGTAATTTGCATTCATGTGTCATCTTTGGCAGTCCCATTCAATTTGCAGCAAGCTGTCCTCTTTTCATGCAGGGTTGGAGATGAAGCAAGCAAGGAGCTGGTGTGTGTGTGTGTTTCTGTGTGTATGTGGGTAAAGACTGTAAGGAAACAATCAGAGACAAAAACTATCACCCCCGCCTCTGTGTTTTATCCACCCACCCTTCCTGCTTGCTGCCAAGTGCTCCATTAGACAGCCTCTTAATGGTGTCACTGGTCTGTCAAATGGTTTTGGAGTGGATCCTAAAAAGCTGATTGCATTGAACAAGTTGAACATCGGAACCATTAAATGCCTCACTTCATCAATTTGAAGCTGATGAGAGCTATTATACAAATGCTATAATGACTAGAAACAGGGAAAAGAGGGGCATATCATCAAGAAGATAAATCAGACGCCTCCAAAAATCCCCACTTGTTGTTCTCTTTTCATTATTCATGACAGAGCTTACCATAGTTGAGAGTGCTGCGCTTAATACTGGGCAGCCTACTTTCAGATCAGATTTACTTGTAATATCATCAGCAGCACTGTGTCATTCATTTAGTCAAACTAAAGCTGTGGGAGCTACTTCAACGTTGCAGTTGCTCCATGAAAATTTTAACAATGTGTTCGTAAATATTCAAATTGTTATAAATTGTGAAAGAGATCCCTGATGTGTGCCGTCTTTGAACACAACTTGACAGACATCACCGCAGTGCAAAACTGAAAATGTTTTGATGTAGATATTGAGAATGCATGAAGATATTCTTCCATGAAATGATCCATGAGGAAAAGTCGAAGTATAGCGAGTGTCTTACCTCACAGCAGCTGAGGTCTATAGAAACATCCTTCAGATTGAGATTACTGGCCAGGCCAAGCAGCAGAGCTCTGGAAGAATATTGTTATACTGTATGTATATTATTTTTTATTACACAATAAATATCATTTAAAAATATGTATGTCAGTGTAGATACACAGATTCATTAATATCAATCTAGGTGTTCCTGAAGTTTTGTGTTTCCTCAGACACATTAAATGTGAATGAACTGATCTCTTACTTGAGGGCCTCTGGTGGCAGCTTGGTTCCTGACACGTTGATGGAGCTGAGAGACATGGCACTGCTGAAGAAGTGCTTGAATGATGGGGGCACCTCTTTGCCTTTCCTATAGAAACAAATGAGCAGACCAATTTTAGACTGGTGTTAACCTAAAAGAACTTTTTCCATGCCTCTGTCTCATTCTTTCTTACTAATCTAAACTTTATCTGTCGAGGAGAGTTTTTTTTCCTCCTACAAGCCAGTGACTGAGACATTTCTTTTTTTTTTATGGGAAAAAAAACCCTCCCTCGACGCATCCTCCCCTTCCAAATTCTGCCCCCTCCTCCCAAGAGACACACTGGAAAAAGAGATAATAGTGTGGGGAAAAACTCCACCCACACCCCATCTGTTACACTCCAAATCCGAACACACCAATATGCAGACACACACACACACACACTCAGTATCTCACACAAACACTTAGATTTAAACACACTCACATTCTGCATTTGCACACTCCATGAAACACATATCTACATACTTGGCTCTGATGTTAAAACTGTAGCTTGTCTGTAATGTCATTCTGTCACCAGCAGGTGTCACTCAACAACATACAGACACTACTTGGCTTAAAACCACTTAAAGCAGTGGTTCTCAAGTCCAGTCCTCGAGCCCCCCACTGTCCTGCATGTTTTGGATGTTTCCCTGCTCCAACACACCTGATTCAAATGATCAGCTCGTTATTAAGCCATTACAGAGCTTGATAACGAGCTGATCATTTGAATCAGGTGTGTTGGAGCAGGGAAACTTGAGAACCACTGACTTAAAGTAACAAGCCACATTACCGGAAATCTGTTTTTAAGACTAAAATAGCAGGAGCAAATCATGATGGAAAAGAGAATCACAGGTACACCTCAGTGGGATTATGAGCCTGAGCCCAGTTCCTCTACACAATATCAGACACTTTATAGTTGCTCTCTCTTGAATTATTAACCGATTTCAAAATTAAACCAAAAAGCTGGTTTAAATACAAACTAACACTGTTTTATTTTTTCATCTAGGACTTGATCTTTTAATTCTCACAGGTGGATGGATACTTAAATTTTAGTTGCTTTAGTTCTTTATTTGTGGAAAAAAACAACATGTACCAAACATTCAAACAAAAATAAATATCTGCAGGCTTGTCACAAATTTCTAAAAAACAAAGGCATGTAAATTTAAAGTTCATGCTTGTTTTAGCTTTAGTCATTTCACTGCGTTTGCATAGTGACAGGGGGACTTGGTTCTCACCTGTGAGGGAAGACACTCTTTGACACGTTGAGAACAGTGAGGTGTTGGACTGAACCTCGCAGCAGAGCTGAGCAAACCTGGAAAAAACACACATATCATCAGAACATCTGGGCTGTATAAACTGCATCAATCATTATTTTCTCTTCAGTTTTTGTGGAAAAAAGCTTTAAAATTTAATAAGATCCAGCAGAAAAGCCCGATCAAACCCTCTGTAACAGAGAAAGCACGTCCTCACTACTGCATTTAAATGTGTTTGTATTTGGTTGTACTAGAAAGACAGAATATGACTTAGGAACAAATCAATGTTTCCGCTAACAGGCTGACAGCTGGCTACATTGCAGACTAATCAATAAGCAGTTTGGCTCTCAGACCCCCATCAATACCTCACATACAGTATGCAGAACATTTCACTAGCAGCAGACAGAAATACAGATTGCATGGGTGAGTGAAGTTCATTTATGTTTGCTGCGACACACATATCAATGTCTGGCACTTCATCTCACACTGCAGTTTACAATGAGGTTTGACTCTAATGCATGATGTTGGTTTACAGAGGGGAGGTCTTTACACTTGTTGGGCCTGTCATGTTTGAAACATGTTTCCTACAGTTGTTTATTTCTTCACCGAATTAAGAAATGAGCATGCGGCATACTGCAGTATGAGTATGTGCTCCGTCTCACCTGGTCCAATGAGCAGTCAGTGTTGGAGAGGTCAAGGGTGGACAGGCTGTTCGGTTGACCCAGGAAGTGATAGAAATGCTAAATGGAGAATAAAAAATATCAAACATTTAAAAAAAAAATCTAACTCCAAAACCTCTGGCATCAAATTGGATTTGACTTCTCAGCAACTACATGCAGCTTTATATGAATCTCAGCAGTGTATCAGGTGTTTTTTTCTCTTTTCAATTCCATTTATAATTTTCCAGCATTTCTGGTTTCATGCCAAACTTTTCCTTATCCGCAAAAGTTAAACATCTTCATTTGTATATGGTAAGTTACTCAATAATATCAGTGCCATTCTGATTAAATGGCAGCAACATTCCCTTGGCTAGAAATGATAACTTCTGTATTTGGAAGATGCCCTACAACCAGCTAAAGAGGCTAAAAATTTCATTTCCTTGGCTGAGCTGAGCCAGCCTGTATGCATTTCAGGGGCCGACTCTTGGCAAAAGCAGGAGTACACTAATATTAAGAAATGTTAAATTGAAATGATACTAGTGCGTCTGCTTCTGTCATTATTAGGAGGGATTGTGTCTGTTCAGCTGAATTCTGGTTTGCGGCTCTGCAGTAGACAATCGCATCTGTGTTCAGAGGTATGAGCCGAGTCGATGCTCTCCTTAATAAGGACACGCTGCCTGATTTATTACCGCCTGACAAGACCTCCACACAAGTGCAGCACTGAGCCATTTCAATCAATTAACTGTTATTGATAGTAGCTTTGAAATGGATTGAATCTGCCTGACTGAGTGTGTTTGTGTGTGTGTGTACCTGCATGTCATCTCCTCGAAGGACATTCCCTGAGAGGTCTAGATGGACCAGGCTGCTGGGGATGGATGGGTTGGCACTCAGTGACTGGCAAAGGCTGTTCACCCCTGACACAAACAAACACAGATACAGACACACACACACACACACACACACACACACACACACACATACACACGCAGTGTCAGCATCACTTGATATTTTGACAGAATATTGAAGGAAATAGCAGAGGAAATGAAAGAGCAGGGCCAGAATCCAGAGTTCATGCATAAAGTGAAAAGATGATTCCTCTTCATAGCTGTCAGTGACGCACTAGGATGATGTATTACATTTTTTCATATAAGTCATAATGGGATATTTCAAATAAATTAATTAATAGTTATAGATAGGTCAGACAGAAATGATAATGAATATAATCAGGAGCTGCGATCAACAATCTGCAGAAAAATGTGTGTGTGCATGTGACTCTATACTCATCACTGCAGAGTCTGCACCCTACTGACACACTGTGAGACTGACCACTGACCCGTGTCACGTCAATCACATCACTGACACACTGAACTAGCATTTTTATAAAGTCCTGACTCTGTCCGGAGTTGACAGAACCAGAGAGAAGAAAAGAGATAAACATGAGTTTACTAGAAAATGACAAAAATATACACGAAAAGCACAAGTGGTTTAGGGAGAGAACATTTCTGTTCATGTAAACTGCTCAATATTTTCTATCAGGATTAAATTCAAAAGATCAAACAACATGTCTGCTGCATTACCATCACTACATTATCCTAGAACCAAATCTGTGCTAAAAAAGAAACAAATCTGCATTCCTTAAACTTTTTCATAGCATTAAGGAGCTTTGGAGGATTAGATTATGGATTGGGCCATAATCCAGACGAGCAGAGCACAGTCTATGCGGCACAGCCCTTTCAGTAACCTCGCACTGTGAAATCTGATCATTCTTTATTGATCTCCTAAAAGCAGCACATGTTTACAGGTCTCCAAAGATGACGCCTGCTCCAGAAGCATCTACTCAGAGTGGTAAACAAGATGAACATTTTATCAACAACTGATTGTGAACAGTCGCCATGTTTATTTTTAAAGATTTCATTAGAGAGATTATTTAAAATCTTCCACAGATTCTTGTAGATAAGGCTCTGTGCATTCAGCACCATATGAAATTCATCATAGGCCAATGAAGCAGGGGGATTTTTGGGCATGCCAACAAGCAGTTCTATACTATTACCAGATTGATACTGGAAACTCAGATGTCACTTATTTTCTGTTTCTTCCTCTCACACTAGGAGTGTTAATAGGGCAGTAATTGAGTGTCATTAGCACCCCACGGGTAGCTGGGAATAAATAAGAGTAAAGATGTGAATTACATGGTGGGGTGAGATCCAAATTGAGACCCATTAGGAAAGCCATTTATCCACAAGAGTATCTATGAGAAAGTATTTATTTATTGCTTTTAACTAAATCCCGCAAATATCAATGTAGAAGTTATCAATATTTTATTAACAACCTGTTTCACAAACTGTTTATGAAGGATGAAAGAAGGGACTGACCTTTGGGTGATAGTGAGGTTCTGGAGAAGTTTAAATGCTTGAGCCCGATACGAAGTTTGGCAAACTGAGCACCCAGTGAGGAGACACCTGCATCAAGAGGTCAGAAACAGACATGAGAAGTTATTTTCCCTCTTTTCCATCCTTATGCTTGCACTTTTTCAACAAATGTGATGATAAAGACTATTACTTATAAAAACCCAAGATGTTCACTAAGAGCTTGACAGTTTCTGCTCGACAATGGGACAGAGTTAGAGTCTACCTTTATTAAAAAGAAACTGCACATTACACCAAACACTACACATTCATAAAAAAGCTCTACTCACAGTAAAAACAGACTTTATCACAAGCAATTTTCAAAGATAACAATGTGGCGTAAACTGGCTCAGTGTGTATCAGCCTAAAAAAATCATACAGCTCATAATCAATAAAATTGGTACTCTCTTGTGTATTATCCCCTTTAAAAAGGGTAAATTTAACAGAATCCTGTCATAAATTTTACAAAAGAACAAATTACAGCAAGACTACTGAGTCCCAGTAATCTGCTTTACATTTTACATGTGACTTCCTGAATACTTGGTGGAATGTATCTTTAATTCATGTGTCCTGGATAGACTGATAAGCCTTAGGATAGAGAGGATGAAATATTGAAACTGTTGTCCTCACTGCACAGGGACAAGTGAGCCTAAAAAAGTCAATGCTCTTTTGATTTATGTATCTGTAACAGGCAGCAGTATATACGGTACACAAAGCATAAATGTTGCAGATTCAAGAGACCTGACTGCTAAATGACTATTTATTGTCTAGTGTATTTACTGTTTTACTTTGACAGGAGGGCTACCTTTCACACCTGACGGAGAAAAGCAGACAGTAGGTCAGTGATCATTTCAGATTAGGTTAGATTAGTTTGGCATTAGTTACCTCTGTCCTCCAGTGGGTTGTTGGCAAGATTAATGGTGGTGAGTCCTGAGCTAGGGTTATTGCCCAGGGCAGCTGCTAGCTTCTGGGCGAAATCACTGCAGAGAATAAAAAGAGTGTATATTTATTATGTGCATATAAACAACATTCACTTATTATACTTATGAAAATCAACTTTATCACTGATTTCTTAGAGAGAATTTGAGTGTTTTGTCAATATGTTTATTATCAAAAAGATAAGAGACATTTGGTCGGCACATAAAACAGTTTTAAATCAAATGTTTTTTCCAACACATGCTTGGTACAGAAAACTAGACTAGACCAAGTCCCGGAGTTTATGCTGAATTAGCAATGGTTTGTAGTCTTTTACAAATGATAATGATAAAGCAAATTGATCTTAAAGGCATGGTCGACGGTTGGAGAGATTGGTAATTATTATGAACCTTGTTTATATAGCGATCATGGTCCTATAGTGCGATCTCCACAAAGTAAAGAAAAAAAAATGGAAAAAATTCTGTTCACCCTAGCAGGTGCAGGGCTGCAAAAACATTGACCAATGGGAGCCATCCGTCCCGGACAGCTCCTATTGGTCAATCTCCTGCTCCACCTTTCCATCCAATCATCTCGCTGTATTCGACACACCCATCACCGTAGTTGCGACTCGTCCCCTCCCACTCTCCCTGCTCTCCTCTGAGCTCTGAGCGGCTAAAAGTAGCGTAGCAGCTTATCTACAGGAGCTGTGATGGAGATGGACACAAAAAAAACACTTCTGCTTGCACCACCGCCAAAGGTGCTAAGAAAACACAAGCTGACAGAAGAAAGGACAGAAACGAAGTGGAAATGTGACCAGGTGAGGAATCTAACTGGAATAAACATCAGGTCATCCTTTGAGTGGTGGAGAAAGCTCCGCCAGGATTTTGGCCTAAAGGCAGATGCTGAGACAGCAGAGTTTTTGTTGAACAGGTAATTTTTGCCTTTTATAGGGGCACATGTTACATAAATAACTCTAATTAGTCTCAGCAATGTCAACACAGTAGCTGTCCAGGCAGCTGCAGAGCTGGCGTTTACTGCCGCTAGTCACTAGCAACCCGACATGGTGAATCCTATTTGATTTTGGGGCACAAATCTGACATCTTTAAAAGTCGCGAGCTTTACTGTAACTCCTCGGTTTGGGGCGCTGGTGGACCGTATAAAGAGACTGAAGTCCTCCTGGCGGCGGTTGCTCATTTGACTCCTGACCACGACTCTGTGCTGCTATGAGGGTCACGCAAAAAGCAACAACAAAGCCAAGCTCAACAGCTGCAGGTACAACAGCGCCCCCTCTGGTGTCGTGTTGCCTAAGTGTAAACATTTATTAAAGTTGAGTACCTGACACGATCAGCGGCCTGTTTGATTTTAATTAGTCTGTATTTATGCTCCTTTAGGCTTATGTAATAGATATTAGTTTTATGGCTGCAGCTGAACAAAAGTAATATGAGCTTCAGATCTGATTAAACACACGTTTGTTCTTCTCTGTTCAGAGGCTGGATCCACTTCTCCAAAAGTTGTAACATGCTGCAAAAACTCAAATCTTAGTGAATTTAAAAATTCAATTTATGACGCATAAGACTTTGTTTAAGACAAGTTCAGATATAAATCTTATTTCAAGACATTAGGTGCAAAAATTTAAGTCTGCTAGCGTAGGATCTTCTTCCGGGCGGCTTCTTGTTCTGCCAGAGGGGGCGTGTCATGTGTCGTGGGGAGGTCCATATAGGTTCGGGGGGGGGGGGGGGGGGGTTGTATCATGGAGCACAAAGGGGAGAGGTTTGTTTGTGGGGGTGGGACAGTTTTTTCAAATCTGCCTCAATGGCTCAGTTTTTTCCAACTGCTTCTCAGATCGTCAACCATGCCTTTAACATACCGTGCATGGAGAGTAACCTCCCTAAGAGATTGCTTTACTCACGTTTTGAGTCCTGCATTGTCCAGAACCAATTCTTCAAGACGGCTGGATCGAGATACTACTCGATAGATCTGCTCACAAACATCTGCAGACTGAAGAAAACAACACTTAAACTCAACACAGATAAATAAAAAATAAAAAAATGTTATAGCTAATGTTGCAGAAAATAACATTAAAGCAAGACAACAAAGGTAACACCTCTCCAAAATGATGATGGTAGGCTTGATTATGAAGGTGTTACAAATCTCACAGCATAACAGGAGCTCACTGATCCTTTAATCGAATGATGAAAAAAAATACACTAATTAACTGAACCAGCTCCAAGGCTTCAAATGCGCCTTTATCTGGAATAGCAAAGCTTTGAGCGAGACATTCACAGAAGTAACACAGAAAATTTCCTTTTAGGACATAATTCCCTCAAGTGTTCAGCACTGAAATCATTTTGAAAAGCTGTTCATTTATGCTAATTAAAGCTGCCACAGTAAATGTACAGCAAAAAAAAAAAAAAAAAAAAAAAGCCAGCAGAGGAATTCTGTCTGTCCCTCTTAAAGACTATTTGTGCGTGACAAGGAGAGAGCGGGGACAGCAGCAGATTTGAGACACTTCAGAGGAAGAAAGTTGTCTCGCTTCTGTGGTCTTGAACACCACATGAGACAGAGTCAGGGGAGGAAAAGCTCTCATATTTAGAGGAAATTAAAAATTCAGCAGCTTGATGTCTATGCTCTACCTAGATGTTCACTGACCCATTTCAGTGTCACACTCAATCGTGTCCTCTTCGGCTTTATACAGACATTTCAACACCAATTAGCTGCACTGCTTCATAACACAAACATTTTTCACCCTCATTACAAAACTTTGCTGTACTATTGTTTTTTTGTTATTCTTACTAATTGACATTCCTGTTTCTATCAGCCAGCAGCCTCAGAGTGGCCAAAACAGAGGCGACATTGTCCCAAACTGTTATCTACAGTGAGGGCGAGAGAGAGAGAGAGAGAGAGAGAGAGATTGGTGAAAAAGAGAAGAAAGAGTCTGTTGTTCACATGTTTACTCTGTGTAACTGTGAGTATTAGACATGGGACAAGAAAGATGGAGGGCAGCGAGGGATGACACATAATACAGAAAAAGCAGATATGAGGGTAGTGAGGGATGAAATAGAGGAAAAGAGGAGTGAGCAGAGTCGCATAGAGCAAGAGAGAGAGAGAGATAGTGTGAAAGAGAGAGGACTGGAGGGCACAAAGAAGCCTGTATTTTCCACCAGAGTCACAATAAAGCTGTTGGTGACAGCACAGGGACACTGTCAGCATGTGCTCTGCACCATTTACAACTCATTAAATAAGAGCTTTGTCATGCTGTGCAGTTGTGACCCAGCGTCCAGCTAAAATTTAACAAACAAACATGCACATGCTGTGTGATCATGGGGTAAATAGAAGGGCGATCCTCTTATCACTGCTCTCATTCCTTATTTTCAGCTCAGCATCTCGATTAGACTTCAAAACAACCAGCCTGACTGAACAGAGCAGCATCATCACTCACTGTGATGGCCGCCTGCATGTGTCTGTGTGTGTGTGTGACAGTATTTGTGTGTTATTATCCAGTCCACTACACTGAGAGATTTCTTCCTCCACTTTTATGGAGCCTAAGGCCAGTGCATTTAATGTTCCCTGCTGATTTTTTTCTCTTTCTGCTTCATGGTCCAGGACACATCATTTCGATATTTGTAATGCAACTGTGCTCAGTTTCACATTTACCGCAATAAAGGCTGACAGGCAGTTTCTGTCCTTGAGTTGAACTTTTGCATGTCAATAGATTTGGCAGCAACATCATCCTGGAAATGTTTTGTTCCTCTTTCTTTGGCTTGATAGTTTTAAATCCGATCTCTATTTCCTGATAGTTTGACTCATTTCCTATCTCATCTGGCATCTCTCTCTTTAACTCTGTCCGATGACCTCTTCACAGACCTTTATGTTTCTGTCCCACCGCTCCATTCGGTTTCATCACTTTCTCTTTCACCCTCTATTTCCTGCTTATTCTTCCATTTGTTTCCACTGGCACTCGATCAAAAACAACTGAGAAATCACACTCCAGAGCACATCCTTGCAACCAAAATTTTTCCAGTCTCTCCTTTATCAACTTGTGGGGAAGGAAGGAAAAAAGCAAAAAAAAAAAAAAGTGAAATAAAATAAGGCACCTAAGATTGAAACCTCCCAGGCAATGCCCAAAGGAGTTTTTGTTCCACTAAACAGTTTGCAGCTTTACAAAAACAACATGACCACAGCCAAAAGCAAACAGTGTCTTACATGACCCAAAAAGAAACAAACACACTTTGACTAAAAAAGCTAAAACCTTTATAACACTAAACCCTTATGGTCCATTCAAACACACTCCGATGTGTGACTAAAAGGACACACATTAGACACAAGGTGCACATGAGCCCCCTTGAATATTTCTGCTTGAGTATGCACACAGCTCGATGACAAAGAGTATCCTAGAATTCAATACAAAAGGAATTGTCTGTGACAGAGGTGTAAGATAATTGTTTAGACCGAGGAAACTGCGTGTGGTAATTGGTGAGACTGGGCCAAGCCTTGAGAAGGAGAGTTAGTGATGGAGTGCAGCAGGGGGGCAACAGCCTGAGACATTGAGCCTCTTTGTCTGGTTAGGATTAAGAGTCTTATCACACGTGAACACCGGACTGATCCTCCGTCAACAGACAGGAGGGGGGGAGTCAAGGAAACAAAAGGGGGAAAACTCTGTACAGGCAGATTCATACAGCTTTACACACAGAGGTAAGTAGAGTCTGAGACAATTTACTGTATGAGTGCAGAAAAAACGGGGTGTGCAGTATGTTATAAATACTCTACACTAAATGAGGAGTGACAAAAATAAGTGGGATAAAACTTTTAATATGTTTATCAGCCTCTTGTTGCAGCAATTGCATCACTCCAAGTTAATAAATATTCACACCATCTCATTTATCAGTGCTTAACCAGGGCGGCCAAGTTTCAGAAAGTGACAAGAGTGAGACTTTAGTGTTATGATGTGTTTGGCTGCGCAGCGAGAATGTTTTGCCTTTTTTAACGTCGATTTATACCTTAAGACTGATGTCCTCCCCTCCATGCCAGCTGCTCTCCCTAAGGCTAGTCTTAATTAACTAGAAATTAAAAAATGAAAATTGTAACAAGAATTTTGACAAAACACATTTGTCAATATTGCATTACGTTGAGTGGGTTTTAAATGTCAGCGCTGTTGTGTGTGAAAGATAGAGACGCCAAAGCCCAAAAAAAACTCAAGATGGCTACATCTACGAAAGATATTTTAGTGCTTTCCTTGTCCGCATATAAGGCAAGCACTAAAGTAACTTTCATAGACGTAGCCATCTTGTTTCAGGCCTCCAATATTGCTTTTTTTCCGACTTGGTAACTGAAATGCTGGGAACTCGGGTGTGACGTCATTTTCAGCTCCAACACCAGACTTCCGAGATGACTCGAACACAGCATTTGGCACAAAGGACTGATGAACTGGTCTGAGATTGGTTATCTTGGTCAGTCAATCAGAGTTACCTGGACTACAGCAAGCCAAGTTTATTATCATGAAAAAAATAAATACAGAGTATTGAATAGGGAAAAATAAGTGGGAGAAATGTCAAGTGTGACGTGTGGTGTGAGAATGGGTCAAATTGCGTGACTGTCACACTCAAAGCATGACGCTTGGCAGCTCTGGCTTAATGGAGACATGCATTTCAGACTTTTGCTGTCAGGTTTTCAAAACAAATTTGAATCATGAAAGTGGTAGAGCTTTCAGCAAATGCTTGCATGTGAAGAGGCCTTTTCCTACTTATTATAGAGAGGGGCTGCCGTATCAGCACGTTATACCACCTCAGGCCCTCATAGGTATTACCAGGTGTTCTTATCCATTCATTAATTCATTGCTAGAGGAAACAATTCGTCCTTTTTTAAATTCACTAGTGGCATTGTAAAGGTAATTTAATGACTAAGTTTGTTTAGTAAAACATACTGACAGATAATAAACTGAGTCTTAAATGTCCAGGGGAAGGACCCAAAATTCTATTTCTAACAATTTTGCTTTTAGCTGTAAACTAATATCGACTGTATGTTGTATTAGATTGAGTTTTTACACATTATCATTATATAGAAAAGTTTCAAATATGAGATTGTCTGTCTACAATATTGTTGTTGTTCGTTAAAAGTCACTGGCTGAGCAATATGCAGGTGTGTGCCCCCAGCAAGGAAGGTATTACCCAGGCCCATTTTGAGCCAGATTAGCGTGATTAGTATTCAAGACTAAATTGATGAATATTTTGAGCCTTGAGCAAAACTCTGCACCTGCTCAAGCACTCCTGTGTAGTAACGGTCGGACAGAGCAGCTAGCACGGCTACAGACGAGACTCAGAGATTCTCCTTGTTTCCTGCCACATCAGCTGTTGTCTCTGGCAGCCCTAGTTGTCACTTGAGATATTGTATTTCAAAGATGGGTGGACAAAGAGATATAACCTTGTGTCAGATCTAACTCAACTTTTTTTAAGCAAATATTCTGAGAGACAAAGCAGAAACCGCAGCACTGCTGTTGTCGTGGTACCATAAGGAAGTGAGAGGTAGGACCTTTATAAAAACCACAGGAACCATACATGACAGTATCCATGTATCCTATCTACTGTACATCCCACAAAGTTATCTCCTGCAAAATTTAACTGGATAAAACTAATATACAAACATTATAGGCTGGGATATTTTACTATTTCAGAGCATGGATGAGTCAAGAAAGGGACCACTAGCATGCAAAATTAAAGAGATAAATAAAGTTACTGCTTCTGTAGTAAACTATTGAAAGTACTGTCACAGTACTTTTAAATCACACTGCATTAGTTTGGTGTACCCAATAAACTGGCAGCTTCACTGAAAACAGAGGTGGCTGAAGAAAATATGTACACAAAAGTGAGGAGCTCAGATCACAGAAAATTTACTCTTTTTACCCTGAAATTCAAAACTAAGACATCATCGGTGAATAACCAAAAACCTGAGAGTTATGATCCTCAGTGGCTACCTGCCAGGACACGACAATGACTGTGTTTGAAAAAAGGGAGTACTGACCAGTTTATAGTCCTTGGTGGAAAGCTTGGTGAACCACTGATTAAACTCCAGGACTGCTATTATAGCCACAAGATCCCTGAGGAGGAGTAGGTAGAGAGGAGAGAAAAGGTCGTAGCTGTAACAGTACAGTATATTTTCTTTGTCTGCACCACCCAAAAGTTTGCACAGATTTTACAAATTTTTCACATCACACCTCCAAAACCTCTTTCATCTTTTATTTCTGTGTTTTTCCTGTTCAAATGAAGTTTTCAAACACATGAGCTCATCTGTTTGCAACTGTTCACCTGTTTTCCAGATGGCTGAAGTCCTGGAGGTTTAGTTCTCTGCTGTCTTGTGTTAGATAGATGGTGTCCACATCCTGGAAAGTAGATAATTATTTAAAGGAAGTCCCAACAAACTGTCCAAATGAAAAAATATTTGCCGGATCTTGATTAGTCATATAAAAACAAATATTTCCACAGAGTAAATAAAAACAAACAAACAGCTACAAGAGAGAGTCAAGAAACTGGATTTTTTTCAAATACAAAGATATCAGCAAACCGGTGCTACTTTCTTGTCCTTTAAAGGCTTTTCAATTCGTCAAAGGGCCTAGAGCTAAGCTAGGATAAGTCAGTGGTGAATAAAAGAGAGTAAGTAACACTGACCCACTGCACTTCTTCCCTGTATGGCAGACCCAACCAGTCACAAACACACCTGTACATCTGAGAAAACCCACCTACACAAAGAGAGAGAGAGAGAGTGGGACAGAGAGAATGATGTGACAAAACTACAAGTTCAAGAAAAATCAAACCCACAGTTGGGTCAACTGATGGTACAAAGAAGAGCTGGGCTTATAATCAAGTCAGTGATTCATACCACAGGGTCCAGGTTCAGCCGGCTTGTTGTTCTCCCACAGAGTCTGCAGAGAGGTCAGCCTGTCCGGGGGCTCCATGCAGAACTTTTTTACCACTTTGCTAAAAAATAAAAAGGATTTTAGTCACATTAACAAAAGGGTGGTAGCTTTTTAATCATTGAAAAAAAAGATGCCTTGTCAGGCTACTTTCTTCCTTCCTGACTTGGCTGCAGACATTCCTGAACAGGAAGATGCTGAGCAGCTAATCTTTACTGAATAACAGAGTTAATGTGTAACATAAAAACAAAACCGGAGGAGCTCAAGAAATAAAAATAGCAGCCACTCTGTAGAATGGAAAACTGCTCTGATTGTGAAATGAGTCTTTAAACCTTTATGGTTTTACATCTGTGATCATTTCTGCATTCATATTCATACTGCCTGTTCCCAACAAAAAAACGTATCCAATGAGATTCACTTCTGCATAAATATAGATATCTATAAATCCATGAGACAGTGTTGTTACTATCAGTTTTTGTAAAGATGATTCTTCAATAATTTAAAGAGCAGTTTGATGCTGCAACACACACACACACACAGCTTAAACTCACTTTGGAAGTAGACCAGGACATATCCTCAGCAGACAGTTTCCTATGTGAGCGACCACCTCGTTGACCTCTTCTGTCGAGAGCAGCTTCAGAGAGAAGGAGCCCCGCTCATACTCAATGATCAACTAAAAGAACAAATCAACAATTAGTGGTCCGTGATGGCACACTGTTACACCTTAATCTGTTACGATCACATTTTCACTTCTTCAGATAAAAAGCTTTAGACAAGATTTTCTTTATACTTCCTTTTCTGGCTCATCCTGGTATGAAACATTTTTAGTACTAGACCGTTTCAGTTTTCTTCCCGTTATTTCTTAAACGCATATTCACTTGAAGAAAGACTTTAAGAAATGCATCCACTCAACCACATCTTCAACTCACATCCTCATGTTAGGTTTAACGCAAGATTTAATGACATTTACCAAGACTGGCTATCCATCTCAGTCTTAACTGCAATTATGCAAATGCTGACGTACAGCAGTCTGTGCCCCTCTATAGGCCAAAATTTACATAATCCCAACTGATGCTTATGAAACACTGGAGACCATCAGGAAGGATATTAAGACGACAGACATCTCTTGAGATGAGTAGGAGAGAGGTTCAGCTGCAGGACGTGTGTGGTTAGTGAAGGATTATCATATTTTGTAGGTAAAGCCTGCTGTCTGACAGCGAGCCAGCGCTGGTCGAGGAGCCAAACTGAAGCTCTTCCCAGCTGGGACACATCCCCCCAGAGGAATCCCTGCCAGGTCAAGACCTGTTTTTGGTGTCACATGCAGTACTTATAAGTATTTCAAACATTTTCTTTGCCATCTTGTAAATTTGTTCCCCCCTCCCAGACAGGATGTGTAATGATTAGAGACACGGTCCTGTAAGTTGGGTCAAGTTCTTAAATCAGCAGACAGTGTCCCAAGAACAGAAAATTAAGTCTGAGCTTTGTGCCCCTGTTGAGCTGTTTTTCCTGTACTACATATACAACACATGCAGCTTTCTGTCATACAGAGCATATGAGCTGAATGAGCTGGATGTAGCACATGTGATGTCCTAGCATCTTTGACAGAAATCCCTGCTCTATCTGTGGCTACAACAAATGAACTGTGATCTAAGGAACCAAGACTGAAAGACAAGTCTTCTTTTTCTTTAAAGCTATCAAAGCCAACAGATTTTACTCTCTACGCTGTTAATGAATCTGTTTCATGTTTCTCTTCTGGGACTTTCTTTTCAATGATGTACTGTTGTAAGCTTCGCATTTTTCTTTATGTGGCTGTTGTGTTCTTGTAAATAAATTCAATGCCAAGAATAAAACTTCAAGGAAATGCAAATCCAAACACACTTTTAATTTGGTAAGAGTATTCACACGTTCACTATGGTGTCTATGTGGAGCTGGAGCTAGCGGTTGGCTGTGCATAAGGGAACCAGCCAAAAGAACCAGCTTATCCAGGCGTATGCATGGCTTGGCTTGAGCTCCATACTAAGAATAACATCAAGAGAGGGGTATCATTTTTTTTTCTTAGTATCAACAATATCACATGTAAGCGTATTCTCCAAATGTTATGTCTCAAATGTTATGACAGACTTGGTTACGTTCAGTGTCAGTGTGGTACCTGTGTAGGCTTGTTACAGGAAATTCCCTGGATCTCCAGATAGTTAAAGGAGTGTTCCACCTAAAAAAAAGGAGGAGAAACATAGCCGTTTAAATACTTACACTGTTTCATACATAATGAAAGTATGGTCTCATACAGTTATGTCCCTTAAAGCCAAAGAGGGACAGCAAAAGACATTGAAAGATACATAAGAGGACAGTTCCTGGATGTAAACTCTGATTTGATTACCTATTTTGGGGGAAAGTCAGAAAACACACACACCTTTAGTAAAATCATACACTACAGTTGGGAAAAATTCACATTCGGTAATTTCAGTATAACTTTTTTTAATTAAAAGTGGGTGTTAGTATTTGAATAAACAAATGAGCAACCGTCGTCTTGCTCCAGTGCTTAAGTGAAAGTAACACAGTTTATCACTATATTTGAGAGATAATCCTGTCTGATGAAATCACAACATTCCAGCACAGTGACTGTCTGTCTGAGGAATACCGAGAGAAAATATGACTGTTTTATAATTAATAGGTGGAGATCCAGACATTTCTTTTTATTCTTAGCTCCTGAGCAGAGTACGTCATTGCTCACCCACACACTGACGTGTACTTTTTAGAGCAGCACTTTAAGGTTTAGATAAGTCTGAGGATTGTTGAGTTGAGTAAACTCTTTCATCCCAACAAAGTCAACCACCAGACAAAATTTATCCTACCATGATAATTAGTAGTACATAGCATTAAAAGTGAAGTGAATGAGGCCTGATCCATAATTTTCTATTAACATCCATAACACAGATATTCAAAAACAAGCTAAAAGTAGCCACAAAGAGTCTATGTCTAAATGTTCCTTTTCTTTTTAAAGAGATCATTTCAGGACAAAGAAAGGCAGCAGTCTGCTCCTCTGTACCTTAAATGGACAGAAATACCATAGCTGTGAATATAAATGCCCACTACACTATACTGTGCACACAAATTTGCCTGCACACCATCTCAATATGTCTCTTTCTTCTTCCTTTCTCTCCCACACAAAAACACAGACAAATAGCACAGCCTCAGGGTAGGCCAGGGAGCGAGGCCAGACTATTCCAGGTGGGCACGGTGTTCCTGAGGCTTGGCTCGGAGATGAGAGGAGGAAAAGGAAAAACAGACTGTCTGTGAGCTGTCTGACTGCCTCGGCCTGTGGTTATTTCACTCATGTTGAGTCTAGGAGCTAAAAATGATATCACAACAAATCCAAGATTATTTTTTTCTATTTATAATACAGAGTAAACACACACACATACACAGGGAGAAAAAGGGAAATTACTTTGCAGATAGGTCTCCAGATCGGCAACAGACAGAATTAGCTACCAGTAAGTGGACTTTCTATTCATGTTGTTATAACAGACAAACTAACTCGTAAAAAAAATGAGGAACAGAGAATAATAAAGAAAAAACTTTACCGTCTTAAACAATGAAACCTTTTCCTCATGTTACACTTCCAGGGATTAAAGCTGTTATAGCCGTATTTTTATCCATCTCTGATTTGATGGTCCCTTCAGTAACGTTACAAATGAACATTGAGGTTTTCTCATTTTTCACTGCATCTGATGATATTTGATTCTAAGCTACAAAGGCTATGTATAACGAAGAATGGACCAACCTGACCCAGGTATTTGGTGTTAGTAAAATTCTGGCCTCATAATGTCAGATCATGTGGTAAAAGGCCAATCCAAAAGGAAGATGTATTCAACTCAGTTCAATGCTATTCTTTTTCCTGTGTCATCAGCATGTCATTGGATCAGTGAGCTGATATAGAGTGGAGGGAGCTAGTTACAGAGGCTCGGCAGCTATGAAGTATTACATACTTGTTTCTCCAACAGCTCTGACAGCAACTTGCAATATGTGAAAAGCTCATGTTTGGAGGGATAGTTGTAACATAGCAAAATAAAAAAACAAAGCCACAAAAAGTAGCTATGATTGTTAGCTGTGTTGCAAAGATGTAAAATTGCTGTGGATGAGAAACATAAAAATCTTTGAATTGAAGGATTGCTTACCCAAGTCACCTTAAGGACAAAGTGATAAATATGCAATTCCAACTCAAACTTACTAAAATCATACAGAATGTAATGATATCTTAAAATTGTATTGCAGATCACTATGAATTTTGAGTGAAAAGGAATCTACTTTATGTAACAGAACCAGTACCCTCACTGTCTGCTAGGGCTGGGCGACAAACAAAAATTTACCGATACCAAAATTTGCGACAATAATCGACGTCAGTTTCGGTGGACTTTGTATTCATGTTTTTATAACAGACAAGCTAACTCGTTAAAAAACTGAGCAACAGAGGAAAGCTTTACCGTCTTAAAGTATTTTCCTCATGTTACACTCTCAGGGATTAAAGCTATTATAGCCATATTTTTATTCAACAAAACCATTGTTTAACAATCTCTGATTTGTTGGTCCCTTCAGTTGCGTTATAAGTGAACATTGAGATTTTCTCGTTTTTCACTGCATCTGATGATATTTGATTCTAAGCTAAAAAGGCTATGTATAACGAAGAATGGACCAACCTGACCCAGGTATTGGGTGTTAGTAAAATTCGGGCCTCATAACGTCAGATCAGATAATAACATCAGATAATCAACGTCAGTTTGCCCATGACAATATATTCAGTGTCAAAATAAATAAATAAATAAAAGTTGGTTTTGGATGTGTGTAGGTAGGCTATGATCTCATGTCCCTTTAAGACGCTGACCTACATCAGAGACTTGACTCCACCCCATCCAGTCCGTAACAAAGAGGGAAAGACAGGTGAGGAGATGGAGGACGGTTCAAAAGTAGTAGCAGCTGGAGCGGCGACTGAAGTAAACAAAGTTAACGTAGGAGGGGTGAGCAGCTTGTGGACTAGTTACCATCCATTTATCAATACATCGTGATATTAATTTGAGGCCGTATCGCCCAGCCCTACCATCTTTCATCGAAAAGTTGCTCATTGTAGGAAAGTCAAAATTACACATACACATAAGACAAGCTGCATTACTTACTGCATTGAGTTGTGCTTTGCAAACTTTCTACCTTGTGCAGTAAAAACAGTCTAACTGAACCTGGATTGGGTCAATGAGTTAATTTCATTACACAGCCAAGAAATTAGCAGAGCCAATTAAAAGCATGGTAGTAGGCTGAATTAAGTGCCAGACAATGCCAGGAGTGCCAAACCTTAGCCAATGGCAAGACGTCATGCTGGGAGAAGCCAAATGTGTCATTTACACATATGTTCATTTTTACTGTCTGTCACTCTTACCTTTCTCCTTCCTTTTTTCTTTTTGCGAATGACTATTGAGTGCTAAACATATATATATGTGTGTTAATGCTAAGAAATACTCAACATACAGCGATTGTTTTTAACTGTAAGTATCAGAATATAATTGGATGTTGCAGTGGTCACTGATTTGACTACAGCCTCATCCATTTGCTGCATTTCTACCTCTGCTCTCTGCTACCCAAGCTTTCTACTTCTCTTCAGCTTCCCTACTAAATAAAAACCCCAAAATATGAAAAAAATTGCTTAGGATGATGTATTTCTTTTATTCTCTTTAAGACACAAAACAAAGAGAGAGAAAGAAAAAGGATGCCCGGGAAAGCAAAACAAACAAACATGAGAGACATCAGAGAAAATTTTGACAAAGAAGCACTAAAGAATGAGCAGTGAATGAAAGAGTGTATGCGTGTGTGTTTGTGAGCATGTGTGAGAGCAGACACTGACAGACTGTAGGGCCCTGCAGGTTCTCGAGAGGAGCCAAACTATCAATCTGAGAGACACACACAAGAAATCCCACTGAGAGGTGTTGTGGAGAGCTAGAGGGGGATTTCAACTACAGCTGAGGAAGAGAGAAATACATAGAGAAGCGTTTAACCACGAGGTTTACTGCTACTGCAACACAGTTTTAAAATATTAAGGCCTTTGGCATCCCTGAAAATAGAATAACTGTCTATATTTCCACCCACAAATTGATCCCTTGTGTATTATAGATGCATTTCTGTGATTCCAGACATAGATGAATCTAACTTTTGATGGATCAAAAACAACATCTTCAATATATTCAGAAGCCCTAGAAGCATACATAAGCGCTCTTCCTGTCTTTGCTTTTACTCAGATCCCGGGGAAAGCAGAAATCTGACTCTACAAAGGATGTTTAAAGTCAATAACTTCTGTCCTGGATCAGTGAACATGGGCTTATCTTCATTTGCAGTTGAGTCATCTCTGCTGCTTTATGGATTTCACATCAAAAAAATCAATATGATGATAACCATCAGTCCTCTTTGTGTGTATGTTGGAAAGCTTCATCTTGTTACTGAAATAACACGGAACAAGATTTCCCTGTGAACTTGCAACATTAGTGCTGACATTATGGATTACTAAAGACAAAACAATGACAAACATCAGAGTCATTTAGAGTTTGCAAATGTGTCCCTTTTTGAATTATTTGACTTCTTGTCTAAATCTAAGAAAATCATGTGAAATGATCTGGATTGTTCTTCTAAAACTTTTAAAGTAATAAAGATAAAATTGCAAGTATTCAATAAATGAAACTCATTTATTGGGATTAGATTTTTTTTTTTTATTTGTCAAGCCTCCACAAAAACAAGCTACTGAATCTTTATTTATTTTTTTTTTTTACAAAAATTGTATGGTTAAAAAATGCCTGAATGGGGCTTTTTTTTCAGTTAAAAAAACAATTACTTTGACGGTAAAGAAGGAGATAAAATTGGATTCAGGACACTGTCAGACTCACTGCTGACCTTTGGCACAGTGAGTGGGGGAGGACAACAGATAAATAAAGGGATAAAGACAGGACAGAGTAATCCAGATTGTTAAAAAGAAGGGGAGGATGAGGGTGAGAAAGCTGAACAAGTGGCTTAAAGGAAGGAGGAGAGAAGACCTAAGGTGATCTGCCGCTGTTAACAGGCTTAGCAGAAACAGACGCGAAGAGATGAGCAATCCTTCTCATCGCAACACGAAGACGAGCGCAAACGGGAACTTTCAGGTATATCACCTCATGTATAAAATAATGACAATTCTGTTTCCTGAAAACAATTCAGAAGATGTCCTACTCTTTGGCTTTTGTAAAGATAAAACCACAGTGTACAGTGTTCGAAAGAGCAGTATCTAGACACTTATATTAGGAGGGGTTATTTTTTTTTTTATAAAGCAGGTGTCTAATCCATCCAGGTCAAAGGAAGGAGAGCAGATAGAAAACAGAGTCAGAGCGAGATAAATACATAGATCCTAAACACTGGAAACAAATGATGTCATGTGAACAGGGTCAGCTTGAATGTTCTTTATAGCCTTTTTTAACCCCCAGTGAACCAATAAATCACTTTTTAAACCACCAATCAATCACCTAAGCTGTCCCCTGAGGGGTCTTATTGACTGGAAAGCATACAGCAGTTTGAAGGGCAACTGAGTAGTCTTTTCCTGGCTCTAGTACAGGATATGATGTTATCTCAAGACTTGAGCGGGACACACGTCTTTTTTCAACAAAGAGGAGCAGTCCCTATAAACTACAGCTGTCTACATGTGAGCGAGATATTTAAGGTTTAGTGGCACTTCAACACTCAAATGAACTGTAAAAATAAAAGGTTTTACAGTTTGGCTAATAAAAATATTTAAAGCTGCAGGTAATCAATTAAACTGAACTCCAACTTCTGAATTCAGTCTGCCAAAGCCACATACTTTGTACTGTGTGTTTAAATAACTGCCTGTTTGCCTGCAGTGGCAGAGCTTTAGTTCAAATCAAATGGTATTCATATTCAGTTTTAAGATGGCTCTGCATGGTACTACTGCTATTTTAAGGGCCTTTGAATGTATTTCTAATGTTCTTTTAAGTGCACCGCCTTCTAACAGTAATCCAGTCTTATAACTCCTGAAAGTTTATCTGATAAATGAATCTGATGATGACATTGTTTTGCTGACTGATGTTTTCAAGGTCAACTACAAACTATCAAATTCCATCTAGAAGTGCATAAAATGCTCAATAAAAGTTTGACATATGAATTTTACATTTCCATGACTGCTTAACATTCATCTGAAGCTCCAGTTTTTCTATCAAAAGCTTGAACATTGCCACAGGATGGTAAAGAAGAAGAGACTATTTCATTAACTGCAGTTTCAAAATACAGAAAAGTAGCCTAGAAACTTTTGAAACACAAATGTTTTTACAACCTTCTAAATTTACATCCATTTGTTCAACTTCAGGGTGTTAGTGTGCTTTGACCTGCAATGGGCAAGAAGTTTATTCATCCATACATCCAAAAAACAAGAGTTGTGACTTCTATTCATTGTAAGCCTGTTTTTTCACGGTTTGCAGGCCAGATCTGGCCAATTTTCCACAATACAGAGACTTAGGCATGATTTAAAGTTTACTTCAGAGAGCAATAAGAGCTGAACTAATGCTGCTGGATATGTCAGTGAACATCTGCCTTATATCAAAGAACTGAGGTTTTTAATGTGGTGGTGACGATGACACTGGGAGAGATGATGACAGATGTTGTACTACCACTGATGGTGCTAACAGTAGCCATTTACACTGGATTACGGCTGTTTAACAGCTGTACAACCATAACTTAAATCAAAGTGATGTACTTTCTCAAACATTATAGTTGATGGTTAAATTTTATTTTTCAGATGCAGAGGAGATACAAAGCTATTCTAATTATTTTCTGTATGGCATAGATTTAGATGTAAAGAAAGGTTTGCTAATATCTGCTACTGTTTTTTTAATGCAGTATGCTGGTTTCCACTGTAGTTCCTGGGAAACAGTTTAGTTTCACTTGGTTGCTGCTCTTACCTTGGCAGGAATGCGTGCTGTCAAGAGGTAGGCTCGGTGAGACGCAAGGGCCTGAGAGAGAACAGAGAGAGCAGAGACAATAATGAGCATGTAGCTGTAAATATACTCTCTGTAGCTGTAACTACATGCTCTAAAAAGCAAGAACAGGGAAATAACAAAGAACACAGAGAGTTCCTGTGCTGACTCATCAACATGAAAAGGCTTGAAAAACTCTAAAGAATGGCAGTCAGTGTAAAGGAGAGGAATGACAAGATTCCTCTCTACCTGGAAACACATGAATATAAATTGAAATTCTCACTCTCATAATATTTCAGAGAGTGTCTTCACACAGCACAATTCACTTACATGTTTTTCAAAAAACCTGATACCTTTGCTTTTTATTGGTTTTTCTTCCGTCTGAGCGAGGGCAGCGTAAGTCAGTATGATTTTTTTGATTTCTTATATCTGTGGGTCGTCCTGCTGAACAAACAGGACACCAGCTGCTACTGTTTATTAGAGAACATGTGAGGAATCAGTTTGCCTCTGTTACTGCCCCATGAAGACAAATCTGGTTTTAAGGCAAGATACCAGGACTGCACAAACTCGACACTCCCACATCCAGACAAGCAGACTGAATGGGTCATTCGATTGCTTTGATAACTTGTTGCTTTGGCTGCCATTGACTGATATTTTAAGGTTTTATATAAAACTTTTTTTGATGAGAAGGTTTGATGATAAGTCTTTGCTGCATATATTCAACAACCCAACCTACTGTCTGTTGGGATCGTCAAGGGTGGGAACCATTGGCTTGGATACGATATGATATGATACGATACGATACGATACATGGTCTATATTAAACTACTCTAAAGTGATTCGGCCATCATTGATTGATTATAAGGTAATAAAATGAGGAAACAACATAATATCATATCATCTTAAAAAAATGCTAATAGTGAGGGCTGGATCAAAATTATCACTGCCACTTCAAGGAGTTATAAATCAGGCCATGAGTTAATTGGAATTACAATCTTTTCATACAAATGCATTGAACATAATTTCGAGCAATAAAAAATTGTGTCGTACAAGTTAGGCCGGTGCATTGCCAGACTCATTTTTGTCTCCTCCCCTTTCAACCAAAGAACTTGAGGCTGACAGCAAATGAACTGGAGGCCACACACCCGTTTATACAAGTCCAAAAAATTAACCACAGCCTGGTTTAAAAAACCTAGACTGATCTGAATAGCTCATCCATTAACATCGGTATAACAGAGTTTTTGTTTTTTTCATACTTCTTTACTTTCAAAGATATTAAGGTCAGAAGTTTTGAAGCATAAGAGGCACAGCTGACTTAAATGACTGGTGGACACCTTTTTCCACCATGAGTATGTTTGTAAGCTTGGTTGCTTACAAAGAAGAAATGTGTATAAATACTAGGAGCTCATTAAGGTCATGACATGGACACCTTGATAGGTATTTTCCTGATACTATGACTACATTTTAGATTATTTCATGGTGACCTGGACAGCGTGTTAGCAGCAGCTCCTACGTCAGTCATGATGACTTTACTGCACAGAGTGCTGCTTTGAAAACTCAAGGATGTTTTTATCTTTATGTACAATGACACTGGAATTTCTGTCCAACTCAACCAAAGCTGATTTTTGAAACAAATAAAGGGACACTGCCACAAACTCTCAGAACTCTCAGACCAGAACACCCTGTCTGAGGTTATTCAATGTGCCTTTATCACCAGCAAAGTGGACATCTCAAAACATGTGTAGCAAACCATGTGCTTTGTGTTGAATATCACTCTGTACTTGCATAAAACTGGAGTATCAGAGCAGTCAGAAAAGAACAACTTCATGGCTTGAAAGATAAGCAGCTCAAGCCTGCTGCTCTTAAATGTGGTGGAAAATAGCCTCAAAGGAAGTGAAATGCCAGCAGATAAGACAGGAGGCACAAAGATACAGTAAGGACTGGTAAATGGTTGCAGAGTAGCTGAACTATGCAAGTGTGTGAATGTATAAAAAGAAATGAGAAACAAAAGACAGATAAGATGGAAAAGAAAGATTGATCAGAAATGAGACAAAAAGGTTAGGGAACAAAATAAAAATGGTAATGAAGGGTAGAAAAGTGAGCTTATCAGTGAGCCAAAGATTAAAAAAAATTCTGGCATAGGTACAGAGAGGAAAACAAATACCTGAAGAGGTAGCATAAGGTGAAAATTAAATCCTTAAAAGTCTAAAAACTGTCACTTTCTACTTTTAAAAAAGGTGAGACTGAGAGCTGGTGGTGGAAAGGATGTCCTCTATGGCTCAGCTCCACAGGCAGCCTCTGTGTGGTTTGATATGATAGAGAAAGACAGCTCAGCCTGTGTGACCAAAGATAACCCCTCCTAAAGAGCACAAGTCTCCACTGCTGGACTCAACTCATCCTCTTTGTTTTTGTCTCATTTCTGTACAGCACTGTTGCTGTCCCTTACAGACTATGTTGAAGGTGTACCAGTGATGGTACATCTACTTTCATTATGACAGACATGTGCCTTTTTATTGAGTTGGAAATGGAAGTTTTATTACGAAATGTTTGACCTTCATTTTCATTTCCCATAATGTGCAAAGTAAGTACTGAGATCTGGTAGGAAGGAGCATAAAAAACAAAGTCAAACTAGGATGAATGAAACTAGATTTTAATGACTTTGGGATTGGTGTAAAAAAATAGTAAACTTAGCACTTTGTTTGGGGGTGAAATTCATAAATAAGCTTACCTCAAAATGGTTAGCCTCACTATAAAACACAAAAATGGATATGTAAACTACACACTGACTGACACTTGTACCCGTAAGTTGCCATCCATGTAAAAAAAAAAAAAACATGCTGACTTTACACATTAAATTCATTTGTTATTTAGTCCATGAAAACACATACAGCCTATAATGTCTTCAGAGGCTCTGGAGGGACTTTACAAGGCTTGAAAATAAACCCTATGATGGCAACAGGATATCAAAACATTTAGTGCACAGACTATTTTTAAAACGACTTTTAAAATTCCCCTGTGGTGCAATAACAAATTGCTGAGCTGGCCATAAAAAGCTTTATTTTCATTTGACGGGAAGAATCTTAACCTACTGGACTTTTAGATGCCAACGGTCCCATTTGAATTGTGCAAACCAAGCAGAAAAAAAAGTTTGTTTAGCATATGAAAGAAACTTTTACTGAAATTAAAGATATAGTTTTAAGCTGCATGACCAAAGAACCTTTTTCTACTTTTTGTTTGTTATAGTTGGTAGTAGTGGTGGGCAATATGGCCACAGAAATATATGGTGATCCAATAAAAACAGGGTTCTTAGCCCTGTAACAAAATTATTTGAATGTTAAACATTTTTCATAAGTCATTTGGACATTACATGTTCTTTTCATTGTAATTCTTATAATCTAAAGAACTGTTATCCTCCAAACATCCTAGTTTGGTTAGTATCTGTTTCAAATATCACCAATGTTTTCCGTGTATCCTGTGATTAATGGCTCACATTTGCACCTAAAGTTTCTTTAAGTTCAAAAATGTATTGATCTCTCACCATTTGTTATAATGATTAATATTATAATTAAGTTTTCAGAGCCATAACTGTGTTACAGGGCCATTTATTAAAAGGAGATTGAATAACCCATTTAAAATGCTATACTTTTATGTGTTGTATTTATTAAGTTTACTCTTCAAAACACTTGGTATTTATGTTGTAATTCTCCTCAAATCTACTTTCACTTCTTTAGTTTGTTAATTTAAATTTTTCTTGGCGGTTATTTATCCTGCCATTCTCTCCCTATCAGTGCATGACTGTCCTCTGCCCTCTCCCTGCGCTCTCTCCATCTGCCCTTTTGGTGGACAAATCCAGAACCCCCCTGTTCCATGACCTGCTCCCCCCTGTAACAGTCCTCCTACCCCTCTGTCTCTCCGTCTTCCTGTCCGTCTGTCCTTCTCTCTCTCTGTATTGAGAGAATTTAAAGCCCTGAGCTTTCCCCTCAGTCGGTGATTTCACACTGACCACCATCCCGCCTATAGCTTCACTCAGCCAACCAGATGGCAGCAGCATTGAAGCATGTCTACAAGACCAGAGAGAGCATCTGCTATTACTCTCTCCATATTACACACACACACACACACGTACAGCAGCACAAACGCACACACACGGGCAAGAAACTAGGCGTCTAGCATGCAACGTAACAACTGCCATGGGCTCTGAAGCACCATTTGTCCACTCAGCTTGCCACAAATCACACACACACAAACACACACACACACACCACAAACGTTTGAGAATGAGTCAAATCCTTTCATTGTGGAAATGTGGCTCAGACTGTTTTGATACAATTTGCACGGTTGTTATTTTTAACAGAAGAATATTACCATGCTTAATTACTGTTAACACACAGCTCACATAACTCATAATTTCTACTTCACAAAGCACACACACACAGTCCTATACGAACAGACTTACTTGAATAAACCATGAAAAATGCTGACAAGGTCTCAAATCCCATTAAAGGGTCACTAATAGACTCACAAACTTCTGTGGTGTGTGTGTGTGTGTGTGTGTGTGTGTGTGTATGTGTGTGTCCATTCACTGTATTACCATTCCAAGATTATCTTTTTCTCTGTCAAACTGTCAACTCCACCTTCCCCCTTTCATTTGACCCAACACCGCATGTGCACCACCACCACACACACACACACACGCACATTTTGTGTTTCTATGGTAACAGCTAGCCCATGCTATTATACGTACATTTGTGAATACATAATAACACACACCCACAAACTGATAGACAGTCTCTCACACATTAAAGTATCACGCTGCAGTGCCAAGCTTGGGCTGAGAATGTCAATGAGTTTTCAGACTCTAAACAACACTCACGCTGGTCTACAGTAAAGCTCGGTCTCCACTCTCCGTAGGATCTGAAGTAACACAGAGCAGTGTTTCATCTGCACCCATTCAGCTGTGGCAGCACTCAGCCACAGGAAATCTCCCCCACCAAAACATGCTTTTATTCTCCCCTCATGTCTCAGGGTGCTTTCACGCTCCATTATAGCCATCTTTCACACTTTTCAACATTTTTTTTCTGTAATGCTTTTTCTTTGAGAACTCTAGTGGCACCAAAAGATAATCAAAAACGCCAGCTTGTGTGCTTCAAATCTAACATACGTTCTATATGATCGTTTTGAAACACAAGTCCGTCTCTTTGTTGTGCAGTGCAAATTTTACTTACTTTTATCTGGAACCCATGATTTGCATGAGTATGACTAATGGAAACGCTAGCATTGATATTAAAATGATAGAAACTAAATCCACATACAAGTGTGTGATGTATCTGCTCTATAATGAGTCACTCATTTCTTAAAATCCAAATGCATGCAGAACCTTTGTAAATCAGATCCATGATCCCCATTTGGACCAATAAACAGGTAACTCCAATAACATGACTGTTTTAATGTTAATATTTACTTGTGTCACATTAGCTTCCGTTGGTCTTTTGCAGTATTTTACAAGGTAAATACTGTAGGCCACTTTACATTTATTAACTCAAGCTGTTGCTGTTTGATCTCTATTCCTGCTCTGGTGAATTTGGTATTTTGATACTGCATTTACTTGAATGACTTAATTTTAGGTTAAAAATAGAACTTTTTTGTAGTTTTTATTAATATCATCAATGACATTTAACACACTATCACTTAGGGCCAGTTTCAAGAATTTTAGAAACACATTTTTGTTGAGAGATGCAAAAAATCCTCCAAAATACCAACAGGTTACTTTTCATAATATTGCCCACCCCAAAATTCAAGCACCTCCAAATCTTACATTACAGCAGTGGTTCTCGAGTCTAGTCCTCGAGCCCCCCACTGTCCTGCATGTTTTGGATGTTTCCCTGCTCCAACACACCTGATTCAAATGATCAGCTCGTTAGTAAGCCATTACAGAGCTTGATAACGAGCTGATTTATGGACTGGGTATGAAATTAACAAGCAGCGTGAAATAAAATCACCTGGATTCATTGACATAATAGTTCATACTTGCTTATGGGAAATACAAAGTTTTCTGTTGTATCACTGCAGCAGAAAAGGCAGTGTGGAAAAAAAAAATATATTGCTGACATTCAACATTCAACCTCACACTGCTGCTGACACAGACGCTTTATTGGAAAACTAATGCCAGCATGCTGTGTGTGCATGAGTGTTACATTAATGAGTCATGATGTCCAAGCAGCAAAACTGTAAACGCGGCAGAGTTGAATCAGTGTTTCTTAAAGGCTGTGCAGAAAAAAAATACAAGAAAGGGAATCAGTGAGGGAGAGAGAACAGCAGAGTGGACACCAGAGACAGAGTAAAGGAGAGGAGATGGACAAGTAGAGCAGAGGAATGACCTAATAGATTTTAAGTGCTGTTCTGCTGATAAGGAGCCAAGTTTTAAATCCAATCAGAGAGGGAGACCTTTAATAAAGGCAAGGGTTTAAAACCCCTTTCATCTCCATTAAAAGCAATGCAGCTGGGAAGACCCCGTCTAACTACAGCTTTTCATACACTGGCATCAATCAGCTGATTGTTACGTGGAACCAGAAACATTTTTCCTCATTGCAATTATTGTTTTCATTTTTTTTTTAAATGTACACTATGGACTGTGTGTGTTGTAAATGCTTTAGTCTTTTTATGTTTGGTTGAATGTATTCAAAAAAAGGGGCATGCGCATTCTCGTAAAAACACACTGACTCACACACACACACTTAATCTATGAATAATCAAGGATGGTGCAACACTGTGTAACAGATGAGCAAGACTCTCCAGGCTGCTGTTCAACAGGCAGGAGATATAAAATACACAAAGCAAAAGCGGTCCACACAATTTGCTACATAGATGTCTGAAAAGGTCTGGCCAGTTCTGTAAGGTCTAGTTTGATGCCAAAGAGCTTTCGCCTGTGTCAAATCGCACTACGATGTCATGGCAACCACTTATGTAAGAACAACATTAAACGTATTTACTGCAATCTCCAACTGCATGTGAAGCATCTGTGCTGATGGTTAATAGATTCACAAGCGTCATCATAAATATTTTTAAAATATTACTCCAAAGTCTCTTCCTTTTTCAATAAAACAAAAAAAACTATATTTACAATTTACATTATGTGTGTTGACGCTTCTCAAAGAGTGGGTATCTCCATATTGTCAGGGCACGAACTCTAGTGGACAGCTCGCTGAAAACACTGTGTGTGTTTACCCTTTAATATTTATAAAGGTTTGACTCCATGTCAGCTCCGGCAGTCATTGCATTAGGTCTTTGAATGTGCTTGTACCAGAAAGAAAGAAGAGTTGTCTTGGTAGCCCACAGTTAGCCATGGTTGGCTCACATGCTATGTCAGTCTGTTTGGTATTTTGTCAAGCTATTCCCAAGGAGGAGAGACTGTAATCAACAGTCAGCATGAGTAAAGGCAATGATTAATTGATGCAATGTGATGTTTTCCCAATTCAGTATTAATTTAGCCAATCCTTGAGTTAATTTTGTTTACCTTGTTAATTTACTTATGTGAGGGCCCCACAGGTCTGTTAATCAGAGAGATAAACAGCATGTATGAAAACGAATTTATAATACCTTTCAGCGAGAGACTCTGCTGGATAAATGCTGCTATCTTTATGTGGTCTGTTGAACCAATCAGCGGCTGTATCTGTAATCAAATGACCTATAAAGGTTTAGGTTTTAAACTAGCACAGCCTTAGACAGACATCACAATGTACTTACAGTACAGACATAGAAAGATTGAACTGTTTTAGATGGATTCATCCAATTTAGCTTTTCTAAGTAGCTGACCTGAAAAAGTCCAGTGAGAGGCCAGATTGCCTTGTTTCAGCAGAGCAGTAAAGCTACCTGAACTTGTTATAAAATTTGTGTTTTCCATGAATGGGAGTAAAGCAAATTAAGCCAAAGCATGGATGTGGGCTCTAGAGTCCACAGTACTTTGCTATTTTATTTTGTGCTTATTGAATTCAACAATAAAATTCATGCTGGAGTCAGCTTATCCTAATGCACGCCTTGTTATTTAACAAATATGAAAGTCCCAATTTTCTTAAGCCTCATAAAGTCAAAAAGGGAAATGACTTGTAACCACAAAGCAGTGCTGTTTTTTTTTTTTTTTTAAATATGCTGACACAGGTTATCTCAACAGCACTGAACAGTGCTAACTAACCTCTGGTAATCACAAAGCTGTTGTTCCTGGATGTATAGAGGTGAACACTTAACAACTTTGTGCTGAAACTTGAGGTTTGTTTTCCTCCTCTATTAAAACAGTGGCACTTGGCTCTGAAGCCAAAGATAACCACTCATCTGTGAAGATGGAGCAGGAACAATTGAGAAAAGAATCTTAGTCGGGGTGACAAAGGAGAGATCAAAATCTCAGGACTCTCTTTTAAGACCAACTTGAACTCACTCCGCTCCTGGAGGAAAAAAGCCTCCACATCCCTCTTAACTCGAGCAGAGATACCATTTATTTTACAATGCATTGAGTCTGCAGCCAAGACAAGCTGCTGACTGTGCAGCTGAGGTCTGATCCTGTGATGTCTGTAGACTCACACTGCACCAAAACCACAACATAAAATGAGTAAATCCTGTTTTTCTATAGTGCACTAACATCATTTATGGGCTGCAGAGGATTTTGCATCACAGAAACAAGCAGCCTGGCCTACTGTTTTTTATATTTAATTTTTTTTGTTGCTGAAATTCTAGTGCTTAATATTTAAAGGATTCAGAGGATAATGGAAACAAAAAACAAATAAATTACTGCATCGGTGGTATATTCCTAAAATTGCACTTGTCAGATACTCATTCTGCTCATGACTTTTTGGGGGCACCGCTCCTTTATCAAACAAACTATGACCAAATTCTCCAAATTTGGAGCAAAACCGATTCCTTATAGTGTGTTTCCTCTCAAAGCTGCACCAGCAGCCAAGGACAGCATTTAGAGAGAGACATCAATTTTGTTTTATCGCTGCCCTGCTCATCATGATGTGTTTAACTGCTGAGGAGGAGAGCGTGGTGAGGAACAAAAGGCAGCCGAGAGTGTTGCTTCCTGAAATGATTTGATTGGCTGCTCCTATCAGACCACAGCTGCAGCAAGCTTAGGCGTGAATAAATGTGGTGTCTGATAATGATACGTTTCATGCTTTGGTCTTTTTGTTTTATTGCATTGCTACTGTTTTGGTTTGAGTGAGAAATTTTCATGTCAGTGAATATTCACAATCTGCTCAGAAATAAGATGAGAATTAGACAGATGGAAAGACTTGAACAGCTTTAAAAATAGCCGTCCGGAGCTGAAATTGAATCATAATAAAACAAGAAACAAAGACATTTGCAGTAAAATGGGTACAATTCATTAAGGTGGCTCAAATCTCACTGATATGCATATAATCTTTGCATGCTGCCTGTGTATCACTGCCCCACTAACAAACATGAAACCCGCCGTCAACACCTCCAAATTGTGTCTTACACCTCAAAGATGACCGAGACTCAAAGAGCCTGGCGGGGGGATTAAATGATTTGTGCTTTCAGATTAAGATTTTAGTCCAGGCTGGCAAGGTGCCATCTAAAATTGGATTTATGACTGGACTCTGGTGAAAGTGATTGCGTGGGTGGGTGTGTGTGTGTGTGTGGGGGGGTTCTCTTGGAACAGAATCAGCCTGCAGGGCGTCCTCTAAGAACCCAGTGTGTGTGTTTAGGTCACAGAGATAAGAAATAATCACAGGGGTTCATTCATTCATCAGCATGCCAGCCAGCCAGACACAATGGGGAGGGGTGGGGGTGTGCCTGTGTGTATGTGTGTTTGGGTGTGGATGTGGGTGTGTAGCTATGTGATGGCAAGCCAAGGTTTCTGGGTAAACAGGATATCACTGCAGACCACAGAGAGATGAAAGAGGAAAAACCAGGGAGAGAGGAACAGAAAACAGAGGTGGACAGATTATTATTTTTACATCTGAAGCAACAAAGAAAAAGTGGAAAATCTCCTCAAACTGGAGTGAAGTGCTTTGTTGAAGAGGAACTTGTACACACACACACAGACACACACACAGGTAATACAGAGAAAGCACAGTGAGGAAAAGAGAAATGCCAGAGACAAAGAAGGCACAGGGCGGAAGAGGAGCGAAGGAGGGAGGAGGAGGAGGGGGATTTCGTTTTGGACTGATGTTGGCATCACCCAGGGTTCCCCGCTGGAGTGGTTAGATAACATCAGACGGCACTAATAATGCACACTCAAACACATGCAGTGCTGAACATTGATTGAGCTGATAGAACACTGTTGGTGTACATGAGATCAGGAATGATCTCCTCTTTTCAAGATTAGGTATTTCTAATATCAGTAAGAAGGATCAAACGGGGATACAAACAATAGAAGACTGAAGTTGGGTTTTTGTTGCAGGACCCCCATGTGGAATCATTTGTGGTGAGGCACAGAAGCTGGCATCTCAAAGTTCTGTGTCAATAACTGAAGCTACTCCAAATTTTGGCTGCACCATAAATCCCAATCTTGTTGTTTCAGGAAATCAAATCAAATCAGATCTACTTTATTTATTTTGCTATTGAAACCCAACACAGTTAACAGCAAGCACGCAGAGGAAAACAAAAGGCAAATGAAAGAAACAAACACAAATGAGGGAGAGAGAGGAATATTAAAACAAAAAAATCTGAGCAGTGGCAAAGAAATTAAATATAATTTATGGTATGGATGACACCAAGAAAGATAAAAATAATAACAGTTACTTGGACCATGATCCAAACAATTGTACTACTCCTTAATAGTGGTAGTAACATCAACAGTATGATCATCATCATTACCATTACCTTTACCATTACCATCATTACCATCAACATGATCCACCATCATCAGTTACCACCAGCACAATTATAAGACCTCAGGGGAAAGACCTGAGCTGGTTTGGTGAGGGGCGATTGAAAGCCAAAGAGTAAAAGTGTGTATTAAGATGACTTTTGAAAATCTAAATTTAAGGGGAGAAAGAAAATCAGTCCTCAATCTTAGGACAGGGATTAGTCAGATGACACTTAGTTCTCCGACACTGTGAGATAAGGATAGGAGTTCTGTGATAAAGGAGGTGTTTTTGTAATGAAAAAGAGCAAATTTTACACACCATTCACTTTCATCCACATGTGAACACAAGACAAATCAGATATGATTGTGTGTGTATGGACCTTTCATTTACACTGTGGTTGCATCAGCTGGTAACTAGCTGCGCTCAGATTAATTGGCATCAGTTTGGCGGCGCTCGTGAGGTTATGGCGGACAACAGACAAAAGACTTGGCAGTGAAAAATAAAGAACTGGGGTGTTTCTTTAAACCTGCCGAAGATATGGAAACCACAAATTAAAGCTTATGTGATCAGTTCAATATTGTATTCTCAGTTTTAAAAAAGGGTATTCAATTTTTTGGGTTTGGGTAAAAAAATAAATAAATGAAAAAAATCAACACCCAGTCCATCATACTGCTGATCTGTCAGAATTCCTTCTCAAGATGAGCACAGGCACACACGCCTGCACACTCAGACCCAGAACACAGTAACAACAAGGGTAAAAAGGAGGGTGTGTCTATTACAATATCAGATCTAAACAAGATTTAAACCCGCTCCCAGCACTTTAAACTTCACTCAACCTATAAATTCACAATACGATGAAATCCAATAAAAAAGAACAATGGATGGAAAGGTGGGAGGTCTGCAGTTTGCAGAAGGTAGAGATGAAAACCGTAATGCAACATCAACTGCAAGGACGCCATAAAAAGCAACCATGCGGCAAAAGCATATGACAGCGCTACCACAGGAGTCAGTGCAGGTCTGCGGAAAAACGCTGCACGTGTGCCAGCAAATGTCTGTGACAAGTCCTTGAAGGCAGACACACACTGTCTGATATCGCACTCACGCTGATCTGGATCAATCTGTTAAAACGTACAACCTTAACAATCCCCAAGATCTACATACAGACAATTTTTCACTTTAAATGCAGTAAACAAACAGGATAGCCTTTGTGGAAAAGAGAGTTGTCTCATTTTATCTCTGTGAAGTGTTGACACGAAACATGCTATTGACCAGACTTGATTGTTTTTGAGTCTGTTTACGATAACGTGGTGCTACAAATGTCATCCAATCAATGTAAACTGCTGCCATGACCTATAAACCCCATTGTATTATATCCAATGAGAGCAGACTAACACTTAGTAAACCAAGCTGCAGCACTGAAACACCTCATAGCTGTTACCCTCAACACAGAAAGACCAAATAAGACTCATATGGGATAGGACAAGACCAGTTCAACATATCTGTATTTAGCAAAGAGTGCAGATTTAAAGTACAACAAAGACACGTCAAGAGATAATTTTCCACATATGATCTTGTAAAAAACAAACAAGTTGGGGGTAAACTCTTGACTTAAAAACCAATCAAGTAACCTCAGGGAGGAGTCAATGGTATTATCAAGACCATGTAGGTGACAAAGACCCTGACCTCTCAGATAATGAAGATGAATAACTGTGGGCGGGACTTGCATGGTCCCAAGCTACAGAGCTGTTTAATGTCTCTCTGGGGAGGCTTTTGTGGGGCACTGTAGGCTGAGAACATGCTAAGCCTTGTAATAATAAAATTCCACATTCACCAGTGTTGAGAGTACAACATGGGGAGTCTGATTGAAAGTCAGGTTGAATGGGCAAGTTCAACCTTGATCCGGGAACAGCCAAACTGAAAATATTAGCCTATACATTATCTATCATCAATTATAAAATGTGGAAGTCACTGAATCTAAAGATGTAATGCCATTTAGATCAAGAATAAGAAGATAATACTGTCACATCTAAGGAAAACTGTTGTGCAGTCATTGCACAAAATATGCAAAATTGTAAAAATACTGAGTGAAAGCATTAACAGATGATTAAATATATGAGAATATGTATGACAGGGCTGCCTGGGATGTGCAAAAACTAGTGTAAACAAGGAGTGGGACAGATTGTTAGTAAATAAAATTTCAATTTAAACTGGGAATATGTAAATTAAAACCATTATGCTTAAATAAAGTTTAGGACGTGTGGTAACTAATATTAGCAAAGACTTTTATTTTTTAAAATGAGCAAATCAAAGCTGTAGGAGTGACAGTTTGGTGTTTTATCACTAATCAAATGTGTCTTTAAGTGTATTCAGTCTACTAGTCCAATCTTTGCTCCTATGGGTGATTACTTGGAAATTGATATCAAATCCTTGTCATGTATTTTGTATGAGTTTCATTGGTTTTTTTGTTTTGTTTTTCTTTTGATTCTTGATTTTGTGTAGGCATGAAGTCTTAATGCAAATGTACCCTTTAAATCTGTCTTTTCCTTACAATTTCTAGGATGTTTTGCTGTTGCATGTCTGCTGCTTTGCTAAACTGATAGCAGACAGTCCAGTGAAGCTTGCTCCTCATCCACTGAAAAATTTAATGCAAAGAGAAACCCAACACACACATACAAAAGCCAACAATTTCAACCAATTAACCAGCTCATTCAGTTAAGTAAGTTCAGCACTTGACACCAACTAAACCACTCACTAAAAGCCTCAAAAGGTCTGACAGCACAGTGTGGGTTCACAGTGTACCAAAATTAGTCTCTCTGAATAACCTAAGCTGGTATCTGCGCTCTGAAACACGGCTCTGTTTGAGGTGGTCACAGTATGACACGGTGAATCAGCCTTACAATGAGAGGAATCCCTGCAGTGTGTTTTTCAGGTTCTTTCATCATATTTAAGAGCATGAAGAGAAAGCAGGCTGCTATATTTGATTTGAGGCAGAGGCGTATGAGATTATATCAGGCAGTGAACACTAAATTCTTAAAATTCCAAATATAGATCTGTGAGAGAGAGGACCAGTCACCGCTGATGTTTCACAGCTGGGCTGACCTAAATTTGACACAGTCTGCTCCAAGTGAGAAGGTGAATTAAATCCACACCACAGCCAGCTGGGACTCCTCTGTGTTGTTGTTGGTATGTTTTCCTATGCGCAGTCCAAGTAAGAGGGATTTTAGTCATCCAAAATCACTTCAGCATTATCATTCCCAGTGAAGGTTTTCTTTGAGAAAATTAAACATAAGCAAAGTAATAATCATATAAGGCACTTTAAAGCTCCTATGAGGAATTTTTAGCATTAATAAAATAGACTAAAATTCATACCGATGCCTTCTCATGATATCCAAATGCTAACAAGCTCTGCTTTTACAATTACCGCCTAAAATATCCCTAACAGCTGACATCTTTGATCATCAAAAGTCAGCAGAGATTGTTTGTCTCAAAGCATTTAAAGGAATAGACATGCAAATACCACTTTGCCTACAGAGGGCGCTAAAATGGACACAGACTGTTCCATGCTGGAGCTTTAAAAAATGTACGACACAAATAAGGAGGGCAATATGTTGCAGTTCCTGCTCTTAGGTCATACACTGGTATTGCTGTATTAGTTTCATTCTAAATCTCTGCACAGGGACTTTACAATCAATCTGTAAAGCTAAATCAAATTCAGTTGATAAAACACAGATGATTAAGGACAGCGCCAAGGTTTATACACCACAGAAAAACTGTGACTTGATTGCCACAGTTCCTCGGGTTACTTCTAAACTACAGATGAACTTTGATTAAAGGGCACAGAACAGCGTTTTTATATCCATGTTTACTCCACCAAACCAAGAGTATGACACATACTGTAAATACAACATAATTCCCTACCTCAAATGTGAAAGCAGGGCATGAGAGGCTGTAGGGTCACTGTGGTTTTTTTACTCAGACCCTTTCTCGCACAAATCTTCAAAAAATAAATACACACTGAAGAGTTTGTAGAGGCTAAAATGACCACCACATGATGGTATGCCTCAGCTTGCCAGTCAGGTTTCGGTTTTCAAAAAGAGAAACTGGGGAGCTGGGGAGTATTTGAACAAACACATTAACCACAAAACAAAAACAAAGACAAAAGCAGACCTATATTTACGGGGCAATCTTTTACAGCAAGGAAGTTATACTGAAGCATGTCAATCTCACACTTTCTACACTTGTCTTCAGAGCATATGAGTGCCAATTGTCTCTTTTAATCTTACCTTTGGCTGCCTCAGGCTCTGCATACTAACATAGAGGTAGGGCATACTAACAATATACTTATATGGCGGGGTAATTAACCGAGGATTTAGAGAAACAAAAACAATCAGCTAGTCATCATGAAAGGCTAGACCATGACATCTATACTGCAACTGCCCCAAGAGTGAAACACAATACGTCTTTCTCAAAGTTTATTTTGTGCTACTATAATGTCAAGATCTCAGGGAACAACTAAACTTTATAAATGAACAATAATAATAAGAGTAAATAATCATTAAAATGACTAAAATGCTCAGGCTCTGTGACGCAATGCTGACTGAGTTTCTTTAACTGCATGACTCCTGACCTGGTAAGTAGGTCAGAGACTGAGAAAGTTACCATGGTGATCACACCAGGTTAAGAAAGAGCCAGCTTTGTGACCCTGGCTTAAGCTCAACAGGCCTGTTTTACCCTCTAATCCTGCTCCTCAGCTGAGACGCTGTGTTCAAATGAATGGGGCCAAGAATCGTCTTGACCCTTGAACCATAACCACCAAATCTAATCAGGTCATCCTTGACTGCAGTTCCAGGTCTAACAGACTGTAGAGAGCACACTGCAGCACAACACATATGAGCTCTGTATGATTAACTGTTTCAAGCCTGACATCAATTCATGACTGTTGCAAACACATGAAACGCTCATTGTCAAACATGACAAATCTTTGTGAAACCCCATGGTTTAACCCCGGCAATGCTTCAAATGTAAAATCAGAGTTATTTTTATCCCTCTGTGTTGAGAAGCTACCAAGTCTTGAAAAAAGTTTGGAGGCCTAGAGCAAAGACGATGTACCATCACTTTTATCAAAGAGAATACAAAATGTGACAAATATGCTCTACAGCCTTCAAGGAAAAGTTTTAAGTACATGACGAATGTGAGGTTTTCCCGCTGGTTCCCGGGAGAGGACATTAAAGGTGATCATCAGGGAGACTAGAACTGGGTCACTTCCATTTTCTCACTGCCCTTAATGACAGACCTCCAGGTCTAGGAAAAGAAAATGAAGATGGCAGGAACAAAAAACGCCTGAGGTCCTGCGCTTTGGTCTGTTCTCTTATTTGAAATATTCCTCAGGAACCATCAGAGTACATTCAGTGCTAGAGAAGTGCCCACACTTCAAAAGCTGGATTAATGATCAGTTAACAAACACACTGAGTACAAATACTGCAAATGCTTCACTTATGCTGAGATACAATTATTCAGGCTTTTTAAGGTGTACTTTTGTTAGACTTGGAAATGTCCAAGCTTTCTACTGGAACTCCATTCAATCTATTTTAATTGAAATGGACTAAGAGCCAGTTTTTTTTTACTTTTTCTGGTGGCTATCAGCAGAGTCATTCAAGGACACTCGGCAGGTTTAAAGGAAAATACAGTACAGGAGGGTTGCTAGAGTTCCTGCTTTCAAAATCAGCTTTTAATAGACTCGACTAAGAGTAATGGCTTCAATGAATTGAAAAGGTGTTTTAACTATAATGGACTTCAACACAAAATCGAGCATGCATCTGTAAATGTGTCCTGCAGTTTCCAAAGATAAAAAACAAACCTGGTCAAACAAAATGTCATTACAGTGTTTAATTCATAGGAGGAAAAAAATATATATATGCATATTGTCTGTGGGTTAAATGTCAAAAAGACACTAAAAAATCAATTTTCATGGCTACTATTATGTTTCACTAATTTTCCAGCAAGTTTGCCATTTTACCTTTTGTCATTTTGGGACATTTAATGTGGAGGGATATTGAGTTACAAGCAGGAATTTCAAGAAATGTGTGAACACTCAAATCCCAGAGGAGGATTTTAGTTTGAGCTACAGTTAAGAACAAAGTAAACTTATCAGAGTCTGTTATATCACTGATCAATATAGCTGCTGTGATGTTGCACTTAAAATTGGGATTAAATCTGTGCTACTCTGTGTTTAACTGTGTTGATGTGTAGCTTTGTGTCACATTGTGTAATCTGACTGTATCAGTGTCCCTCCTCTGTACAAAGCATACAATGAAAGGCTATAAAGCAGTAAACTACGGGTGACAGTCACTGGGTAGGACAGGCACACACCCAAACACTTTGCTGTATTCAAAGAGATCAAGAGGAAAGTGAACAGGACTCCTGCCCTCCAGAGCCACTGGTTAAAAAAGAAGCCACAGATCTGTGAATGAGTTACACAGATTCATGGGTAACAATAGGACAGCAGATAGCATTATGATAATATGAGCTAACAGAAGTCAGGCTGTTCATCAGCCAAAATGTATCTGTTTAGACAGGCATGAGGTAATCATATTCACTCGGTCTACCCCTGATCTAACTTTAGTGCTTATGGACTCAGTATGTCTGCCTTACACTGTATTGTATTAGAATGCTAACATTTGCTTTACACGACATATGCACCAAACACAAAATATGAAGCAAGATAGGAGTGTCTTATACTTTTTTTTTTTAAGTTTACTTCCTGGGCTTTTATGCCTTTACTAAGGAAAGACAGGAAAGTGGATAGAGCTGCACACCATGAGGGGTGGAGTCGAACCCAGGCTGCCCACTCTCAGTGTGTGAATGAATGTCTTCACAGGTTGTCACCAGCGTTTAGGGATCGAAAATGCATTATGTTTGTTGATAGTGTTATATTTTAACTTTCCGTTGTCATACTTTTCTATTATTTATTTACAGAGACTCGGTGTGATTTTTTTTTCTGTGAATCCATCTTAAAGAAAGAGTAATGATTCTGAAATTGAAAAGCAGAATCAGAAAGCAATAAAGTTAAAATAATACCAAATCCTGTTTCTCTAAAACTACAAACAAACTGGTCAATAAGTAATGAGGAAACAAATCACAGTAGTATTTGGACACCTTGAGCCAATAATTTGGGTAAATATTTTGCACCAATCCTTCAGGGACTTTTGGGGATATTAACTTGAGCAGTAAACACATTTACCTGTTTCACAAGTTTTGGGATCACAAATGTCAGAAAAGAGACCGTTAATTTCATGTGTTAACCCCTGCAGCAGACTTCTGGATATGCTGCTAGACACATGAGTTTTCAGTTGATGATGGTATTGGAAAAACAGCAATATACTGTAATCTATCAAGTTTCAAATTGATTCACTGCTCATTTCTTTCCATCACTTTGTCAGAGTTTTTTTAAGTATACAGCTGGTTGTCTTTACGACTCTTTTCCTCCGTCCATCCCCTCTGCCCTGTACCCTCATGTCTATGCTATCCCTTCATCCCTTCTTCTTACGTCGACCCTCCTCCCCCTCTTCCCCTTCCCCTGGGTGTGTTTGATGGAGCGATGTTATTATCTCTACCTCCTTCATCCCTCCGTCTTCAAAGGAGGTGGATGACTGTATCTGTCAGGCTTTAGTGTGCTTAAGAGATGCCTGGGGCACTGTAGAGCTCCACTCCCAGTCTAAGAGAAGCTCGGTGGGAAAAAAAAAAAAAAAGGGGACAGCCTTGTGTATGTTTGACAGATAAGCAAACTGATAAGGAAATCCCCATATTCCTTCCTTCATTAGACATGTAGTTCACAGTGGAGGAAGCTGCCCTGTGCTGCCTCCAGTAAATCAAGCACTTTGTTGTATGTGGCTGTAGTCAGCTGACAAGAGAAGTTCAATAAAAGGCAGTTTATCCCATTAAATCTGGACTATAAATCACAGTGAGAGATAGATGAGTTGTGCGCTTGACAATGAACATGATTTGCACCCTTAACAGCACACAGCTAACTTAAAAGGGCATGTTTTTTCATATAGCATCTGAGTGTGGTTAACAGCAGAATCATCTGAAGTCTTAACCGTTTTTTCAAAGCAATTGATAATGTCCAAGTAGAATTTGAGGAACCATTATTCCAGACAATCTGTGTTGAGCAGTGAGACAATCACAACCTCAATATAACTGTCTTCAGTCGACATCTGTCGGTCTAGATGTTTGAAATCCACTAAACAGAAAATCAAAAGGACTTGGCTTGTGTTAATGATACAGTGTGGATCTCTCTTTTGATTTAATACTGAACAAAGTTCAAAGATTTAACATTCTAAACAAAGGTAAGTGTTACTCTCTCAGACAAAGAAGGCAGAATAAATCAGTCAGTTAAATTAGTCACTTTTAATAGTGTCACTTAACTGTTCTTCCACATGCTATGGAGCTTTCACTGCTTTTGGTAACTAGGTGTCTCCAATAACGCTGCTTTATGTCCGTCTTTGTCTTTTTTAAAGAAGGACGTTTTTTTATCTGCTTTCATTTTGTTGCTTCTTTGATCTGTATTACTTAAAATCAAGTGAACATAGCTAAAACTGAATGCCTGACACTGCTGTCATTTGATTTATGAATCTTAGATCTTGCGGGCAATTTAGAAATGAAAGATTTGCAACTTACTTTTATCTTCTGAAACACTGCATCCTTCCTCACATCCCTCAGTGAAATTTAAGAGCTTGGATGGTTAGTCCCCTTGACTAGGGGACATCCAACTCTCTGCCCTCAGTTTGTACCTCATGTTTTCCTTTAAATATTTGAGGTTTCAGGCCCAAGCTGAGAATGTCACCAGGGTTACTTTGAAAATACAAAAAGCTCCATACAGAGTCTCAGAGGAGATGAAACACCAGTGATCTTTCATATGTGAAATCTTTAACATCCTCTGAAATGCTTGGTACAATTCCATTTTAAATATGACATCTCTTTATAACAAATTCTACCTCTAATTAGACTGTATATACAATATACACAGTACTGTTTTTCCATTTTGACTTGCATGAGATATACAACATTCACAGGCTAAAAGTCCCTGACATGTTTGTGCTCCCTCTCAGCTATTTCCTCCATAATCAGTTACTCAAACCCTGTTTCTCTGCAGAACAACAAACAGAGGTTTATTTGTTCAGTGCGGTTAAGTGGAGCGTTGATACAAACTCACCAAGTCATTCTCATGCTCTGCGTCGGGATGAAATACCAAAACCACTCCACAGGAATTCTTCACTCCCACTTCTTTGCATTGTTCTGTATGAATTTGTACACTCGTAGCTCCTGTTTCTAGCCCTTACACGGTGGCATTGTAGTCCCAAACTGAGCAAAGGTTATTAAAAATAGTCTTTTAAAACCCAACTTTAAGTTAGGAATACTCATGTCTATGACAGACATTAGTGTTGCAAAGAGGTAGCAGCAATTTTGATACATGGGCCAAACAATAACACAAATGAAAACCATATCAACTTAAGAGCGACTTTAAGATCACTATTTATCCTATAAAAAATTATTCCTCTTTATGGTATTCCTCAATCCATGTCTTAATTCATGCCCATAACTGTGGCTGCTCTGAATACAAGTCATTTATAAGGAGTACAGTATACAGTACACTGGCAGGTTGCCCAGAACAACATCCATTTACAGAAAACTACTAAAGCGAATTCAAAGAGCTACTTTGTTCATTTACACTAGATTGGATTAAGATACAAGATTTCGCAGTGATATGTGTAAAATGAAAGTTTATTTGAAAGGTTTTAAGAGGCTTAAACTGCTTCTCCTGTTTGTTTTGCTGGAGTGGTGTTTCCCACACTTTCAACACAGAGGAGATGTGTGTAATAAGACTGGTTAAATAATACTAGAGTATCCCTTTTGGTCATTATTGCTGAATTATATTTGAGTATATTAGAGTTTAATATAAAGTATGAACATGTCTCTAGTGATTACACTACTTCAGCAGTAAAGTGTGATTTCTTTGCACATAAAGTGGCTCTCCTCTGGCCGTCCTCCTCAGAACGATCATTAAGCCGGAACACAACAGGGAAGCTCACCATTTTTGTCTCTCACCTCTCCTCAACTCATGTCCCTCGATGATTTATTCAAGCACTTATAGTGACTGCAAAGGTCTGGAGATTAAAGTTAGACATGTTCACAGACCTGGCTGACTGTTCTATAGAAGTCCCAAAGCAGAAAATGGGGCTTTTCAGGCCCTTTTACAAAGATTTTCTAACTTCTCTTTGGTCTATTCCTCCCTAAGCAGTTGAGCTAAAAGCCTCTCAGTCCATGGAGAGTTGTGTAACTAAAAGGCTCCCATTATTTACACATCCATATATAGCCTATTAAACATCATGCAGATTCCTTCACAGCAACTTAAAGCATCTGATTCAACCATCAAACTTCATGAACCCTGCTCAGACGCTGATTTGCACTGGGGACTGTTCTGTCTCGACTATCTTTAGCTTGTGATCTGTTTTAAGCCCAGGAAAAGCTAGTATGCATTCTTAATGATCCACCAGGTATTAATAATTCAGCATTCAATGCTCTGTGGCTGGCAGTTAATGATCTGAGCAGCTTTTTCCACCTGGTCAATAGACACCGTCAGAGCTGAGTGGATTTCTAGAGGAACAAATTACTCTGAATTCCCTTTAAAATCAGTGATAAATGTCATAAATTACTAAAAAAATCTTAACATTTTTCTGTTTTCTTAGATATAGAATTCAAATGTGATGGCTAACTGATTATTTAGATAGATACACCATACATACACTTAAAACATACTTAATTCTTTATACTTACTAGGGGTGGGAGGTAAAAACCGATTCACATAAGTATTGTGATTTTTTGTTTTACAATTTTTAAATCCATTTTTTTTGTTAGAAAAATCGATTTTGTTTTTCAAATTTAAGAATAAATCGTAAAACCCGACGTACATGTGATGTCTATTTCTAGGGGAAATATGGTCCTCTTATAGTCAGTAGACAATCATAATCATAATCATTCATTGACAATATCATAGAATTGCAATTTAAATCGGCAAGCTAGTTTGATAAGAGGTGTTACCTATAGAACATGGTCAAAGTTTCTTAAAGCTAAACTCCTTGGCAAGTATTTCCTTATTTGACACTGATCAATCAAAGGGCATTCGATCATTCAGACCCTCTGCAAAACTTTGTCAGTTCATATACGAGTCTTTGGACTCTGCCACACATACATAGACCCCAAAAAGAAAATCCCATGAAGTGAATATGATACAGTTTTCTGGCAATCATTTGTAAAACCTTATTTAAAGATTCAGAGCAGTGGGAATCCTTGATCTGCTCAAAATGAAAGAGACCAGCAGGGCTGAGAGATAACAATGTTTCTGAGACAGTTTTATAAGACTTTTTGTGGTGCCGCCACTTGCCCAGCTGGTCTCCTTTACAGAGGTGTTAGGACCTCATGAGACATGATATTGTCAGGGTGATTTTCTTTCCATTTTCCCAAATCAAAGTGAGACTGAACAGGAAAAAGCATGATGACAGGGTAGTGAAGTTATGCAAGATGATGGATGTCTCTCTAGCACAGAGACTTTGATGATGTCCATTGGAACCGTTTTTTTTCTCTCGAGCGGAGACAAAAAGACAGATTTCACTCTCCTTCAGTAGAGAAATACCTTGAAAACAAGGGTAGACTTACCAACACTCTGTTCTCCGTCTTGTCTCCCTTGATCTCCAGTTTGACTCTCTTCCTTAATGACAGCTTTACCTTCCTCCCCACTGCATCCCTCACGCTGTCTGCACACAGGAAAAGAAAAAGGAGATTAGAAAGGGGAGACTGTAAGTCTAATTCAGAAGATATCTGTGAATCACAGGATTCAGACAGTTGTTCAATTAACCCACGAATAATCAGAAAAAAACAACAGTGATTAAATCTTACAGATGATGCAGGAAAACTGACAGTTTTCTCAACACAGATCCATCAGAGACTGAGTAAGAGTTTCTACATTTTGTCCCTTAAAGTAGTCTGGGATTTTCTAGTTCCAGCTAGTTTTTTTATTTTTATTTATTTTGGTGGTACTTTGCTTGTCACCGTGTCTCTCCAGCTTTTGTCCTCCTGGAGCTGTAGAAATGAGTGAACTCTGATCCCAGCAGAATAACCATTTAATCAGGCGACATTACTTCAGATAATTCTGTCGACTGCTCTCAAAACAATAAAAAAAGAAAAGGACCCACTTTTTCGTGACTTGCTGCACAAGATTTCATCTTAAAGATCAGGGAAATAAAAATCTTTCATTTAGTTGTATTACTGGACAAATATAAATCTTGAGCTTGTTCTTTTAACAAGTTAAAAGTCAGAGTTAATCTCTGATTTTCAAGTTGCTTTGACAAAAAAGCCCCTTGTTATAAGTCTCAATCTTTGAATCTTGGTCCAGTATTCTAACTTACTTCATGGAAATAACTCACAGATAAGTTAGTGTTTGAAAATTACCTCTTTGTTGATATTCTGACTGAATAGGCACTTGCATACTGCCATTCCAAGGTGGGATATTTACGCCTCTCTTACCTCTCATCTGCATTGTGTGACAAACAAAAGTGTAATGATAGGTTGAAGTTGTTTCACCTCTGAAGTGCGAAACAATACTGTGTGTACATGAAAGACAGAGTGTGTGTCTATGTGGAGCCCCTGCTATGTGTCAACAAGCCAAACTTCTCATTAGGCCCTGACCAATTTATCGGCAAGCAGATTAAATCGGCCAATTTTAGCCCGTTTGAGACTAATCAGTAATCGGCCAAAACTCGCTGATTTTCGCCAATATTTTCAGATATAAAATACGGAGAATAAGATTCAGTTTCACTTCGTAAATTTTCCACCATTTCAAAAGTTCCCAAACTTATCCTGTAGATGGCGCAGCGACCTCATGACAATCTTCATCCACTAACTACCTCACAGCACAGCAGAGTGATGGATCTGAAGCAGGCAGCTCAGGGACACATGGAGGAGAGTGGTCCGCCTCAACGGTAAATAAACTAGTTTGTGAAATACAAAGTTAGTGTTAGCCACCTGCTATTAGCCTTGCTACACTGTTAATCAGTGTCCGTATCGGTTGGGCCCTACTTCTCATGGTCCCAGAACGACATGATGAAGTGTGTAATGACACGCTAAGTACAAAGTAGGGCTGGGAGATAAACCGAAGATTTACAGATACCGAACTTTACAACAATAACCGCCGTCAGTTTGCCCATGTCAATATCTTCAGTGTCAAATAAATAAATGAAAGTTGGTTTTGTATGAGGGTAGGAAGGCTATGGTTTCATGTCCCTTCAGGACGCTGTCCTACGTCAGAGACGTGACTCCACCCCATCCAGTCCATAACAAAGAGGGAAAGACAGGTGAGGAGATGGAGGACAGTTCAAAAGTTGTTGTGGCTGAAGTAAACAAAGTTAACGTGGGACAGGTGAGCAGCTTGGGGACTAGTTATCATCCATTTATCGTTATCAAGGTGAACTGCTCAATATATCGTGATATTGATTTGAGGCCATATCATCCAGCCCTAGTACAAAGGTGCAACAATGGCGGAACTCCACTCCAGCACTGTTGCGACATTGCAGCATATAAGACTTGCATTGTGCTGCTCCAATTGGTCATTCACACAAGAGGGGGCCTGTGCCGGCAGGTAACTGACCCACTGAGCAGATCTGGGTCAGCTGCCTCTCCATAGTTCTCATTCACCACCACACAGCAGCTGATACAGTCTGTGCACATGTGTGAGACACAGAGGGATTCTGTGTGTGTACATCTGCACTGCCATGCATGTATCCCTGCCTACAGGCTTCCTCAAACCATCTTCAGATCAAAGTGAAGCTAATAATCAGGGAAAGTGTAAAGCGGTTCTCTCGTCAGCCTTGCTAAATGAACTCCTCTGCACTATTTCTGAGATTATGGCCTTTATACACCCAGTAAGTCATAAGAGAAGTCTCCAGTGGGTTTCTATGCTAAATGAATTCTAGTATTTTAAATTAGTCTTGGCGTTTTAGTCCCCACTGAAAAAAGCTCCTGACAGACTCTCTAAGTTTTTCAATTAATTCAAATTTTCTGCTCATTCATTTAAACACAGAGAGGGTTAGACTTAAATCATGATCCAATGAAGTCAGTTTTGCATTTACAGATGTTCAGCATGTCCAGATTCTGACACTTGTCTTTAAAATGTTCCTCCCGCACCAGGAAAGCTTAGTGTTTATAGACCCTAACCCTTAAACTTTGGACCTCTCTGCCTTTCAGTTTAAAATCGGCAAACTGCAAGGGCTGTGAGATGGATCGATTAAATCCAATACTGCACATTTGTGGTTTTGTAGGATGTACAAAATGAAAAAAAAAATGAAAAACAAGATTTGCTCTGTTGTAACTTCCTTTCTCCGTAATTCCCTTCCTGCAGAGACAAACACAACAACAACACTGCTGTTGAGTCTTTTCTGCAGTAGTTTCCCTTCAAACTATATTGTATTTATACAGATTTTTTGCCCCTCTGGATGTAACATATTATCTACTTTTGCTTAATGGTCATTTTACCAACCTGAGCTTGAACATCTCATAATATCACCTTTGTTTGTAAGCTAACTTTTATCCTGCAGCTTTTAAGGCAGATTTCAACATTGAATTCAACATGATTATGATTTTTAACTGAAGGTACATGCCCTACAGTCTGGATGTGCTACCCTGGCTGCTGCTGTGAGGCTGCCCTAGGTGAAGAGGAGGATGGCAGCCTCACAGCAGCAGCTGGACAGTCAAAAGTTCTGAGTTTTCGCTTGATAAGGTCAACACTGCTGATAAGCTTAGTCGTGGACTTGCTAGAAATTATTTTGCAACATAAATCTCATTTGGCTTTATCTAGCTGTTCCTCCCGTTCCCCTCTCTCCTCTCTCCACCTGTGGCTGCCTGGTAGTTTGTATCGCTGTTGCACAACGTGATGAAGACGCAGTGGTCCACCTTTAATCTTAGCGGGAGCCACAACTCCCTCATGTTGTGGCTTTCATTGAGAAACTTTGTTTCACATTGATCTGAGCTGCTTATGATGAAGTAAAAGTGAAAGCTGTTTGAGGGGAGGAGCAACATCCACGCCCTGCTGTAAGGGAAGAGAGGGATGGTACACCTCAATCCGTGTATAGGACATAGTGAGGGAACACAGCAGACAGCACAATAACATTCAGTCTTGATTATCACATTTATGGGGGATCTAAACTGGAGCTGCTTGGCTGACATCTACCCCCTCTCATTGGTTTCAAGCATCAAATATTATAATTTTCAAATTCATCAATCTTGTTGCTGATGGTCCTAATGGAAAGCATCAAAAATGTAGTTCAGTCCATTTCATTAGCATAATTTTATCTGAGGACTGCTTCAACTGCTTGCCTTGTTGATCTATAAACCCTTTTGTAAAATAATCACTAATTATTTTGCAGTTTCCTCTAATCCTGTGCTCATCATTTTCCCAAAGATCAGGGATATAAAAAATTCATTCGTCACTAAAGCATAGTTAAACACCTCCACTGTTGTAGTAAAAAAGACAATTCTGTCGGTGAAGGTTCATCCTGAGGCATTTTATGACTCTCCTCATCCTGTATGATGCTGATTCACCAAAAGACAATGGCTGGTTATCAGCACCATGTAGCCACATGACAGACAGAAATAATGTGCAGTGTTAGGAAATTGATAGGCTAAATTTGGGAAATTTGTCAGGATATGGGGACGAAAATATGAAAGTAGTCTTACTAACATGGTTTAAGTCAATCTGAATGATTCTTGCAACATCTATTCATGACAAAGATTTTAGCCTTAACCTTTGAAACTGTTTATCAAATGACCATTTCAAACAGGATGAGACACTGTCAGGCTTTTTTAGACTAGGTTTGGAATAAGATTCAGACATATAACTCAACACAAACACTGTAGTGAGGACAGGCTGGTGCTTAATATAGAGCATATTATACTGACTAAGTGGAATAAGGTGAAAACAATGGAGCCCCAAAAGTTGTAAGGAAAGATTTGAGCAATGAGAAATGTATACTTTTAGGCTAAGTGCAAAAACTACCCACAAAAAAACAGAAAAGAATGAGACATACTTAGTGAGTCCACAGAGATAAAGTTAAACACAACCAGAAATATTTTCAAATAGGCAACTAATTGACTGAGAAATTCCATGACTCAGTGAATGAATGGACGCCAGACCATGTGACTACATGACCTGGCATTTTCCTGTAAGTCTCATCTACAACCTGCAGCTGGCTTTGTGTCTCTGATTCAGAAGAGCCTGAGCCAAAAGACCACTGTAGGTTTAAGTGTGTCCACAAAGCTTGTGCTTGTTTAACATTGCACTAAGGTGTCAAAAACTGAGCGACTTTGCCAAACAAAGAAACCCTGGCCTTGAGTCAAGCAGCCTGCAGGACTTTATGGTGTGTGTATGTCTACAATCCATGCAAATAAAACACAAGGGAAAGTGGGCAAACTGGAGAGAAAATAGGACTACCTAACCAAGTCCCTTATGGGGGGATATTTCTGTGAACTATAACAGGCTGGCTATTCATATCAGAACTATTTAGCTTTGTAATACAGGCCAGGGTCCGCAAAACATCAACAGTAAAAGCCCAATGTTCATGACTTAACACTGCTTCAAGCTCTGGTGCAGCTAAAGCCCTAAATATTTGGAGTTCACAGCACAAAGCCGGTTTGGGTTTTGATTGTTTGACCGTTTGAAAATGCGTTTGGGGATGCTGCTTAAAATAAGACACATTTTTGCACCTAGAATTTAAAATAAATCCGTCCCTGTTGAAGCTGGATTGCATCAATACTGTGTCCATTGATAACATTAATACTGTGACCATGCCAGAATAATTTATGGCCTTAAAATATTCATTGTATGCTTCTTCATTGTAGCTCAGTTCAGCATAGCCACTAGCAAACTCACTGAGGATAGTGCACACTGCATGGTGAAACATGAGTCTTACAGTGATTGTTTCAGCTTAAATGATACAAATCATTCATTTCTGTCCTTACCAAGCAGGTCCTTGGGAACCTCAGACACTTCTTCGCTCATCCTGCTAAAGATAATATCCAAGTTAAGGAGCAGAGTCAGGTCAACACATCCACAAGCCTCAAACAACGAGGGGAATAGGAGCGCAGAGAGAGGAGTCAGGTAGTGCCGCCGCCGGTGCGTGTCTCCCGGTTACATGCTCCTCTCCTGCTCTCGCGGTGTCCGCACAGTGTATCCGCGTGCATCCGGGCGCATCTGTTTTCTGTCCAAACAACGCGCTGTTTAGTGGTTTTATGCTCCAGGAGTGATATAAACAAGCCCAGCTACACTCCTTGAAAAATCATGTTGAAAACAGACAGACTTAGCGCGTCTGAGAGATAAAGGGAGCAGCGTTTGCGCACATCCTTGCCGCTGCCCTACCGTAAAGCTGACGGTAATACAGTACAGCAGCAGCCAATAGAGAAAACCAAGGCCCCTCCCCGTTCGGTGATGCTACAGCCGGCGGAGCCGATACCATGCCAAGTTGGTGTGGCGTGGCACAAGGGGGCGTCGGTGGTGGTGTCAGCCAGATATTAATGAGCAGGAAGCACGAGCGCTCCCAAAAGTCGGGAACCAGGGACCTCTGGCGGTTAAGACAAATGCGACAGTCACGCAGCGAGGAGGCTGAGTCTGACCGAGAAACCTTGTCAGACAGCGACGTCTGTTGTTCATTTAAAGGTCCATCTGACGATGACCCTTTCGAGGATGATAAAGAAATAGGGGAGAGTGGGGTAAGTTGAGCCAAAGGGTAAGTTGATCCACCCCCCTGTTGCTTGGAAATGGTAGAAGAAATTGATCATGTGACCAAATATTTAGGAGATGGGCATCAATTCATGAAGTCTGTGAAGGTTAGAAGCACATGGGTGAAGAGGTTAGACATTTATTTACAAAAAAACATTTTTCACTCTTAAAAGTGAATTTAGTCTGTCACAAGTTTTATTAGAATTGCGTTCAGACTAGGGCTGGGCGATATGGGAAAAAGTTAATCATGAAAATTTTTTTCATATGATTTGATATATATCATTATATAAAAAAAAGAAATTTAACAGTGCTTATTGATAGCATGACTTTTAGAATATAGAATAGAATAGAATATTCCTTTATTGATCCCCCATGGGGGAATTTTTTTTTGTCACAGCAGCATCACAGACAAAGAGTGCAAAAATGCAGTTATAAAAATAAAGATGGCAATATTAAGAACTTAAATAAATGTAATAAAAAATTTAGAAAAAGGAAAAAGGGAGAAGAAAGGAAAAATAAAAATAAAACTATCTACAATATACACAATTTAAATGCCAGAAAAAAGTGGTGGTGTAAATCCAGTTATTATTACAGTTCGTTGTAAAGTCTTACTGCAGAAGGGAGGAATGAACTGCGGTAGCGCTCCGTCTTGCAAGGTGGGTATTGCAATACAATAAGCTACTGTATCTGTAAGGTCTTTGTGTCCCTTCAATGTTTTGCCGTAAGGTGTTGCGCTAAAGAAAGCGGACTTCACGGTCGGCTGTTTTAGCTGCTGACCATTTATTGGCTATTTGTATAGTCTATGGGAAAGCATATTGACCATGTTTTATATTGATATTGAGGGAAATAAATTCTTGATATATATCGTTATTGTTTTATTGCTCAGCCCTAGTTCAGACCAAAAAAGATTATTTTAATTTTGTTTTATACATCAATGGTGGTATCTATGAGCTACAACATGAGGTCAAAAACCTAGCATAAAAGTCCACCATTTTAGCTTAGAGGACCAATAAAGGCATCATAGTAGTTCTGGGGTAAGTTGAGCCAGTGACTCAACTGAGAAAGTAAAGGAGTCTGATGAGAGGATCAGAGTTTCAGTTCAGATTGTTGAAATGTGTTACTTTTTCTTTTCAAAAATACAGCTGTGAATGTTCTGAATCACTTAAAAGACATTCTCATGTTAAAATGTTTTTTTGTTTTTTTTTTACAAAACAGCTTTTTAGCAGTTATTTGCAATAATAATAAAAAGAAAATGATTGTACCAGTTGAATAGCGTATAATAGATAAAAATACACATGAATGTGAAAAAGTGACTGTTATTGGTCAACTTACCCCATACATATATGAAAAATGGCTCATCCTACCCCACTCTCCCCTACTGATAATATTATTTGCAAATAAACCTCACCCTGTCACATGAGCGCAAAGAAGTGTAGATAATAGTGCGAGGGCAAGGACACATGCTGGAGCAGCAGCAGATGGAGATGGTAGGCAAGGTAGTGTGTGGAAGCTGCAAAAAGACACTCTTGAGAAGTGTCACAAGGTGGTGTGTGGGAGCTGCATGTGGGAGGGAGATCGCAATGTTTGACCCCCAAACAGTCTATTGAGATGAATCAATTTAATTTAGCAGAATGATCTTGTAGACATTATAAACAGCAGCATGAGAGTTTTCCACACACAAAAAAAACACATTTTCCGTAACCAGTTTCCACTAGTGATAAAGATGATAAAACTAATCATTGTCATTTTGCAGTGTAGTTTTACTAAACACTAAACATTTCATTTTTACTGAGAAAACAACAACAATCTAATTTGAATTATTTGATACAAAAGCACATTCAGCGGTTGTCAGTTAAGTTATTTAAAAAACGTTATGTTTATTTGAATTTAAATTCTGGTTTATTATTACTCAGGTTTAGACAGATACTTTATTCCTGCTCTAGCTGGGCCAAGTCCATTTCAATGTAATTCTACTGATGTTGATTTTTTAGTTTATTACAGGGGCAGTTTTAAGATAGACCTGTAGAAGGGCTTATCCCCCTTGAGACTGAAATACCCCCTTGTAAGTTCTTCCTGCTACATTTTATGCTCTCCACAGTTTGATGGAAGGACAATATATCTGCTTTTAAGCTAGGACCCCTTTTTTTAACAGCACCATGCTGTCCCCTGTGTCCTATCATCCTCCACTTGCAGTCTGGTCCTAACTCAAGGCAGGCTACATGACCATGTGGTTTTGGCATTTATACAAACGTATACAAATTTTCCTTTACTCTTCTCCTCAAGTATAGCAAAGTTGTCCCCTTTCCTGCAACTTACTGTTACTTGCAGAGTTATCTTAATTGAGTTCTGAATGGAAAGGCTCCATTAATCAGGGGCTAAGAATTAACCTCTTGTAGCCTACTGAATGCTCGTCTGTATTTATAAAAGACAAGCCTTTGTCCTCAGGGATTAGGATGCTCAGAGGAAGCTGAGCAGCAGCATGGTGGTGAGTTGTGTCCACGCCTGTCAACTAAAATTGAGAGCAATGCAACAGATGGACAGCAAGGCTAAATCAAGCTGCATTTTTACAACTCTGTCAGTAATGCAGAGAGACGTAATAACCGGAGGTTTAACATCACAGTTTGACGCCTTTGACACCCTGTTCCCCTTAATATCTCTGATAAATATGATAAAAAGAGAGACTCAAACAGCATTAATACTTCACTACACAATACTACACAATACAACACTTTATTAAAATAAACCTTTACCAAGATATGCAGCAGACAGCCAAGCAAAACACCCCGATTTGCAACAGCTGCAGACTTTGACACAATCATAAGACAAGATGAGTTTTTTGTTTTGTTTTTTGTTTTTCACATCGTAGATCTACAGTACCTGGTGCTCAAATATGGGGGATCACAAACACACACGCCACAAAGAAAGTGTGTTCCATGGATGTGGACAACAATGTGGGATGTTATTTTCATTACAGTTGTTCATGATGTGAAACTGTGTTACACTTTTAACAAGGAGTTACACATGATAGGCGCTAAATGTGACAGTTGAGGGTACCTGACTCTTTGGACAAAAAATGCCTGACTGTATGAACATTATAGACTGAATTACAATTATAGTCACGAAATTCATGTTAGTCAATGTGATTACAAATTTAATTACCATTTCCTCTCCTTGGATTTAGACCCCTTGATTAATTTTTTTTTCATTATGTTTTTCTTTTTTTTTTTTTTGGTCCAAATGCCAAAAAATTAACATGTATTATGGGATTCATCTCATAATATATGTTAATTTTTTGGCAGTTATCATCTTTCACTGGAAGAAGATGATGTCTGTGTAACCCCCAAAAGAGCACACTTTTATCAATTCTCTTTTATCACTTTTTTTTTTGTAAACACATTATGAATGAATTAGCATTCTTTAAAACAAAGGATTAGCTTTAGCCTGCCTGTATAAATTAAATAAAAATGATTTTTCCTCATAGCTGATCTAATGCAATCATACAATGGGTTTTATGCTGATAACCAGGAGCAGTGTTCCTTGACATCACACATTTTACAAGCAATTTATCCATTTATATATTATATTCAGATTTACAATAAAAAAGCAAAAAACATCTGCCACTCATTTAAATTTCTGAATCACTGAAACAAATTCACAAAACATATCCACTTAAGAGAAGCCACACATTGGCTTAAGAATTGTTACACACACACACAATGTGCAGTACATTCATTGCAGAAATAAAAAAAAAAAAAAGAAAAAATCAAAAATACACAGGAGACATTAAAGCAGCATAGACAATAAAGACAAATCTGCAGATAACTTAAGTATTAAACAGGTAAACATATTGTAAAGAGGGAAATGTCATATTTGGAATCTGCAGCATTTCCTTTTGTCCTCATTTAGGTTTTTATGGATGTGCTATTAATCATTTTCACCCGCAAAACTGCAACAACACAGACTTTTCGCAACAAACACCTGACAAGTGAGCTGTGAAATTGTGGCTCATTCCCTTTAAGACATTTAACATTTTGAAGCAGGAAATCTTAGTCCTCACTTTGGTCATTGCTTCAAGACGGGAGTAATTTGCTCCTTATCAAGCTTTTCGGTCAATGATTAGGTTCCTGTAAAAGCTCAAAGGTCATCTGCGTGATGTGACGCCACGCTTGCTGGATATGCCGTGACTCTGTCATGCGTGAGCAGATGGCAAAGCGCAGCACAAAGCGGCCGGAGAGCTGGCAAGGCACTAGGTGGATCTCTCGACTTTTAGTGATCCTTTCCAGCAAGTTCTGATTCAGCTCATTGGCTCCCTGGAAGGAGAGGAGAAAGTTGAAAGTTTTAGATAACTTAGATATGTTTACCTGTCTTAATAATTCTTTAATATGTTGGCTTATTGCCATTTAGGACAAGGCACACACCCACTGTCTCATCTCATGGTCGTATAAAAAGTTGTATGCGTTTACCTTGAGCCTGAAACAGACCAGCCCCATGATGACTTCGGCACAGATCTCAAACCTGTTGTCTGCTCGGACCAGACTTTCAAACTCTTTGGCCAGGGCCACTTGCTGTGGAGAGAGGACACAGATTTTCATGACCTCTAAATCATGTCACAAAATGTGCATATAGATGAGGACACTTGCTCTGCCCTGTAACATTAAGTTACAGTTAGTTAGAGATAAGAGAAAACAAGAAGGGCAATGTAACAGTTAAGGCTCCTGTGAGGAACAACTTTTTCATTTGTGTCAATTTTGGCTCCCCTTGTGGACAAAGCAGTCTTTACTCAATATATCCTCTACATGTTTTAAGTCAAATTTCATCCTGCTGACTTTTGACAACGTGTTAATATGGAAATGGTAAAAATGGGCTGTTATGTCCAGCATGGTGTGCACCTCTCAGCTTTGCCCAGCAGAGGTTGCTCATGTTACACACTAAATACCAGCCCCAGTGTAATGCCTTTTAAAATGAATTATAAACATTATTCAAAAGGAAAGTTATCGGCAAAGTGACTTCAAGAACAAACAATAGTGATTAATGCTAAGTGAAAAAATCCCAGTGGTGAAACTTCAGGATCTCCAAAGGTTTTTACACAAAGAAACGTTCCGGCTGCAGTTGTAGCTGCACCATCTACCCTATCCACTAGATGGCTGTAATGTACTATTCCATGGCATAATGCTTGCAGCTGTAAAAATCAGGGGATTTGTTGTGTTCTCTCTGTACATATCTACAAAAACCCAGCAATGTAACCTCCTTACTTACTGTGACCCTCTGTAACTATCAGTAATCAGATCAAAAGAGCATGCTCAGGGATAGAGGGCATCCTAGTTGAAAGTACTTCCAAGGAGACTCAATTATAATCAAACAAATCAAAATGAGGACTAAGCAACCATGAAATATTCTGAACCAGAGCCCGTTCTCTGTAAATACCATTTCACATCCTCTGAATTGTTTCAAAAACCAGGATGGGATCAAACATGTTCCTCTGTGTAATCAAAGAGATCACTTAGATGTGAAACTTTCAACATAAAGCTCTGCACCTCATTGTTATTCTCAGACCTCTCCTGATAAATATCTTAAATAACAAACTGGTTAACCAGTAGTATGTGTCCTGTTGTTCATAAACTGTTTTTTGCATGCTGAAACAAATTATAAGTGTTTATAAAGATGAATAAGACTAAGTTTTATCATCTGACTGTGTTGGATTCAGCTACACTGGCCCAAAAATAACTCTTGAATCTAATGTAGAAGACAGAGGATGAACAGCGCAGTCATACGTCATGAGTTATGGCTGCAGGGATCAATCGTGCTTCTGCTACTTCATTTGAAAAGGAGAGTAAACACAAAACAGACTCATTTGATTGACAGGGCAGACTGGAGGGAGGAAGAGGAATATGAGGTGGAGAGATAGGCATGCAATCGGGAAAAAGCAACATGGGGGGAGGAAAATGATGGAAACTATTGCTTTAGAAAGAAGACACAGACCAGACGTGTATGACTGACAGGATGTGCTGATGGAGGCAGAGATGAAGGCATTGGAGAGACTTTAGTAGTAAGTAGGATTAGCTCGGGTGAGGCGTGGGAGGAAAGGGTTGAGAGAGGGAGGAGGGGGGTGGCATTTAAAATAAAGATCAGGTGTATGAGGTGTGTTTCATTTTAAAAGTGTTTAAGTAGAAATGAAATACAGATGGGACAAAAATGGAAGGCCAGGTATCCCACCACTGTTTGTGCTGTGCAGTGCATTGAAAGTCATTTTTTATTAGGGGGTCACTTCATTCAAGTGTTGTACACAATTGCCATAATAATCCTTTATTGTGGAACGAGATACCCCTTCAAATCAGACAAGCCCCCACACTGTCCATTTTTAAAACTCGTCTTAGAACCCATTTTTATTCATTGGCTTTTAACCCTGCATGAGACTCGGCTTCTGTTTTAGTGTTTTATGGTTTGTTTTTAGTTATTTGTTTCTATGTTTTTAAATTAGTTTTTAAAAACATTGAAACTATATTTTACTTTTTAATTCTGCTTTTATTTTATCCATTGTTTTAATTGTTTTTTGATTGTTTTTACGTCTGCGTTGTTTTGTCTATTTATGTACAGCACTTTGTTCAGCTGTGGTTGTTTTAAAGAGCTTTACAAATAAAGTTGAGTTGAGTTGAGATTATAGCCAACAGACTAGGCAGGAATTTCAAATTAAACACACACACATAGGCTGAAAAACTGAGGGGAAGGAATAATCAAATGGATTTCCTACCTTGCGTATGTGAGCCTGCATGCCTGATAGCCCGTAAAGACGGAAGACAAACCACATCTTTAGTGAACGAAATCTCCTTCCAAGTGGAATCTGCCAATGCTGTAGGATAGAAAAAGGAGACTATGAAGGTAGAGCTCTTATCTTTGCCAGTTTAATATCAGCTGGGGTTGCTTCAATTGCCTTTATTCGTGGTAACAAAATTAAGTGAGCAAATTCTTACCCTATAATCTGTAACCAGACCTGTTAAGAGAAAAACAGGAAGATTTTAAAGACAGCAAACACAGAAACACATTTATACCAACAGATTTCTGACACTGAATGTTTTATCTTGGATATTTGGATTGGGCTCATTTGTCCAGGTGTTGAAGTCATGGGTCCACCCACTGTATCTCACTGATCACAGCACTATCAGTCCACACACACTAATAGCTTCAGATAGCTCATCTCTCACGGGAGGGAGCCTTGTGTTAGCTGCTGCTAATAACCACTAATTAGATTGGAGAGTCCGGATTGTGTGAGCGAAGGCTTTTGTGAGGTGCTGCACTGATGTGGCAGGCAAACACTGGTTGTCTTTTGTCTCTGTCTGCTTGTCTGTTGTAGAAAATTATAGTGCAGATCTGATTCCATCCAGAGGCAAAGAACATTTTGTATAAGCGTGCTCAGAAGCTGCAGACTGATGCACACTGACCGTTAATCATATCACAGAAGTTTTAGAGCTAGGACTGATTTGTTTAATCTCTGGAAAAGTTTGCAGTCTTTTTGAGTCTCTTTTAAAATGCACTCTTTCTCTCAAGATTGCATCCACTTCTCAGAAGCTTATCTTTTCCAGGGTGTAAAACGACTTGTCGCAAACATAGATGTACAATCGCAAACTCAAACATCTGGTTGTCACATATTTATCCTCACATGTGTGCTTTCTCTTCTCCAGGAACAACTGGATTGAAAGTACAGCACATTTGAGTTAGCCTGCTGTCTTGACTGTAATATGAACAAGTCAAAAGGTCGTTTTTAAAATCTATTTAATATCAGGAATCCACCTAATCTGGCCTGTGATTAACGGGTGAAATAATTTGAAAGTATAAACTCTACCTGACTCCTGGTTTTCGTGTTTCAGGTAAAGCGGTTCCATTTTAAAAGCTCCAATGATGTCTGTCCTCTTTTTCACCCTGTTGACAAGCAGAAAAAAAAAAATCACTGCATCACATACCTCACGTGGAAAAAAAATCCTTTTGCATTAATAATGTACAAATCAACCAAAGTTTCAAGTAGATTTTACACAATCTAGTACTTAAAGTTCTTGTTTTGTATTACCTCTGTGTGAAGCATGACATATATGCAATAATACACTGCATCATAAAGCTTTTGTTGTTAGTTTGTCATAAGAGACAGTGAACAGTATTCTTCAGATTAATCAAATCTCTTTAAAAATGTGTAAATGGATCTCACATCGGAGTATATTGTTGGCCTAAGTAACTCAAAGTATTGGTAGTAATGGGAAACTAAAACATAAAAGTCATAAAATCAGCCGGTGCCCTGTGAGTAGAGACAGTCTAAGCCAGAGCTGATGGAAAAAGGGCGTGAAGACCCTCCACCCATCAGCACCTGACCGGGTTTCAAACACCTTTGTTTCCATCTTATGCCAAGCTTGTCTCATTTTGTTTGCCGCTGATGGAAGAGGCAGCTGGAAGGCGTGGGTCTATTTTTACTCTGCAAATGATTTAGGTGTGGATGGATGACAGTTGGGAGATTACCCTAACTACCTACTGCAGCTTTTTCTGACCATGAGTCACTCTGAGATGAAGCGGTACATTTTCTGACTTCCTGAACAGTTTGCTTTGGTTGACACACACAAAAACATAGAGTGTGTATCATGACAAATGATGCACAGTGTTTAACAGTTGCTCGATAAAGGACACAGTTATCTCAAAATAGTGCAGCAGCTTACCACAATGCAGAGCAGTCGAAGTTGACTAAGAGCCATTTGTGCGGGTTAAAGTTGAAAGAATCTGCAAACTTAAGAAGAAAGAAATACCTACTAGGATGATACAGAAAAAAATATATACATAAAAACACTTTGAGCATTGTCAGTGAGTTGTTAACAGTTATAACATATTATAATACCTGACCTTGTAAGTCATGATAAAATGCTTTATAATGTGTTATGATTATTGCTATAAAGCAGGATGATCATTCATGAGTGTTTATAACTATAGATTTACAGTGCTATAATGTGATTAAAATGCATGATATATACATATATATGATATATACATATATATCTATATACAGTATGTATATATATATATGATATATACATATATATCTATATATATATATATATATATATATATATATATATATATATATATATATATATATATATATACATACAATGCGTTATAGAGATAGGCATCAAATAAAGTGCTACCAACACTTTTCTATAGAACAAATTGTGTAAAATCATAACATCAGCATTTGATATTGAAACATATGCACAATAATGAATCATTTGGGACTATCTTTATTGTTACATTAACACAACTCTCAATATCTATTTCTGCAGAAACATGGATCATAATGCATCTTTATAAACCACCTCTGATGCAGAAACCTTTTTACCATCATCATCAGCATCTCGACTATAGAAGACACAGTTTATTTGAAATGCAAAAGAGGAGCATGCAGCCAACAGCTCAAGGGGTGCAGAGGAAAATCACCCTTTCCTGGCAGCGTCTATTCAAAGACAGACAAACCTCTTTCTTATCTGTTCTCATCTTATTGTTTGCTATCTTTTGTAATATCCTTTTCTACCCTTTTACTGTCTATGCAATAACACAGCGTAGAGAGACAATGTGAGGCAGACTTCTGGCTGACAGTTGCCATGTTGACTGATTCAAAGGGTGCTGGTCACCATCACTCATATCCTAGCAACCAACACTCCAGCAGGGCAACATTATCACCCTAAAACACCGCCCTCTCTCTGCATGTCCCTGACCTGAAATTTTAACTGACCCCAAGAGTTTTACTAAATATCATTGTATGTGGTTGAGTTTGTAAAGTTGTCCTCCTCTTTTACCTAAAGAAGAACTTTAATTCCTGTCGGATTATGACAGACAAGCGAGTTTAAAATCATGTGAAGAAAATCTGTTTCTTTACATTTCCACAGCTAATGTACATCCATCCACAAGTGTCAAAAGATAAAACAACAGCTGGTCTCTTTTTCAGTCAGTTTTCTCTGCTGGCCACCAAAGATGTTTGAACTTGTGTGTGCAATAAACAGTGATATATAAAGGTCTGACTCTGCCTCAGGAAATTACTTTCTCCTTATCTCTGCGTCTCTGCACAGCTTAGGGAGCAACAGCAGCCTCAGCAAGCCTCAAAAGGAGGATTGATGCTCGTACGCTTCTGCCAATTGTTCAGCCTATTACTCACTCCTGCCTGTTTCCTCCTTGACATTAACGTCGTGCCATTTGAAAAAGAAATCTAGCAGCTGGATACAATCAGTGTGTGGTCAGTGTTTCCTTTTCCTAGATGTGATTAGAAACATTTCACACTCAGTTGGACAGTCAGCAGTAACATGTATCTTTACATGAAGAGTTTTTTGATCACACTTTAACCTCATTCTCCTGAACACAATGACATATTTCTCAAGAGATTTTCTGTGTGCGAATTTTCCTGTAAAGTCAAAATTTCCACTGTGTCCATGCACTGTGTGAACATGAGTTTGATGTTTTCTCATACCTCAACGCCATTCAGCAAAGGCCTGAATTCAGGGCAGATAAATGCACTCCCAGCATAGGCTGCATCGATGTGCATCCACATGTTCTCCTTATTACCTAGAACAGACAAAAAAGGGAGAGGCAACTAGCATCTGTGGTACGAATACTTGTGTTATTTCAGATTTAAAGCCCAAAGTTAAAACAGTTTAACAAAAAAAAAAGAAAACTTGAATGTCTTGTGAGGAGTTTTCTGATGGACACACGGTAGACTAAAGTAATAGCAATGTCTCGTCGTGATAGAACAAGACAATCAGGACCAAGACTGCTCATTTCTTGCGTGTCAGAGGAGACAATTTCCAACAACCTGCCAAAACATCTTGTTTTAATGAACCTTCTCCGCTGCGGAGATTCTCAATTTGTGAGACAGTTTACTGTTATAAAACACTGGGATGACATTTTTTTTACCATAAAGACATCTTAAACATGTACAAGAAAAATTCATAGCAGAAAACCGAGGTACCACTTTGTTTATAGAGGGGACACAACAATCCACTTCAGCAAAAGCTTCAAACAGGAGATTAGAAATGTAATCTTCAGACAGTTAAAAATATACAAATCTATCAATAGACGACTTCTAGGATTTTTTTCTAGGATTTGGAAAGTGACTGTTTTCATACGTATTTATGAGCCTCAACATAATGCACAGAAGATTTTATTCATATAACCTGATCCCTGTAATCTTAATTTCAAAGTGTTTAATCCTCAGTTAATAAAAATTACAATCTCTTTCTTTTGACTCACATAGAGGTCCCAACTCAGTAATATGGTCAAAAGCACATGATGGAGTGGTGCCAAGCGTCGCACAGAACTGAAAGACACAAACACACAAATCATCAACACCCTGAACTCTGGCACCTCTGTCAGATTCAATCTAAATAATTTCATAACAGAAAATTCAGATTTATAATCATCGTATCTAATATGACACATCACTTTTCTAACATACACAGATCAGCATTTCCTTATTTAAACATAGGAAATCATTCTGCTGCTGTGGCACTGCAGCCTACTGTTTCTGTGCACTGATAGGGAACTGAGGGTCCAGATGAGACAAAGATTATTGTCCTTAACTAGATAGACAAGCATTAGTACCAACAGGAACAATGTTATGCTTCAACAGAAGCCTCAGGGTGTGCACAGCAGTAAGCACAGGCAAACAGTATCATTGTGAGAGGCTGCGTGCCCGTGTGTTTGTGAGGTTTTAAGTTATAAAAGAAATCCAGTGATAGATGCGAAAAGATGACAAAAACAATATAACAGTATTTGAAATGTTGCTGTGTGTGTTCGTTATTTCTGTGGGAGTTCATTTTGATTTTTTTACTGTTCTTACATAGAAAGGGATGAGTCCAGCAGCTTTGTCTTCTTCCACCATCTTTTTCAAATCATCACCTACGACGGCGTAGTTGCTGTCAGTGGGGACCTTCCTCATCATTACTCCTCCAATGAGAGCCGCTCGTTCCACTGAAGAATGAGCCTGAGGAGGAAACAGGATGCAACATGTGGGAAACAAACTAACTGAATCATTATTATTTGCTTTTTGGGGTAATTAATCATCAGTTTCATATCTTATAATTTGTGAATGTTTTAGATGGTTAAAATTATCTGTTAGATAACATCATACAGGATGTCTTTAGGAGAACATATGTTGAAAATTCTACAAATACATGTTTGTAGTTCATTTAAATTATTAAATGCATGAGAATTTTTAAAAAACCTTTGTCAACCAGCAAAAGCTTGAATTTTGTTTTTTGTTTTTTTACATTGCAATAATACTGGAAAAAAATTTTAAATTATATCCTCCTGGCACAAATTCTTCCCATTTGAGTTAATTCTGTTCCTAAGAATTAAGCTCAAGTTTTCTCTTCAGCGTTCTATAACTGATCATGTGCAAAAGATGAACATTCAAAACAGGAAATATACATATAAACTTAGGAATTGTATTTTCAGATGTAAGGGCAGTGTTCAGTAGGAAACCCACAAAGTGCTCTCCCTGTAAAAGGTCTGTGTGGCCCTTAGGCGACTCTCTAACCCAATCACAAAGTCAGTCTGCTATTAAACCTGATCAGAGCTACAGCCTGCATGACCCTCTGTCTCACTCAATCACTGGAGAAGCCTCTCACTGTTGTTAATGTTACCTTCAGGGATCTAAGTTTACACACACTGTTAAACACTCAGCAGACATCAACATATTTGCAATGAGAAATGCAAATGCAAAGTAAAAAATGCTGTTTTTTCTGACCTTTGCTTTTGAATGAACAGTGTCGCAAAAGTGCTTTTTAGTCTTGTGGTGCAAAAGGCATACATGTGAAAATATTAGAAAGTCAAATCAATCGAACCAAAATAGTGAGGAAACCTTTAATAGAATAAGAAATTTCCTGATTTTTCAAAATAGCAAATTAAACTGCAAGTATAATAGCCCTTATAAAATAACAGAGATAACACTTGAAATAGCATTTCTTACTTGTTCAGATGTATATGCCACCAGCTCAGAGAGGATACTTCCCTCTGATTTTTCTGGGTTTGATGCTTGGACACGCCGCACTGCTTTACAGCGAGCAGCAAGCAGGGACATCAGTGTGGCCTCACTGGCTGTGCCCTGTGGGAGAATCAGAGGAAACCTGTAAAGTAATGCTGCTCCAGTGTTTGATTCATCAAACCTTAAATATGACCTGTGGTTATTCAATGAAGGGGACACCTCTGTTGAAGCTGCGAGAGCCCATTAGAGAGAGAAATCACTTTAGTTATAACTTGTGTCATGATTCATTATTCAGCCTGTCTGATACAGTAACTAGAAAAGCACTCGTAGGGCGCAGACCTCCGCCAAGCAGCTCATGTCCCCCCTTAAACAAGAAATGCCCTGACCGGGATTCAAACCCGGGACCTACTGGTTGTGAGGCGACAGTGCTAACCACAACGCCACTGTGCCACCTATCTGCACCTCTGTGCCGCCCATTAGTTATCTTTCAGCATTGAAAATTCCAACGACACCCTTATTTTTGTGTGTTCTGGATCACAGTATCCAGAATTTTGTCTGGATCACCACCAAAATTTAATGAGATCCTCCTGGGGCTGAGACGCACCTCTGGTGAAAATTTCAGGTCAATCCGTCTGTTACTTTCTTTGTAAAGTTGCTAACAGACAAACAAACAAACAAACCAACGCTACCAAAAACATAACCTCCTCGGCGGAGGTAATAAATGCTTAAGCCCACATCATGAGGTGAACCGTGGCTTTTCAGCTTTTTGGGCGCATTACTGTGAGAAAATCAATAAAATGTGAAAATCACCTTATCAATGAGCACAAATTGCTTTTCAGACATGCTGTCCACTACAGGATATGGCAATTATGTTGGAAGAAATTTGAGTAAGATTAAGCCAGAGTTTTCAGAGGCAAGGGACCCACAGAGATGATTAATTCATCTATTCAACTATCAAAATGTTGGGTATCAGGGGACAGGACTGAACCAATAAGAACAAAAAAATAAAGCTTCCAATCCTACTAAACCATACTTCCTGTTTCCTTCCCTGCTTACAAAGCACACCAAGCACTAACCTCAGATGTAGTCATCAGCTGCTATAAATAACCTCCAAAGCTGGTAGCCTTGATACACGTCAACAAGCTCTCATCAGTTAATATGACATGGTTTTGTTTTTAATATAACCCAGCTAAAGTATTTTATCACAACAGGCCTTTTGAAATCAACCGCTTGGTTGATCTCAATAATTTGAACCAAATTTAGTTTTCATGATGAAAAGAAAGTCTACCTTTAAAACTTTAGTTTTACATACAGGGATCTCACATCATTCTCTTTCTGTGCAATCTTTTGTCACTGTTAATCTATTTTAATTACAGACAAACTGTCTTTTTTCATCCGCAGAATCTAATAACTCACACAAGGGGAAAAGGGAAATCAAAGGTCACCACAGAGTCTTTTTGAATCCCATTTTCCCTTTTCGTTGGCATAAGGCTTATAATATAATAGCTGTCACAACTCTCATTAGCCCTGCTGCAGCAAGAAGAGCCCCGCTGGTTGCCATAGCGAGCGGGGTAAGCTGCACTTAAAAAGGAGAGCAGCAAGACAAAAACAAAAAGCAGATGAACGCACAGAAACCCTTACACTCAGGTGGTCACAGAAGAAGAGGCATGAAATGATCTGTCATCAGAGTGCACTCTCATGCTCCAACACTCAGCATCCCACAGACACACACACACAAACACAAACACACACATACACATGCACAGACATAAAGCTAGCATCCTCTGCCTCTGCATCTCTGTCGATGAAACACCAAACTAATAATTATCCTTTCACCACACGAAACAATCCCAACCCCATCACCGTCATCTCAGTCTGTGGATGACACATTAAAAGGCAATTTCCTGCCAATTTTCAGCCAACGTAAGCTCGAGTAAGAGGCGACAAATCAATGATACACAAATTGCTAGGTTAAGGGGAACGCAGTTGTGAATGTGTATATTCACCTTTGTTTTTGTGAAAGTCAAATGGACAAGTTAACTTGAGAAATTACTCAAGCTCCTGTGAGGAGTTTTTAGCAGGTTATAAAACTTTAAAGGAGTGTTTTGTAACAAGCCGCTGGTATCATCTTTACATTTCAGGGTAGTATATTTTCCATTTATCAGTTAGTTCTGTAAATTAGGACTCTGCACAGGAATCTTCCTTTAAGTCTTTTAAGATTGCCACTCTGTTGTTTTTACTCTATCCAAGTAAAAACAAAGAATACACAGGAACATGACATCTTTTCAAAACTTATGGAGTTCACAGTCATAAAATTGACATATAAGATTCGTACCTGGATGACTCCTCCTCCATGGCCTTGAGTCCCAGCTATAAAATGTTCCGGCAGCTGCAGCATCTTTCCCAGCCAATCTAACATCACTGTCTCCAGCTCTGTGCAGGCTGGGCTGGCAGCCTGAGACACACACACGCACAGACACATACACACCAAACAAACAAATGAAGAGTTTTAGCCTTTGGTAAACAAGAATTAAATGTAAAGTTTAGTTAAATTGAGGTGATCAGATATAGATGCAAACGTCCTTTACCCAGGAGAACCCAATGCATCCAATAGCTGCACATAGCATATCGGCTAACATGGCTGGATAAGAGGAGGCAGATGCATAGTAGGCAAAGAAGTATGGGCTGTGCCAATGGGTGATCTAGAGGGAGTTGAAAAAACATGAAATCAGTTGCCAGAACTATTTCTAATTATCTAACACAGTATATTACAGTTGTTGTTAAAATATAAAATGCAAGGTGTGATTAGGCTGTGGTTCAGTAAGCTCGCATTCACTGTGAGCTAACTTCGGCACAATGGAAGGTGTTTTGACTGGGAATTAGGTAACAAAAAACAAGAACATCATTTCAATCTTTATAGATCTTAATATAAAGACCTTTTAATCTCATTTTATAAGCTACTTTTAAATGATACGACTTTTCTAGCAGGTTCAGTGGAAGCCAGAATGTGTGAGGATATTAATCTAGAGACTCGGAAACAGCAAAAATGAATCAATAAGGCTTTGAAAAGAAATGTCTGTTAAAGAAGCATCAAAAATGGAAATGCCAAATGAACATTAAATAGCCTGATGTGCAACAAGTGTGCGATGTGGAGTACTGAGTAAAATGTCTTCTTAACTTTGTCACAATGATATTTTATTTAATCTTTCTAGATGTACAAAATGACCCATTTGATCAGCCCCCTGTTTAACTGAACATTTAATTTACTGTCAAAAAAGAGATGAATTCTCTGTGTCTTTAATACCATAATGTGCATCAACAAATCAGCTCACCCCTGGCATAATGACCCTTTCCACATCTTTCATGAGGTCCTCATAACTCTCCGGCTCTGTTGGGGCCTCAGAAGGGATCAGGGAACGGAGATATCCTGGTTCCACATCTGGGTAGACCGGGCGCTGTTCTAAGTTCTCTAGGTAGTCAGCTGCGTAGTCCACCATCTCCTTCCCTCTGCGTCGAAACTCGGCAGCATCCATGATATCACTGGAAAACAGCACTGGATCACTGCATCACTTGAGCATGATAGTAGTTTATTGGACTGAATGTGACTTTTTAAAATCCAGATATAAATAGTCGGACTCTACAGTAGAGAAAAACAGTGAGTATATTAAATACTACTTCATTTACAAATGTGAGGGAGAAAGGGCTGAAAAGGAGTCGTAAGGTTATAGTTTACATTCACTACAGTTTGTAGCCTTTGTTGACACACCCTTCATAAAATCTTGTTAGGCATTACACATGAACAAAGGCTGGTTGCTTATTGTAAATATGGCGTATATGATTTACAGTTTAAATTGAGCAATATATGAATCAACAGCTGTCAGAGTTAACCTTTTCATTGTAAGCATTGACCTTCTATCATGACAATGAAATCGGGTCATCCAGGGTGAAGAGGTTTTATGTGCATGTTTGTAAATGATTAACACCCTGGTTGACATGTGACTTTGTGAAGCAGATTAATCCTTCAAAATAAACAAAAAAGAAAATTGTCAACGTGTAAAAGTACAATGTCAACTATATTGTATTGTATTGTATGCAAACATGATCAGGAACCGGGGAAACCATGCTCCTTGACACAGTTTTTAAGCTAAATGTATGTATGAGCCCTTGACCCTCTTACCAACACAATAAGCCAGTCTGATCATAGCTTAGTTCACTTTCACTTTACTTGCTGAGCAGAAAAAGCTTTTCTTTGTGTAAAACTTGTTCACAGTCTACTTGTACTCTGTACTGTAATAAACTTATTCTCTCAGAGTGCAAAAGGACGGAGTCATAAACCTGTTTGAAGTAAATCCTCATCAAGATTGCCTTGATCCCACCGACACATAACTGAATGACTGTGGGACATTTATGACCAGCTCTGTGTTTCACGTTGTCTTACAGAATAAACCTTTTGCAGTCCTTCAGATTAAATTTAAGAGTAATTAATAAGTTCAAAAGATGTTGGAATACAAATTTCTGGCAAATTAGTTACTCAACCGGCACAATACCAAATGACCATTGCCCATAGCTGGAGTAAAGGGGCTTATCATTCAACAAGTGTTTCACCCTGCACCCTTTCCCTTGTTGAGCAGCAGAGCACTTATCCTTATCCTTATCTCAAATAGGATTATGCATGTTTGTATGTGTGCTTGTGAGGTGTGTGTGTGTGTGTGTGTGTGTGTGTGTGTGTGTGTGTGTGTGTGTGTGTGTGTGTGTGTGTGTGTGTGTGTGTGTGTGTGTGTGCACTTACAATTTTAGGCGAGAGCTCCAGCGGTGATGTTTGGACAGTGGAGTCCAAAAGCAGGCGAACGGACGGACAGATAGGCACGTGGTGAGAGTGTTTGTGTAAGCAGGACAACAGACATTTGCTCCTTTTATCTAGCCACCAACCATCCCCTCCCCACCAACCCCCACCAGGCCAGCCAATAGGAACGGGGCTCACAGCCTATGCAAGAAAGACTGAATCACAAGGAGGTTCTGAGGCTGTGATTACTGTGCGTCAATGCACACCTATAGCAGTAGAGACACAGTTATAACCTCTATTTACCTTATAATGCAACTTTATCAGCATCTTTGCACAATGTATGATCTCAACATCCTCTTTTATACATGAAAACTTCCAACACCAGGATTTTAAAAAATTAGAAGAATAGTCTGCTTTAAGAAAATCTTACATTTCTACTGTTTGGTGCTTGATACCACATGAAAATGAGTAAACACACAATCTCCACGTAATGCTAACCCTCCTTAAAGCCACAATATGCAATAGCCTTCATCATCATATTAACTCCCCACATCAGGTGGCGAAGCAGATTTATTTATTTTTTTGTGGTAAGTTACATCATTTTAAATTCATTTCAGCAGTCAGGTGATAGACTGAAATGCTCCCCCCCTCTCACTGAAGAACAAGTATGAGCCTCATTTTGTCATTCTTTCCCAACTACCATTGTCTTCTTGCTCATCTTATAACAGCCACTCGCCAAATACAAGAACCAAATGTTACTAGTTTGTTTCTTCTGTGCTACTGTAGAAACATCCGATATGTTTACATGAAGGAGAACTATGGTCATAGCCTGATTGGGAAATTAAACTGGACTACTGTCCCAGTTTAGAAGCACTGGGTAATAATGAAATTATGGACAGTAGCATGTCCACCTCCACTAAGGTAGGTGACAACATGCCCCCTTTTCAGCGCGTTACTATTGGGTCGTCTCTTGCTTCACCTCAAATATCTTTGTATCAAAATAATTAGTAAAACATGTTGGCAAGAAGTAAATGGGATATACGCCAGACAATAAATACTCAGTCACTTTTACAGTTCTGGACAGTTTATTTGTTTAAAAGGAAAGTTTCATGTTTTATATATCCTTTGTTGGAATGTTGAGGTTTTCTTCACTTTCTGGCTTCCAACCAACGCATTCCTGTGGCCGAAAAATGAACTGTCTAAGGAACATACTTTAAAAGGTCAGAAGAGGTCAAAGAAGTTCTTCGAGTGACATTTTGCTAAAATGAATACTGAATGCACTCATATTTGGTAAACAGTGAACTTAGCATCTCATTTCTCAGTTCATGGACGAGAACTTGAGCTCAGTTCACCCCAGAGTCAGCTGAATGGCCGCTCACTTTCTGGGAGGATCTGAGCGCTTTGTGTTACGCCAGCTGAAGTCGGACATACGGCACTGTTACGACCCGCAAGAATGGTTAGGGCAGTGGATCTCAAGTCTAGTCCTCGAGGCCCACTGTCCTGCATGTTTTGGATGTTTCCCTGCTCCAACACACCTGATTCAAATGATCAGCTCATTAGTAAGCCATTACAGAGCTTGATAACGAGCTGATTATTTGAATCAGGTGTGTTGGAGCAGGGAAACATCCAAAACATGCAGGACAGGCGGGGCTCCAGGACTGGATTGAGAACCACTGGGTTAGGGGAAGATGGGGAGTAACAATAAATTAAACCGGGCAGGGGAGACTAAATGAAGAGTAGGAAACAGAAAAATCAGAATAAGTGAGTAATTTATTTACAATCAAAAACTGATAACAAAAAGATAACACAACTAAAGGCGAGCACGAGGCCGATTATCAATAACAATCTTCAAAAGAAACCAAAGTCCACTGCCAAATAATTAATCAAACAAAAGAAACACCACAGGCTCCTGCCACCGGAAAACCTGGTCTTTAAGAACACCAAAACGCACAAGATGGAATCACAGTCAACAATCGGGATGTCTGCAGCACGAGTGACGATCACGAGGGCTGAGAGAGAGAGAGAGCCTTCTCATATCCGCCCCCACTCATCACACCAAGCAGGTTCACCTGACACACCTGGGGAGGAACCTACCAGAGAGAGACACACAGCAGAAGACACAGGACACACCCACACCCACAGCCCTAATAGGCACCCAGGGCTACTTGCTTCTGTCATCCAGCAGGTGCTGTTAGTGGTGGTTCCAGAGGAAAACCTTGATGAGGTTGTGTCTGCTCGCAGAAAAACCATCACTTCCACATCGTCAGCTACAGGGCAGGTTTTTCTAATGTGTTTGGTGTAAAAGTCGTAATCTTGAGTTGAATTTTCTTCCAACAAATGCTTTTTGATTTCAAGTTTCCCAAACTGATGTATTTTGAATGTGTTATTGGCAAAATGGCTAAAATTAAATTCTCTATTTAAGTGTTGTTTTTCAGCAAGGCCTAAATATCAACCCATGATTTTGTATTGTTAGAATTTGATTATGTGTTTATTTGGGAAATGTCAGTGATTGAGGACTAAAAATCTAAGCATAGGAGGCTCTGTTGATGGATAATTTAGGTTCAGCAGAAACAAAGTGCATATGAACTAGTTCATTTTTAGGGTTTGAATGTAGTACATATTTTTTTCATAAAAAAACAAGCAAACAAAAAACAAATAAATAAAATAAACAAAGAACTCAATGTATATCATTTTTAACTGTGTGAACTGAACTTTGAGCTGGTTCACTTCAGATGTGATTCTGACAGAATTCTTCTGCGGTCTGGGGAAATTTTGATACTTAATGCTTTGATTACTCATACTTTGATTCTTAAACCACAGACAGAAGGTCAATTTAACATTTACCAAGCAGTTTTATGTTTGTTCTTTGCACGTACAGTTGTTAGAGTTCAGCAAAAGGGATACACAACAGCAAAAAAACTCAGCCTGCTAAAATTCTGCTAAAATTCTGTTGCTGTGAGCTACTATATGAAACGTGTGTCTCTGATGAACCAGACCAGAATTAAGGTTATACAACATTTGCATGTTTCTGTTTATCCCCTGCACATACTGGTTATTAGAGGAACAACAATATTTTAAAGGTATACCCCTGCCACCTAAAGAGGGAAATGATTACACTCAGCTGGAGCTGGGACTGTATGTATGGGCTGCTGACACAGTGGTTTCCAACAGTTTGGTCACTTGAGATCACACTTTAACCAAAATATAACACAGAGGTTGTGTTTTAACAGAAAAAAGTATTTTATTCCCTTGGTTCATTGCAGTAATCTAGAGATGAGTCACAAGGTCAGGTTAGATACTAGCTGTATGAAGTTTGGCAAAGTGCAAGAGTCTTGAATGATACTATCACTTTGCCAAACCACCTTTATATGTGGTTTTAGAGGCTGTACATACAGCACAGAGGTGCCTGAGTGAAGTATGAACCTCAGTATACTAGCATGCAAAAGAAGGAGCTCACCAGCACATGAGCTAACTTTATCATGGTCACTCCCCGCAGGAGCTTTAACTTTAATATTCTGGCGTCTCCTGCTTTCTTTTTAACCATTCCTCTTGAAGTCTGGTCTAAACTTTGAAAAAAGGATAAAAATGCAAAATTTTATCACTGGGATAGTCTGCTAGGAGTGGAAGGCTGTTAAAGATTGATCTGCCACAACATTATGATCACCTGCCAATCACTGAGATCACAATGTTCCCATGTCAGGTCTGGGCCAAACAGCCTTGTCCTTAAGAGACATGCACTCACTTGGAAGTGTGACATGGTGTCTGGCACTGAGATATTAGTAGCAGATTCTTATAAGTCTGGGAAGTTGCCTGTTGGGGACTCGGTGACTCTTGATTGTTCAGCACATCCCATGAATAATCAATTTGGGTATCTGGGGGCCAATTCAACACTGCCATGTTCCCATAGGCTACCTTCTTCCATTGTAGTGTAGTGGTGGTTAAAAGAGCCTTTGAGCTTTGTTGGATCCCCTAATAAGCTTCTCAAAACTAAAAGTTACAATAATTCATCAAATTCAGGATTCCTTTTCCAATATAATCAATAAATAAATATTGATTGCTTCCTGTTAATGGTGTGGTGAAAAATAGAAGTGATGAGAACTTTGTGAAAATCCTTCAACAGTTGATGTAATTTAACAAGTCACTCATTAGACCACTTTCTCTTCTCATAAATAGCTCCTTGTACAGCATGTTCCCTCGTCTTAACTATGGTGGCACAAATTTCCAGTTTGTGCTTCCTGTGAGATTGTTAATATCTGAACTCAGATCATCAGAGATCTTTTATTCTTTCAATGTTATCAAAAAATTCAATCACACTTTTTCATTTCAGCTAACTTGCCTGATGATCTGACATCCTTATATTAATTTTTTCCCATCTGATATGTAACTTAATATACCATAAAAGAGCACCTTTAGTTTTTTCTTGCATTAAAAGCAATTGCAAAAGTCCAGACATGTTAATCTTTCTTCAGCTGTTACAAAACCTCAAGTCTTGTAACATCACTGTGTTTGCATGACTGGTAATCCAAAAGGAGTGACATGGTGTCATAGGGGTCACGCCTCCTCAGGATCAGTGCAGCCTTTCAGCTCTGTGACTCCTCAACATTGTCTTCATTTCATGTGTTGCATAAAATATTATCTGCACAAGTTATTTTTCCTCTTCATCTGTAGTCGCCAAACTGTTTACCATGTATATTTACCAAATCTGTATTTTATGCCTTTGAACTTGTAAGATTGTGCCACCTAGTGGACAAATGAAGACTTGCTATTTCAAAGTGTACATCTATCTACTTGCATGCAATTTGCAACATTTTCAGTTTCTGCACACCCCTAAATCTGAAATACATCAGTTATAATGACCTATGGACATTCATTAAGGTTTATTTAAACGCACTTTTAAACAACTCTTTTACAATAGTATTAAGAAGCAATTGTTTCTACAGGCAGTTTTACCCAAAGACAGACACAGCCTTTGTTTTTATATCAATGTATTAATGTTTTATTCTAATTACAATAAACAGAATATATCAGTCCCTTATTTGTACAAAAATACCTGAAAAGGTTACAATTAAGATTTATAAGCCATTCAACTATTTACAGATTGAAGCAAAGCACATTTGAATACAGAAGCTCTCTCTTACAGAACAGAGAAAAGTTACTGTTTTCTTTTTTTGCATTCCCTGAAATACATAATAGTTTATATTTTATTATATATAGATATATTTTTTTTCTTTACTCATTTGTACAGCCACAGTATCTTGCATTGTGACAATGAAAATGCACAAGAGTCAAGATGATACAGATTTATCCATGTTTGCAGGATTGGGCCAAATTTATGTCCAACTCCAAAATAAACTGAAACTAAAAAAACAAGAGCATTTGAGTGTTTTTGTAAAACCAGAATTATAAGTAGTGCCACTTTCTGAGCGGTATTATGTAAAGTTTTTAGTATGAACAGTAACTTTGTCTGTCATTTGGTCCACATGTTATGTCTGGTTGTGCAGAGGAAGAGGAGTGATCAGAGAAATCTGCAGTGTCTCTTCCATTAGAAGTAGGATTTATTGCCAGGTTGAAAAGGTGACTGTTACAGATGAAGCTCATTAGAAGCTCAGGTAGGCAGACCTACTGAGAGGTCTTTTTATTAATGGCTAAACTTAAACTGTACTGTGTTAATTGTACTCTTTGAACAGAACTGGATCTACTCTGTTCTGCTGAGCGGGTGTTTCAAGTCAACCAGCAGAATAGAGGTGCACAGAGCGCAGAAAAGTCCCAGATTAATCAAACTGAATTATTAATGAATCACTTGCACATATGAGTCCCAGAGATCTGATGATCCAGTAGTTTTGAACATGCTCCAATCAACCCTGAGCAACCCAGTTACATTCATTTCTGTTAAGAGTAATAACATGGTTATTAAACCCCTGATGTCTTTTCCTGTTACCACTAATCTTAGCTTACTTTTTTTTTAATAGTTGCCTTTTGCATTTAAGACCCTGCAAACCCTGATCCTTCACATGCTGACACCTGCTTTCATTTGCATCAGACAGAAAAATTGCAATAAAGTGAGAGTGATGATGAATGTGAAAACCTCAGGGGACTCATGTTTAGAAACTAGAAACAGCTAGCTAACATTACAGTGACATATCAATAGCTTAAGATGACTTTCGGCATTACAAAACATCTTTTGTTATTACCCAGATGACACACCGAATATAAGAGACAGAATCCCTGCAAATTTAACTTAAACTCTGCATTGATAAATCAAGACATCCCTGTTCATCGCAGTTTTTACAGGTTAAAAAGGGTGGGATCAAGTGAAGTATTTCTTTGATTAAATCTAATCTGGGCATGGCAAAGTGCTAAATGGCGAAATTGAAGATGTTTCCATGTGGCTTTCACTTTGATATTTTCTACAAAAGGCCAGCACAAAGTAAGGATTTAGGGTTGGACTTCTCAAAAAAGATGATATCCTTAAAAATCTGGGCAAAGAAAAAGTTTAAAACAACTAATTGTTCATGCTTTGAGAAACTGGGGATTTCTTTTTGATTTCAATTTCACAACACTCCTCTTGTTTTAGTATACTGGAACAATAATGGTAACACCGCTGATGCCAGTGTGCTTCAAACATCACTTTGTCACAAGTTCTGATGATGAAAAGAATCGTTTTTGAATGGATTTAACAAAAGGAAACAAAGTTCACCAATAGATTCTATGTCATTACAGTAATTATCATCATCATCATATTAATAAGAAATCACACGGGTCAATTATATCATGGAAATGACAAAAGAAAACAGTATAGCACAGCGCCAAGAAAAAAACAGAAATCTAAAAATTTCAAGTAATCAGTGACATCCAGATAAATAAATACATTTTTTTTCTGCAACAATACTTAAAAAAATGATTGAGTCATTTTATGCATCTCAGATAAATAACGGTGTCCATGCACCGAGAGTCTTTATGGTGCTGCTATTCTGCATCTCAGATGTTCATCATACTTTAAGACAACCTGCAGGGAGTCACTAATGACTGTGGGTGTTGCAATCCAAAAAAAAAACAGATATCTATCTGCTGGCTTGTGATCGGAGCTACAGCAAGTGCTTGGACTAAAAACTTATATGGGGAGGGTTTTTAGATTGTTCTGATAGAATTACAAAAATAAAGGACAAAAGAGATCGTGTGATGAGAAATTCCAACACAGGTGACTGTCAATTGAATTTACTGGAAGTGAAAGGTCTATATCTTTTCCTTGGAGACATGTACTCAAAATAACTTTGTGCATTAACTTGTTGTTTTCCCAGAATTTCATACAACTGTGCTTTGCCCTTTATGTTTTATCCATTCGGTTGAGTTATAAGAAAAAGTCACTACAAAAACAGGATCCTTATCCACCCAAAAGGACATTTGAGCCAAGGTCCTTCCATGATGGTTAATTATAGGTGCTCCAGCATTGAAACTCTCCTTTATTTTGACTGACCTTGGCTGGCATTAGTGAGCGATCGATTTCTGCTGAAGTTGTACCATTTGAGGCAAGGATGGGTGTATCCTTTGCTTTCAAACTAATTCAATTACAGTTGTATATCCTCAGCTTTCCATCTGTTCTCTTAAATCCCCTTCGATAAATTCAAATTACAGGGCACGGGTCAAAGAAGCCAAAAAGGTAGGACCATATTTTTGGCAGCCTAAGGTCTTCGATGCTAAAGTTTCCAGTTTTTTGTTGCTGCCACACTCCTTAAATACCACTTATGTATTTCTGTTTGACTATAACAACAGCAGTGGACAGTGTACCTGTCACACACAGGTGGTACACAGCAGGCAGGTGTAAGTGTGATACGGTCGGTTCACAAGTACTTCCAGGTAACAAAAGGCAGTATTATGTGGAATGTAATGCACAGGATCAATCAGAGACGGATCAGCACACCAAACCCTGTCCCTAACCATGTTTACTGTATGTTAGACAGAAATTCACCGACTTTCACTTAACTGGAGTGAACTTGAGTAGCTTTGTGTGAAAAGTGAACGAGAACAAGGACAACTTCGTTTCCACTGATTTGCTGTCCCAAGAAAATACCTGAAGAAGATGCAAGTGGTTTATTTTCCCTGTGCTGTGGTGAGTGAATGAAGACTGATACTCATTATCCTCTATCTTTATCTTTAACCACAGGTGTCATCCTGCCTTTGCTCGCTGTGAACTTCTGCATATTGCTGCACTTGCTAATTTCCCCCCTGGTTTCACTTTTGCATATTACAATCACCATAAATGTCTACCTGGTTTAAAATTATTCTCCCAGCTTTCTTACTTATGATTGACCCTGTATCACACCATGCTTTGTCATTTTGTGAAAGTTGTATGGAAAACACTTAACAAAACCAGAACGTGCAATAGCATCAATAATAAAGAGTGAGCTCATTCTAGCTTATGACAATATTGGAGGGTCACAAAAACCTGAACGTGGAAAAAAATTCAAGAGAGTTTAGATAACACCAACAAAAACCCTGTGTGGTCAAAGATGAGCAAATAAAACTCTATGAGAGTGGACAATGCAGATTTTTGTACAATCCTTTTTTTTTTTTTTTTTTTTAAAGAAATATTTATGACAAATTCCAGATTTTTGACAAATTCTGATTCAAAAGCGAGACTCTTCCTGGCGCTCCTACATCCCATCCGTGTTGATTCCTGACATGTCCTTACATGTCTGCAACACTAGAGGGCGGCAGCACCATCTTTCAGTTCAGTAATGTGACAGCTTTGAAGTCATGCACCGTCAAAGGCCACTCCCAGTTCGATGAGTGCAAAACTAAATAGACAATCAACTCTCCGTCTACAGTTTCATCTTTGAGGACGTTTGATAAGACTACAGTTCGTCGTCAGAGAGCAGAGTGGTCCAGCTTGTCCTGCTCATAGTCCAGTTTAAGGGAAGTAAAGACAAAAACCTCAAGGGGTCACTGTGTCCGAGCTTATTGATGACTGTGGGTAGCAAGATTGTGGAAGATTTCGCAACTTTATTGACACAAACGGCAGTGTTCGTTTCCTTTATCTTCTCTAGTCCTGACTGAGGAACCTCATCAGCAGGTTGTGCATCTGATTCCTCAAACATCCATGCAAACTGAAACGAATCCAACAAAGTCAGCAGTCTCCAGCGGACTCTCAACAATAAAAAAAAAAAAAACGACAACGGAGAAACATCAGTCATTCACCAGCTTCTTATAAAGATAAAAACAAAACAAAAAAAAATCTTGTTGTTGTGTTTGTTTCAGGCAAAGTCAGGTCAAGTGATAGGGCTCATGGGGTCGGATGATCCGATGATGTCATAAGGCCACGACGGTGCATGGGTGTTTGAGTTTACAAGGCAGCACTCCTCTGTTGAGCTGGTAGAACTCCACCAGCTGGATCAGGTCGGTGAATTTGGTGGCGCCGTCATCAAGGCTGAAGAAGAGTTGGCCGTCCTCTTCACACTGTCAGGAAAGGAAAGCAGGGAGATGGTAGGAAGAGAACTGATAAGACCAACAGTATATATCACTCTTTGGCTTTACAAGTTTGGGGAGTTTGGAGCTACAAATAAAATGACTAAAAAATAAAACTATAAAACTTTGAAGCTCCTGTGAGGGTTTTTTTGTTTGCATTGATTTGTGCACCTCCTGTGGACAGTGCACCTCTTGTATTTTTGCTTATCTTGTCCTGTACATGTGTAAGTCATGTTTCCTGACACATGATCTTATCCTGCTGTGTCAAATAAATCAGTCATCATACAGTAAACGTAATGAAAAAGTGCTTTGTCTGATACCTAACCCCACTCAGCAGTTATGGGCTTTAAAAAATTACATACGGAAGTGGTACACCTTGGTGGTTATATTCAACTTTGCATTTATAGGCTATAAGGGACATTAATGTTAATTTCAATCTGTTTTATAACCAGCAAAAGGTTCTTCATGGGAACTTTAATTTCAGTGCAACTTCTTATATTCACCCACCTAACTACAATCACTTTTTTTGTTCATCAATATTCAGAACTTTTGAGTTGCCACTCCTTGAAACCAGTGTGATGACATTATTTTCATTATTTTTATCAAGGAAAATAGTTTTTCTTACACATTCAGGAAAAAGAAGATTAATCAATAAATGCAACGTACCGGTAGTATCTGGAAATGTTTGATTTTCTGGTGATGGCACAACGTGAGCACAAATGCCTTGGGGTTACTCTGACTGACTCTCAGCAGAAACAACCTGTGTAGCAAGAAAAGGAGATGGTGTTAGGGTGAAAAAAAAAAAAACACTTAAAATAAACCTTTTTTTTCCGTATTTAAATCTAGTTTAAGCTCCAGCTTTCTTACCCGTCTACTTGTCCCTGCTGGTGGATGATCCGATGAGATTCCTCTCTTGTTATCCTGCCGTGGAACCACAACTGAGCCATATGGATGACTGCAGGGAAATATACTGTTTATTTCAATTGAACTGAACTGAAAAAAATAATCTCCATAAAGAGAAACTAAATTCCGTGCATGTACCTGAGTTTAGTGAAGAGTGGTGTAGTGGACTGTGGGAACCTAATATGTTCATTCGTTGACTCCTCTTCTGAGAAAGAGGCCACAAACAGACAGATAAAACAGGGATTAGTTCATACAGGACAATCCAGAGATGGTCATCAGACTAGATTGTACACACCAGAAAAAATGAGAGCCAAGTCAAGATATCTGACACTAATATTTTGCAGATGATCTTCACCCATCCCTCTTTTCCTGCTTTCTATAACTGACAAATCCTCACTTTCACTGAGAGGATAAGTTGCTACATGAATACATGTGCTAAATAAATAGTTCCATCTGCAGTCAGTTTCCAAGGCTCCGCTCCTGGCTTTGTTGACAGAGGTAAACTGAAAACCTGATGCTGTGTCTCACCCGCCACGCATGTCCCTCCTCCATGGCAGCGCTCTGAGCTTCTACTGGGTTGTCAATCACTCTGCCTATCCTCCCTGAGAAATCCATCGCCACGAGGGAGTTCTCTGACACACTCCGCTAGAGGGAGACAGAGATACACAAGAGTCACAATGTGGACACAAAGTGGGGTGCAGCTGTGTTCAATGCAGTTCATACTTTTGTACATTTTTGACATTATTTCTGCACAAAGTTGTACAGATTTTCTTAAACTGTGTAAAACCTGAGATGCCCTAATAAAGAACTGAGAGGTAAACTTACCACAGGTGCTGAGAAGTGTGAAAGTAAGGTTTTTCTCTGTTGAGGAATCTTGTAGTTCTGGTACAAAACAATCCCATACTGTTGAGAAAAAGAAACAAAGAGGTAAACAAACAGAAAATACTTCACGAGTGATTTGCTCAGTTAAATTTTTAGTTGCTGCCCATCAGAGGTTGTTCCCGCCCACTGCTTGCTTCAACATCTATGTCGCATAATCTAGAGAGAGTCGTACTTTTACCTTAAAGAGTCTGAAGGCCGTCATCCAACATATCCTGCCCTGTTCATCTTCGGCACACAGCATCCTCAACTCCTTCACCTCCCCTCGACCTTTATTGGGCTGCAGATTAAAAGTTTTATGAGTAAGAGCACAGATTTTCAAGTTTTATATGAATTAGTCTCCCTTCACTTGAGCCTCACCTTGATACAGAACCCGTAGTCTGTGGGAGCACCGTGCAGCTTTTTGCCTGTGATGACGGTGAAGATGTTGCTGTCTTCAAGGTCTGCTAGTAACTGTAGATGTCGGGGCTCCTGCAGACAGAAATAATTAATAAGTCTGCACATCACAGGGAAACACAGCCTGGAGGTATGCCGTCAAAGAAGAGACCACCATAAATAAAAGGAGGATTTTTTTTTAAAGGTAATTACTTTCAATCTGGAAGATTTACTATGTTATTACTGTTACATTTTATAGTTGAGCGTATAAAATTACAACATAAACTCCTTCCCTTGAAGATAAAAAGAAAGAGCGTCTGTTACCTTTGAGGTTCCTTTTGTAGAGCAGTAGAGACCCGAGCGCCGCAGGAACATGTAAACTTTCTTCCAAGACTTTCTCCCCACCTCCTTCACATACAAATAACCCTGAATCTCTGGACAGCTGCTGGCTGCTAAGAAGTTCTATAAGAGGAAGAAGAAGAGACACAAAGCAGGGCTTCAGCACAGGAAAGTTTGGATTTTTCACTCTATAATATCCTCCAAAAAGAGTCCTCCGCCTCGGGAGTGGGAGACGCTGTATCCCATCTGAAGCCTGTAAGCTCTCTGTCGCCGTCACAGCAGAATACCAAAGACTGCAGCAGAAAGCATCTGTAGAGGCATCGCAGACGGGAGGTGATTGCTTTATGTCAAAGAGTGCAGCGCCACGAGGGCTTCTTGCATCAGTGAGTGAGTGAGATAAAGAGTGACAGCTGATGGCTGAGATGTGCGACAGCTTAAATTCCAACACAATTAAGAAAGGGGCCATGTTAGGGTGAGAGACTGTGCTCGTGTCTGAAAATCAAAGGGTGCAGACGACAGTGTATGCATAATTTATGTATGTTTTTGAGCAGGCTCTCTGAAGTCTTTTCAACAATCACGATGTGTAATGTATATTTATAAACGTGTATTGTCTTTTATTGTGTTTCTGTTATCGTCACCTGCCAAAAAAAAAACTTCGGATGTAAATTAGCATCCCTGCAAACTCGTGATGTTCGCTTGTTTGTTTCTCTTTTCACGAGACTCATCAACATGCTCTGTCTCCCTCAACAAACACCTCAATTAATGACAAAAAAAAAGGAGAAAAGAAAACAATATTTCATACTTTCAAACTTATGTCGTGTGCCTGCCAAGACAAACCCAGAGGGTACACAAAGTCAACATGCACATCATTCCTATAAGGAGACCTTAAGGCCTCGGTTGTCTAGAGAGTGTCAGAAGTATTTTAAGTTTCACACCATGAAGTGGCAGCTTGAGTTAATAGAGCTGATTTGGATTTTGTGGCTTGCGGCTGGGAGGTGAGCTGTTCCAGAGGACTCTTCAATATTTAAAGCACATGTTCCCCAGTGTTTTGGAAACATCGTACCTTGAGCCTCACGCATGAGCTTTTTTTCCGACATCTGCGGAGTCACGCTCACATGTAGCAATCGTGCAAAAAAGCTTTCTCTTCCAGGCGCTACAGTTCGCTGATTTCTGTTGACATATGCGTCTTGCATAATGGCGAATAATGCACAAACACCTGGTTGAGTTCAGGTCAGAGAGCATTTCTTGTTTGGACTGAACTGCAGATGAAGATGTTGCGTTTAAAGTTAATCAAACACTAAAGATTCCTGACACATCCCAGGCTTACCACATCCCCTTTCATTTATTGACTCCTCTATGTAGAGCATAACAGAGCACAATCTCTGTGTGATGAGCGGGAGAGTTTAAAGCTTTCTGTGAGTGCAGAGCATGAAGGAAAAGGATTGCAGCGGTGGCTCTGCCTCTGACAGCTCCATTACTTGATCCAGGAGAGAGAAACCCTCCGCACATTCAGACCAAAGCTCGACAAAATCCCAAAGATCTGAGACTTTTTCCTTTTATCTGTGTGCCTTTTGTGAGATGGGTGTGTGATAGCATGACACAGGTGTATGAATTTGTGCTATGCAAACACCCGGTAGGCGGGTGAGGAACTGAGTGTTCTATTTCTGACTGCCTAATTCCATCCGTCGTGAGTGTCGGGCCTGCGGTGCGTGTGCCGAGACAGTCATGTGTCAACAGGGGATCAACAGTAGTTATTACTGCAGGCTCTGACGAGACACACTGTCTCAGGGTCAGAGGTGAGCTATGTCAGCTTGATTGTACACTATGTGGCGGCTGCTGACTCCAAGGTAAACTGAGCTGTGTGCGTGTCAGGAAGAGGAGAGAACGAGAGAGAGACAGAGAGAGAGAGAGAGAGAGAGAGAGAAATGTGTGTCTACGTGTGTGTGTGTTTGTTGTATGTACCTGAAGGAGCTGAGATGGTGGAATCGTACGACTGCTTTCCTGGCACCATGCAACCATGTGCTCCGGGAAGAACGTCTGGTGGAAGAGAGGCAGGCAGACAGAAAATATCAGCCGCTGAGAGGAATATGTGAATAAGCGACATCATGCAAATCTCATCAAGAGTCAGCTGACACTGAATTTTATTAGAGTACATGATGAGAAAGAAATGTTTTCTCTCTTTAAAGCAAGTAGCACAAGGAAACTGTCTTTGAACATCTCTTTTTCAAAGATGGAAATCTATAAATCCAAGACAAATAGTTTTAAAACTTTGCTATACTTAAAGCAGAAAGAAATGTAGGTGTTTGTTTTGAATTATCTAAATAATCTTTGTCAAAAAAGTTCAGACGAGATAAAGAAAAATTAAAAAACAGAGATGAAAATCCATGAGAGGTTGTTGCCACAGGCTAACACTGAGTATGTCATTGTGTCGCATAACTTGACAAAGAGGATGTCATGAGTGACGAGCTACGTAAACAAAAGCAATTACCAGAGGGTTTCTGAAGAACTCATATTTGGCATAGTTTTTCCTGAAGAGGAATCTGCTGTCACTGTTCATGGAGGCCTGCACTTGAACCACCAGCTCATGATCTTCTAGACAGCGCTCTGAGGAGAGAGGAGCACAAACACACGATTTTAGTATTGCCTTTTTTTTCTTAGAAGTACACCAAAAACATCATTAAATTACAGAATTAAATAAAATTACATAAATGATAGAAAGGGTCCAAAAAGAGGAAGTCTTAGCCTCATAAGTTACAAAATCTATTTTCAAAGTGCTCAGTGTACTTTTACTCACGATAGAAAAATTAAGTTAATCTCCAACAAAAATCAAGCAGCGATTTTTCCATAACAGCCGTCATCTGTGCTGTTAAGAAAATAAGCAAAGTCTGATGTTTGTTTTATGTGTAATTTAGCCAGACATGTTTTCTTTAATCTAATCCATGAGACAAAAAGTAAACACGAACTATCTTTCACAACTTTCATGAACACACATCGTAACATCAACTACATCTGAACAACTATGATCACACACTTAGTAAAAGAGATTATTTTAGGTGATCAATACTGGAATCAATACTTTAAAAAGATGAATGCTACTGAATAATCTAAAATAATTCTGTTTTCTTCCCCAATAAAACGTGATGATCAGACCGAGGTTTGTCTTCATGAACAGTTGAAGAGGACGTGATCTCCTCATACTCATGTGGCGGTCAGAGGTCATGTGGACTTATTTTCCATCACTGAGACGCTGAAAGCGCTCATGACTCAGTCGATTCCAGCAGCATTACACATTCTCTCTGTCATGTTTTAATGAAAGACTTCCTTCCCCTCAGCGGATTTAATTAAAATGTTGTAACTTGTTGAACCTCTGCAATAAAACTCTGATGTCGGTTTTTTGAACTTCAGAGAGACTTTACAGCTCTATCTCACATGATTATCACATTTTGTGTGTCCCCTCTTCACCCTTTTTCTGCCCTTTTCCGTCTCTAACACACCGTCACGACTCGTCTTTTTTCCCTCCCGTTTCCTCTTGTTGCCTGTCTCATGACTCATTCGTGTTCGTGACAGTGACTCACCCTGAAAACACTACCTCACTGTCCCACACATGTTAACCTTTATGGGGTGACAAGTAGAGGTCAGACTTACTTATCTCAAAGGGGGTATTTTATTCCATTCAGCAGAGGACTGAGAGTGGGAAGTGATGGACAGGAATAGACCGCTCTATTCAAATGCAGTATTGTTCCTTTCCCTCTGTAACTATTCCTGTCCACCACCAAACCACATGTGCACAAATGAAGAATTACAGCACATGCATGTGCAAAGCAGATGTCCAGAGTCAGCACTCAGACATTTCACAATTCTAATTATTGTTCAGAAAACTATGTGCATTACAAATATGTTTCAGAGGAAAAAATCTGCGCATATACAACACACAAAACACAAACACTCCAAGAAGTAATTCAACCACAAGTAAGTCACAGCATGTATCTGAATGGCATCTGGAGATCCCAGGTACCAACTTTACCTTTGTATATCCCACTAATTACCAACCAGACACCAAAGTAATAAATAAAGGACACTTGTAACTTCTATTTGCAACTAGTTTTTGTACTTGCAGGCTTCACCAAAAGGTATGAATTGACAAAACAGTCCAAGAAAACCTTATTCTTTCTTTTAGAGGTCATATTTGGGGGTCTCTACTGAAAGACAGCACACATCAGAAAGTCAGAAACTGCAAAGAGAGAGTGGGGGAAGACGTGTGGCAAAATGGCGGGGAATTGAAACTGAGTTCAGGCCGCCCACTTTTGGGGTGACAGCCTCCATAAATGGGGTGCACAATTCATCTTTTGAGCCAAACTGGTACCCCAGATAACTTTTTAACACTGAACTGACTTTTTGTTTTTATGAGCTTAACTGACTGTAACTTTGATCTCATAAAACACAACTTTAATCAACTGATCTTGTACCATTTACATCTTCTTAATCCAGAACAGAGGATTCTGATAGCAGCCATTTTTATATTTCATTTCATAAAATATAATAATTTAAACAACTGTTTAGGAGAGAAAGAGACAAATTCATGACTCACACACTTGGAACTAGCCACATTTTTTATCTATCAGAAAGGGACAGCAATAAGACAACTAAAAGGGTTTTCAAATGTTCAAAATAAAACTGAAGCTAAACAACAGCTATTAGGATACCACACATGTACAATCAACACATTACACAGAAGTATGAAAAAGGACTGTGAATGGAAATCAACACAAAATACTGAAAAATATGATATTTTTACACTTTGGTTTTAGCGACAATTGATTAATATACAGGAGGTCTTTGTGTAACTTTGTGGTAGATGCAAATCCCAATGCAAACACAGCTGCAATGACACACACACACACACACAGACACACACAAACAGCCAGACAGGTACTGGTTTCTGTGTGGGATACATAACTTGACAATCTAAACATTAATTACTCTACTGCGTTTTGTCTCATTTACTACAACTTCTAAAAAAAAACCTACTATAAGTCCGTATTCTAGCACAGACTGAATACAGTTGCAGTACAGGTGAGCCAGCATAGAAGACGGCCTCTAATAGGATAAAATGACTGCGAGCCAAGAATGATGTCATCTACAACAAGCCAGCCTAACTGTATTTGGCAGCATGGTGTTGGCAGCTCTGATGAGAAATGTAATCAGATCATGATGGATGGAGAAATATTGGGTTAGAAGTTTGGGAGTGGTCCTTTAAATAACACAATATATCTTACGAAAGTTTCCTCACATGACAGCATGACGGAGCGTGTGGTTGTAGGACTAACTTTGGTGAAAGATAAAAATAAGCTGAAAAAAGTTGTCAGATATAACGAGTAAAATTTTGTCTCTTTTTACTTCTACTGTGTGTTTCACCACCAGGCTTAGAGCTCTATATTAAACTAACCCCCTTCTCTCCCACATCTGTTAAACTGTACAGACACGCGCACAGAGCACAGGCTCAACTTGTCTCCATAAGTGCTTTATAATCACCCTTTCCTCAGGGGGAGGTTGGGTTTTCTAGCATTTAGCTGGCCACGGCTTTCTGAACTTGGTGTTATACTGCCAAGTGTAACACAAAATCAGCAGAGCTCATTCACTTCTTTATACAGCAGCAGATTAAAATTACCCCTACATTAAACCCAACAATATAGCATTTTCAGAGCTGTTCTCTCCTCTTCAGACTTCTTCTTGCCTCATTGTAACCATGTTTGGTTTTCAACGATACTGAAACTGTGAGAGAGCTCTGTTTTTTTTCTTCGTGTGACACTAACCTTCTCTACACTTTCTCCAACACCTTAATAAATGTTTACCTCTTCATCTGTGAAGAATATGCAACCAGCTACTTATGCTAACTAACACTCAAAGGCAATATTATCAACCTGAGCTGCTGTGACAAACTTTCATTTTGTCGTTTTCTGCGGACAAGTTGGTTTGCCTCAATTTTTTGCCTGGAATTTTTCACTTTTGAACTCCAGGACCTCACTGCAGGTACACTGACAGTGCCCAAATGTTTAAAGGATGCCCTGTTATAGTATTCATAAGATGCAGCATGCTCTCTGATTTATTCCTTTGAATAAACAACTTTCTTTTCTCACTCAGAGCTTTGCCTAGTAGCACCCGTAGGTGGCGTTTTCAGTTACCAAAATATCCCTGTTTTTTTTTTTTTTTTTGCCTGAAACTTGCTTTCAACAAAGTAGCACAGGGCCTGGAATAACCTGAAGTCTGTCCTGGATCTTTGTCCAGACCCAGTCTGATTTGTTGTATTTTTGTATTTTTTTATCTTGGGTCATAGAAAGACCTGATTCGACGCAGTCTGCTGACCTTAAATGAGCCTGACGGAGTTAAAAATAGCAGTGAAGGATGTCAGATACCATATGATCCTCTCTGTTGCTATCATTATCCTGTGCATGATCCAGAAACTTTTTCTCCCGACCACAAACACTAAATTAGTTTCTCTGTAAAGCTCACAAGAGTCCTTAGATGAAAGCCTTGGGGCTGTGACATTTATCAATAACTGCTTTTGTTTCATTTATGAACTGGGACCAAATGGAGTTTCTGCTGGTTTCCCAAGAGGCCTGAGAGTATTGGTAAGCTCAAAAAGTAACCTACTTTCGGATCTGATGTTTACTTGCATGATATAACCTCAGAAAGTTCGACCATACATTGTTTTTTTATGCTTCCAACCACATTGTCAACAGTGAATTTTTATCAGGTCACACAGGAAATCAGCCTATTATTTTATAATGATGAATTCAACATAATCCATCGGCTTATGTTCTCATACTCAAAGCAGAAACTTCTCCCAACAGCCCCCCGTCACACCATTCGGGCATCATACTAATGAGTCAAAAATCACTGATCCAGCCTTGCTCAGGCCATTATGATCTCATGTACTTAGCATTGTCTATTTCTGTCCTTTTCTACTCGCTTGCATGCTAACCTGCATGTTTTCCAAAGACAAGCAGCTCAATGTCTGTCTCAGTTTTTCACATGATTACATAGCTCTGCCCGGTCTGGATAATACTGCACAGCTACAGCAGCGTTTTCACACGCTGACAGTGTTGTACATGATTAGATCACTGAACATTATAGCCCTGTGCGTGCATATGCTGTATAGTATACACATGCACTCATGCTTGAATATATCCCTGCGTGAGAATATGCGCCTGAACTGTCTGCATGCCCAAGTATGTGTGCACACATGTATACATGTGAACGCAGCTGTGTGTGTCAGTGATTGTTTTCATGTCTCAGCCAAACCAAATTACCAAGAGTCCGTATGGGAAAACTTTGTGTAAATTAGTGTGTTAGTGTGTGCATGTTTCATGTGTGTGAGTGGTCCTGCCCCTTACCTAGCCCAAGCAGCGGGTGGTGTTCAACAAGTGCCCAACTGTTGTCGTCGACACAATGGCTTTTATAAACCAGGAGCTGGCACAGGTCTCTGGCTGTCATGTCGGCTGGGATCTCCACCACTTTACCCATGCCGTCTTCACTGAAAATCTTCACAATCTAGAGAGAGAAAGTGCACAGAGTTCAACTTACTTAGAAAACCATCACTGTTTGGATTTATAAAGAGTAAGTAAATAGATATCATTTCTTTTAGCCATGTGTTATTGTGTATGAGAGACATGAAACAAAAAAGGCTAGAAAGCTCTCTTGGTTATGATCTCGTCACTTAACACAAGACAATTTTGAAAAGACAAACAGAGAGGTGGGTGAAGCTGGCAGTTTTTAAAACACTCTTTCAGTGTTTAACATACAGTGCCCCATACACCATCCCATACCCTGGCATATAATTACAGCACACAATACAAAAGTACAGACAATCAAGACCATGTAGCAATTGTGGTGGTAGAAATCACAGACAAGCGTTCCTTATGGCATATACTGTTGGTGTTATATAGACACAAATACAAACCTATGCTTTTGTGAACACAAAGCAGGACTGCTTACAGCGTTCGCGTACATACTTGTGTGTCTTCCCATGCAGCTCAAGACATAATGAGCATTGCGTTTCCAATTACAGATGATCAAGAAAAGGCATGCGACTGTGCAGAGATGAGACACGAGGGATGAAAACTCGAGCTCGAGAACGGATGCTTTATACTGCATATTTGTTTGATCTTAATATTTGTTTTCCAAAGCCGTTAATAAAAACCTGTTTTCATTGATAAAACTGACTCAGTCAAGTACCCACACACATGTTAACCCATGATTGATTCCCCCGGACTAACACGAACTCCACTTTCGAGTCTCATATGAGTAAAAGATATTAAACTTACATTCAGAAACCTTTGTGAGCGTCACAGATTCACTAAAAAATAAGGAAACACAAAGCTTCCTTCTTAGTTTGGCCATTAAATACTTCTGCAAAGTGTCGACAGGTTGGTTTCTCCAAAAGAAACCATGTAGTCACAGTCACAGGATATACATCAAATGGCCCACAGAGAGGGAGCTCGAGCTGGCTTCTGAACCTTGCAGAGGAATCCAGCCTTGTTAGCCTACACAGGAATCCAGCCTGCTTAGCCTACACATGTCATGTATGCACACTTCCCACATAACGTAGCATGACAAAGAAAAATTCTGTTCTCCTTTCTTCAGCAAAGACACGGCTTACAGCATCACGGTATGCACAAACCAGGCCTGAGGCGCACAACACATCCAAAATGGTCCGATGCAGAAGGAAGTCTGGATCAGTCAAAGCCGGTGACGTATTTGACTTGATTTTTTTACGGCTTTGCTCACATCTTGAAAAAGACAAACTGTCTTCAGCCTTTAAGGTATTTACACAGTCTGTGACTCGCCTCTGGTTGAGCAGAGCAGCACTTCAAAGAGAAATGGTCTTAAAATGTAAAGAGAGAAGAAGGCAAAGAAAGGCAGAGAGACACACAAGGAGAGATAAGAGACATAGAAAAGAGAGCGGCGGACTTACCTCCACGGCCTGCAATAGGCAGCAGTCCGGGGAACACGAAGGCATTTTTTGGAGTGAGCTTGGCTCCTCACACACTCACACTAACACACTCACACACAGTCACTAAGACAGGAAACCTCGCTCCTCTGTCGCCCTGTCTCCTCCAGAAACACAGGGACAAATTTGAATGCCGGCAGTTGACAGTTGCAGTTGTGCTACCTGTCACATAGCCTGCAGAGAAGTCCTTCAGTCTATGTAGGCCGCCCGCACTCTGTCTTTAAAAAAAGAAACTGTCTGTATGACCTAAAGCCGGTATCTGCACAGCTCACAGGACAGAGACTCAGAAACAGTCAGTGATCGGATGGCAGCAGGTACAGTACAGTGCTTCCAGTGCTGGCTGAGTCTGACAACTATCTTTCTTTCTCGCCCTCCCTCTCTCTCTCTCTCTCTCTCCCTCTCTCTCTCTCTCCCTCACAAAGGGTTACAGCCTCAGCCACGGGCTCTGAGGCACACTGAATCAAACCACACGCTCACCAACCAATCATAAGGCTGCAGCAGGCTGATGTAATCATTCCCACACAGACCCAGGCTCGCACACATACAGAGGCACGCACACGCACACACACACACACACACACACACACACACACACACACACACACACACACACACACACACACACACACACACACACACAGAGTCCAGTAGACACACAGACGCACAGTCATGCACAGACACAGGCAACTTTTTTAGACCTCTTTGCGAGCTTCAGTTTCTTTTCAGAGCAAGGATCATTTGAGAAGGGTGTGGGGCAGAGAGGAGGAGGAGGAGGAGCAGCAGGAAGAGGAAGAAAGGATAAAGGAAGGAGTGTAAAAGTTTGTCTTTGCCTCCTCAATGTGAAGAAGTTTTCAAGTGAGGGCTTGTTGGCTTTTCTCTGGTTTTCTTTTCCTCTCCCTCCTTTCTTCCTCCTTCTCTCCTTCCCTCCCTCCCTCCCTCCTTCCCTCCCTACTTCCCTGTGGCTTAACTTTGAACTCCCCAGTCAGATTTCTCTGCCTCTCGCAGCAGTAACAAGACTCATTACAGTGCAAATGAAATGAAACAAACCTGGAGCAGCACTTGAGCACTCCGACCTTCTCCTCCTCCTCCCCTGGTGGTTATAGCTTTGTGCCAACATTCTTTCTCTCCAAAGAACAAAAAAGAGAGAGAGACTTTTTGCACACACATGCACACACTCAGACATGCACACACTACCCCCCACCCCTCTTTTAACCCCGATATTTAATACGGCATCAGACAGACCAAAGACTTGACACACCCCGTCTGGGACAGGCGACGACAGCTTGACGGTGTCCTTCAAGCAACTTTTTCTTCAATTCTCTCCTTTCCCAGGAAAATGCCGTGTATGTGTGTTAGTACAAGTGTGGGTGAGGTGTAATCCAGGAATAAGCACAGTTCCTCGACAGGAAAGGGGAAATAGTGGTAAAACTGTTAGCTGTCAAGGAGCTATGTCTTAATTTACTACAGCGGGAAACTTTGGAGAGGGAAAAGGGAGTTTTGTGGCTGGGGGAGGGGAGAGAAAGAAATGTGTGTATATTTGTGTCAATGACTGCACATGCACACAGGCACGTATGTGGGTGTGTGTGAGTGGGATAGGGAGAAGCAGGAGACAGATAGACGTGAGAAGTGAGGTGAAAAAGAGTGGGAAGCTAAAGGAAGTGAGACACAGAGAGAGAGAAAGAGAAAGAGAGAGACTGTCTGGTGACACACTGCAGCAGAATGTGCAGTATGAATGCTTCTTACTGTTAACTACATATCTAGCCTGCACAGCTGTCTCTCCCACCCAGCCCCCCCCCCTCCTCACGCAGACCAGTGCACACACACACACCCTCATCTACGTCACACTTAGTCAGCCAGAGGGGAAAGCCCCAAAGAGACTCACACATGCTGCAATACACTCCATGTTTTCACAGACAGTAATCATTAATGATGGTTCCTAAACCGGTTGACCTCAGCCCCATTCCACATATATTGAGTCAAAGGCCTGAAGACATAATCTTCTGTTTGCTGCAGTTTAGATGTATGTAAAGACAGAGGTGTTTGCCATTGCTGTGAATAAGTCAACACACCCTATATGACCTGGTCTGGCTTTGAAATGAAAAGCTGAACACACAATGAGTTCAACACAATAACTGCACGATTATCTCCTGATCCGCAGGTGGAGTCAAGTGTTTGTTTCACAACTATGAATTCAAGTCTTGTTTGTTAAGGCCAATGTCAGGCTGCTAGGCCTGCAGGTTTGTTCAACGCAGATGCAAAATGTGTCATTGTTTGATTTGAATGCTGCTTCATGAGGTCAACATCAAACAGAGTCAAATGGCAGTCCTGCGTTACAAACAAAGTTCTGTTAGTGTACAGCGTGTACAGAAAAAGGGCAGCAGTGCTCACTCTATAGAAATTTAAATCAGGGATACACAATACTTGACTTTTGTTGACATATTAAAACTAATTTTGGTCAATAATGATATTATATGAACACACTTTTTTTTACAGTGAAGACTATGCAGCCTTTCCTGGACTAGAATTTACTTGTTACTCTTAATATGACAAAGTATTTTTTTATGAAACAAGACAACAACATTTAATTCTACAATAAATGAGACAGGTATTTTTCAGTGATGTGCCAGCTGACACAAAATACTTCTATATAGCCAGCATGCTTAAGCTTCTTGTTCGGGCCTGAAAGCTTTCATTACAGACATATGACTACTGCGTCAACCTACCAGCCACAATTATCAGCAGAAAATGTAAACTCATCCAGCACAGATGATTAACTTTTTTAAGCGGTCAATACTGATAGGATTCTGATAATATTGAATATCCCTAGCTAAAACATGCTAAATCAGTGCCTTATTTTTACACATCGCAAATTTTCAAATTTCTACTGTCTACTATGACGTTTTTAACAGATCACTGTGACAGCTATTACTGACCGGTATCTAATTGTGTGACTTCACTTCATGGGAGCGCCACATAAACACACACACACACACACAGTACTGTTCTGCCCTGTCAGCTCCTACGCTGCAAATTGCTACTGTTCTCTCCTCATTATGCTTCTGTTACAACCGCTGATGGCAGATTATAAACACAATGACTTCACCCAACCATTCTGCCTCCAAGACAAGGTGAAGCCAGGGTCTAAATATCCTGCCTTAAACTGGCAATCTGTAAGAGACATAGATTGTAGCTGATAGTGGTGGGAAGTAAGGTGGGAATCAAGCTTTACCACTAAAATAACAACTCTTAATCCTTAGTCAGGGTTCAAACACAGGTGGGGTTAACATGAACCTTGAGTCACATAATGCCCCCACAGTAAACCCCAGTGAGGCAGGGATAAAGCTGTTGCCTAGAGAGTGTTGGCTATTTCAGTAAAATAAAAAAAAAATCATACATCAAAAAAATAAATGTGGAAAAAGTTATTCCCACAGACTGCTATGGTCGATCTCCAGGGCAAAAACATGACTCTCAAATCCTATTTGATGCACAGCATTAAGTAGTGGTGCAACGGATCATCATTGATCCGTGATCCGTTCGGATCGACGTATTCGGTTCGGCACACATGTGATCCGCGGATCGATTTCTGAAAGCGGAGAAAGGAGGAGCTCGAACGCCCCGCGACACTTAAATCCCCTGTATGGGAGCATTTTGGCTTCCCTGTCAATTATGATGAAGAAGGAAAGAGGTCAGTGTACAAAACTGCGACGGAGTGTAGGCACTGTGGCATAAGAAAGCCATATGACAGTGGAAACACATCGAGCATGTTCACGCATTTGAAGCGACATCACCCGGGTGTTTTACTGACAGGTGTTGTGCCGTAGATTGCACCCCTGCCGTAGAACGCACCCCCTGCATCCCCTCCACCCGTTAGCTTCTTAAAGTGGAGATAATGATCTCATATTTGATATGAATAGCCTGAATGAAATTATTAAAGGCAAACGCTGTTGAATACATCCAACGTAAGGAAAACTTGTATTATTTCGCCTTGTTATGTACTTTCAACCGCGCTCCCGTTAGGGTGTGCACTATACGGCAGGGGTGCATTCTTTGGCATAACACCTGAGATAAAACGAAAGCTGCCCAACAACCGCTCATCACCGCAGCATTTAAGCAGCCTCTTCCTGCGCAATCCGACCAGGCTAAAGCTTTCACAAACTCTATCGGTGTGTTTATAGCTGCAGACATGAGGCCGTATTCAGTTGTGCAAAACGAGGGCTTTAAAAACATGCTGAAAGTGCTTGAGCCACGTTACGACATCCCATCGCGCACACACTTCATTTTTGGTTCATTGTTACATTTTAAAGGAAGGAGATATGCCTGTATATTGTACTTTAAGTTGTTTTTCATTAATAATTATGTTAAAAAGAAGATATTATGCCCTGTGCACTACTTTTATATATTTTATTTGTCTTGTTTTTTTTTCTTTTTGCTGATCCGAAAAATGATCCGATCCGTGACTCTTGATCCGAGGAACGATCCGATCCGTGAGTTTTGTGATCCGTTGCACCACTAGCATTAAGCTAAGTCCTGTTTAATTATTCGGTTTAGTGTGGAGTTATAGTTTTATATGAACAGGAGAAGTCAGATCTTTGCTCACAGAGGTCAAACTAAGGCTGATTATGTATAAGTACCCCAGGTCAAACACAGGGTAAGTATGTGAGGTGCATTTATTGCAGACAACATGAAGATTAAAAAATGATTGAAAGTTATGTCTGAGGTACTGTAAATTAAAACAGCACTCAGGTTTCTTTGAGGATCTATTTAACTCATTGAGCAAATGAGTATTGTGGGAACATGATGAACAGGGCAATCTCAAGAAGGCTAACAGGAAAAGCAAAAGAAGTCTGGGCCAGTTTGGAGAAGGATATCAGAACAGAATGAAGAATGAATCATCATCAGAGTAGCTCTCCTGTAAACACCATCTCTATGAGGTTTTTGGTGCTGGCCAATTTTGACGGACCAATTTTGTTGTTTGTCAAAGGCTGCTATTCCAAATGCTGCAAAGAAATCTCGTGAGCATACTGGGCAGGAGCTGTGGAGATCTTATCCTGAAGTGAGGCGGTATCATTAGACTGCCACGTGAGTGGAAGGAATGAGATAGCAGATAGAGATGACAGCTGAGTGACACGTTTTAACTGGCCTACTCCACTTCTACATCTTCTTAAAGGCAAAGACATGAGGGTGAAGAACGAGTCATGGCCAAATGAGGCAGAGAGAAAAGGTGTAAGAGGTGAAAATGAAACTATCAAATAAAAACAGAAAGTCTAAAAAAAGGACATGAAAGAGAAAATGAAAGCATAAAAGAAAAAGAAAGAAAAATTAAAAGTATAAACCAGAAAGAAAAAGTAAATAGCAGAGCAAAACAGAAAGAAAAGACATAAACAGTACAAAGAGAAAACACATATGGAAAAAGGATTAAAGAAAAACATAAGAATGAGAAAAAGAAATTAAAAGACAAGAACAGACGGAACAGAAATTTGAAGAAACAAAAGAAAAATGAGATAAAAGAGAATAAAAAGGAGGAGATGAAGATAAAGAGATAAAAAAGTAGGGGTTAGTCATTAAAAGAGAAAAGTTTTTTACTCAAACGGGAAAGAAAGAAACAAGAAAAGAACAAGTGACCCAAAGAAAAAAGACATCTGAAGATGAAGAAAGAAAGAAAGAAAGAAAGAAAGAAAGAAAGAAAGAAAGAAAGAAAGAGAAATTTCTCTCTCCTTTAATGCTTTTCACTGTGTCCTCATTTTGATGGAGGGGCTGAACAGAGCAGGGCCTCTCAACCTCTCTGATGACTCAGGTCTGATAACTTCCTTGTGATGTAATCCCCCCGGGACAGACTGAGAGCTTCAGGCAACACACACTCATTCACAGACACAAAGACACACGCGTACACATGCACGCACAGACACACAGGCACCCAGATGTGCTTACATACACATACATGCACATCTTGAGACACATTGCCAAGCACATATTGTACATTTTGAGTATGCTGGAAGTTCTGGACACACAGAAACACACTCTGTCCGGCACACACACACACACACACACACACACACACACACACACACACACACACACACACGCACACACACACACACACACACACACACACACACTTTCCTCTTTAAGAGCCACAAAGACAGAGTTCAACAGAAACTAGACAGGCTCAATGAGACAAAAAGAAAGTAAACTGCTCTGTGTGAGAACGTGCTTTGTGCAAACTTGAGTATGTACATAAGCATGTGTGTGCACACCCAACAACTCACACGCATCCATCTCTCTGAGAATTGGCTCCCGCACTATAAATAGTCCTACTGGCATTACGTACACATTACAGGCCATTACATCAGATAGGAGTTACTGTGGGAGATTACCATCCTAAAAAGACTATTAGCCATTAGGCATGCAAGCCCCCACACACTTTAGGATCCATTACAAGCAGGCAGTTTGAAGCTGTTTAAAAAGGGAGGAAACCCAGAGAGAAGAAAGTAAGTGATGGTTAAAAGGCAGTGACAATGTATCATAAGACTCCTCGTCACTTATATCACAAAGAAATGTTGGTGTGTCAGCTTGCGGACAAGCCAGATATGCAAAACTCCACCCTGTGTTGACTCCCAACTCTTCCTGGAATATCGAAACAAGAGGGGAATTCTGTCTGATTAACATGCATGCAAGGGACTTTCTTGCCCTGAGTTAAGCCTACAGGCTATACTGCAGACAATTATGGTGTACTCTAACCTTAACCACAGCCCTTTGGAGGACCTCTCCATTCCAAGATCACAACATCCAATTGGTTATGCTTTTTGGTAGCAGTACAAACGATATTTTGTGAGAAAAAGAGTATCAAGCTCAAACAGTAAACTCACTAGGTAAATATAAAGATAAAAACAACATAGGCTGGTTTAATTTCATAGAACTTTTGATTTACTTATGGCAGCATAACATGATATAAAGGAGTCCTGAAGAAAAACTAAATTTTGTTATCGAGCAAGACTAGTTCCTCCAACAGAACCCACTGGAACATACCCAGTTGAGTCCAGAGTGGAAAATCTACACGACCTTGACATTTTTCGATCTAGTTTTAGATGTCTTCTGACTTTTTTAAAATCAAAAACAATACAGCATTGTCCAGGCTTTGCACAGATTTATTGCACAGGGATTTACTTGTCTTCTATATAAAATACTTACAAGGCCCTGGCTTTTAGCAGGTCATCAGTCTTGCCAAGACAAACCCCTACACTGTCCACTTTTAGCTTTATCTGTTCCATCGCTGCCCTACAAAACCTCTTTACGTCTTGCCAAAAAAGAACTGTGGCCATTGATAAGCTGATTTAGCTCACACGACCCACCCCTGCTTCAAATTCCCATTAACAAGTGCCCTCTATAAAGCCCCTCTGACTGTAATGTGGGGCTGTGTGTGGTCTCAGCCGCCCCCTGGAAGCTGGCATCCGGATGATGAGATGGAGACACAAAAAGAACCTGAATGGGCCTCGGACAATTGGCTGTACCCGCTCAGCGCCTGTAGTCAGCAGAGGTGGGAGGCGCTAGCCAAGAAAACTCTGCTGACTCATGAGGAAGGGACGGTGAACTGTCCCTTGTCATCCAATTACCGCGTCAAATTAAGACCCAAGACATAAAGGCCTATCTGGGCTCAGTGAAGCAAAAGAAGGCAGAAAGGGATTTGGTGGGCAGGGGACAGAGGGAGGGAGGGGTGAGGGATGGTATAGAGAGAAACGTAGGCGGGAAAGACGCCCAGTGAACACCAACAATACAGAGTCATGTACAGTGGAAGGCTGCCATCTCTGACCCTGTGCAGCCATGCATTAGACCGTACACTGTATATTGGGTAGTTAGTTAGCCCACAGAGCCTGCTCTGTCTGTGAGGGATAATAGAGTCCTAACACCCACTCAGGATCACAAAGTTGAAGGTTGGAAAATTTTGGAGCTGAGCCGGGGTCAAATTTAATTAGCAATGGAGGTCCAGTAGCACAAATTTAGGTCAGACTCCTAGAAAGGCCATGAAACATTTTATTTAAAGACATATACATTATAGTGACCACAAAAGAATGAATATCAGGAATCCTACAGTAGAAAAGAAGTCGAAAGTCTATTTCAGGTTGAATGGAGTGTCATGATTACCTAAAGGCCAACTGATAAGTCTGGTTTAAATGTCTGATTTAGTTCAACCCAGTGCTTTATGATGGACTTTCACCTGTCAATCAATCTACTGCATAAAACTTTATATCAACAAACATCAGTGAAAGCAAATAATAAAAATAATTATCCTTAACATAGTGGTTTGCGTCGCACTGTCTGCAGACTGAAACAGCTGATCAGTGTGCTGCAGTCGGAGAAACGTGTATCTGTTTTGAAAAGAGTACAAAGACATTTAATCTAAGTCAAAGGGGCTGTTTGAAGGCAAAGTTCAGCGCAGAAAAATTCACAAATGGAGCGTGTCCATGTTGGCGGCGCACAACAGTGCAACAGCTTCCCAGCTTCACGCTGATGACCCTGAGTAACTCATTTCAGTCCTTCATGTTTGAATGGCAGTAAATTAAACCTCAAACCTACATTGAACTTTGAACTTACATTGACTTTAGCATTTGTTTTTTTGGTCCACAGCCTTGCTTCCACAACAGTCCTGCTTTCATAATAAAAGGGCCCAGCTGACCAGCATCTCCTGTAACTAACGCAAGTACTTTTAATGAGACTTCAATACAACTTTGAATATTTCAACAGATTGGACGTTGGTTTTCCAATTTAATTAATTAAAGGTATAAAAACATGAACAGAAAATTACGAAAGCCCCAAAAGGACATGATTTATTGTATTTTCTTTCCTTGCTTTGTTGTGATAACGAGTCAATATCAATAGTTTCTCTCAAGATTTCTAGTTAATTTTCTGGCGGTGAGAGTGAGGGATGGTATAGAGAGGAACGTAGGCGGGAAACATGCCCAGTGAACACCAAGAATACAGAGTCATGTACAGTGGAACTCAAAGCACTTTATATCACATGTCACATTCACACACTAATGTCAGAGACTGCTAAGTATAGTCCATCAGTTTTTTTGATTCACACATGTCTGAGCACAGCCAGCGGGCATGCGGACAGCACTGAGATGGAACCCTCAACCTTCCAAGTGGGAGATGACTGGCTCTACCAACTAAGCTACAGCTGCCCCAAGACCCCCTTAAGCCAGACCACGCTGTAAAAACATTGTTCTCTCAAGATCATGAGAAAATTAACTTAAAATCTAAAAAAAAACAGAGGAATAAAATCATTTAATTATGCCCTTTTTGAGGCTTCCATAGAAAAATAAAGCTTCACATAAGCTTGTTTTAATTTTGATGGAGTAATTTTCTTTGGAGTCAAACAGTCCTCCTACATTACTCCAGGGGACCATTGTTTCTGGGTGACATTTATTTGTGTTCATTTAATCTAGACCAGACCATCCCATTTTTTTACAATATCACCATTGTGATGAAAAGCATAACATGTCAGTGTTTACTTAAACTGGTTTTGTAAATACGAGTACTTCCTTAACACCAACTAGTACAGTCTCTCCTCTATTTACTGTCACTACCTGCTGAGAAAGGCCCCGCATGGAGCCAAATATTTTACCAACAGGAGTAAAAGTGGGGGCGGATGCTTAATTGTGCACCAGGGCTGATTGCCAGCAAACCCCAGGCAGCAAATGTCCTTTCAGACCAGTACTGATTTGGAGCCATTGTCCAATTACAGCAGGAGGGCAGAGGGAGGGGGGCGGGAAATGTGATTGGACAAACTCAGAGTGACATCACTGGCATGATTTTGGAAATATACTGGAAATGGTCCACCGGTTGTACAGCAAACATAGGCTATTTTGTGCAGTAGAACTAGCTGAGGTTTTTGTCACGATAAGAGACATTTTTGTTCTGTTTTTTCCACAAAAAGAGGGTCACTGGTTGCACAAGAACTTAATTAAAATTATTCTGTGACTGACGGCTTCTAAAGAAATTATAAGGATAAAGAATAATAGAAGAAAGAGAAATGATTTATGTTAAAAGGAAAAAAGAGAAAAGGGCAGTAAAATATGAATGGAAACACCTAAAGGTCCTTGTGCCTTGTGGGTGTAAAGTGCACTACCAGCATCACAGGCGACTGCTAACAGTCATTTCCCGTTCAGAGAAATCACAGTACGTCCTGCAGCTCTGTACAAACTGTCCCCAAACAGAGAGTTTTCTCTGGAGATGCCAAGATCACAGTGTCTCTCTGCCTCTCTCTCTCTCTCCTGACACAGATGCCAATGCCAGCTCTCTGAGTCCAGTCGCTTGTCTGTCTTTGTCTCACATTCCACTGAAGGGTCTTCAAAGCTTTCAAACATGTTCTTTGATATCAAAACTTTGAAGGCTGAGGCCAAATTTCCAACAATATTTTTTTCCTTTATGTGTCAGTAAACTGGCTGTTTTCATTGTTACCAAAAGTGTTTCATCTTCAAGTGCTCTGTCCGCTCTGTTATTGTTCAGTAAGTAGACAAAATCAGCCAGTGAAGAAACGTATGACTAGGAAAGTCTCTTCACGTTCAGACTGAACAACTTTTAGATCAGATAAATGATGAACTAAATTATGGCTGATTTGAGTGGTCTTTTCAAGTCTTCTTATTCGTTCGCCTCCTGCTTTTTCGTCTTTCTGTCATTCCTGACTTTCACAGCAGCAGCTTCAGAAATCTGAGCTGTCCTACTTTCCCAGAGAGAGAGAGAGAGAGAGAGAGAGAGAGAGAGAGAGAGAGAGAGAGAGAGAGAGAGAGAGAGAGAGAGAGAGAGAGAGAGAGAGAGAGAGAGAGAGAGAGAGAGAGAGAGAGAGAGAGAGAAGGAGGGAGCAGGAGATGCAGTCTCCATGACCTACATGAGTCCAGCAGCTCTCTTCAGCTTTGGCCAGATGAAATGCCTACAGGCAGCAACACATTGCTCTCTTTGTGAAACACATGGACACTCAAACTCAGACACATGTGTCTAAAAGTGCATGGAGACACTGAATACATTTTATCCGATCTAATTGTTTCTACTGTGATAAAAAGACTTTTAACAACAACATTGCTGTGCAGGGATCAGTAGTCTGCCAGGGGAAGATAAATGCACCAGCACTCACATTTGATACTCTGACTATCTAAAATACAGAGACAGAGGAGAGAGCAAACACTATCAGGGATTCCTATTAGCTGCAGGAGTAATGGGATCCTGCTCTATTAGGAGGGTGAAAGTTGTAGCTTCTATTCTTACACTGTCTGCCTTTTGGGACAAAGAGGGATGGACCATTAAAGGTGGATCATCCACTGAACCTGGGTGGTCCTCCTGTCTCATTTTTAGAAGAAAATAATTCAGTTAAGTTTAATGAAGAAAGAAGCCTAGAAGATGATGATGAAAAACATGCAATGTTAAAAATACAATCCTTAACTCTGTTCTGATGAAGCATTTCCAAGCAGACAAAATTGGCAGTCTGAAGTCATAATATACGTATATGAGTACACATAAACTCAGTTGTGGAAATGCTTCTGGTTTCACACAACTTGTATTTACTTTACTTGTATTTTTTTTATGTTTATTCTTTCGGTTTTTATGTTAGATAGGATGGAGAGCCTCAAGAGAGATTGATAATGTGGGGAAGAGAGAGAAGCCTTTTCTAGGCTGGGAATGTTTCATGTTAAATTTACATACAGTCAGATTTTGAATTTCCCAGTTCTTAGAGGACTGTAGCCTCTGCGTAGGGAGGTACCTACTTCACTGACCACCTACATTATCTTGTTCAATACTGAAACAGCTGTAAAGTAAACTCATAATTAATTTGATGTTTGTATTTTCTAAATAATATAACAATGGTCTTGCTGAAACATGTCAAGTAAACATTTTAAGACTTAACTACATTGGACACACTTGAGCTGGGCAATTCAATACAGAGCGTTGTCTTATTGATTTAAGGCCATAACTGATGTCTTAGTCAGCCTACATGAGTCAAAGGTTTTATCAGTTTTCCATGAAATCTGACTATATAAATTTAACATGAAACATTCCCAGCTGATTATTTTCTCTGTACTTGGGTCAAGTAACATTTTTTTTGTATACAGAAACATATCTGTATCTGGATGAGGCACTTAAACTAGGGAGTAAGCAACAGCCAAGCTTGTAGGACCCAAAACACCAAGATAGAGCCTCAGAGACTGATTTATATCATAAAACTGGTTTTAACTGCAAGGTATTTGGTCAAAGAGATGAGAAGATATTTGCTGATGATTTGTCTTTTGCCAAAAACTTGAACATGAGAAAATCTGATTAAAACCTAACAGATATATTGATATACCATGGAGGAAAATTACAGAAACAATTTTTTTTGGGGTGGGGGGGCAAAAATGACCTGTTTAGTGTTTTTCTGGTTCAGTCACATTCTTAACTTGTAGTAAAATCAGTAGGCTTCTGTAGGCTCTGACTGTATGTCGCTTAAGTGCTCCTGCTACAAGACTAAGACCTTTTCAGCTTCAACCTGCTGTTTGCCCTTCATTTTCTGTGCAAAATACAAGAAAAAAGCAGATATCACAGTCAAATTAGAGCTGTTTGGGGGTCGTCCTGCTTGTAAATTCAAACTATTAGGGACAGCCTTTAAAATTCATCTGACTGAGTTCTTGTATCTTTCCTATGCTTTGTCAGTGTTCATCTTAAAAATCAAAACAGCTCTGAGATCTGTTTCTTATGCTTTTATGCATAATCACCAAAGCTGGATCCCATTTTAGATGTCAAATTTAGGCCTTTACACTGCTGCTTTTAATTGGCTCAGGGCTATGATCACATGCAGTTTTCTACCACAGAGTAGCTGTTTGATGTTGGCTGCAGATGGCTTGGCGGTTGCTGTCACACTGACCTATTTTTACTGGAAGCATGCAAATTAATTTAGCATGTAACCGGATAATTTTTAAGAGAGATTTTGTGTCTGACAACTTGCATATGTAGAACTCCAAAAGTCCGCCTCAATATAAGTTCAGTTTGGATAATCTTAATTATGGGACAAATTACACATAACCAAAAAGGTCCCTGTGTGTGGTATGAGTTTGAATTCATTCCCTTGTGGTTTCATCCAGTTTAAAATAGTTTTTATTCAAACTGGTCTATAACTGAGATTAATCATTACAGCCTTGCTTATTATCAAACAGACCATGTGTGTGCCTGGTTGTGTATGTGTATGTGTGCGTGTGTGTGTGGCAGTAGCAGGTCCAGGCATGTTTCCATTTAGCAGAGAGGGATAAATATGGCTCTGACACATGACATGTTCCAGACTTGACCACAACCTGTCTGTCTCTTCTCTCAGTTACACTTATTCTCAAGCAGCCAAACAATTTGTATTTCACAGAACTGGAAACTGCAAATCCCCTCAGTCACTTGATAATATTTGTGAGTGTCTGTGTCTGTGTGTGTTTGCTTGAGTGAGAGAGAGACATTTGGCATGCATGCCCTCTTTACCTTTGCCACAAAAAATAACAGATAACATGCAATGATGCAAGTGTGTGTTTGAGAATGTCAGTGTGTTCGGAAACCAAATTTCATGTTAGGAAAAATGAGGTGAATACGCAGACTTGAATCAAATACACAAGCAGAGTCACAAAATCAGCACAATATTAACATCCGCGTAAGTTGCAAATAATCGCACAGAAATAAACAACCCAAGTAGCATAAATAGTACTAATTGCACACATGCAAACAACACATATGCCCTTCACATAAACATGATTAGTTGTTAATTCTGTGTGTATTTGTATTTAATTTAAAATCCATTTAAAAGCTGCAGTAAGAGTGAGCTAGCACATATGCACATATGCAGTATCACTTCCAATCTGGCACAGCACAGCCTGCAAACCATATCAATCCAACAATAAAAGGCCACTTATACACATACCCTCATATGCCCTTACACTCATACTGTATATGCACAATGCAGACATAAGTATGCCTGCCTGCTTGCAAAGACTAACATACAGACATTAAGCTCACACAATAAACAATTCTGATCCTCCTCATAAACACACCTTTACTTTAAATACACATACTGGTGCACACCCTCACAGATGTTTCCACACATTGAGGCCAAGAGTTTGGGCATCGACAGCATTCCACTCCGCTTTTCTGTTTACAGTGGAAAAATCTGACCTTTGGCACAGAGTATATCTAACACTGAGTCAGAAGGCAGATGAGGAATGTCATGTTTCAGCAGAGCTAGAGGAGAAGTGACGGATCAATGCCCATCATTCAAGAACAAGGTTTTTGTAGTCGATTTCCCACAAAATAGTCTTTCTCTCAGCAGCTAAAATTAATGGTTTTAGTCATTTTTGTGGAGGATCATTTTAGTCAATTGTTTAATTCGTAATGTGTAAAACCAAAAGCAGTTTGGATCATTTCTCATTTGAATCTGCTTCAGCTGTTATCCTCATTTATTCCATGGTCCTGATTCCTTGATTCTGTTGGGCTAATTATGTCAAATAATGCTCTGCTAATCATGAAATACCGTTGCTACGAAGAACTTGACTGTTGCTATGGACACAGCTCTAGTCACAGACTCTGGAGGACTGACTGTATTTATGGACCATGCAATATGGAGTTTGTCTGTTTCCTATGGGAAAAGTAAAACAAGGAAAAAAAATTCTGTTAAGATGTTAAAAGACATAAAAATAGCAAAGTGATCACGTTGTAAACCAGGGAAGGAATAATGCTGTGTTAGCTAATAAGTGAAAAAAAGGGGGGACTGACTTTGACAGTGACAAGCAAATAAATTCAATTGGGTGCTGCACTGATTTGCACTGACCAGGTCACCTTATTTTCCTTCCTCTTTTTCAGTGGAAATGTTTAACAGCTAGATTAGCTCATTTCAAGGCTACAGGGTAACTTCTGCTATGTAACCAGGTCAAGCTGTATATGCAACAAGCTAATCGAGCTAATAAAATCATTTTCATTATTTGGTTCTTGAGTAAATCACTGTGTAATAAGAGGAATAAACACATGGTGACTAGGTTGTAGAGCAACCTGCCTATAAGACATTACTCCTTGTAAATGACAGAAGCTATAAATCTTGAAATGTTGCGGTTTTACTCACAGGGACAAACCCTCAGCATCATCTGAGCTATCTTACTTCATTTTAGTTTTATTGGCAGCCTTTGCACATCTTTACTGACAAAATGTCCCAAAATAGATTTTAAAAAAGTGCCACTACAGCACTATAATCAGGCAGACAAAGTTAGAATTGATCCAAATAATAAAGGAAAGCATTTAGCAGCTGGAGACTGGTTGGTTTTGGAGCCAAAATGGAGCTAAAAATAACGATGTTTTCAAACTCATGTCAGTGAAGTGAGCTCGAATGTGACTACTGATAAATGCTCAGGCAGAGAGCACTTTAAAGGCTGAATTAGCCACTCTTTGTTTGCATGTTTTGTCCTTGTAGGGGGTTAAAGTCTGTGAAAAATATACAACCAAAACATAAATAACTTGTCATGTACCTTCATGAACTAAAACTATCCATCCTCATTTTTTTAAATTTTCATAAACTTTGCTATCTATAAAGGTAAAAATAAGAGGTTTATCAGCTTTATGAGTAAGGGAGTGTAACATGATGATCTCGCAGCATGATGATGATGATGATGATGATGATGATATTTCACAGCGTGTCAGCTGCTTGAACTTTGAAGGGAGACAGTCTGCTGTCTGTCACATTACTGCATCTCACCTTCCCTGTTACTTTATTCACACCAGATTTATTTAGAAACAGGTCACACGGTTCTACAAACTGATCTTAAGGCTGCTAACAAGGTGAGCTCGTGATTTAAATGATACTTCAGTTACATTACACTTGATACAGGCAGCACTCAAAAAAAAAAGACTATTTTGATAAGGAGGCGTCTCAGCTTTGAAGCCTGGCTGACTCAACAAGAGGCAAAGTCACGCAGAGACAGAATGAGAGAGGGAGAGAGAAAGAGAGAGAGACATAGAGAGGGAGAGAGAGAGACAGAGACAGGGGTGAAGAAAGGGGGGATGAGGCAGAGAGTGATCAGCATCACCATCATTAGAGCAAATGTAAATGATCCCTTAAGGGACTCTGTGGTTCAGCAGGTTCCAGGAATACATTAAGAATAGAAAAATAAACAGAAACAGATACTGATAGGGATGTCGACTGCTTTACATCATCATGCTTTACTTTATCTTACAGGAAATTAAGATAAATGCCTCACGGTGCGCCCACAATTAGATGCACTTTTACCTATTATGCTGAGGGTATTTGAGAGAGTAAAAGGTTAGAGAGAGCTGTACTGATCACTGGATAGATTTTCAATCAGAAGAAAACTCATTCTCATTTCTTGTCATAAACAATTATTTGGTTTAATCATTTTTCAAGTAAAAAAAGTTTTTGTCAGTGGAAAGACCTATAAATGGATATAACATCAGAGAACTGGAAAACAATCTGTGAAAAGGTCCAAACTCAATCAGGTAATAGCTGACAAAGATTACTTGAGTACTAATGAACAATGAGAACATATATCATACCAGTTAAACTAAATAAATATTTTTGTAACAAATGCCTGAATGAGGGAAGGACATTGTTTCACTTTGTTTGGCAATGTTGTAAAATTAAAAGTTTTTTGTATGGGGTTAAAGGAAAGTTAGAGAGGATTATACTGGAAGCTGTTGCTATGGATACAGCACTTTTTAGCTTGGGGTTATACACGAAAAATAATACTTTTACAAAAACGGATCTGCTGATAATAGACATGTGTCTCCTACATGCAAGAAGATCAATTAGTATATTCTTGAAAAAATATGAACAGACCAATTATTAAACACCAGGCTGGACATATTACTGCAAAAAAGAGTGACATTCATGAGAAAAGGAAAACAGAAATACAACACAGATACCTCAAAAAATACTCTGAGAACTTTGAAATGTTTGAACTCATTTGTTTGTTTTCTATTTTCTACATGAACATTAATCCATCCTGAATACGGCCCTTAGTCTGAGAAGCAGCTTGTTGATTGTTTTGTGGTGTCTGTCTTCTAAGGCACTCTTGTTTTCCAGTGTTTTAGTATAAACACGTATAAAACTCAATAAATATTTTGATGAAAAAAAAAAGCTTTTGTCCGGGCTTCTTCATTTAAGGATAAATCATATTTGTCATCATTGTTCCAATGTTGTGATTTAGGACAAAATCAACGCAGAGCACACCGATCACCAAAATAATCAATCAATGATACAGCTGAACTTACACCCTAGTTGTAGTACTTTTGAAAAATGTGTTTTTCACATTAAATTGCTTATCCTGAGCTGCATATCTTGGTACAGTGAAAATTTGTATAATTGTCACAATATGATCCCTGGACAGCACGTTATTTTACGTTTTTTAAATCACCTCCTGTCGAAAACACAAAGATGTCATAACTGTTCGGAAGTTGGAACAACGTGTGCTTCTGGAGGAAATAGCAGCACTTTTTGAGTATGACTTGTGCGACTGAAAAAGGATGCTGGCAATGTGCACTAACAGCCCATTTGCTAACATTATTAGTGCCAACACAACCTCACTGCTTGTCTGACACCATGCACTATTTTGGGAGTCTTACTTCATCATGTGTGAATGAGTATTCATGTGATGAACTGAACTGCCTCACAGACTCTGCACAGAACTCCTGCTCACTCCAATGAGGAGGACTTTTTACTGAACTTAAAGTTTGAGGTAAAGGACAGAGACTGGAAGGATGACTGATGGAAACCTTGTGACAGACAGAAAGATATACACTGGCATACAGTTGGAGACAAAGAGAGATAGATGGACCAATGGGGGGATAATGAAATCCAGACAGGGTGTGGGGATCCTGCCATACCATTGAGCCCAGTGAGCTGCAGGACATCCAGTCCAAGTACAGTAAATCCAGCAAAATCTGGCAACCCAGTGATCAAAATCAGTGTTCCCACACTAGCAGGACTGGGGCTGCCCTGGGAACACAGTGTCCGAATAAGAACATAACAGCACTCTCTGTGGCACCACTGAGGACAGACTGTCACAACCCCGGCCTGAGAAAATTAATGGATATACAAGTTAACTGCCTCGCATTTAAGGCTTCTTATAGGTTTCCCCATTGCACGACATGGATTACACTTGACAAGCTCCCACTATTTTCATAAGAGTGGCGTGCTTGTAGTGCTTGCTTTAGACCCCTTTGGCTGTATATGGAAAGATGTTTGTAGATTTAGATTTACATTCAACAAAGATTATGTTTGTGGTACCCTTTAGCAGGAACAGGAAGTCAGTTTAGTTAAGGTTTTGTACAAATCTGTGCATGCTTTCACACATACCACACTGGACTGTAGCCAGTGCTCACAGATGGTAGCTTCCCAGTTTGATGTTCTTAATCATCACGCTGTTTTTTAACTATGCAGATTTACTCATTGTGATTTAGTTTTCTGTGCTTCATCCAAGCTACACTTCCAGGGCAACAGTTCTAATCAAAATATCAGATGTTTGGCTTCGTTTCAATAAGACTTCTGAAGCGTCTCCTGAAAAGTATATTATTACTTTGTGTAAATACCAAACCATTGATAAAGATTCAAACAGTTTGACTCTTGTGTGTCTCTTTCAAAAAGTGCAACTTAAAGCTCCTGTGAAGAACTTTCAGCTTGGGTTGATTATGGCGCCCCCTATGGGTAATGCAATCCCTTTCATTTCTCTGCCAATCATGTCCTGCAGATGCTGTATTTTCTGACAAAAAAAGTCCTCCTGCTCTCTTTAACAGTCAGTTTTTTTTCACAGTGGCTTTAAGAAACAAACCAGAGAGAAAAAAAGGTAAAACTGCAGGGATGGAGAATGACACCAGAGAGAGAAGAGCAGAGGAAAGTGAGGTAATTGGGAATCATATGTCTGTGTTAAATAGAGTACCCAGTGATTCCTGACAGCCCAGCACAGCGTCCTCACGCCTCCAGCACTGAGGCCAAGTTCTGAGGTAAGAAGGAACAGAGGGACACAAGTACGAGAGTCTGTCAGAAAGCGCCTGGAGGTCGGAAAATTCAGTAAACTAAACAGAAAAACTTCTCACCAGCAGGCTGGCAGACTGAGCTGCAGAGAGAGGGGATACAAAGAGAAACAAAAAAAAAACTGGAATAAAACAGAGCACATGTGGTTGAAATGATAACAGTTAGAGCAATAATTGAACAGCCCACTATAGCACTTGATGTACCTCTAAACAGATCACCCACTCCTCCTCATAGCTAAACCACTCGAGGGAGGAATATGTGTTTGCGAGTAAATCTCGTTACCAGAGGTCTGCATGCCTCTGGACCCCAAAGCACATGTGTGTGATGAGATGCCTCTGCAGGAGGGTTTTTTTTTTTTTCTCTCAGTGGAAAGGTGCTGAATTGAATTTCCACTGAGGAATAACCACAATGAGACATATTTTCCATTGCCATCAACAATGGATAGACACTGCCAGTGCTGTAAATAGTTTACAGAACTCCCAAAGACAAACACACAAACACACATGCATCTTAAAAAACAAACAGACCAGCATGCATGGGCGGACAGTGCACAAAGCACATTCACATGAGTTTACATGAGGGTGCACACTGTTTGAGCATGGTAAACATGAAGAGAAATTAGATTTTCCTCCGCTCTTTCTTACTGCAGGAGCTTAAAGGGACATTGCCAAGGAAAACTAGTCAAACTGGCTTTTCCCTCTTAATTCATTCTGTGACACTGGGTAAGCATGTAGGGTTGCCTCTATTTTGTAAAAAAAAAAATGCTAGTGACATAATAAGACATTTCTGTTCAACCAAAGAGGGAACAAAAATATTATATTAAGTTCAGAATAGTCATGAATATACAAACATTTTCAGTAATCTCAGTGTGCAGACATGTGAAGGTCTGAGAACAAAAATAGATTAATTCATACTGAAGAAAGGACTTGGCTCAAGATGAAAATCTGACAAAGAGAGCGATGAACTGGAGCCATAACTATAATCAGTGTCAGACATAGATTGTGTGTCTCCTAAATGGCTGAAAAAAGCAGAGACTGAAAGACCTGTAACCATATTTACTAGCCTTCGTCACAGTATGACAAAAAATTCTTCATGTTCATCGAAGTAATCTACCTCCACGGCTTGTCTTTACCCTACACCTCCTTCACACCCTTGCTCCACTTCCTACTCTCATGCTGCACTCTTAACAGGCCGTCTGGGAATTCAAAAACTAACAGTATTCCCATCTCGCGCATTTCACCCAGCCTTGTAAAATCTTTTTTTTTTTTTTTTGCTAAATATTAACTAGTCCCGCCTGTTTTACTTGAACAGAGCCAGAGGGTTATATCACAGCTTGTAATTCAATGCAGAACTCAAAACCACTTAGTCTGACATTAATCTTTGACCTATTTACCGTATGAACTAACATTTACCACAAGTGTTGAATTTATGCTGTAGCCAGTAATTCAAGCTTAGGACTTTCCCACAGAGCAAGAAACAACTTTCCCACTCGTAAGCTCTAAAAGAAATTTAACCTCTCATGTCTTCATCCAACTTTAAATATTTGAAGATTTATTTATGTCACACATGGAAATTCAAAGCCAAAACTTCCCATCTCTTAAAGCATTGACTGGATGCCACAGATTCATCAGTTCATCAAGTGATTTATGAGCTGATGTCTAAAAAAAAAAAAAAAGAGAGACACAGCATGCTGTCTTAAACTCATGTGTTTGGCCGTTTGGGATCTCTCTCTATAAGAGCCATGACCAGACCAGGCTAGGATCACAGCCAGGAGAGTATTTATGAGAAATAGTCCGCCCTCGCATTACTGTAAGCCAGTATGTTACTGTAACTTGCATTGGCTGGCCCCATTTGAAGATCATTAAAAGTGACGATAGAGGGACTCTGACTTCCAGGAATAGACAGACTTGTCTCTAAATCTTCTTCAACAAATGAAGACACTAATGTAAACAGGCTGAGAGAACTGCAGCCATGTGTGCTATCTGCAGGTACCCACACATATGTAGTGCCTGCTCTTCCACTCTTCACCTCAGTTTTTTTTTTCTTTTCTTTTTTTCAGACAAAGCCGCAAACCCTTTGAGCACACATGAACTTTACAGCACAGTGGGATCACATGCAAGCAATCAACATGCCTCACATGAGCAAAACATGGGGCTCATGGATGGCAGGGAAAAATTCCAGACTGCCTCTGTCCAACACACAGTTCACTACTAAAGAAGCTGAGTTCAGAGCCTATTGTGAGGCAGTCTTTAGAAATATATATATTTTGAGTGGCACAGATGTGTTACATATATAATCTAGCCATGTCCGACACTTGCCCCAAACAGGCCAGCTGTTGTCCCCTGAAGACATGCTCAAGGTGGGAAACTATCACACTGCCATAATGCCATAACTGTGGCTTCCAGGTTGTAACTTGTATCATTTCCAAGTATATGACAAATTAACTTACAGTTCCTAGATAATTTCCGATTGCTATAATTATTGGAGCATAAAATAGAAGGTATTCTCCATCAGACATATTACCCATGGTTTAGGATAGGGGTAACGGCACTTTAGCTCAGGCAGAATCTTTATCTTTGGTAATTGTGACGGTCTGTAGATTTATGTTACTGAGACAAACACAACCGTAGAAAATATAATTCAGACAACAAAGCAAGCAGCAACTATCATTATCTCACCTCTCACTACCTTGCAGTGAATTCATTGATGTTTTCCTGCAGAGTTCATGTGCAAACTTGCTGTGATTTCTAGCTGAAGTCTTATCAGGGGGGCTGGCAGCAAAAAGTCCAGATGAAGTTGGGGTGAAAAATTTAGCCATATGTGCTCACACATGCAGCCCATCTGGATAAAGTCTGGAAATTTTCAGGAGTGCGGTGCATGTGTGAAAGAAGGTATTGTGCTCTGTCTAGACTGCTCATCAACATAATATAAAGTCAGAGATCTAAACATAAAGGGAAACCTATGTATCAATAAAGCAACATGGGATGAACCATTAGTTGCATCGGAAAGCAGCTCACATTAATATCAAGCCACTAACTGGCTTGTTTCTAGCTAGGAGGTCAAAGAAGCTGTATTTTTTTTGTTTGTTTTATGCAGTACAATAGGAAAGGTTAACTACAACTAGGCATTGTCAACAAGTAGTACATGGCCTATCAAGTATGATGTTTACTTTTAAGTATGGGCAGACATCTTTTAGGATGTTAAATCTCAGTTGTCAATCTACTGTGAAACCGTTCAATGACTCTGTTTTGTTAGATACCCCAAACTTAAACAGCTGGAAAACTGAAGTACTGTACTTGTTACAACATCATATGAACTTCCCACCCTCAGTATGAGTCAGAGGATTATGGCTGCTGCACAAATGTGGTGTACGCATCAGTATCATTAAAATTAGCACAAAAATTACTCTCTCTGTGATGATAATACACAGCGTTTCTGTGCAAACAGAGAGTGTAGAGTTAACAAAGCTTGAAAATGCAATCAGAAGTTTTTCCCCAATATTGATTTTATCTTTTTAATTGGGATTATATTGGCCAAACACGTTCTGTTCCTGTATGGAGAGGGAACAAAACATCTGCAATAACTGCGTATCAGACGATGTCTCATTTCCTGTTTCGCAAAGGGAAAAGCATGTGACATGGTTTGCCACACCTAATTGTAATGTGCAGTAAAATATAAAGTCCAAATGACTTCTGGAAAATGATAAAACTGTTTTTTTTCCGCAGTTCCCGAAACATGCTGAAAGTTTGTCTCCGCTGAGTTAGACTTACATATTTGTCAGAGGAGGGTTCTCCTGGAGGCAGGGAGCCCGGACTGAGGACAGGGGAGCTGGCTGGACTGCAGAGCTCGGGAAAAGGGTTCGGGATGGCCGGGAGAGACGATGTTCTCAGCTGCTGCTCCTCCTCCTGTAACCTCCTGAACAGAAGAAAATCAGTCATACTGTGGTCAAGCGTACTTCTGGCACATGCACGAGGTGATGACCTGAATCAGCCTCATGAAAGTGATACAAAAGAGCTTTGAAATCCGAGCCGCTGACAAACGTGAAATATGGGCTAGGAATAAAATTGGAATTAATAAAGCATTGCTGTACAGTATCGATGCTCATGTCTGTTTCTATCTGATCTAGAGATAATGAACAGTCTACCAGCAAGAGAAAATCATAGACTCCTGCAGCCAGCTGGCTAATTTTCTGCAATATTTATCAGGCATCAATATTGAATCAAGACATCTCTTTAAAGCAGCTTTTAAATTAGGCACATGTACTGTACCGCCTGGGAGAGGAACGCTAATTTGACAGCTGATCATAAACTTTTCAGGATTTCAACATTTTTTCACGAAAAAATGGGCAGGTCATTTTATGAAATTAAAGCTGGGGATCTCAGTGAGGGAATCACTGTAGAAGACTCTCTTTCTCTTTCTTTTTCTATCAAACTCTCTCTGTAGAGCCCAGTGAGTTCAAAAGAGAGCGGGCCTTTTGATGTCGTCCCATCTGAGCTTGAGAACAGGGTTATCCAGAGGTCAGGCCTGAATAATAAGATCTTCAGGGCCTGAGTCTGTGTGTGTGTAAGTGTGTGAGAGCGCATGAGTGTGTGTGTGTGTGTGTGTGTTTGAGAGAGAAGGAGCTCATAAGACAGAATACCCCACTACCTGATCATCCCTCCTCTGTTTCTGTCAAATCCTCCAGAGGCAGATAATAAGAGCTGACACCAGCTCTCTACTGTAAGTTTGCAGCTATACTTCTGTTTCCTTCTTCCGAATACAAAAAAAGGTACAACAACTGCAGTAAGCAGAATATGGGATGCCTGGCTTCAAATTGAGAGAGACGTTTGCATTCTGCACTAAAACAGTGTGATTTTCTTACCTTTCTCCTCCTGCTGGTGCAGTTTGAGACAAAAAGGGAGTGACAGGGAGGAACGGGTCATTCAAGGGCTACAGATACGGAGAGGGGAGGAGATGTTATGCCCAATTATCAAGAGGGTGTGGAGGGATGACAGCGTATAGTGAGAGGATTCCTTCTCAGTGTGCAGAAGAGAAAGGTTTGAAGGTCTGTGTGTGCGTGTCTGTGTGTGTGTGTGTGTGCGTGTGTGTTCGGCTTTGCATGTGCAAATGTATGAGGTTAAAAGTAGTTTTCTTCAAGCTCAGTGCCGTTGTTGTCCCTGTCAATGTTTAAAAAACAATTCAGCTTGTGTTTATGTAGATACTTTTATTATTTTTCTTTTTTGTAAAGGGTTTTTAGATCTTACAGGGTTCAGTGTCACCATAAATCAGGAATAACTTTATTTTAATGTTCACCTGAGTTTCTCCTCTATGGGCTCAGTGTGTGTATGAACCTGTAAACCAAAGACTTTGAAGTTATTGCGGTGTACATGACGGTTATTTGTATCTTTATTGAAGCTTCTTAAATATTGGAGTATTGTTTGTGCCAAGATGAGAAATCTACTATTCTAATGGTCTTTCTAACTTCTTTTTGTTTGTGCTTTCATTAGCACCAAAATCTGCTGCTCCCAGGTGTGCCTTAAAACTAGAGTCAAACCCAAAGGTGATCAAACCTTTGCTGTAGCTGCTGTGGCTCTCCATTCATACAAGACCTGCTCCTTCTCATTTTCGCCTTTTAAATTATCAAAGACCCACTGTCTTCATCTTTTGCCTTCCTAATATTTTTTTCCTTTTGCACCTTGTCAAGCACATTGAGGAATCATATTATTAGTTTTTTTGTCTCCAGTTCTGGTGTATTAGATGCTACACAATCAAGTTTTCAGCTGATCTAAGTACCGAAAAATTGCAGGTTAAGAATCTGCAAAAAGCAAACTTGATAAAATACCTGACTGCGAGGATGTGCATGGGCTGTGACCGTCTGAGCCCACTTTGTGGTGAGTCGGCAGACGATGAGGAGGAGGGCGGCTCTGGAGAGACGTGACTTAGACCGTGTGAGTGACCCTGCCGAGGCTGGTTATGTTGCGTGTGATGCTGATGATGTTGATGATGATGGTGGTGTTGGTGTGAGGAAGAAGTCTGCCCGTTGTGCAGGAGCGGGGTGGACTCTGTCTGCGGACCACTGCAGGTGGAGTACAGGCTCTCCAATGAAGAGTTCATATCATTCACCAGGGCCTCTAGATCGACATCATCCTCTAGAGGAAAGATGGAGAAAGAAACATATCAGAAACTGACTTTTGGGAGAAGCTGAGGGAGAAACTGTGGAGAAATGTAAGAATGTAATTTGCACTGGATATGAACAAAGTGTAGGGAATGAAACACATTACTGGAGCTGGAAATAAACTCCAATAAAACCCAATAAAAGACAACATTCTTATAAGCCTGCTTTGGTTTAAAATACTTCAAGTCCATAAAAAGTGAAATCTCTGGATATTGTTGGGACTTTCCCTTTTCTATTTCTGTTCCTCTCCTGTTTCATTGTGGCCAGGATTTGAACCTGTGACCTCACTTTGTACCACCTTCATTCCAAGTAACTCTAAAAAAGAAGAAGAGGGAAAAAAGCAGTGGTATGCAGAGAACACAAAAGCTTCCACACACATGCACGCAAGCACGTACACACACAAATACACACACAAACACACACACACAAAATTTGCAACCAGTTTTGCCGGAGTGCTCAATCAGCATGACTATCTTAACTGCGTACATTGTGCTGTCATGTGAGCCACATTTCCAGGGATAATAGGTACGAGTACAAACCCGCCCATAACACTGCTAACAATCACTGGGGTTCACAGCCAAGGCAACACACTGTAAGAATCTGCTCTAAATTCACTGCATGTATCAAATATTCTGCTTTTAAAGGTCTTTAAAGGCAGGAGGTGGAATTCTTTTCAAATGGGGGAATCAATCCTCAAAGCCGCCGCGAAAACCTCCAGGCGCATCTAAATTCATGAAGTGAATTTTTCATCTGACACCAGCAGCATGCTGAATCAAAGTTTGAAGTGAGCTCGATTGAAACGAGGCTTGCTCCCTTAATTGCTTCACGCTGTGAAAGTTTTATCATCGGGGGTAAAGCGGGTGCCTAACTTTGCTCTTTTGAAATTACAAACTGCTGTAGTGACTCATCATATCATTAATAATTCTTCATTATGAAAAAGGAACCTATCTCATAAATTCATCATCAAATCTCTGCATCCTTATACCTCGACTGTACTGTAGGACACAAGTGTGCCACTAGGGGGAGACAAGCTCTTCCTCTGCATGCATGAGGCCCTCAGATGAGTGGGGTTCATGTAAGGGAACCCCATGCAGATTTAAGGACATAACCTGACATTTAAACAACATTTACACCAGGTAAAACTTGAATGGATGCATTCAATTCAATTCAATCCAATCCACCTTTATCTGTAGTGAACATTTTAAAAACAACAAGGTTACCAAAGTACTGCACAACAGATAAAATATATAAAAAAGATAAATAAAGTTAAAATACAGTAAATTCAAGACTCACAAAGATAAAAAAAGGTTCTGGTTTCAACATGCCATGTTCCGTATATTTGCTGTTTTTGAATAATGTGCAAAAAAATGCCATTGGGTTTATTAGGGATGAAAAGAAAAACATATTTCAGCTCCTATAAATAAGTGTTGAAGCTTTCAAGGTGAATAAATTGATCACTGAAAGCACATGAAGTGCTATCTTTAAATATTAATCATGTAGTTCACTGTCACAACTCCAGGGCTTAAAATGTGCCATGTCCTGTATGACTCATGTAATTTCCCTACAGCTCAGGACAGCTGACAGCTGGATCATGAGAGGTGGTGTGAGGGTCATGCCACTCTAGGGCAACTGAAAGTCGTGCTGCTCAGCAGAAAGCTGACCCATGAAAACAGCAGTCCGATTGATGGGAAATATAAAGGAACTAGCTCAAAATATAGCCCCCCTGAGCATGAAGCCACTTTCGTATGAGAGTACACCAGTTTTTTTTACTTCTTTTTTCATTCAAAGAAAACTGTTCAAGGGGGTCAACAAAAACAGTATCCATACTGTTTTTAAGGATACTGTTATTAAAGCCCCCCGGATACTGCGGATACTGTTATTAAAAAACCCTTTTCCTGGATTCAGCACCACAACGTTGTCTCCAGCTTTGATGCCAAGAGCTATGTGCTGAAGCTAAAGTGAGGAGCTTTTCCAGAAAACGTGTCAGGTCACTGTATCGGGTGACACTGAATCACAGGTGGTTAATCTGCAGGTATAAATAGTGACAGGTAAGCTGCAGCAGCTACTTATAGATAGCCTGGAGAGCTAAAGAGCTATATACCACAGGTCACAGGATACATACAAGGCCATACATAAGGCCAACAGAAGTGCAGCCCTAGACAACTATAACACTGAGTGAAGCTGCTTTATTAGAATGTAGGTGATGCCCCAAATATAACTTTCCTAGGATAACAAAGTCAAACAAACTATCCAAGGGTAAACCAGGAACTACATCAAAAGTGAGGGAATATTCCAAGATATACTTTACCTCGAATCTATCATCTGCTCAGCATCCATCATTCTTACTAGGTGAGACATATGCCCTCAAGCGAGGGAGAGAAAATATATTTCCTCATAATTCTGACCTAGTTCGGCCTCACAAGGAGAATGACAGATCTGTATTCATACAAAGACAAAAAAAACAACCCACATGCGTATTCATGGACGCAAGATTTTTGCATCATTATTAGTCATCCTCCAAATCACCTATGCATGTCACAATTGGACAAACAAAAGCCTGCGTCATGCACACAGTTGTAAGACAAACAGATTGATTACATGGACTACATGCAAGCAGGCACGCACACAGGATTTAACCTCTGAAGATTTGGCCGTGGGGGAAAACTTGCTTGGCTGGGAGTAAGGAAAGTGGAAGTTCTGCCTAATAACTTGGCTTTGGTTGGATCAAGTGACATTGTCGCGGCTAACCAATAAAAATAGAGGCCACAGTATATTACAATATTAAACCCAACTGCATCTTCAGTTATAGGAGCAGCTACAGACAGAGCTGTGGATGGACACATCTTGCATGTTTTATCATGTTGTTTGAGTTAATGTCTGTAACACATTTGCTCACAAAAGTATAGAAAATATCACCACAATGATCAATATGATCTGAGCTTGATCATGCTCAAGATAAGTCTCAAAGCAGATATTAAACAAAACAAAGACTTGACACTCACAGCTTTAGGGGCTATGTCCACTGCAGTTGGGTTTTTTTTTTTGCGCTACCAGCAACTTTTATTTGTATAACATTACTGCACACATTTTTAGCACTAAGTCTCCTTAACACTAAAATGTCCTAACACTCACAGCACTCTTGGTTCAAAACAGTTTAGCTTCTGAATTACCATTGGGTTCATCGGTGCCACCTCTCCTTCACTAATCAAAATCAAAAAGGGGCCGAACTTTGATATTGACTTTGTCAGTAACAAATGCTGAGGTCTGTACTGGAGAGAAACGAAATGCACGTCTTTTTCAAAGGTATATTTTCCAAGTCTAGAGGTGCTGCTAATGCTTTAACAAGTTAGATTTTTTTTTTTTTTACAGTTTTAAGGTTTATATATATATATAAAAAAAAAATATATATATATATATATATATATATATATATAAGTGGAACAAAAGCAAATACAAACCCATGAAACATTTTAGAAAAGATATAACAATCACTACTTAGAAAAGCAGAAATGTTAGCAGGCAACTTTTTCGAACCCGACAATGAAAAGCGCCCTGAAATTGTGGTTGTGGGCATTGCTAGTGTAGAGACAGTGGACACAGGCCCTTCGTCTATGGCACAGCAAGAATTTAAAACAAAAACTGAAGAAAAATAAGGATCTCAGTTGTGTATTTTGGAGCTTGAGAATTTCGTATTTGTGCAGGGGAGATAATACCTATATTCAAGGGCTTAAACAAGCACAGCTTAATTAAAGTAAATAAAATTGTGCCATACTGTGTCACAAGTGAAGACAAGCAAAGAAACCAATCATTTAGATAAACTGTAAAACACAGGTGTAGGGATGGTATGTAACTAATTTCACTTGTGATGAATTTGACACTGATTTTCCTGATTAATTAATTAATTCTTTGTTGTTTACAAAGTGTTGGAAAAAAAGGGAGAACACAGGTGTCAGGAGGTTCTAATAATGCTTGTTTTGTCCTAACATCTTTTCTAATCAGTCCTTTATCTTCCATCCGGTCTTTTTATAGACCCAAACTCCACTGCAGAAGTCACAACCAAAGAAAAAACTCTGATGGGTCAAAGGATAACACTAGCTGTATTGTTCTCATTTCCTCATTGTTTAATTTCTCCCATGGCTTGAGTTCAATCATACACACACACCCTCCCACCCCTTATAAGAACCTAGAACCAGTTAAATTAGGGGTAAAAATAGTCCCAGCTTGCTCTATTGTCTGATCCATGCTAAATACAGTATTGACCAACGGTTAAACTAGTCAAGTCTGGTTGGAATCTGCGTGAAAGCTGTTTTGAAAGCCTCTGATCATTAAACAGCCAAAACAAACCATTGTACAGAAGAAAGAACCATATGGCTTTGTGTTTTTCTTTAACTCAGGAATGTAGTCTGTGCATTTATTATTCATTCCTGCTTGTTAAAAACAAAGAGGAGGGGCAACTTTCCTGCCGAGAAAAGGAATGCAAGGGGTATACAGTGCATGAATTGAACACACACACACACACACATAGATGACACACAAGGGGGGATAAGTACAAACCCAGCAGAGGGGTTTCCATTCAGAGGGATCAGTGGGATGATAGACAGAGCAAGTCTAAACTGTAAAGCGTGGCTCTGCACCAGGGAACACAATACAGGCAGTGACAGCACACACACACACACACCCACCAAGGGCCAAGCCTCCTGATTGGGGAGGGAGAGTGCGGGAATTTCAGTGGGAAACCGGAGGAGGGAGGGAGAAAGGGAAACAGAGATGAACATGGAGGGGAGGGACAGGAGTAAATAGAGGGACGGAGAGGCAGAATTTCACTTCAGGGGGAACTTTGGATCAGGAACAAGAAAAGAGAAAAAGGGAGAGTGGGTTCAAACGAGGTGAGCAGGACCACATGACAGAGGAACTTTACTTCACACAATGCTCAGCATCACTTAGTATTGTAGGAACCAGGAGTTACCTTACTAAAAACTAATTCACACTTCAACTTTTAAAATCAGGATATGTTAGTCTTTGACTAGTCACTAAATTATCTTAACTAACAATTTAAAAGATTGCAGGGAAACTTGACAGATAAAACTATAGGTTAAAAGGTTTTTTCTAATCACAGAGTAGACTTTCAATTCCACAATAATGTGTCTGATCAAAATCAAATAGTAAGAAAATTAATCCAATGTCAATCAGCTTTGGGTATTTTTGTCTTTTTTAAATTGATGTTAATTTCTAAAATGCTGATACATCTTAAAACTTAAAACATCGCACTCTGGAACAGAACAACATTGGTGTAGCAGTGTGACTTTGTATTGCAATACGGCATCCACATTAGCACAGTGGGTGCTCCATTTACCCACAGAATCAGATATGCATGTACACAGTGCCACTCTGTCTTGCTGGCTGCAACACTGTCCATCTCAACCTCCTTCCCCTCATTCCGCCTCTGTTACTACATCTGAGGAGTGTTCAGTTTTCTGTTAAATCAGACCACAAGGAGGATGATAAGAATCCATTACCAGGGAAATCAAAGAACTACTTTATAGGGAGTATAAAGAAATCTTTCTTTTGCGCTATATCTTAGGGCAGTTTTGCCTTGATTGGATAAGACAGCTGAGGAGTAACAGGAAATGTGGAGAGAAGAGAGCAGGGGAAGGAGTGCAGTCCTGGCAGGGACTTAGAGCATCCACTGCATCGAGGACTACAGACTCAAAATGAGGGGCGCTTCAACCGCTAGGCTATCAGCACCCCTAAAAATATTTTTAAGATTAAAAAAAAATATCTATAAAATAATATTGTGAAAGTTTTTTTGCTTTTAGTAAAGATAGTCATATGTCGTTGAACACTCGTCATTGCGCTGTCCATCCATCCATTCATCATGTAATGAGGATGGTGGTGCATCATCTGCTGCCACCACTTTGCAAAGTCATCAGACAGCCCAATCTTTGTTTTTAAGTTTTCCATCTAAGGTGTAGATCCCAAAACACCTCAACACAGCACGTCTCAGATGTTTTGGTGTTGTGACTGTCCACTAAGTGCGGCTCTGCTTGTCCTCCTTTACAATATAACTACCTTATTTTTCGCACTATAAGGCACACTTAAAGTCCTTTTGGCATGTCAGAGCACTGCAGCTACCGTAGCCTCACAGAGTTACTGAATGAGGTAAATAAAGTTTGACTTATCTGACTGTTTTGTTTGGCCTTATGCACTTTATAAACGGGTGCACTTTATAATCCGGTGTACCTTATGTATGAAAATAGACGCGGATAGACGTATTCATTGATGATGCGCCTTATAGTGCAAAAAATACGCTACTGTATTAGTTTACCAAGGTCAAGATTGCATGTATTGGCCAGGTTACGATGAGAGCTCCCTCTGCCTGATCTTATGGCAAGTTACTTCAGACGGCTTGATGATCTGGTATATTGTATTCTTAAGAGTTCAAGTGGCTCATTACAGTTCAAATACAAACTTTTCCCCCAGAGTTCAAATGAAGCTTTAAATTTTTAAATAAAAAGTGACAGCCCTAATCTGCTAACACTGCCCCTCCAAAAGCCCCTTTTAAGAGCATTATTGTTCGCTGGACTGGGGCCCCTCAATGCTTGTACTACTGTGGGTGTCTGTTTATATGCATGTGTGCTTGCACGTGTAGGTCTATGACATACTTTCCCTCTACAAAAGCAGAAGTGGAATAATATAAGAATGGATGGGTCATATCAAGGAATGAGATGAAGTGTTAACAGGGCTTTCAGATCAATGTGTTGGTTGATTAGATTTGTTGCTCAACAGTTGTTTTGGCCTGGTGAGTGAGACCCTAAAAGTATACTGCAGAAATTTTTAATCCACGTCATTAAACAAGTTAGATATGAGTAAGTTTGATGATATTTGACATTTGTTCTAAGTAAGGACTGCTACAACCACACATACTATCTCAGTATGAGAACTGTAGCGGACCTGCTAATAAACTTTACTTTGAGAATGTGCAGAAGAGATATAAATGTATGCATGGGAACAAATAAATAACATAAAAATGGAAGTATGTTTTAGACAATGTTTCCTATCAAAAATTTGAATCTGACTGAAAACCTGAACACATTATCATCTTCCTGGTGGTTGTTAGGGATGTAAGCAAAAGATGACGAACACATTGTTTCTATGGGATAAATTTAATTAAGCATGCCCCAACATCTAATTCAATTTGTTGACACACATGCAGATATGTACTTCTTTTGGATATTTCAAGCACAAGGCTTACGTGCAGCGAGTAAGTTTTATAACCTGAGAGACAATGAACTCAGCTATAGGACTGAAGTCACTCTGGCGTGTGTCTGAGAAAAACAACAAAGAGGAGACAGCATTTGCACAGTGCAAGCCTGTGACATCGCATCTGTGAGCGACTGGAGAGGACTCACATATGTGTCATGCCCCAGCTCAGGACAATGTGGCCTCATCATTTTCATAGTTATTTAAAGAAAGGCCGCAACCAGGAAAACCATATTAAACTTTCTAAAACCATAAATTCACAGTCAATTATTTTGTGTATGGTAAATCCTCGGCTTACACATCGGGAGTATCCTGAGGAGAAAGTTCTATTTCTAGACATCAAATATTGCCTTGCAAATGCCCTGATAAGCCGCTCAATCGTATCTCATTCCAAACATGTGAAATAATGGCAGATCATGTTCCAACAAAGCTGTACTGTTCCCTCTAAAGTTAATAGGTTTATGACTGGTCTAGCTTTGCAGCAAACACAGCAAGTAGCTGGTGGCTCTATCAGAGGGCAAATCGAATTAAAGAGTAGGTTTACTGGAAAACAAGTTAAACTACGTCAGCGAAGATAATCTTCCCTCTAATAACACCAGAAGTATCCGGGCTGAACGCTAAATCTCTCCTCAGATAATGCAGACTTTGTAGTATGGCTCCTAAGACTTAGAAAAGCTTGTTGACTATAAACTATTCCCACTTACTTGCTAAACTTAAAAAAAAAGATGGGGAGAAAGATTGGAGAATTATGCCTTTAAAACATAGTCTCATGAGTCAGGCTCCAAATACATTTCTTGACATAATCTACGGTACAAAAATAACTTCTGAAAGTGCCCCCAAACTATCACTTATTAGACAGTGTAAACAAAAATCTTCCTTAGTTAAAGTCATCTCCATTCGTCTCCCTCGCCGATGCCTCTGAGTTCCCTCCGTCCCGGCTGATTCTGTAAAATGACAATGTAATTTCTGCTCCATTTATTTCCCATGCCAGGGCCAAGCGTTCTAATTCAGTCGTCGAGTCCTCACAGACTCCCCGCCCTTACCTCCCATGCTGAGCCAATATTGTGCTTAAATCTCATGCTCCGATTGTCATGGATGAACCCTGTATGGCACAATTAGATAGGCAGCGTAATTATAATGGCACCCTGTGTCCACGCAGATCACACTTTGAACTGCTGAAATGTTTACAGCGGAAGAGACCCAAATATATATTATCCCCCTCAACCCGCCGCCTGACAAGAGGAGGGTAATGAGCAGCAAGCCGTTCTCCACACTGTATGAGGATGAGGGAAACACACACACACACACACGCACGCACACACACCAAAACACATAATAATTCACAGCAGATCCCAGGGTCATATTTATTATTACCTTCTTGTATCCTCCCATGCATGAAATAAATGGGGAATACACAGCAGGCTGAAGTTACATGAAGCCAATATACAGTAAGCCCTGAGAGGGTGCTTACAATAAGACAGGTCCCGCTGTATGTAAAATCCTACATTTCATTAGAAGGCTTATGCATGTTGTTTGTTTCATACCCCATTTAACTTAAGAATATTCAACAAGCATCAACAAATTCACACCCGTAATCTAATGTATACATTTTTTGGCTAGAGACCAACCTTGATGGCTTGGAGAGCTTCGATTGGCTGGTTGCTGGAAGCTTGGACCAATGAGGTCAGCTTGCCTGTGATTGGAGGTCCGGTCTATATTGTCCTGCTGAGAGAGAGGGAAACAAAAGAAAGAACAGTTTGACATTATACTTCATATTTCAGTAACAGAACAAACACACCTTTTTGAATTACTGTCATCTTTTTGAGAGGCAAAGCAGCAACCAAATACCAAATTAAGAAAATAAATAAATAAATAAATTCTGCTTATTTCTCATGTTCACATTTGTGTTTAATAGGTGGAAGAAAGCCAAATAATAGCAGGCCATTTCTCCTTTGGTAAAGTACATACGTATTCAATTAAGGACTGTTACAATATCAGATTTTCACCTTACAATTACTGTGACCATAAAATTCTTATAACAATAGCATCACGATATTTTCAGAAAACAGAAGGTAAAACAAGGCAAAGCAAGAGCAGGGCAACATTTGACTTGATCATGGAAGTAACTTGAATGTCATCATCTGTCTCTAATGATGTTCAAACCTGGGATTTATCCACATTACCAGCCCTGTGACTAAAATGTGTTAAGACATTAACATAGAAATGTTTATTTGCCATGTCATTTTTCTTTTCCTGCTCTGTTTGTTATATTTCCCACATGGTGGAACTATGCTAACTATGTTATTTTGAGGTATGAACTACTTCCTGCAGATGTGGATCTGAATAAGAATGTTTGAAAGTTAAATGTCTGTTTACTAGAGTATTTAATCATCTCAGAGAGCTGCTAAAGCTAGCCTGCTAACAGCTGCTGCTTCTTCTTTGGCAGCTAGCGCAAAGGGCCAACACAAGGACCTCGTGTATAACTGTGTGCTTTATTTTTTGCACGATTTCAGTGTTTCTTTCTCCAAATCGATGTTTATCATCGATACTGCTATACTGGGACAGTCCTGATTCAAACAAGTTGACTTTACATGGAAATTGCTTACAAAAGAATGATTATATCTCCATTTCATACTCGATACTGCAGAGAGAGACTGTCTTATGCAGAACCTTGAAGACAATAGGGGGATTATTTCAAATAAAAAAGCACAGTAAGAGCTGTTGGAGTGTCTAGTTGCAGCAGAGACAAAAGGTCATATACAGCCTGACAAACAAGAAAGAAAAACAGCTGCTGTGGTCAGAACAGTAAAAGTGCACAAGAAGAGAAGCCTTGTGAACAATGTACATTTTTTACAAAACCATGTGAATATATACCCTTAAAAGGTGTAAATGACCCAACGGCAGAGTGTGATTAAAGTATGCAGTTCATAATTACAAGACTGTACCATCCTCGTATTATTTCATTCCCTGTGGTTTTAAGACAGAAGCTACTAGTGTTTAAAGAGGGTTTGTAAAAAAGTTACTCAATGAAAGGAAGACACAACTTGAACAATTTAAAAATTACAGTTTCAAATAGTAATAAAAATTCAAAGTTGTTAGAAAGATTAAGTTCGATAAGCTCAGCTGTTTCTACACTGAGTGTGTGAACATGGCTGGATGTGTGCTAGAGCACAGCCGATAAAACTCCAGCACCATGTCCTTACCTGACCTCTCTCTCTCTCCATAATAATATGCACAGCTGCCTACATGCTGCACAGTGAGAAACACATTTCCACCAGGGCTGAAAGAATGAGAGCAGCGATATTTCATTCTGAAATAATTCCAGCATTTACAATCCCTGAATAGTTCATTTCAGGGTTACCTATTGTGTGCATGTGTCTGTGAGTGTGGATGTACGTGTGAAGGGAATGTCCCGCTCAGGCCTGACAGCACGAGTGGGAACAGAACGTCCCGGGGCGGTCCACTGTGCTGAAGGAAAAAAAAAAAAAACCCTACAGTGTGTATCTGAGTAACCTCCTCCGATGCTGTAATAAAAGCCGTTGCGGTTGCTTCTTCTGCCTCACTTACAGTTCCGATAGACAATACAGGCAGCGCAAGCTCTTCATGCACTTTTTTTTTTTTCTACTGTACAGTTCATTCTTTCTATTTTTCCTCGATAAATGTGTTTTTTGCCCCATGTCAGTTCAAATTATCTTTGTTGTCAAAAGTGAATGAGTTACAGTGACGGAATGATGGTGGTCCTGGTACCAGTCATGAAATCCTTAAGACCCCAAATCTCATTCGTTGAAGGACATCCAGGCTCTACATACTGATGTCAGAAGTTAATTTCACTACAGTATATATATCAGATACACATTACTCATCAAATTGAGTGCCGCAGAATGAAGTTCTGATATAAGAAATAAAACAACTTTTTATTCTCTTTAAACAAAACAAAAACACTGAAATAACACCTTTTTTCTATTTGAATGTGGACAGGTGCAGATGATTTCTGTATTTCTACATGATACATTTCTATTCCTGAGCCTGACTATTAGCTCACATGGTGAAATCAGCACATTACACAGATAAAGTAATTGTTCAAAAAGACTTAAAGGGCAGAGCAAAGAAATGGACTCACTGTGATGGTCGAGCTTGAAGAAGAATCCCACTCTGATGCCTCCATTCTTTACGTTAAAAGCTCAGCTGCAGAGTTTGGATTTGTACAATCCATTTCCTGCCCGTAACACTAAGCTTTTTATGTTGAGTGGGGAAGAAGTCGCAGGAGTTCCTCCCTGGTGTCTTTACTGCAAACTCTCTGCCAAAACTTGATATAAATGGAGGCTCAACGTCAGTATAGGTCCTGTCCACCCCAGCCCCCCCAACCATAGAGAAACCCCTCTTCTATACCAACTAAACCAACCGCATCCAATCATTACATTGCATTGTTCCGTCTTTGTATTGTCTCCTGTTCCAGCCGTTTTGGTCGCATCAGAAAAGAGACTTCGAAGCTTAATGGGAACCTTCTTTTGAAATTAAAAAAAAAAAAAACAGTAAAACAACCACCGCATCACCCCATTTGTCCCCGTGACACAGCAAACCCCATCATCAACACTCACCGTCTGGGGGTCCAGCTACCAGACTGTGACTGATCCCTACCCAGTCACCCAAACAGCAATGGGACGCTGGTTGGTTGGTGGGATGGTACAGCGCAACGCTAGTGTGTGTGCGTGTGTGTGTTCAGGACAGGATGGTCATGGTTCAGCTCCACTGAGCAAAAACGCAGGGACTCTTTCACACCATATACTGGCATTGAATGCCGCTTTGCAGGGTTGTCTGGGAGTAAATGAGTTAACACACTCAAAGGACTAAAAGGAGCTTTAGAAGCACACCTTGATCTCTTTTGTTGATCTTTCTCACAAAAATCCAAATCCCAGACAGCCTTTGACACCTCCACAAACAATTGACTGAATGTTAACTTGGGGATTTTATCCTATAGATACTGGTCATTTTGCATAATTCTCAGCCACGCCACTGCAGACTTGGAATAGGTTTAAGGTTTATTGGAGCCCATGAAGTTGTGACGACAAAGAGAAAATAACTAAATAAAAGCACAGATTTTTTCTTTACTTGTTCACTTTTTTTTTTATCCTTGTTCGAGCTTTTTCTCATCAAGCTTCACAGTCTCTCTCACTTTCATTCTTTTACTCACAGACACAAAAGCTGAAGTGCATAAGCACAGACACACGTGTTTCTGGCGTTCCTAAAGAGGGGTCAAAACGGCAATGAGGGTAGGCCACATTTTGACAAGGAGCATATAGGGGCCTTTTCATATTGATGAGGTTGAAAGGAACTCTGAGGGGTTGAGGGTCTTTAAGAGGGGTAAGTAAAAGGCCAGAGACAAGGTTACGGCACTGAAAGCAGGGCAGACACAAAGGTCTGTAGATAGGGCCTCAAACAAAAAGGAAAAGACTGAGGCACATGTCAAAGCTACGCCTTTAGAAAAGGTCAGACTGAGGTTCAATGTCTTGGCCAGGGATTGGGTATAACAAATACTTGACCTGCTAAGAGGCCAAAAAGAGCAGCTGACAATAATGAAATTCAAGTTTTAGGGTATAAAATCTTTTTACAAGGGAAGAAAAGAAAATCTTAGAAATGTGGAAATCTTTCGACAGAGTGGACCTCTGGCAGGCCATCCTGCAGACAGTAGGGGGATAAATGACACAGTCCTACTGCAACATACATGAACACGAGACAGCAAGAGGAAATCCCTTCTTACATAATTAACCAGAATGAGATCAGAGGGTCACACTTATGTCTGCTCTACCGCTTCATTTATCTGTTAGTGGAAACTCAGCTGTTGTTGGAGCTGCTAACACAGCACACACACAAACACAGTATTTACTCAACATGAGCTGATTTAGGTTTTAGACAGCTTTATTTTCTAGCCAATCATAATCTAATAATAATGTAAGCAAGTGTTGGTAATGTTTCTGTTATTTACTTCTTTTTACTATATCTGGTGTTAGAGGACCTGTATTTTTGAGAACATTGGATTGATGGCATTTATTTTCAAAACTGTAATCTTTAGGCAATTAAGAACACAGTGAGATAATTCAGTTTTAATTACTGCAGCTCTAAAACATAAGACCATTAATGGAAACAGTCTGTTGTCAGTATTTAAATACTTACAGTAAATTTTTGAGTCAGTAAACAGGGTCCATTGATGTAAACACATTTTACAACTTACTCAAAGAATTCTTTTGCTTATGTCTCTGTCTTCTGACACAATGTTATATATTGGTTTTTTTTTCTTCTTTTAATTAAATCAAGAGTTTCCAATGTGAAAATCACAAAAAGCATAAGATTTAACTACTACGTAAAATGCAAACTTTGCTAGTTTGGGATTAAACTGTCGTTAAAACCAAGCAGGAACCCCCACTGTTGTTTCAAACAGAACATGCTTACATCCTTTTCCCAAAGACAGCTTTGATCCAAATAACTTGTTTCTTTGTTCGTAGCTACACTGTACAGACGTGACCTTTTAAAAACTCATCTGTTTTAAACATACTAAAACTGAGACTTGTCTCAGCCCCACCTCTTTTGTCTGTCTCCAGGTTGACTGAAAAATTATGTCGACTCAGCATTTCTAATACGGCTTGGCTTTAAAAATTTATGGGCGATGCAACTAAGACTATGAAGATGTTTGTTTGTTTTTTTGCAGACAAAGGCAACATGCTTAGTTGCAATCGTTGTCAGTGGAAGTTATCAAAGACAGAAACTCAGGACATTTGTTAAAAATGGAACAAGAGAATCAAGTTATCTCAAATTAACTCCAGTTTGGTCAAATATATCAAGTCGTTCTGTATAACCTGTCACATAATAATTTAGATTAAATTTCTTTGTAAATGCAGGGAAATTGGGGAGGTCTGCATCCTCAGAGGATGCTATGAGTACCAGTTCTTGACCCTTGAGAGGAAAAACTTTGTCAGAGGGTGATGAGACACTTTATTTGAACTCAAATGAACTAAAGACGTGTCAAAGCCACTACACTGACTTGGTCACCTTTGCCTTAATAGTAAGTTCACAAAGGGGTTCTCAGTCAAATGTCCCTTTAACAAATGAGAGAAATGCCCACAGTGAAAAGCCCCAAGCAAAATAAACCTGATTTCGTGATTTATTGGAATACTGGCATGTTATGGGAAACACAACTGAATCCTGTTAATGTTTAGCCCCAGATATAACAATCCAGCTATCCTAGGCTCTCTCACAGTGAAAATCAAGCTCAGCTGCTGGACTCTGCTTGTTTTTCCAGAGATCGAACAGAGATATGTGGACGCTTAATACACTGGAGGGCATACAGAACTTTTGTATATATTACATGACAATATTGGCCAACTGGATTGCTTGAGTTCTGCTTATGCAGCATGTTCAATCCAATTAAGTTTTATTGCACAAAAGGGGCCAAGGTTAAATTTATATAACCAATAAAAAGTATCGTAGGTCTTGTCTGAATTTTTTAATCAGCTCTGAACTGCCACTTACAGTCCTGTGTTTTTTTTTTTCCCACTGCATCAGATCTGCCTAACTGTGCACATACCTTCTTTTAATCACTGTTCACTATCATACAACACCAACAAGATTAAAGTGGAGATATAATCCCTGTGAGTACAGCATGAATGTTATCTTAACTTGAATCTGTTTTGAATCGCTGCTGGAGTTTTATCGGTGAAGATCTGCCATAACGCTGGAATTTCACAGTGAATGGGTTTTCTCATTCGGCAAGTCAAGGTACATCTGTAATAGCTGAATGCTCTGAACAAACCGGTGAATATGTGTAGGTCTGTGTGTGCATCAACTGGGAATTTATACATTGGGGTCCATGTACTGCATACTCTATTGCAGCAAACTGTGGTCTATGCCGGCTAGAAGAGACACATCCTTTGTAGTCAATCCCCTTCAAACGATGCAGCCCCTGATTTTGGACACAGCTTATACAATGATTCTCTGTGCCAAAAGGGGTCGTCACCTCAGCCTCAACTCCAGGCCTATTCCCTGTAGTTAAATATTATTGTTGGGCTGGTTTCTTAAACTGCTCTGTTATTGTATGCATCATTAAAAAATGGATTCCTTTCACAGCGTTTTGGGAGTCATCTTTGCAGCTGAAGCAACACAGCAGAAACACAGCAAAACATACACACTAGTGACCCTTACTTTCCTCTATTACAAATAAAAGCACACCAACACACGCAAACAAAGTCCCCAGTTTGTATCTTTGGTGTCTGTCTCTCTAAGCTGAAGAGATCTGGGAGACTATAGAAGCTAAACTCTCTGACCTCGCAGCTCTGAGGTCAAAGGGCACAGATAACCCATGGCCCAGCTGACAGGCAAACAACAGAGTGGCTTCTGATCAGGCTAATCATGCTACTGCCCTAATACAAATGTTTGAAAGCCCTTTGCTCCTCACAAGCTAGTGTGAACAAATTGACTGACCTTAAAACTGCAGAAGTGGAGTATGACCTTACCACCCCGATCAGAAATCAGCGCATCAAGATGCAAGCTGCTGTGTAGAAGTCAATGTTTGGGCTCAAAATTTAAGGGAGGAGAAATTGTTTGTCTCTTTTTAATTCAGACCTTCTTCTGTTCTCTGCTGCATGCAATAAACCTGAGGGAAAATAGAACATCTACACCTTAGTAGAACAAATTCAGATTGGATTAATAGGCATTAGCAAACATGACTGTGCACCTCAACCTTAACTAATGAGATCGAACTTTACAGAGGCAGAGGTTTTGAAATGTCTCCTTCTGGTGTGAAACATTATTTTCATCATGAGTTAAAAAAGAACACAAGCATAGTTTATTTTTTTTCAAAATTTCAGTACACTTCTTATTTTCAACATACATGATTAATTGGAAGTCCTTACTCACTCTTATTCTGGCTCAAAATCCACCACCCGTGGTTACCAAAACTGACAAATAAGACAAAGTTCAAGACTTTGGCTTCCAAAGAAAAAGTTCAGCTGTTTTGATTATTTTACAAAAAGATTTTTTTTTTTAAGTCGAATGGATTTGTCTGGTACTCGAGCAATTTTGGAGTGTAAAAAAGTTTGAAATGTAAACAAAAATTTTGCATTGCCAAGCAAAAAACCAACTGGATGATACCATCTCATAATCTCAATGTTGATTTTGGTATTGAATGAGGTGCATGAAAATGATGATGATATCAGAAAATAGACAATATCAATTGACTTAGATAGGCCATGATTCGCTGATTATAATGCCCAGGCAATGTGGGTTTCACACTCAAAGACTTTCTTTGTATTTGCAGAGAACATAGTTTCTATGACACTTTTTTTGGTAATTTTGCTGTTGGATTTGCTGGACTTAGGAGGATAACAACTGATGTTAGATATTACGTTACTGAATAACTGTATTGGGATGAATTTACTCACATTATATGTAAGTATGCCATCAACAGCCTCAAACTAATACTGTAAAATAGCATAAAAGCATATAGAAAGCATCCTTTCTATACAGTGATAACTTGTTTTTCCAAGTGTTCCTTTTCCATTCTTATGCTTTAACTTGAATAAAGAGGTGGATACAAGGCATTAACTACACACGGCCCCAGATTCATAAATGTGGGCTGACCATAACATCAGAATAAAAAAGCAGCTGTTACCTGGGGCTGTGTGAGCCATAAGAAGGTGTTTCAGTGAGCCTGTTGAATCAACACTGCTCAACAGACTGTTCCCCTGCAGCTTCTTGTTAATTCAGCATGTTGAAAGAGGCCAAATGTTTTGACAAATCACGTGTAAGCCAAATATACGGCTAAGAGCATCAGAGACAGAGGTAGAGGCTGGGAAAGGCAGCACAGTTGGCAAGAACCACAGTGACCTGAATCCGCACCCTCACCTTTTTTAAGAATTCTTGGAAGCACTCCTGCAGTACCTCGAGTTCTTCTTGGATGGTTTATTATAAGTGTCCCATGTTAAAAATATAAATAATACCAGGCATTTGACTTGTACAGCGACAGAGTTCATATTTCACAACCCCATCAGGTTAACAACTTCCCAGAAGCTTCATGCAAGGATTATATTCATGTTAGCAATGCCCTGCAAAGTTAGACTCTGTGACAGGATCGAATGTTATTTAATTTCACACCAGCACAATTCTGCTTTAGATTTCTATCAAATAAAAGAACTTCCTGGTCCACATCCTGTGGTACATTAGTGCTGGCTTTTCATTTCTAAAACCACAACATTGTAGCCCCACAAACATAAGTTGATAAGTTAAATAACACACAAAAAAATCCACTCAAGATAAGAGTTTGAGTTACTGAGAGAAAGTCCTACACAGAAAATCAAAGTTACCTGATAATTAGGATGATGCAGGAAATAATCCGGACATCTGGCCACAGCCATGTTCTGCGTTTCTCAGCTCTTTCAAACAACACACCTGGTCGGATCGAGTTTCAGTACAAGATGGACAGAGCAGGACCTGCAGAGGAAGAGGAGCAGACAAATGGAGGTTAGTGGAAAACTACAAAGGAAGAAAGGGGGCGGGTGATGAGGTCCTGGACGGGAAGGAGAGGAGGATGACAGAAGGAAAGGAAGATGAAGTCTAGCTTCTGAGGAGACAGATATAGCACAGAGCACTTCTTAACCCACATAAACTCACAGTAAACATCAACAAGCATCATGGGAGCAACACTGGTTGGATATAAATTCTGAAGTGTTTGGAAATGATTATTTCACCAATTAACAGCTTTGCATTACAATCATATTTTCACAACAGGATCCAATTTCCTTGAGAGATGTGCAACCATCAAATTCAGCTTTTCAATAATATGATTATGCTACAACAGGGATGACTTATATTACAGGGATTTAATGCTGAACATTATAAAGATAGTGTTCAGTGAAAACAAAGTAAAACAAAGCAGTAAAGTTCAGCAAAGGTCTTCTGAGGTTTGTTGTTTATCAATCAGGATAAAGTTCATGAGCTCCGGATCATTTGAAAGGTAAAAGAGCTGATGTAACTTCCTGGAGCCTGAATGCCCAAATTAGATGCTTCTGAAACGTCCGACTCCTGTGGCTTGATTTATGTTTCAGACAACTGATCATTTTAACATAATTTTGTTAGTCATAGTTAGGTGATTGAGAAATCTGCTGAGACCTTGTGTTTTTGCCTAAACTTAAATGCAGCAGAAATGTAACTCAGCGGGCTTTAAAAGGTGTGCTTCTACTCCACTAGCCCCTTCCTCCTGGCCATCGTTGGGTCGAAAGAACCACAAATTCAATAACATGGACTTTAGTCTATTTGAACTTCTTAAAGTGGGTATCCTATTAACCTCTTGGCACTGTTGCCACTGAATAAACACCTGTAAACACAGACCCAAAAATACCAAGCAGGCACCTCTCCAGGTCTTAAGTTAGACCCCTGGGGTATATTTTAAGCCAAGCAGCTCGGCTCACAACTATGATGCTCTTTTATCCAGCAGTTCATGACCCCGTGCTGGTATTTCAAAAATATGACCTGCCATTTTATAGCCAGCTAATATTATCTCATGTTTGCATTAGTGGTTTTGAGCAGGCTGCCCTTGTGGCTGTGGGGTGTGTGTACAGTATGTGTGCTTATAGCTGCCTGGACATGTGTTGCAGCATTCGTTTGGGTCAGTATGTGGTCATGTGTGCGTGTATGTGCATGTTTACATATGCTGCACATGTGTGGCAGCGCGTGGGTGTGTAAATGCTCTATTTTTAGGAGGTTTCAAGGTCTTTGAGAAGCTCTGGTGTGATTTTTAGCTCTTGCATCTTGCTTTGAGTGATTAAAGAAGAACGCTGATAAAACCAATCTGCCTTAAGTTAAGCACTGCAAGCAGGCCTTATGTTGAACGGCTAAACGTTAACAGTGAGGTGATGCTAACAAAATGACAATGAGAATCTTTGTATGATTATTGTCCAAAAAAGGTCATGAGAAAAAGTTTTCGTTGATGTTTGTTTAGAAGCACTTTATGGCAGGATAACAAACAGGTAAGGTAAGAGGTGAGGGAGATGATCTATCACTGCAGGTACTATCATATGTGCCTCAGTTATGGCCCAGTCTGCTTGTGTGTACCTATAGTAGGTCAGTTGCACTAATAAAATGATTGTGTAGGATCTCTCTGAAACAAAAATCCGATTGTTTTTACTCAGCCAGAACGGTAGCACACACTGTAGTTATAGGTGTTGCCTTAGAGCAGTATTAGAACAACCTAAAGGTAAATTATTGTCTAAGAAATCATGTTTAGTTTAAACATTGTTATGGCTGGTTAGAACTCTTTTAGGCTGAGACAAGTTAGTGTTTCCAGGATCATCCTTTGCCAGAACTATAAGACCTTTTGAACAGGTCCAAATGGGGATGTCCTGAAGCAATGATTTCTTGTCATTTATACTGACATTTAAAGCCACACTATCCAAAACAGACACATAGAGCATATGTTACTTATAAACGCAGGATCACAAAGCCTAAGGGGAACAGTATCAAAATGGTTTGTGGCTAACACTAGCAGAGCTAGCACTACCAGCCTTCAGTCCTCCTTGCAGGTTAACATCCTCATGTCTGTGCTGGTTACATGCTGCCCCCTTTGCGTGATTATGCACGAGTGTATCTGGACACATCCTACATACAACTTCCTCCCAACCCCCATACAATCAAGATACACACACAACCAAACCGTGCAATGGTGGGAGATGCTGTCATCTGTGCTGGTTTAGATCCAGGTATAAGATCATTACAGCATTATAATAGTAGCAATTGAGCTTGTAGCAGGAGAACTGGCCAAAAGTAGCATACAACTAGCCAAACTTGAGAGGTCTCTTCTGAATGGCAGTTACCTCGAAGGTCATGGTAATATTGTAGGAAATTAGGATAACAATACTTTAGGGGAGGTTTCACTTATTCAGAAATCCACCAGACCTATAACAGCTCAAAGGGCAAATATCAGAGAGTGTGTTTCATAAAATCACAGAATTTGCTGAATGCATGTCCCAGGATGAAGCAGGGTTTTCCAAGGCTGCCCAAACATTTGACAACTTTTTCAGATTCAGGGTACCGGCCCCTAATGAGAAAGAAAACAATACATTTATACCATCATCTACTTAAAGGTTTGGTTTCTGCGATCAAAAATATGGTTGTGTCTGCTCATGGCATTCCCTGATTTGATTTGATTTCTTGTATCAGAAAATGGAAAAGGTCGCTCAAAGCTTCCACTTCCACATTCCTAAAATTGAAACTCCTTTTTTTTTTATATACGTCCAAAATTGGGCTCGCTCATAATGAGCAAACCATGAATGCATTCTAATCAAAGAGCTTGGCACTGCCATCACTAGGGCCCCTGAAAGGGCCTGCTTGTAATGAGTGTGTGCATAGATAAGTGTATGTTTGTGTCTGTGTGTGTACCGCTGTGTGTGTGGCCAGGTTGGTTGGCATGCAAGGACAGCTTGTCATTTACACATTATTTACAGACACACAGTTTACAACAAAAACAAAACAAATTAACATCAGCCTAAACTCTCTGAGCGGCCCCTCATTAGGCGGCTGCCCTACACTCGCTGACTGGCTGTGGCTGAACTGTGTGTTTATTATGTATCAGGAGTCAGCAGGTTGTGCAAGAGCTACGGACAAAAATTAGACTTTGACTAAGTGCACACTGGAAGCTAAACAAAAAGGTTTATACTTCAGGTCACTGAAGCATAATGCCTTATCAAAACTACCGCTTTAATTTGTCATGGATTAAATATGTCAGTGACTATTTCACAGTAAATACATGGCCTTCCAACATCAGCCATGTAAATTCTGTTTCATCTGTGCATGATCAAACATGGGAAAAAGCTCAAGCGTTCCTTGCAGCATTAAAATGCCTTGCATCCCAAGTTTCAAAGTGCTCATATGTGCCACAGTGACTCTTAGTGACTGATTTATTGACCAAACATATACGTACCTTTGCTTAATTGCTCCCTGACACAATCAAAGCCATTCCAGTGTGGAGATTAGACCTTCTCAGAGCCCTTTGATTCAATTCTTTCCACTTCAACAGTGAACTGAAAAGCTAACCATTGCTGACCTTGACAGTGCAATTATCCAGCCGGTGTTGCAGCGCTAGGAAGGGAATTCAGGGTACGGCGGCTGTACCCAGCGGTGAGGTGACCGCATCTGGACTAATTAAAGTGATTTTTTTGCTCTGACTTGCATGAGGGAGACTTCAAACACAAGGGTCACAATAAAGCACACTGAGAATCATTAATTCTTTTCAGCACAAGCATCGTGCACAAAACTAGACTAAAGGTGTACGGCTCCAACTGCTGGCATCTGGTGTTTCCAGAGAAGTAAAGTTTTGAAACAGGTGCTTTTTGTCGATTTATTTCAAATCTATTCCACGAGCATAAAAGAGAACCCACCCAGTCTTTTTCAAGAGTGAGAATTATTCTTTATATCTCAAGTTTCACACAAACACACACGTTTAAGAAAGCCTCTAAAAACAGTTCTGTTTAAAGAGTTTTTAAATGTTTTCCTGTAAGATGCTAGACATGTAGCAAAACACAAACCAGGACTGTCATGTTTACTGTCATAGATTAATGCAATTTGAGTTCCTGGAGACATAACTGTGACAGCTCAGTCAAAAATATCTTTAAAAAAAAATCAGACAGCAGGAATGTGGCATTAACAAAATGTGATTGGAATTAATGGGCTTAATAACTTAATGTTACACAACAATGGACCTTAGCCAATAAGACATGAGAAACTGATTTAATTATAAAACTGGAGCTTTTATGTCCTTGGATGTCAGGCTCATATGACTGTTGAGTACATTTATCAATCTTTTCAGGACAATAAGGAAAATTCACAGCTGGGTTACGCCTATCAACTTGTAATAAAGTGATGAATGATAAGGTCAAAGCAGAGTTGCAAAAAAATCCTTTGCTCATGTGTTTACTTAAGGCCAATGAGTCCATATAATGCCCCATATTAAGATGCTTATTACAGCAGAGTTAAACTGCTGGGAGGCCAAAGACTACTTCAGCTTCACCCTCTTGCTTGTTTCTAAGCTGACCAAAAGTAAGGTTCAGTCTGCTTTTCAAATATGATGATCGTCATCATTAGGGCTCAAAATGCTTCTTCAGAGACCAGTAGGTAAAGTCACTAACATTGTATAAATGAGCCTTTTACTATCAGCCTTATATCAGCCAGTGCTTCATATACACACCCCATTTCAAACAGAGAGAAATTTGATTCTACTTAAGGGGGGTGATTTGTACCATTTGGTGTTTGGACGTTTTACCCTAACTCTTGATCCTTTATTTCTTACTGGTCGGGGTAAAACTATTCTTACTGCACATGTCTGCTTTACATGACAAAGAGTACTTTCAACTTTTTTTATTGCCTGATTTGACAGAAATATGGCAGGAGCAACACAAAACTAATCAGATGCTGACAAAACTCTGAGCATATCAGAATAGTTTGACTCTCATTAAATATTTGATGCATATACACACACGCTTGAACTGGATCCCTTTATTCAGCATCCATGGAAACAGAGAAGGTGGAAACTGTAATCAGAATGATAATATGATAGATAACCACTGGAACTACACTACATCCATCTTTTATATAGTCTGTGGTTACAACCAATGAAAATAGTATTTTTAATCATTACTGAAGAATAATAATAATAATAATAATAATAATAATAATAATAATAATAATAATAATAATAATAATAATAATAATAATGAGATAACATCAGTCATTGGATTAAACGGTGATGTGTATCATGCACTAGTAAGGTCCCTTTGCTCAGAAGGTATAGGGGGTAAATGTGTTGATGTACATTGTGCTCCTTCTGGGTCCAACTTTAACATCCCTGTGTAGTAAGTCCAACATTGGATGCCAAAGGTGCGATCACCAGAAAGAAACCATGGCTATTTAAAGTAAAGCCTAATTGAAACAGTAAAAACATGTCCCCGAAGAGTTCCTGTTTTTTAATGCTGGTGGATCAGCGGCTGACCGGCTCTCACCACACCGAACATAGAGGTAAAGAAGAAGACTAAGGGCTGGCAACAAGTGGCATGTGGGATCAGTGAACCGAAAGCAAAACCAACTTAATGCAAACAATATGCAGGGATATTTTTTTTGCAAATGACAAATTCACATTCTGACTAATGTATATTAAACATCATTATGGTTTTGAATAGCCATTACTTATTTCTGCCACAACTTTCCCCCCATATTAAAAGACTGAGTGTTTTCTCCTTCCCTCTTTCCTAAGAGGCCAATAAAAATACCCAGAGTGGAAAATGGAAATATTAAACTCTTAACCCCTCTGGCTGAATGTAAACCAAACCTGAAAAAAGGGAACATCTTGTGAGCTGAACCGCCAAACATGCTGTGTAATCTAAGAAGACGGTTTGACTTTTTCTTTTTTTCAAACCAATGTGCCTGCTTGTTGTTCTGGTTTGTCAGTCTTAACTGTCAACCTGTCTTTCTACACTTTCCACCTGTCTGACTGTTTGGTTTGTCTTTCTGCCTGTCTCCCTGCTGTGCGTCTTGTCTGTTTGTTTGTCTGTCTCTCTCTCTCTTCACCCGCCTGCTGTCTGTACCTGTTTGTGTATCCACCTGCCTGCTTCCCCACATCTAGAAAAGGCTTTCCTGGCCTACATACTGTACATCCCTCTCCTTTCATCATTAGAAAAAACATCCACAGAGTGAGTTTATTTACAGTGAGCCACGCAGAAACAAACTTCTGCATAAACCTGTGCAGTAGTGTAAAAATCAGAGTTCATACGGCTTTTATATTAGACGCCAAAGAGCTTTGTTGGTGTTCATGACAGCTACTGCACAGAAACAGTGGATGAAATCTCAAACATGATAAAAGGATGAGTTACTGAGGGATAATTCATTAATTTTTGATGGTCCTTCTGGCGCTGCAGAATCAAAAAAGCTGGAATGCGTCAGAATGCGGCTATTTTGTTTAACCAGCTGTGCTTTGTTGAAGTGCTGCTGCTCGCTTGGGTCACATTGATGGTAACATAAACCTGCCAGTAGCCTGGAGTTACTGATATGGATACTGGTATCATCAGTCTGTAGTGTCAGCAAAAATAGCACAAGCGTAGGGAGTTCGAACATGCATTGTCAGGACAGACAATGTATGGCAGAGATTATGTTTTTCTCCAAAGACTCAAATCTCAAGTTTTACTTACCAGAAAACTGTTTTGAGTCTTTAAATTTAGAGTTTTAAATACCTCTTTTGCAAACATGACAAAAGAAACTCAGAACCATCAACGCTCCACTGCAACATCTGTGAAAGCTTAGCAGTATGCAGCTGTGTCAACTTGTTCCTCTGCGTATTAAATAGTAAAATGTGCTCATCTCGGTCAACTTGACTTCAGCTGATTGGACTGGACACAGCTTACCACGGGGCAATTCAGCGCCGCTCAGCCATCTTTGGAATTTACAGAGCACATTCTTTCCATATAGGGTACTCAGAAAAAAAAAAAAAAGTTCACTTAAGTGGACCCCAACATCGTGGTTGGCATGCTTTGTTAGACGGCTACAGACAGTGTGGATGATCAGAGAAAAGACTATTAGCAAATGTGTATGCATTCATAACACAATGTAAAGACACACATCCTCACAGATCACCAACTGTAAGATTCTTAGAAAGATTTCACACGGTCAAAAGAAGTTTTTTATGCCTCCAGGGGGTCACATGAGGTAGTTAAGTGTAACATAAATAAAACTCTGAGATTTAGCTCTCTGCAATGTTGTTTCTGTCTTGCACCCAACTATTCCTGCAGGATTTCCAACCACCGCTACCCACTTACAGATGCACAATCCTGCAAGGTTTCTTATTGCACCTTATCGGTCTACTTTATGTAAGCTTGCAGACATTAAAAGTCCAATTTGGCATGAATTTGATTACAAGTAAAAAAAAAAAAAGCTGCTTCAGGAAGAAACATGGAAAAGCAAAAATGCTAAAGGTACCATTTCAAGGTAATATTCCAACAGATGGATCCTGGAAACTTTAATGGCATTTCAACAAAGTTAGTGTCACTCTACTTCATCTATGTGAATTCTGTGGATATCATTTCCCTCTAGGTTGCATATGTTTCACTTGGAGTGAATGCATTTCCAGAAACCCAATACGAAACCACCTCTCCTATTTTCAGATATGAAATTTTATCCTGTGATAATGACGCTGACAGCATGAGAATGAAATATGCCCTACGCCTGCCACATTTGTGTTAGGACCAGTGTGATTTCTAGAATCTCACTGTAACCCAGAGCGTCTCTGTACAAGGTAATGCAGCTGAAATAAGCTTGACACCACTTATCTTCAAATCCATAAGTCGTCTGCCTCAAGGAGATTTTCAAAATGTAAGAATGGCTAAAAGGTGTGAAAGCAGCAGAATACAAGATGAAATAGCAAACATTAACTCTTTCATTCAGTGCTATCGGCTGGGTTCTAGATAAATCAGGAGAAATGTATCTCAATAAAGCAGATGGCCATTTGGCTGGCAGCTCGTGCATATGACTCCATACAATTAACAATAAATCTGGACCATTGATGAACTGATTACTACCAAGCAACAAATACATGTCATCTCCTTCAAAAGTTTGGCAAAAAAGTCCAAATTCACTTCTCGAAAATAAGGTTTAACCGCGGTTTTACAGTCATTGGTTATGCCCCATCGCTCAAGCACCACTCCTCCCAAAATTGTATAAGGTCCCCAGCCCCAGATTCCCACTATTTACCAACGCTGCTGCTGTGTATGCCAGCATCTATAGCTCCCCCTTCTCCAGACTTTGTTACCAGTCATAGCCCCCCTATACCCAACCCCTACCATCATCCTGCCCTGCTGCAGTCAAGAACATAAACAGCGTCTTAATTCATGAAATGGCACAGATCCAACTCTGTGTCTGGGGACTTATGGAGAGCTCATTAAAGTGAATGTACTGACCGTAATTCAACCCCAAGAGAGGGGAGGTCAACGATTCTAATGTATATGTTTGAACTAGCCAGACGCCGCAAGTGTGGATATTTAGCTGGACGCTGTGAGTTATCATAACTTCCGTTGGCAAGGCGGCCTATAGAAACCCGTGGGTAAGCCAGGGAGTGGCGTGACTGGAAAGATTGTACAGAAGGTCTGCTTTGTTTTGTGCCGTGGGTTTTTGATTCTCCTCTGATTTCCAACAGCCTGTACAAGATCATCTTAACTATGTGTATAGTTTCATGCCTTAAAATAAGAATTTGTTCCAAGCTACGAAACTCATGTAACACATATAATTCAGACAATTAAATTATGATAGAAATCAAAGAACATCACATAACCAAGTTTAAATAAATACAAAAATAAATTTACTGGTATGCAAATTATTTGAACTTTGCACATGTAAAAATAAAAATAAGTGCAGAGAAATATTGTTTTATGAAAGTATATATGCTTTTTTATTGAATGTCAGCCACACCTCTGAAACAAAATTGAGACAGGGGTGTTTTCACTATTGATTTTCATCACCCTTCCATTAAAAAAAAAAAAAAAAAAAAAACACTCTGTGATGCATTTAAGGGTTAAGGACATCATTTTCAGGAGTTTTGAAAATGAGATGACTATTAGTGCCTTACAAGATGTTTGAGCTGCTCAGATGTATGGGGTCTCCTTTGTAGTAGTTTTCTTTCCATGATGTGCCAGATGTTTTACAAGAGCCCTGTTTCTTTTGTCTCATAGATTTCTACACACTTCTGCTTGGAATCTTTCAACATTTTACACAGTAATTGATGACATCTGCAAAATGTATTATGCTGACAGACATGAATCTGGATTCGTTGGACGACGTATAGCACTATTTTCAATTAAATTATATGGTTTTGAAGATTTGCAGGCCACCAAAATCTGTTTTTTGTCAACAGTGCCCAATCTTTTATCGGAATTTGGATTTTAAAACAGCTGAAAAACACAAAGAAATGTAATATTTATTACAATAACTGATCAAACCTTTTGTTATTTCGAGACACTTTAAAATCAAATCTTTTAATAACTACACGCATCAACTTGGTAGTTTGTGTGTTTGTGGGTGAATGTGTGTGTGGGCTGGCTGTTGTTTCTGCAGCAATGCAACACTGCGAGACGTGGAGAGAGAGTTGAACAGAGCATCTCTGTCTTCTGTTTTAATCAGCAGATTAGATGGTAGTCACTCCTCGCTGGATGTGCTTGTTGCACATGTTGATTAGTCATTAATTGGCAGCTTTCATTATTTGAGAGCAGCAGCGTAAAGTGGGGCTATAAGAGAGGGCCTGATGTCATGCCGGGGGAAGCTGAATAGCACCAGTCTATGAGAGAAAGGCCTTTTGGAAACATGGACAGTGCCTAATTGGATGAGGATTTCATTGGGCTGCATAGGAGAACTGCTCTTACGCAATGGCAGAGATGAATGAGGGGACTTGGAAGCAATTGTGCTTGTGCACCAGCTGACTGCAATGGCGGCCCCAGAAGACAGCGATGGATGGACCTGCCTTCTCATGACGGTTTGTTAACTACATCTGTTGGTGGCACATGACCTCTTCATATTCATATAGCTGACCCTGCTGTTATACACAGCCCAAAATTAACATTTTTTTACAAGATTACCAAAAGACTTCTGTTTTACCATTTGATGATTGATTTTACTCGCTCTTAGGAATGCCAATTAGCTTGGCTGGTTGAGAAAAATCATATTATGAAGAACTTAGCATAAATCCCTATTATAAGCACTAAAGTACACCACTGCAAAGCCTGATTGCTTTGAAGTCTGGGTTTATTACTACTAGACAAAAAGGCAGAAAGGGAAATAATTGAAACAAAATACATGTAGCCACTCAAATGTTCTGGATTTAAACTGTCAAAAGTAAATGTACTGAGATTTTGGACCGAAAAATAACTATTTTTGTTCTGAGGTTTCACACAGGGAAATATTTCTGGACAAAAACAAATGGTATGAGTACGGTACATCTACCAAAGCCAACTATCCATGGCTTGTTTTGATTTCGCATTGCAGATTCCAGCTGGTACACTGTGACACAGTTCAACGGAGGGAGACAGGCAGATAAGGACAGTGCAACGAGGAGACAGAGGCTTGCTCAAGAAAGAGACGGCTGAGAGGCGCAGACAAAGGGGCAGACTGATGGACAAAGAGAAAAAAACAAACTGAGAAACATCAGAAGTATAGAGACAAAAGCAAAAGAACATGAGAATAAAGGGAAACATGGCGTACACATAGTTCATGTGACATGTCTCTGTGCATCCACTGATCATGACCTGCACCAACCCCATCACAGAGGCCCTGAGGGGTTTCGTTACCTTCAGAAGAGAAGCAAAAGTTTTGCCTTATGCAAGCTTGAGTTTCAGCGACATTTGGTTCGACATCAGACAGTGGAAAACTCAACAATTGGAAAGTGATGAGAAATAGGTGTGTACAGATTCATATTTACAGTGAAGAGGAGGAGAAAGAGGAATAAGATTGCACGTTTTTTTTTTCTGCCGTAGAAGTAAAGCTTCTGCGAAAATCTTCGAGATTACTCCTTATGCAAAACATGATTTCTTTGTGGGTCAAGATAGTATGTAAAACATTACATGGGCTATAATGTTAGTAATATGCGGTCACATTTGTCTTGATTATACTGTCTTTGGCTATCATGGGCCAGACAGCCCTGGAGAAGGTGGTGCGTAGAGCCCAGCACATCACTGGTTGAGAGCTGTATGTTCAGAGTTGTATCAGAAAGTCTATGAGGATCATCAACCCACCCTCACAAACGCCTTCTCTCTTAGCAGCCCTCAGGTTGGAGGTAAAGGACCCCAAAGCACGCACAAACTGACTCAGGAACAGCTTCTTGCACTGGGCAAGTGTCCTTTAAATTCTGTAGAGGCACAAGGAGGTGCAACACTACACCCCATTGACATCACTTCCCTCCATATTTCTGGATATTTCATCTCTTCTTATTTTCAGAAGCACATTTTTTTTAATTTGTGTCATTTGAGTATTTTTTTCCACTATATTTCTATTTTTTTTTCTCTATAAATATATTTATATATATTTAATATTTAATATTTTCCTTTAAAACTGAGCCAACTTGCAAAGTATCTTCCAAACAGCCGTACAAACACTTAGGGAGACATTTACAAATAAAATTTCTTGAAACTGAAACGATTTTTTAACGCAAACCAATCCGAAGAGTAATGGGGACCCAAACTAAATATAAAGTGGTCTGTCAGTCATAAAACAAAAAGCAATCCCGCGCACATTCTGACCACTGGGAGTCCAGCTGAGCCTTTCTGTCCAGTGGATAAAGTCACTATGCCTTTAGATCCTGGCCTGAGTCAGTCAACTGACATGAACTGCACGACGCTCTCCCAGCAGGCTTGGGTTAATGGTGTCATGACATCAGGGAGGGGGTATTAACGGTGTATAAGCCTAGACTAACCAGTGCTGAATGACTGCTGGCTGACGCAAGACCCAGAGGAATGCTGCCGAGAGCACGGCCACAAGCTCTCATACCACCAACACCAGCTAATAGGATATCTCAGCCACTTTTCCTTCTGGGTTGCAGTTGAAGCTATATGCACTGTACACAAGCAGGGGCAAGCTAGGTAACGAATCTTTAATGCATTTTTTTAAACGTCTTTGGATTTAAAGTGAGGCTCGCGCTATGGCTGTACAACAAGTCACAGCCCTTGCACTAAAAATGTTGGCGTCTGAGAGGCAGAACCAAACGCACTTTAGATTCTTGAGTTTCTCAAAAGACAGAAAACACAAGTCAGAACCCTTGTGTGAGCTGAGTATAGCTTATTGTTAGTATAATTATGTGCAATATGTGCAGTCAGCAGCCTTTTGGCAGCCTGTAGTCTTGCCGAGTTCATGCCCCGTCATGCCTGTGCTTACTGAGCATGGACTTGAAATAGCAGGACTGGTGCTGAGGGGGGTGAAAGAAAACCGCAGCTCGAACGGTTGCCATGTGCACAGAGATGTGACCACAACATAATTAAATAAAAGAAAGCAGGAAATAATGGGCAGGGGCGAGGAAAAAAGAGAAATCCTCTTTTGGTTATGAATGGCCAAGTGTCAGAAAAATCACATGGTTGAGCAGACATGGCTATAGCATGTTTTTGGACTGTATATAGCTGCAGTCACATGATCAGACTGCTCCATATTCAGCCACAGAGGGTTAACATACAGAGCAGTGGAGGTTGCCAAGCTGAGTGGTGTATCAGCAGTCAGGCAGGTTGTGTGTTTCAAAGTGCTTCAGGGACTCTAGAGAGGTTGCTGACTGTGCTGGGCTTGACTTAGTTCTGAAAGGTATGTTAAGGTTAAATCTAAGACATACTTATGAATTAGGAGCAAGGCTTTCATTAATCCTATAGCTTTTAACAATGAAAGCAATGAAGGACAAAATCTTGATCCGATATTTGCACCAACAAAACCAACAGATTATCTAGTATTTTCTTATCCTTTAGGTTTTACCTGTGAACAGATTTAAAGTGGAGATCACAAGTTTAATGAAAGTGGGCTTATAAAGAGTATTTCAAACAGAAAATAGCAATCACATAGCTCATCATTGCTTAATAAAAGATTAAAATATTCAGTGCTATAATTAAGCAAATATTTCTGTGTCCACTGTATCTTACAAGTTCTTTGACTTTTCATATTACCCTTGTTTGCAAAATGTCCCTTCTATAGAAAATAAATTCTAACAGAAGTCTTTTTTGTTTATTGCCAACAATTTGGTCTCTGCTGTGAGCCAGCTTGAGATCACACGGGTCAGCATGAAAAAGACCTTTTCTCATCAACTGTGATGAAATCAGACTTTCACATTGTGTAATAGTGAATGCACATTTAACATGAAATTGCATCTAATTTTTCAGCCCATGTCAAGATAGAATATACTGGATTTTTTGGATCACAACAATATTTATTGATGTCACAACATCAACATCAGTGAGATTCCCCTAAGTCCAGATTCTGATGCTTTCACTTTGATGTAGACCAACAGCTTTATATGGAGTAAAAATGATACCAACAATATGACCCTGACCCTTCAATACATTTATTTTCCCACACTGATTTATTACTTGTGAGTAACACATTGTAAAGAAAGATCAATATCTCTGTGGATGCAGCAGACAAACCCTAAATTCTAAGTATCTCCCTTCCTTGTAATGTTTTTACCAACAGATCTGATTTTGTATGCATCACCTACAACATCTCACCATGTGCATCATTCCCCCAGTGCCTCCTTCTAGTCTAAGCCCACATTCCCGAGAGCCCCTATCTGCATTCAAAACACACCATCTGACGTCGATAGTTCCCAGAATCATAAATTTGGCTGGTTATGCAACTTTCTGCAGAGACCACATGCAGCCAATAAAGAAATTGATTTGGAGGAGTGCCCAAATGACAGGGCAGATTAGGCTATCTATGAAGAGTTGCTTTGTCAAGATGTTTGTGCATTCATTTAGATTAGATAACAATCAGGTATTCTCTCTCTCTCTCTCTCACACACACACACACACACACACACACACACACACACACACACACACACACACACACACACCCACTCTTCTATTTAGCATCTTTTAGTATTCATTCTCAAATAATTGTTTAACTTAGACATATCACTGTTTTCATCTGGAGGGAGATGTTAGCTGCAGTAAGTGAAAGTACAGATTAGAGTGTACCACAGAGGAGTTACAGAATTTACAGTAGTAGAAGCAGGAGTGGGCAAAGGATTGAAGCGGGATAGAAAAGGCCAAGGATTGCCTATTGCCTAAGATTTTCACGTAAGGATAGAAACTCACATTTTAAGGCCCGGTTTCATAAGACCTCTTAAACACAGTCTCTGTGGGAACACTTCAGCTGTTCCATTGATTCTTAACTCCAGTGCAGCTTAACAAGTGCACTGATAACACTTTTTTACAGTCAGCTCAGTGATTAAAAACGTATTCCTTTCCATGTGCTAAGCTGCACTGGCACTAAAGCTGATTCAACTACCCTCTTTACTTGGGACCGCCTGGAACCCACCCAAGGACCCCCTGGAGGGTCCTCGGAGCCCACTTTGGGAACCATTGCAAAAGGGCTACATGAGTAACCCTGGGAAAACGCCTCTTTTCCCTCCCCCCTCCCCACCCCCAAAGCAAATGCTGCCAAAAGGATAAGGCGATAAGGCGAGACTGGCGAAACTCTCACAGAATTTAGCTGGGGGGAGGCGCGGGGGGGGTTCACGCGGGGAGCGCGAGTCCTGCTGGATAGAAAGTAGGCTATGGGCCACTGTAGACTGCTGTTACGCAATTGTAAACAAGGCAAGCTGTTGGGATCAAAATACTGTTCCCCAAAGACGCATTTGAATCACAGGAACTGTTGGGTAAGGTGCAGAAAAGTGCACGAGATACATCAGGCAGCTGGTCGGCACGCGCTCGGTGGAGGAAGTAGAGATACAGTCAAGTCGTTCTGTGGCGAAATAAAAGAGTCCTGTACGAGAATAAACTTGTCAGCAAAGTTCAATGAGCGGCCGATTTACTGTCACACATGAGGGCATGAAGAACCCCGGTCCCGCGAGGCGGTTACGCGCAGTATGCACGTGTTCCGACCCGCAAAACAGTGTGTCATCAAAACAGCGCATTAAACTTTTAACACACGCGCTCCCTACCCACTCCTCGTGGATTTTCCTTTCCCACCCATACTAGACGCTCAAAAACAGCGTCTCGGTCCGGCAACGTGTTACTCACCTTAGAGCTCCTGAGTTGAGGAGGGCTGCTACCGACAGAGACAAAAACACGCAGAGTGGCAGTCAGGAGATGAAGAGGAGGTTCAGGCCACGGTGGTCAACATTCTCGGACTGGACAGATACACAGAGTCGATGAGAAGAGGAGAAGGAGGAGGAGGAGGCGAAAACAGTGGCTGCAAAGACTGCGGGCAGCTCATCTCATGCGGCCGGGGAGGACACACTCACACATACACGCTCACAAACACGCGCACACACCAAACAACTCCTCCCCTTTAGATCAGACCACGCCCACAAGTTAGGGGTGATTAATGCGGCGTTCACGTCTGATGGGAATAAGGGTGTGTTCAGAGGATTCCGCTTGTTTTTTCTGAGGAGGTGTCCTACTGGTAGTTTGAGTTCAGTGTGGTGTTAATAAAACAAACTGCTAAGTTGTTTTTAAAAACTCAGTTACCACCATTTATAAGAAATTCAGAGGCAGTTGCCAAGTATATCTATTCATTGAATGTGTTTTTTCCCCCTTCTAACCAATGTAACATCATTTTAACATCAGGTGTGACAAAGAAATTTAAATTTACTACTGTCCTCTTTTAATCTGACACACACTGATAATCTGATGTGACAGAGACATTTCCTCAGGTTTTCCTCTTGTGGAAACGCCCATTGAACAACTTTTTAAAATTTTACAAAATACCCTGATCATTCATCAAAATACTCTGCACAATTAAAGGGATAGCTGGATGTGATGCTTTAATAGATTTAAATTCCTGAGCTGATGATTTAAATTAACTGTATATGAAAAGGCAACAGAGTATAAAGAACTTTGTGATATGTTACCTTTGACTATTAAAAGAAATAAGGATGATAATTTCGTCATTTATGGGCTGATCATTAAAAAATGGCACAGCTTTGTCCTCAGGCAGTGCCAAAATCAACAAGAACTAAAAGTTCTCATGAAATTTATCTGAATTAAAATCCTCTTAAAGTATTATTGTTGTGTCACTAAACAACAGTGACTCAGAGGTTGCTGCTTTTGAATCTATGGTGCACACTGTTGGAATACTGTTGTAGTACACTTTGATAAGAACAGCACTGTCTATTACAAGCTCTGCTATGACAAGTACAGTCCGACATAAACACACCGGTGGTTGGGAGGCATTTCTTCTTGCACAACTGGGGGTCAAATCTCACTGCACCAGAGTTACCTCCCCTGAACTGTTGTGTTTTTATCCCCCTAAGACTATTACACAAGACCTGCTGATGTTTATTTGACTGTGAAAAACATCAAGAAGTGAAGCCTTGGCTGATGATAGTAAATTTCAAAAAGTAAAACTATCAACAGACCATGAAAAAACAACAAAGTGGCATTTATATTTCATACACTGATAAGTCAAAGTGATGGGAACACACCATGGGGGCCTTCTGTGCAAAAGACCACCAGTCCAGAGATGTGTGTGTATATGTGTGTGAGTAACAACAGGAGGGGGCTCACGCTGTGCCTCCTCAAAGTGCAAATGCACACTTCAACAGCAGACATAGTGCAGCTACTGCATCGCACACAGAGTGACATACAAACACGTCATGTCAGTCATGTTTGGGGTGCTGATGTACAACAAAACATTTTCCACTGTCAGGTATCAGCGCCTAGACATGAACTGAACACACATTATGTTGATTTCACCTAATCAGACATTCAGCATCAAACAGGCCTTTTGTTTGTATTGATTGATCAGTTTAAAAGTAGACTACCAAACATTAGGAAACAAAGCTGATACTAACCCCTGCTGATTGCTGCTGTCGCTATGACCATCACTCATAAGTGACCGTCAACACTAACAAAGCTGTGTACCATAAGCAGAGGCAGTTAGTGGACTGTTTTGTATCCTTTGTATGAATAGCACTTTTCATTTATTTTTATCTTTTGTATGTAGTTTCATTTGCTATGCTAATGTGATAAATAAATGCATGATTTCTTCTTTTTTTCTCAGTGCAAATCATTTCCACTTCCTAAAAAGAGACTTTTGTGTAAAATCGGCCATAAAATCTACCAAATACTGTGAATAGTGGGGAAAATATGCAACAAAATGTCTGACTATCCACCCATTCCTCCTCACACCAACATTTCAACTACCCGTACAAAGTGATTTCACTGATATGATTACGTGACAACACGACAGATATCTTTCTTGCCTCAGGACTGCATGAGGTACTGTTATGGCAACAAATACAAACTCACAGATGAAGTTTGGTGAAGGCGTAACCAAAGCCAAACCTAAATGACTTTATTTTTGTTGTATCATGTGGTGTGATCTTCTGGTAAGTCTCCATTCAGAGGTTGTTTACGTTGGCGGTATGGTTAAAATGGTTTGGAACTGTTACACAGGCACAAGCTAAAAAGCACACACACACTCACTCACAACAAAATATCGCACACACCCACCCAAAAAAAAAAAAAAAAAAGAAATAAAAAAACACCACTCAGAGATTTGTAAGGCAGATTAAAATGGTTGGAGAGTGAGCATGAATTTTGACCCACAAAAGAGCCTGCGGTTCTCTGCAGGAATTTACAGCTCTCCCTGGATAAATCAGCCAAGTTCACACTCATGCACTTTCTTATTTACTCCCACTGCTAAAATTTGCTTAACATAACCCTGCACGGTCATAAAAACTCTGAAAACAAGTCAGTGAAAGTGCTTTTTTTTTCTGGGGAAGCACCCGCACCAAAAGAAAATAGTTATGAAAAGAGCACCAATATTTTTGACGATGGGTGTATCCATATAAATTATTTCATGCTGTTTTACTTAAACACAGGGACATTGAAATCTTACATTTTCACAATAAATCAAAGATTTTGTAGCCAGTTTGTCTATGGTCGCATTATGTAGAGGCTCCTGGGAGAAAGGTGGAGAGATACAGTGACTGGTGTTTCAGAAACCAGGAATGCAGGTTGAAAGTCATTTCATATGACCACGTAGTGATGAGTCAGGACCATGAGCCCCAGCCTGGAATAGCTGCTCATCTGTGGTGTAGCAGTGAGAGGGAGAGAGAGAGAGAGAGAGAAAGAGAAAGAGAGAGAGAGAAGAGCTACAATGTATTTCATAAGGACAGCAAGGTGACCGCAGAGTGCAGTTCTGGGAATGGCACAAGCACATGATGCTTTCCAGGGCAAGGTTCACTCTATCATCACTGCAGTTCAAGTGGGAACAATAAACAGACTCCTCAGTTACAAGACAGTAGATTACAAAATCATTTATTGAATCAAAAATCAGGTAGACAAAAAAAGTGCAAAAGAAAACAAACAAAAAAAAAAACAATATGCACTTAAAACTTAGAAAGCATAAGCTTATAAAACTTTCACAATCAGCCAAACAGCTTTCATTCAAAGATTTAAATCAAATCTCTCACTGTGAACATCACTCTTCACTTTACAAAAATATACAATGCTACAATGTGCTGTAGGCTAAAGTGTGAAGATGGAAAAAATCCAGCCAGAATGAAATAATCTCTTCTAGCAGAGATGAAAAAAAAAATCAAAGCAGGAATTCTTCTGACACTGAGGAGAAACTATTTAAACGATGTTTTGAGAGATAAAACTGAGAATAAATCAAAATAAATCTCCATAAACCTAAGAGTACAACTCATTTTACTTGTAATAGCTCACAATCCTCTGCAGTCAACATTTACACCTGAATATGTCTGCTCTAGCATAACTCCTTTTCACCATTAATTAGCAGCTGTCCACCTTTCCTCTATCAGTCATAGCTACTCCAAACTGTCCTCCCTCAGACAAGCAGAAAGGAGTGTAATAACACTTTCTTAAATCAAGATAACTTACAACCACTACTGCTTTCTTATGACATCTAGTTTGTGCCACAGAGCCAGTAGAGGCTAGTTGATTACTAAGCTAATCTCTTTGCTGATGGTGACGTCCACCATTTATAATCTTCAGTGGTGCATCAAAAATTCTGAAATCTCAAATAAAGAAGAGGGTTTATCTCTGTACTTCTAATCTGTCCAACATAAAAGCCAACGTCAGTCAAATATCTCTACTATACAAGTATAAGCTTCAGCAGGGCACTGACTGTACTCGACGCTGATTAAAGATTTCAAACAGCAGCAAAAACAAATGTGAGAAGCCAAAACAGGAGCACATTGAGCTAACAGGCACTTGTCAGTCACTGCTTTTTTAATCTTCTGCAGAACAAAAACACCACAGAAGTTGGCATCACATATCAGATCTGGATAAAATAATACACTTTGAAAATCAAACAGCAATGGATCCATCCATTACTTTTTTAAGTGATCATCCTAATTTGTTAAACAAATATCAAGAAGTTAAATCTGGAAACATCATCAGATCAAACTTATTGCACCGCATATAGAGAGTTTTTACAGCAAATGTCATTTACATAACACTGACGGAGCAACAGCATAAGGCATCCTTTACTTAAACTTGAAAACAAGGTGTGAAAGTAGCATAAACCATTTAAAATTAGCTTTCATTGGCACACATATTGTACAATATTCCAGTTTAAATAACTGAATTCAAGTACAAATGGCAGCTTATGCTTAGAGACAGCAATATGTTAAAACGACAGACATTTTGTTTCTACAGCAAGTTACTGTTAGAGGCAAACTGAGCAGTGACTTACAATCGAAGACACTTTTTTACAGACTTTATAAATCTTTCCAGAGTTGTGTGACTGAGAGAGCAACATTTCGCCTTGCAAGAGGAAATGTTTAAATAATTCCACTTTATAACAGTTTTTAAAGATGAAGATTAGTTTAACAGGCATAGTCTGATGCTAGTTTTCACAATGATTCCTTTTTCTTTTAGTGCTTTGTGTTAGGAGTCAAATTAAACCCTCTGATAATTTTCACTCAGTATGCCATCCAGTTTTCCAAATGCGGGTTGCATGGGCATGAAAGTCAAAATCTGAAGTCCCATGTGTTAATTTTTTCCTCTTGAAGCCATGTGGCCCTCCCCTCTTACTGCTGCGGGTGTGATGAGGCTGAGGCTGCTTGGATTGTTCCCAATCGGCCGTTCACTTTGAGTGTCTTTGTGGGCACAGCGACCTAGTTAAAAGAGACATAACATGTCATGTTTGTAGTTCTCTACTTTGGTAATGACAGGAGTGATAGTTCATGGCATGCTGGAAAAAGAATATCAGTTTTGTGGAGTCTAATGAGGCGCAGACAGAAATAAAATGTCTGGAATGAGAAGATCCATGCATTAATTTGTATTAAATCTGAATATCACTCCCTAAAAATATTTACTCTTTGCTGTTTCTTCTGTCTGCTTCCAGAGACGCAAAAACATTTTGACATCTATGATTTTACACAGCTGCTGACCTGAAGATGAACTGAAAATATTGATAGAGCTGAACAGTCTGCATGTCACATGAATCTGTGAATGAGTTACAATCTGCAGTTTATTTTCAGTTTCCTTGCTGCTGCCTCCTGGGTGAGCTTTGTACTGCCAATGATGTCTTCAAACGAGGTGAGACATGAGGAAAGAAAGACCCCAAAAAGAGGAAAGGGAAGTGGACACAGGTTCAAAAAACAGATTTTTTTTGTAGCTTTCTGGCTCTCTGGCTTTTTTTTATTCCGTCTGCATATTTTGGTGTCTGTCTCTGTTTTTTACTCTCCCTCTCTTCTTTGATAAGAGTCTCTGTGGGTGAGCCATTTTGAGAACCAAACCTCATGAAAAAATACTTTCATTTAGATAGTCTCCACTTGTGATATCGAAACTTATTCCTTGCATCCCTTACTTTTGTTTCATATTTCATTTCTTTGCTATCTTGAGTGTTTTCCTCCTCATAGAACAGATAACACACATGGAGATGTGGATGCCTTTTCTTTGTGCTACAATCTGATCCACTGAGAAGTGTAGGATAAAGTGTGACTCTCTACTTCATCACTACACTATCATGAAGTTAGCAGAATAAGAAAAAAAAAACCAATTCAAAGCAGCCACAGAGTTTCAGAACTTTAGTAAAAATTAACTCTGGAGTAAAAAAGATGTTGAATTCTTTTTTTTTTTTTTTTGCATTTTTACCCTTTTCAGCTTCTCAGCCGCAGATCCAGAGCGAATGGCCTCTAGCATCGCCTCCCTGGCCACGGCAAGGTTCATGACGCCGTCAGTGCTTGGATGTGCCACACTGCTTGGCTTAACCTTGGGCAAGACGGGAGGGGGAGGTGGAGGAGCAAGCATGGGTGCTGGTGGCAGAGGTGGTGGGGTGAAGACAGGAGAAGTGCAATTCAAGGAGTAAGGAGAGGGGGAGGAGGGAAGGCTTGCACTCCTCTCGTCCTCAGACGCCTTCCTGAACTTTTCAAGCTCATCAGCCGCCTCAGATTTGGTCTGGACACAAAGAAGAGAGAGAGACAAAGGTAACTCTAGACACACAAACACAGGCGGGAGGCCAGCTGCTCTCACATATGTGCATTTGAACTCACACGCATGGACGCACATGAGACATTTTTTGCTGCTCTGATCCTTTCTTTTCTAAAGTTCATGTTTTTCTTTTTTTTACATTCATCTTTTTCAAGAATCCATCGGGCGTTTTTTGTAGTTTTAGTTATTTATCTACTTTTTTTGGATATGCACAAAGTTTTTAAGGCAGATTTAGTCATGCAGCATTCCTGAGATTCCAGTTCTGGTAAGGAACCTCCAGAATAGAACCGCAGATGTTTCGGCTTCAGCAGCACGTCTGCCCCTTTCATTCCACATGGGTCCTTACATGACAGCAAACCACAGCTCTCAGTCCACTCACAGGAATGGAAATAAACACAGCATAACTTAGTTCATGCAGAGTTCTTTGAGACATTGACCAACTCACAGTGTAAGAAACAAGTTTAGTATCTATATTTCAATGTGAACATAATCTATGTGCCAAACACAAGTTCAGAGAGTACACTTGGTTTCAGCTATTCTAGCAACTCTATGAAGTACTACTTGATGCTAAACCACGATGGACAGAATGAAAATGCTACTAGCAACTTGTAAACAGTCTTGTTGAGTAAAGACATTGGGTTTAGCCATGTCTGAGGCTGGATTTGAAAAAACAAGAACAAGGGCTATTTCTTTACAAACTATCAAACATACATTTCAGAATGAGTTCATAACGGATATCAACTGTCATGGAGTGATACTACAATGTGTACTTTACCTTCCTCAGCCTCCCTGTTTTACTCTGGGCTCTTATGGCAGCCAGTAAGGCAGACCTCTCATTCTCCACTTCAGCATAAGATACTTTCTTCATGCTGCTGGGACCTGGAGTGGTTAACTATGGAAGAAACAAAAAGAAATAAGTAATAACTCCTTTAAAGTTCCAATGAGGAGTTTTTTGACATCGATAAAATAGGCTGAAAACCATACTGATGCCTTTTCATGATGTCTGAGCAACCAAGACCATCAGAAACAAAACTGATGATTCTAAGGCATGTAGAGGACAAGATGAGCAAAGATTTCTTTGTCAAAAGGGGGGGGGGGCAAAATGATAGGAACTCACAGAAACATTGTTGAAGGTACAGTGTGTAGTGTTTATCGGGAGGTAGCAAAACAGACTTTGTAGAAATGGAGTGAAGTAATTGTAAGTATGTTAAACTAATGTATGATAACCTAAATCTGACATTTTTTTGGTTTGTGTTGACTTAGAATAAGACTTTTGTATCTACATCGGAGTGGGTCCTTTTCCAGATGGGTCCCCATCTAACACCACCATGTTTCTACAGTAGCACGGAATAAGACAGGTCTACATCTTATCATGCATTAGAGGAGCTTCATGACATGGACGGCCACCATTGCGTCACCAGTGGAAGAGGACAGGAGGGGAGCCTCTTAAATAAGAATATGACTGCTAGATATTGCTTATTATTCCTATTTGAAAGGCTGTACCTTTAACAGTGCTGAAACAGTGTGAAGAGCTGCCTGATTGGTAAATGATACCCAATGGAGACCTCTGATCTCTAGCCCTTCTGTGCATTATTCCCATCTTTGTCTCACCTTCTTGAGTCTCTCCCTGCCTCCTCCTGTCTGGATTGCCTCCATCAGACTGCTGTGCAGAGATGTCTCCTTCTCCACAGATCTACAGATCACAGGTCTGAACTTTTTAACCGGCCCAAACAGTGTCACTGGTGAGGGCTCAGGTGTCCCACAGCTGTCTGTTACTGTTACAGAAAGCTGTGGTTTCACATCAGGCACTGGATGGTTGGCTGCCTTCGTCATGTCCCGCGTGTCCTGCAGACAAGATGTAGAGTTTTAAGGTACCTCAAAAGTACGTCTTAAAAGTCTTAAAAGTTAAAAGTGGAATATTTTGAGTGTCCATTTTACTCACTTGTGTCAGTCCTTGGAAAATGGTCTTGGGAGCTGTGGGTGGTTTGGCAAATGAGCGTACAGGACTCCTCTGTGCAGGGCTGGGGCTTCTATGACGAATAACTCTAATATCATCTCTTTCATTACTGGCCATCACACTTATTTGGGTGGGGCCACCAGAATGAATGAGCTTGTTCTTGGTTGTTTCCGTCTCCAGCGTAATAGAGATTTCTTTGGCAGGTCCAACACAGCTTCCAAATCCACTCTTGTCTAGTTTTACTTCTCCAAAATCTCTCTGGCTCTCTGACACATACTCTGGGGAGCTCATGGACCTTTTTGGACCAGGAAAGTTGAATTTAGAGGCAGATTCATTCTCCTTGTTTTCTGACAATGATGACTGGGAAGACAGCTGAGGATTCACTTGTATGGACCGACCTGATCTCTGGAACCCTAATGTCTGCGTTTTCAGAGAAGCAGAGGAGTCAGGTATGTTGGGGCTGAAACCGGGCTGAGCTGCAGTCTTTGGGGTGTATTTATTGATGGCAGACGCCACATATTGGCTGGAGGTTCTTCTGGATGTTTTGAGAAAGGACAGGTCTTTTTTCAGGTTTGGAATAATCGGAGGTGGAAGGACAGGTTTAGTACTTGGCTGCTGAACAGTTTTGGACACTGAAATCTTGCTCTCGATCTCTTCCTGCTCTTCTTTTGCAACTTTGACATCCCTCAGTGGTTCTTCAGCTTCTTCTTTTGCAATCACTTTAGACTGAGCTCCATGAAATGAAAATTGTATTGTTTTTGTGTCTTCAGTGCTGTTTATCCTCATCGTAGTTTCTGAAGCTGTAGCAGGAGGACTTTTCAGGCCATCCGTGCTCTCCCTAGCTTGGTCAATCACACCTTTGTTGAGGGGCACAGCACTGTCTTGTCTCTCACTTGAACTCCAAAAAGCTTTGGCCTTTCCAAGAAGAGGAGATCTCTCACTGCTGTTAATTCCAGACTCTGATGAACCTCCAAATTTGTTTCTTAAGACTGTGCCGGGGTTCACCATATTTCCTTGATCGTCAATTTTAATGGCGCCGACAGTTAAAGTGACAGCTGGCTCTCCTGCAGCGTGAATGACAGGGGGTTTGGGAGGTACAACAGTAAAAGTGTTCATACCGAAGCGCGATGTGACACTTCGAGTGATTTTGCCGTATGAGGCACTTGAGCTGGAGTTATTCTGGTAAACTCTTTGCATCTCTTCATCTCTGCTTGTGGATCTCTGAGTAGTTGTTGAAAGAGCAGGTTTGTTCTCATGAAACGACTGAGCGCTACTTTTCACGGGATCAGGTTTGATCTCAGAGTGTTTGCTGTGTTTTTGAGCCTCAGTGTCAGATTTCACTGCTGTTGTTCTCTGTTTATCCTCTTTTACCTTGTTGATGTCAGTGATGCTCGTCTCAGTAATGTTCATCTTGTGTAATTTTTCAGTCTTTTTGTCAACTTTAGACTTTTTCTCCTGTGACTTTGTTTGCTGCTCTGGCTGAGTTGCACTCTTAGTATCTCCTCTGCTTCTGTTATTACTGTCAGCAGCTGCACAAGCATTGTTGTTTTTGTTCTCTGGCTCAGCACTGGACTGATGACAAAATCCTACAATAAGGGATTAAAAATCAAAATTAAAAACATATGAGGTGATAAGTGTAATATATCGGTAGCATCAAGTCAAAGTACATGAAAAAAAATCCTTGGTATCTGAAAGAAATTGACATGATCAGCTTGAGGCCATAAGTGTAAGGTTATTTATACCTTTGCTGCCTGTTGACTCTGTCTTGAAAAGTGACTTTGACGTGTTTTCGATGACGTTGCGTTCAAAGTCTTCCAGGACTTCATCTATGGCTGTGACTGGCACATCCATGTCCACTACAGAGACGGGAACCTCGTTACTGTCTGTGGACATGGTATAGGACCCCCCCTCCACTGAGGGTACATCTATGTGGGCTGGAAAAGAGGAACATATCAAAGTACTTTAAGTAAAGAAAATGTTTCAAACCTTTTATAACATCAAAATAAAAAATCTGTTTTGGATTTTTGTCAAACTCTCATGCCCTCTCACCTGCAAGGTCGGCTTCAAAATCTGCCAGAGTCTGATGGAGTTGAGCTGTAACCTCTTGGTCATCATAGCTGCTTTTTACCTTTTCTGTCTTTTGCTTTTGGCTGATGTCATTGTGCCTGAAGAAGGACATGAATGTATGTGTCAATGAGACCTCTTCCCTCATTTGCATGAATGTTACTGAACACAAGTTCAGTAACACTTGAAATGTAAAACACAGAGGCAGCCATAATAATTTAATCCCTCTGACTCCATAATTTTTATTAACAGTCACCACCAGGCAGCTGTTATGAACTGCTCATTTGAAGCCAATGTCACATTCAGCAGACTTCCCGTTACTAATCCACCACAGAAACCAAGAGGCTAAAAGCAGTTCAGTAGAAGAAAAAGAAACAGATCTGGTATATTTAAATATTCTTCTTATTCAAAGTAGAGTTTTGTTTTTATTGGAGCCCACTGGCTTTGAAACATGTATTACTACCACAGTTCAAACTTCCCTCACTCTTTTCAAGGGTTCAACAGAGCATTCCCATGAGTTACTGGCATATTAGCCATAACAAATTGCTACAAGAAGGCCAAACCAAATAGAATTTGTCTTCTGAGAGACTTGGACTGCTCCTCCTTTCCTCAACAGTTCTGAGAAAACGGGGTTACGGTGCTTTCCTGGAATACTGTGGAGCCAGCAGCATCAGGCCAGGCCCTGGATTCATAAAGTTTGTCTGACTCAGAGCATTGATCTAGGAAGCCTGGTCCAGGCACACTAGGATACACATTTCACAACAGCTTAAAAGGCAAAGAGTGATTTGAAAGAGGGCAGCTCTCATTCTCCAAAAAGGTCTTTGAAAAATGACAGAAAACCACAAAACTATAGAAGCTCAGATCTGAAGTTTCAGGGTGGCAGCTCTGGCTGCAACTCAAATATGACACATAGCGAAGGCTGCTCCCAGTTATAACTGCTCGAACACAAAGAGTAGAAGAACTTTTGTTGTTAGCCAAACTAGGTGAACACACAGGTGCAATTCTGATGCTTATCACTCAATATACACGCAGCAGTTATATTTTCAGAGCTTGGTTTTCAGTGGATGCATCAAACAAACAGCAAAATACAAGTATCGTGGATTTCTTTGAGTTGATTTAGAATTGAAAGTTGTCAACTATGGGAGGATTTGAGGTAGAATATGGGTCAGAGTCATCAAAAAGACAGTATTGGGAAGTAAAAAGCCTTAAGGTTGACACTGTGAGTCTTTCATTTTTCTGTATAGATGTCTTGGAGTGCCTCATATCAATCTTGACTGCCACGAATCAATAAGAGGATCTGTGGCAATCAATCTAGTAAAAGCTAACCAGCATCATTTACTTTTCTTTCCTCACTTTAGTCCCTCTCCTGCTTCCATTTTGCACGACTCCATCTTACCTGTGTCTGGACCCCCAGGTGGCACACCCCTCATCACTGTCACTGGAATTGTCCCGCACTGGCCCCTGCAGTCTCTCCCTTCTGCTTCCGCTACTTCCATCCAGAGACAAACTCCCATCAGGGGATGTGGGTTGGGTGTCAGATGGGGAGATGATGCCTGAGTCCTCACCCTCTACCATGCCCTCAGAGGCGGCATAACCCTGGTCAGGTAGACTGCTGCCACCGCTACTGCTGCCCAGAGACATGGTCTCCTCTTCGGGTGTTCCTGGTTTCTGGCTGCTGACTATTGTGCTCTGCATGGAGTGCAGCCATGCTGGGGGAGAACAGAGAAAATGCAGGTATCATTACTGGGTGCTAATCACTGTGCTGTCAGACTGTTAGCAACTGTTAGCTGCAACCACATCATTCAAGTCAATGGCCTGTGGATGTGCACATGTCATGCATTAACGTGAAAAGAACCAGTGGCTTATTTTTTTTTCCTAAAGTTTGAAAGATACCAGAAACAACACAAACAACCTTGAGGACTTTTAGAAAAGCAGCACAAGATGCAAAGTGAGAATGAAAAGCAGAAGGTGTGAGACGGGAAAGAGTAAAAAAATCACAGGAATTACCGAGGTATTTACATTAGTTTTACATTCATTCTAACACAACACTCACACAAACAAGAAAACACAAGCCAGATATATAAACCCAAGCCTAGAGTATTGCCTCTTGAGACTTGATGATGTGTGGGTAGACTTATTGTAAACAAAGCCTCTTAATTAGATTTGCACAGTACTCTTTTTGGTTGGAGTCAAAGACACTATTGCTTTATACCCTCTCATCTTTTGAGGACAGTCATGCTCTGGTCAGTCCCGTGGGCTTTGAGGGATTTATTTAGTCTGTCACTGAACTCGCTGAACTCTCTGCTAGAATAATGAAAAATTAATGTCTAATTTGTTGGGGTTTTCAGTGGCCCGGCGAGTATGCACAGCCCTTAAAAATCAGTCTAACGGTGTGTCTGTTTTTGATACCAGGTGTCTGTGAGTGTGTGCATGCATCCAGGCATGATTTAGTTAACATGTCTTCATATGTGTGTGTGTGTGGACTGGGCTTGGCAGTTTTGGGCCTGGTCCTAATGGTGTGGAGAGAACAGTCAGTTCCAGGAGATGTGGTGATGACTCACAAGGCTGTCCTCCCAGCTCCTTCCCAGCAACAGCTTAGTCATGCCAGCTACAGCCACGATCAACACACATTTATACACACACACAGATGCACAGACAAGTGCTCTCACACTGTCTCGTTCTCTATTATGTTCACACACGTGTATAATAAACACACGAGAGAGTTAACATCCTATCATAGTTGTGCACCTCCTAAATTCTAATATCATCTCAAGTGCATGCTTCAGCTGAAGCCAAATAAAACGACTCCACAGAAAATCAATACTGTGGTGCGTTAGTCAGAATGAAACCCTGGCAACCCATGCACAATCACAAACCAGAATCCTTGAATCTTGATCCAGTCTTCAACCGTTTTATTCAAAAGAAGTCCTTCAAAGTTTACGCATCCTGCTCTTCAATCACAATACAGATCAGCTTTACAGAAGTATTTAGTTTGTGTAATCTGTTCAAAGCTGTTCTGACACCATCAGAATTTTCAGAGGATTAATCTGATTTTACATAAAAATTGAATTACTATTCATTTTAATCAGATCTGCCTTGCATACTACTGCGACCAGAGACAAAATGTCACCATGATCTTCCCAGAAATGTCAAATCTGTGGACTTTGTGAAACAACAATAGCTGCATTCATCCTAATAGCCCGAGTGACATGATTAAAACTAGGATATCATATCATAGTTACCACGCAAACTTCAGAAAAATAAAATAAAGAGACCACTGCAAAAATATGATGGTGTCTGTGTGTGCTCTAGTTAAAGGTTTGTGTTTGAATAACTTACATGTGACTGACTACAACATTATTCCCTATTTACACAAAAATATTCTCATGTAGAACTTTGATTCTTTGAAAATGACAGCCGGTTAAGACAACAAAGACATGTTGTATGTTTCAGACCTGATAAAAAGAAAAGAAAGTTCATATTCAGTCTCACAAACCCAAACATTATGGTTTAGAGTTCAGATATTAGTATTCAGGGGATACACCTGGTTTTGACTTTGAGTTTTCATGCGTCTGGGCTTGTTCTCTGTTCTCTGCCAGTCTTTCATGTTGCTATTGGGTGATGTTATGCCACTCTTGAGGCAAAAATCTGCGCAGCTCAGCTTTCTTTGATGGTTTGTGAGGTGATCACAAATTCTGTAGAGTGAGATGTGCCTGTGCTGACAATCAACTCACAATAAAAAGGCTTCCAGTTTAGATGCTGAGAGATAAAGATGAAACGTGGGGCTGTGCCTTATTTTTTTCCTCATATATTTCATACATATAAAAACTGAGTATATACTGTATGTGCTACATATATCAACATTAAGTTGTATAGCATTGCTCTCAATTGTAAACATTCTGTGCCACTTGACAAAAACTTTTCATAAGTGCTCTCAGTTTTCAGCCAAAGATTAATGATGTATTAAGTTTCCCTCCTTTTCACAAAGATTTACGTGAATTTAAACTCTACCCATAATTTTGACACAAACATTTAACAAACTGCAATCATGCAACTCCAATTTTTCAGTATAATCATAATAAAACCATTTCTTCAACACAGCGTTAAGTGTCATTCTGGTTTTCTAGCTAGGCTGGGCTGTCTTTGGAGAGACGTCTCTTATTTCTCACATTCATCATTTGTACTAAAACACCAAGCAGACTGCCGCTGAAAGATTACCTTCTCTCAAACTTTACAAAGGCAGCATACATTTCAGGTCTAAGGTTTCAAAATCAGGCCACAACACCGACACAGAGAGGCAAACATACGCTGTCCAACTATTGATCCGCAGATATCACATCTCTAAAATATTGGCTGATAGATATCACATGGCCTTGTCTAATAGCCTCCTTTCAGCATGTCAGTCATCAATCACACAGTAACTGATACGTCCAGGGTTTAGCTCATCTGTCATTGTATCGTCCTCTGACCACATTCTGTGCGTCCATTTTTAACTCAGCCCTGATCTCATGTGTTATCAATATCAACCAGTGGATCAAGTTGAAACATAAAACCACCGACAGTATGTACATACATTTGTTTTAAAAAAAAAAAAGGAAACAGAAAGGAAAAAAGAGAGAGAAGCACTCAAACAAGTATGACTTGTTTTCACTTGGTGCATTATGCGTCTTCAACAAAATCAAACCCAAAACATTACGAGGACTGTGGCAAGTGAAGGCAAGTTAGAGAAATGATTTGATAGAAAGTGAAGATAGCATCGAGTACTTGAAGACAAAAACAAGAGAACAGAATGAACAGTCTTGAGAAAATGAAAAAAAAAGGATGGTGACCATGACAGGGAGGTCCAGCGGAAACCAGGAGCATAGAGACAAAGAAAGAGGAGCTGATATAGTTGATTTTTGGATGTGGGACGGGGAGAAGACCTCAGGAGCGTTTGGAGCGCAGACGCACAGGCCCACAGCAATACACTACAGAAAGCAGGGTGCAGGGTGGAGGGGGTGGAGAGAAGAAAAGAGAAGATTTGAGCGGGCTAGATCATAAACGTTACACTTGGTGAAGACAGCAAAGACAAAGGAATCCAGAGAAAAACCTGAAAGGAGCACCGGAAAGATAAAACAGCATACATACGATTCAACACCACTCAACATTGTCTTCCATTATATTCTATCTAATATACTGGCATATACTGTTTAAAGGGCACTCATGTTGATTGGTGTTGACCCCGGCCCTGACCTCTTGGACCCAGTAGAAATAACATGGCTGACATAACTGACATTTATAGATATGAAGCACCTTGACCTCACATGGAGCCTGTATCACTTAACAGCTCAGCTGCCCAGGTCGCTGATGGAGAGATGGAAAGCATGTGAGGACAGAGGGCAGCATTACTGTTTACACACACATGCGCACAGAAAGGATTGACAGAGAAGGAAAGCAGCAGAAGTATAATTTCTGGGATAAAAACAGAAGTTATAGGAACCAGGGAGCAGCTTCTAGGAAAGAAGAGAAAGGAGTGTGAAAAAAGAAAGGGGCAGTCCATCTGGAACCTACACTGGGGAGCTGCTTCCTCCACAGGACTCTCTGGGGGGTTGTTTTCTGTGGGCTCAGTGGGAGAGGGGGACAGAGTGGAGGGGAGGACAAGCTGAGGCGACTCCCGAGATGGGTGACGACGAGGTTTAGGTGGTACTGGTCGATCATAGGAATCTGTAGGAGAAACAGCATGCAGGCAGGGCAGGCACCAATGGTTATTGATGGAAACACCAGGAGCATTACACAAACATCTTTCATACAAACTGAAAGAGACACAAAAAGCATGTTATCACCTCGATCTGTGTTTTTTTATTCCCCTGGAAACTCCTGTGTTTTTGTGCTTCACTTGTTTTTCAGACAGTGGCTTTTTATCTTTGGATTTTCTGCTGATTGACTTTGAGTTCCTGTCGGTAGAAACTCGTCCTTTGTCTACTCAACCATGAAGGTTATCACTCTTGGAGTACTGTAAGCTTCTCAAGTGTTTACAGTACACTCATATCTAAGTGTTTACCACTGCTGCTGTGGAATTTCACAAGTTATTATGACGTGGGGCCCAACTTTGGCAACAAAGGTCTGTAAAGGACAGACTGAAGTTTTCAGGGAATCAAAAACAAAAAGGTTTGGTAGGGTTATAGGAGTTGATCTTTTTACTGTTCTGCACATTAGCTACAGCTCTCGGTATCAATGAATAAATAAGGTGTATTTATTTTTAACAAGTAACAAAATCTAACTCTATACATTTGAAGTTTGGCAGATTAAAAATATTTAACATGGCTCAACCAGGTTCACATAGGGCTAGGCGATAAAACGCTGATGATGTAAATCAAAAATTAATTTCCCTCGATATCAATATATAACATGGTCAATATGCTTTTCAATAGTCGGCATTCTGCCATGTTTCGGCATTCTGCCATGTTTTGGTAGACTATACGAATGGCCAATGAAAAGGGGAATTGGTCCGTGCAATGCAAAAGGTTACAAACCCCAAGTGGAGCAAGGAGCTAGTGGCGCCTGTGCAGCCGAAACAGCTGACAATTTAGTTCGCTTTCTCTAGCGCAACACCTTACGACAAAATGTCGAACAGACACAAAGACCTCACAGATGCAGTAGCTTATTTTACTGCAAAAGACATGCTACCAGTAAGCACTGTTAAATTTCATTTTTTATATTGTGATATATATCGATATCAACTGATGTGAAAAAAATGTATTGTGATAAACTTTTTCCCATGTCGCCCAGCCCGAAGTTGACATGGTTTTCAATAACTTCAATGGTGTTGGGTGATGTTTGAGTGCTTGATGTGATTACTATTTAAAGAGTGTATTCAAAGAGTATGTTTCACTATCAATAAAAACTCTTACAAGCCAACAAAAAAACAAACAAAAACAACCAAGCTGACTTGACTTAAAAAGGTTGCTTGTACAAGATATTCAAATATCGGTGTGCAATGTATGAAGACCTTAATGCACGAAATGCCAGAGACAAGTGATTCTAAATCAAGTGTGGACTGACTAATAGGGCAAACTCAATCTGGCTAACACAGTGGACTGAAGGGGCAAAAGCTTTCAAACTACTGTAAAGAGTTCTGGTGAAATAAAGCAACCCATTGTCCTTAAAAGACCAGCGATGCATCAGTGTGCTGGGTCTTAGTCAGCAGGTGCTGTCAGTGTGCTGCTTTTTCTGTTTACTCTGTTGTCAACAACAGGAGGGAAGTGAAACAGCATGCAGGGTTCAGGAGGTAAACAACAACATCATAACCTTGATAGCTTTTGAGCACCCATACATTAAAACACACACACAGTCACACACAAAATTTCAGAAGTGATAACAATGGTTGCACTTTCTAGTTGTACCCTTCGTGCCCATAAATGACCCAAATGCCAAATTACAACAACATGATCTTAAGATGTTTCTTTGTAGTTCTGTGTTTACTTTAAAGTTACTGTTGGGAGTTTTTGAACAAGTTGAGAAGAGACTAAAACTGATACTAATACTAAAAAAATAAGACCATCAGTAATAATAGTGGTCATTTCTAAATTGTATTTTAAGAAATTATCAGGTGTTAGACCAGATAATTGACAGCAGGTTGAAGAAACTGCCTTTTTTAAACTTTTTTCCACAGCAAAAATTCATAGTGAATAAAACACATCACTGTGTTAAGACAACGGGATGTGGGTTTTGTCTGAAAACACTTTTTTTATATGTACAGGACAAGAGATGAGAGGGATTACTTTGTCCACAGGGGGCGCCAAGCAAAAATTCCCAACAGCAGCTAAAAAGGATGTCTTGCATGATCACATAAATATGCACTGCATTCATGTATTACATCCTCTGCTAAAACCACAGTAGTATTAGCCAGTGGAGGCTGTTGAGGAAGCACTAGTTTGCTATTTATACCAACTTCTGAATAAAAGTCGATATTACATATGTATGACTTTTTTTTTTCACAACTATTAAAAATAAGAAAGAAAACCCTTAACTGGAGCCAGTTTTCATTGCTGCAGAAGTTCTGATTTGACACCCATGCTTGCACATGCAAAGCACTCCGTTTTAAGGTTTGGTATAAATCTTAAGTACATTACATAAAACCTGAATTAAAAAAATACTTAAGAGCTGTTTTGTGTTGCAGTTTCACTTTAAATTGACTGGTCTGCATCTCAACCTCTGTTTCTATAAAACTGACGTCTTCATCACAAAGCTCCGAGCAAATGACATACAGTTTACGGTTGAACATATACATCAATTTTGCTCAAATGAAAGGCTAAATTTAACCTCCATAAATTAAAGACTGAATCAAGCCTATAGAAATGACAGACTTACTTAAAGCTAATAAATGCACTGTGTACATTTCTGTCCCTGCCTATACATGCATATGAGGACACCACCCTATGCTGTGCGTGCTGGGTGTAGCTGTCTAGCCCTAACACGTATACCAGCTGTTTACTCCCTGCCAAGACATCATCTGTTCATTTATGTAAAAGTGAGGTAACTGAAAAATATCTTGTTCGTGGTCACAAGAAAAGTTTAAGATGAGAAAGACCGCTGGAGAGAATGAAGCTATTGAGAAAAAAAAAACAGTTTTACCATAAAGCCACATTGTAGATACTGTATGGGAAACAGAAGAATGGAAGTAGAGAGAGAGTCAAAGAAAAACAAAGGAGAGAAGATGATGCACTGTCAGCACTGCCAGGACAGAGAGAGAGAGGAAGTACCTGGGTCTATACATTTATTAATGATCCCGCTGATGTCTGTTATATCCTGACTAAGAGACCAACCTCCTCATACTTCATCCTTTCGCTTTCTTCTATCTGCCTGTCCATCATTCCCCTCTCCTTAAACCCCTCTAGTCCCCTTGCTTCCACCTTTCCTCCCTGTCATCCGGCTGCCAAAACCTTCCCATGCTCCTTCCTCTGAACTCCATTCTGCAACCGCCACCTTTCTCATCCCTTTTCTGAGGTCTGCAGCTCTCTCATCTCTGCCCCTGTCAGACACAGCGGCCCTCTCGTTGCAATCTCACGTTGCTACGGGGAAAGAGATCGAGGTTATATAAAGATCAATAGAAGGCCAGTGAAAGTTCAAGTAGATTCTGTTTAAATCTATGATGGATCTGTCTGTCTTTGCATCTGCCAGCTTTGAAGGTTGATGCAAGCGTTTGCATGCATATAAGACAGACAGAGAGAGAGAGAATGAAAGAGGGGGATGGAGGAAGAGCGAAAGAGGGAAAAAGAGAGAGAGAGAGATAAGAAGACAGTAAGAGATTGATAAGAGGAGGCAAAAGACAAGGACTGTATTGTCTCGAGTTATGATGAAAACCAGATCCTCTAGTTTTTGTACTTCAGCCATGACACGTGTGCGCTCACACACGCGCACACACACTTTCACCAGGTTACAGACGTCATTCTTGACAGTTTAAGTTTCAGATGTTGCAGCAGTGTGACAGTTCGGCTCTTCAGGGCAGACATTCAGTCACTTTCTAAAAGGTGAAAAAAAAAGCTCTGAGGGCAAATCTGAGGCTGTCACAAATCTCGAACTTACTGAATGTTTACCATCGCTGCAAGGGCTCAGTGATCAACGGCCAAGTTCATTTTCTTTAATGAGTAGAAATAGTTTATGTTTTCTAACCTGAAAATGTTACATACCAGCATGTTTAAAGTAAAATAAACTCTGAATAACCAGTAGAAGATATTACAGCTAAGGGTAAGATGAATTAAGCCTTAATTTAATGGAATGGAAATGGAAATACAACAGGCTGATCTCAATACAGCCTTATGTCCTCTGGTGGTTTTGGGATTTTATTATAATAATTATCTTTTGTCATGGAGTATTATCCCTGTCGCTAATCTACTAAACCATTTTTTTTTTATCTAAAAGTGTTTGAGTCTGTGATCTATAAAAGTTAAAGTTAACTGAGAGATGTTCAAATTTGACTTTTATTAAAAGGTTGTAGTTCCTCTTGTATCCACCAAGAGCTGGACCCAATCCCCATTAGAGCCCATATTAAAATACCCATGTTTACAGCCTAATACATAAATGATTTTGGTCTCATTTCCTTATTTAATAAAAGGCGGGGGAGGGGTGTTTTTGTACCTTATTCAATTTTGCTCAATCCAAACTAAAAGTTAAGCATAAGCAGGGTCTTTGATTTGATTGACAAGTGGGCTATGACTGCAACTCCACCTCTACAGCAGTTTCTCGATTAGTTGAAAGATAGCCAAAGTCAGCCAGTACAGCACTGTCTCTTTTTGGGCCTCATAACACCTCTTATGAAATCAATTAGTGACACGACTGAGACTACACCCATGATTCATGCAATTCATGGTAACCACTAAGAATAATTATGCCGTGTTATCAAGAGGCTTGTATTTATGACCTGTTAACATAATTATAATCAGCTGTGTTTACTTGCTCCAGTATTTAAGGTGAATTGGAAGGTGCTGTGATTTGAGTATCTGTTACGCTATTGTGTACATATTTACCCATTGCGCTGTGTCTCTGGTTCTCAACTTCATCCAGTTTCAGGTTAAGGGCTGACTCAGTTTCGGACCGGGAGCTGCTGGCTGACGAAGCCTCTTGATTTACTTTGACACTGTTGATCTTTTCAGATTCCTCCACCTTGCTCCTGGTGCTTTTAGAGGACTGGACTTGCACAGACTCACTGGCTGTGCTGCTGGTGAGGGTGCTCGCCTGGTCTAGGTCGGCATCTGAGTCGTCGAGGCTGTGGCTGAGCTCAGAGCTTGAATCCTGGATCGCTAAGCTGTCTGTGGTGCTGCTGCTAGGGGTTGGGGAACTGGAGGTTGGGGCTGCAGAGTGCAAAGGTGGAGGGGGTTCTGCTGTTTTCAGGGGGGCTGCTTTCACTGTTTGCACCACCACAGTAGAAGTAGAGATCGTAGTTGACTGTACCACTTTTGTATGGAAGTCTGGGGTTGGTGTTTCGGTCGTGGGGCTGTCGGGGGTGGGAGCTGAAGAGAGTGAAGTGTCCTCAGGGCCTGGGGTGATGGAGGCAGGGGTAGGAGGAGGGGCTGGAGCCTTTCTTTTCCTCAGTTGGCTTTCTGAACCAAGGCCCATCTGATAGAAAATACGAAGAAATGGAGAGAGACAGTAGAAAGTTAATTATCGTGAGCACCTTGCGCATATGTGTGTGTATGTGTGTGTGGTCTGAGCATAAATCAGCCTGTCTTCCAGGACTGACGCAGAGTTTACTACTGAGTAATTAAATCAAAAGGAGTTCTGGCAGGCGTTTGAGTCCTCGAAACTATCACTGTGCCAACATTCCTTTTAAATTGTCCTACAACATGACATATAACGTCTGGGAGTGAAACGGTGATGCAGTGATGTTGCCATAGCACATACTGATACTGTTTGTGTATTTTTACCGTGTTTTTTCTCCAATTCTTCAAAGAGACTTGATTCAAAGGTTACGCTGTCCGGCTGAATTACTTCAAAACTGAATCGGTGATCACTTCAGGGGTGAAGTGACAGCCAAGTTGCAGCGCTTATTAGTAAGATGATGTAACTCCCTCAGTATGTGTGCAAACACAAAACAAGAACATGTCGTGTTCGTCTCCACAACTCTGTCGATTCAAATCAGACAAAAGTGTTGGCAAACGTAAGACTTCAGTCACTTAGGTAAGAACTTAATGACGGGGAAGGAGTAATATGATATCATGTGTCATTCACTGTTCAACAGAAATCTGTCAACTGCTGTTTCATAACACTAATGCGCTGAAAGACAGGGAGGAATAAAAAAAAAAAAAAAAGCAGATGGGATAAAACTATGAATCATTTACAAGCTAATTAGAGGGAAATTCTCTGTTTTATTCCACTGGGCAATGAGACCATTCACACCCTCCAATGCAAGCTGATCTCACTCTCTGTTCAGTCAGATTTCTAAGAATCAATTTAAAAGTGCCATGGGCAGGTTTCAACAGTGCAGATGTCCTTATTTCTTAAAAATCCCAATTACTGCATCAGAGTTCAACTTTTCTTCACTTTGAAAACTCGACAGAGAACATGCCTGGAGCTGCGTGTAGTGTTGCATCATGCAGCAGGACAAGAGAGAGATCAGGCTACCTTGCCTTACTGCAGGCAAACTGGGTTCACACATGTGAACTCAGTGAACTCAGTGCATGGCATGCTATAGACATAAGACCCCAACAGCCCCCCAACTGGTTGTCTTTCTCCTCCTGCGTCTCCCGCTTCTCAGCCTCTGTGGCATTCATACATACATGAATACGAACACATCAGTGGATGTCGGCCAAAGTTGAAGCTGAAATGGATGACTGACTTGCCCAAGAAGATAGATGTGAGTTTGTGTGTGCGTGTGTGTGTGTGTGTGTGTGTGTGTGTGTGTGTGTGTGTGTGTGTGTGTGTGTGTGTGTGTGCGTGTGTGTTTATGTGTGTGCTCCTTGCAGAGTGAAACATAAGACTGCAGCCAAGCCCTGCTCTGTTAGAAAAAGAGCGTTGGCCAAGCACAAACACACACCAACACATACATTTCTGTGTGACTGTATGAGCATTTACACACTTGCACACATCTAAACACATACACACACACAAGAAGGAAGGGTATATCTCATATGTCAGGCTGAGCTTGGGTGTATGGATCAGGGACTTGTTAAGGGTTTGCAGGGTTAAGTGTGTGCTGCTCTCATGGGTTTATTGGCGCCATGACGGGGAACGCAGCATGTACTTAAGATGGTTAGAGACTGAAGCCAAGACTCAAGACTCTGTATTATACCACATTCAAGGTCACACTGTACATTAAGTTCAGCTGACTGTGTAATATGATTATGTATACACTGTGTTTAAGTGTGCTGTTCCCTGATTTTACATCTGCAGCTGTGCTGTTTAAATTTTGATTACACAAAGAAGGACATCATTGGAGTAAAGATACCGTTTATTTCATCTGCTACACTTAAAACTGCTTCAAGTTTGGCTGCTTTTGCTCAAGTCTCATGACATGACATTACATGTCAAGTCACAACAAAGCAAAGGACAGCCAAAGCATCAGATTTTGACACTGTGAGTATACTAAGTCATGTTGTATCAAATCACAAGCAGAAACAAAGCTGTGTAAGTGAGTGATGGGGCAAAAAAGGACAACTCTTTGACAGGTCCCTTCATAACGTGAAACCAAAAAATAGCCGGCACTCTAGAACAAACATGGCAGGAACAGAGCTGGTCCTCTGGGAACATTGATGAACATTAAAGCCCAATCCTTAAAGACAGAAAACCATTTAACCAGGCACCACCAGGATTTATGATCTGAAAAAATGTACAATCTAAGACAAACTCCATTAGCAGAGGTTTTTCCCTTCAAGTTACCTTAAATAAAGTTCAATACAGTTCTTGTATTTATTTTATTGTATCTCTCTATGTGCCCAAAAACAAGACTGAGGCTGCAATTTGTTTGCTAGGTTATACCTACAAAGCCCCAGGATTGTTCTGACACTGCATTGAGCATCAATGTAAAATGATCAAGTAGTCCTTTTTTTTTTGCCAGAACTCAAAGGACCTGACATGAAGGGCTTTTCCACATTAATATCCACACCATAGAGACACTGCTCTATGTTTTACTATTCTACAACACACTACAGCTGCTTAAATAAAAAAATGGGGCATAACATCAAAAACATCTGCGTACTAAACTCTACTGTAGTGGATAGTGAATGTAGGAATGCATGCACATAGTCAAAAGTCCAGCACAATGTTTATTAGTATGTGTTTTAGGAAGGACATTACTAAAGCAGCCTTTAAAAGATCATCATATAAAATTTTAGATTGAAATCTTCGAACAAGGATTTCTTTAAAATAATAATAATGCTAATGTAAACGAATATCCCCCAAAAATCTATGACGAATTGGATCAGTGATCAAACTGAATTTGGATCAAGACCTTGTGTAAAGAAATACAGTGAGGCAATCAGTGGCAATGCCGAGCTCTTCTGGACAGCGTGTAATATGGTTTTCTTAATTATCACTATACTCAATGCTCCAAAGCCAGCCTCTCTGAGTGCACATTGCTCACCAGCCAAAACCTCAGTATATTTGAATTTATCGAGCCACTTCAAGTCCAGGCTACCCCTGAAACCTTCGTTGTTTGTAGGACATTGCACTCATACAAATTCAATGTGGAGGGGGAGCTTTTAGGTTTTTTAGGTTCTCTGGAAAATTCTGCAGTCTAATCTTAAATGATAAAACTGAATTATGAAATACATAAACTGTTACAAAATATTCATTTGAGGCAAAAGTACGCAGGTGATCAATCTTTTTAAGGCAAAGCTTTATGGTCAAAAGTTAGATTTAGCCACACTGGTATGTAATACTCTGTCATATTGAATATTTATTTAAGAAGAGGTAAAACAATTGTCCACCTTCTGCGGGATTTATCTATAAACAGACATACTTTAAGATATGCAAACAGCAAATCATCTTCAGTCTGTTAATTTCTGTTGATTAAATAAGGATGTAGAGACTTCCTTTGCCACTGTCTGATTCCATTGTTTTAAATGAGGCTAACCTCCATCTAAAAACAAAACAAACACATTCATCACATCAGGATGAAGCACTACACCAATCACAATGTGCACACCTTGAACAAGCAGCAATTGTCTCTCATAAAAATGCTTTTTTCTTATAATTCATTCAAAATTTTCCTTTTCTTTGAGTTGGTGAGCCCCCCCCCCCCATTAGAGAATGATTAAGGAACAACACAGCACATGTGGACATGGGTAAATTTTAAAGGGAATGCTCATTCATACAAAAGCACACAGGAGGCCATGCCAGGACAGTCTGGTGTGTTCATTAAATTTTCCACTCCATGGTTGAGAGGCGAAGGGCCCCATGTTGGAGCATGTTGATCAGATAGGGCCACCCATGGAGGCTTCAACCTGTTGCGTGACCGTTCATCAGTTGTTTCGAAGGACTCTTGATGGGTGAGGGGCTTCGAGACAGAGCAACATTACAGCGCTAATGTGGAATGTGAAATGGAGTATGTATGTGTGTGTATGTGTGTGTGTGGGGGGGGGTATATGTGTGTGTGCTTGTGCATGTCAACATGCATGAATACATTCATCTATGTTGTGTGTATATGTGTGTGTGTGTGTCAGAGATAATAATAGCAGCTGAACTGTCTCAACGCTGTGAGGGCATTGAGGTCAAAAACATCCAGTAGGCTGGAAGACAGTTAGCGTGTATGCATGTGTTCTAATGAACTTGTGTGAGCATGTGGGATGCAACATGAAAAGAGTTTTATGTAAAAAATTTTAACAATGTGTTATGTGTGTCTATGTGTGTGTATGTAGTGGTGGTGGGGGGGTGGAGAAGAGGCTAGCTAAGGATAAGAAGATGCATGACTGACCCAGTTCCATTGTCATCTATTCTGTCCTACTAACCCACTAAAGTTTGCTGTTATCTTGAAGTTTTTCATTTTTTTACACTTAAATCTATTTATTTAGTAGCGGTTACCTGTCTGTAGGCAATACATCAATGCATTTAACAAGTGATGAATAAAGCTCTTAGGCCACATACTGGACACAGTGGTGCAGGTTTGAGTTTGAAATCTTGTTGCTTACAATGACAGCTGTTCAGAAGCACAAGAAGCCAAAAAATCAGACAAAACTAAACTACCCAGATCCTCCAGAAACATTCATCACTGTAGGAACCAAAAAACAAGCACTCATGTATTTCCTTAAGCATGGTTTAAAATTCCTGTTGTTTTGTGCCAGGGAAAATAATTCTGGATTCAACTGTTGATGAATATTTCCACCAATTGTACAGGGAATTTCATGCAATTATTGGCTGATAAACAGACTCTTTTTTTAAAGTTTAGGGAGGAAACGGCATTCATCGTACCACTGCTAAACCAATTGTTAAAATCTAAGTTTTACATCTACTGAGCTTTAGACTCTACTTTCAGTAGCTGCTGCACAAAAACATAATTATAAAAATGAACATTTTACATTTATATATCATTTATACAAAAAGTGGTGATTAAAAATCCTAAAAAGAAAGCTGATTACTTTTCAATATATTCTCATAGTTTTCTGTAAATCCATTCATGTTTAGAGGAATTTTCACAATGTACACATAATAGCTGGACCACACATGCTCTTCACACATCCAGGTGCAGCCACAAGCCGTTTGAAAGTGACACAAACATACATGCGCTTCATTTGTTCGTCCCATCTCCTCCTGGCTGGTGTCATAGACAAGATGTTTTGACAGCTTTAAGTGCAAATGGATCCTGTCCTACATGGCAGGGTGACGTGGTCTCTTATTCTAGGCCCCTTACTCACACTTTTAAAATCTTCAAGGTCAGTGCGTAAGAATAGAGGGCTTACAGCGTCTCTCTACAGTAACAGCATCAAGCAGACATAACAGTACTAGACATTTTGTATATTAATAAAATTATATTTATGTTGTTGAATGCCTTTATAGACAATGGCCAAAGTAAATGAGGCTAAAAAGTAAGCCAGCATTCAACATCACTCAGATAAAACTGAAAAACACAGTACTTTCAATTCACCTGCCGTTGCTCTAAAGTAATTCATAAGCACCAACCTAGCCATGTTGTAGTTAGATTGCTATTTCATGCATGCAGAATGTATATTGTGACATTATTAGAGCCTCAACACCTGCTGTTAAATTTTTTGTACAGATTAATACAAACAGAGGCTCTTAAGATAGAATCAGAATCCAAACCAAATCACTTTATCTGACCCGCGGGGGACATTCACTCATTACACTTGCTCTTGAAAATACAAGTTGTATCGAGAAGGAGGGTAGAAATAGGATGAAATTAAAATAAATACGATTTTTTTTTGGCAACAGTTAGTGCGAAGTGCAGAATATTAATAAATAAAGCTTTTCACAAAGCATTTAGATTGCGTTTGAGAGAAGAGCAGACCAAAAGCTGCCTGTTTGCTTTGGCAGTAGTAGCCACTTTTCTGATCTGCTTCCAACTGTTTCAAAAAGAGATGTTTTGTTCCCTCAGAGTGTGAGGAGAGATACTCTGGAACATGTGGAAAACGAGTAAACATCCTTCTGTACATCCAGCCAAACCTCAATTGACATCTCACAACAGGAACACCCAGGCTACCTTCCTTTTTTTGTCTCCCTACTGCCTTGCTTTCACCCTGCTTTGTTTTGCTCTCTCGTTCACTCAGATTTTTATCTAAACGCCAAGCCTTATAAACCACAAATTCAACAGGGACTTGGAGCAATGAAACCCTGCAGCAGAAAGGCTGACCATCTTTGTTTATGATGTTAAGTGGAGGGTGTTTTTGTCGAGTGAAGCTGTGACCAGACCACAAGTACTGTTAAAAGGACAACACAAAGGGTGTGGAACAAAAGAAAATCTGATATCAAGGGGGAGTATAAAAGAGGAAAGAAAAAAAAAAGCAGATGGAAAGCAAAACCAAAGCGCAGTCAGATAGAATGAAAGAAAGACGAACCCTTGCAGCAATGCTCAAACATGAACACAGATCCAGTAGCAGTCTGTCTTTTGTCTGATTGATTAAACCAGAGCAGTGCATTAGTGCAGATTAAAGTTAGTTACAGTTATGGACACTGTGGGACTGATGGATGGCTGTGAAAAACAAGCCTTCATCTGCTGCCAAGTCTCTTGCTTTGCAGACACACAGGAAGAAAAACATAGCCAGCTTGATCAATGAAGAAACCAAACAGACCCAGAAAGGATGCAGCATGCACAGAGACTAATCCATGCAACAACGTAGGGCTGGACGATGAAACGATAACGATATCAAAAATTAATTTCCCTCAATATTAAGATAACACATGGTCAATATGCTTTTCGATAGTCAGCATTCTGCCGTGTTTTGGTAGACTATATGAATAGCCCATGAAAAGGGGAGTTGCTCCGGTTCTGCTTTGCGCTGAACCAATCATGTACTGAATTAGAACCAAGTAGCAAACAACTGCGTAGTCACAGGTTGCATCTACACGCAACCATAGCACTTTAACATGTGAAGCCGACAGCGCTGTCGGTGAGAAATAAAGAAAATGAGTGCTACCCCCGGCAGACATGTAGATGAAGGCTCAACGATACTGTCGACAACACTTACACGGAAACGTCGGTGGTGAGGTGATGTTTTGTTTTTTGAGGTCGGACAAGAAGCAGATTAATGTGCAGTGCAAATTATGTTGAGTACATGTTCTCGAAAGTCTGGGAATACCTTAAATCTTTTTCACCACCTGAAGCAGCGCCACGCGCTAGAGCATGCACAATACAAAAGGTTACAAACCCGGAGCGGAGTAAGGAGCCTATAGTGCCTGTGCAGCTGAAACAACCGACCATTCAGTCCGCTTTCTCTGGCGCAACACTTTACAACAAAACGTTGAAGGAAAACAAAGACCTCACAGATGCAGTAGCTCATTGTATGGCAAAAGACATGCTACCAATAAGCACTGTTAAATTTTATTTTTTATATATCATTGATATATATTGCCATCAACTGAAAAACATGTATCGTGATAAACTTTTTCCCATATCGACCGGCCCTACAATGATGTAAAAGAGGCTAGAAGACAGAAATCAGAGCAACACTGAAGCATATCATAAACAGAATGTTAGTCATATATAGAGTTGCAAATGCTTCTGTTTAAAATCAAATCAGCAATATCATAACAGTGTCAAAATCCTCTCTGGAAACTCTCTCTCTAACCTGACAACAGGCCTCCCTCGGTAGTGTTAATCTCACACAGTTGCAGCATTGTTTCTGCAAGCATGGTTCATTTGTTCTCTTTCAGCTGAGAGACAGCCATCACAGTTCAATCCCTCCACCAGCACTTACTTCCCTGTGCAAACAGATGTGATGTGAATTATGGCTTTCCCCCTTTTGGCTTGCTTGATTGGCTGTATTATAAATCAATTTTTCCAGAGTTCTCCTCCAGGTCTACAAACATGTAACTCTGAAAGTCACCTAATTTTTGAGTTACATGTTTGATCATTTTATACTTTGAAGCGCACTAATAAAGCCGTTTTTTAGAGGAATCCAAATATGTCAATTGAAATGAAATATGGGAGCCGTGAAAATGCAGTAAAACTTGAAGTCTTTATGCTGGAGGGAATACTTCTGAGAACACTTGCAGACCTTTCTCTCCACTGATCTTTTTACTCTGTCACCTTCTGCCCTTTGCTGCAGCTTGTCCTCTGATGAACTTCTCCCTTGTTCCCTTTACCTTGTCCTCTTTCTGCAAGGTGAGGGTGTGCCAACCAGATTTCACGCTATCCTGACTTCTAGAAATGAGATCCTAAAGGTAATACATTGTTAATGTTGCACAACACAAATGCACACATGTTAAGCCTGTAAAGCCACGTAAGACCTACTGTTACCTTGCACTCACTTTCTGCGTCTGTCCATGAACCTCTGAGTCACCTACTTTCTCTCTTTAGCTGTTAATCTCCTTGCTTATTCATTGCTCTAGTTGTTCTGCGTTTATCTTCAGTGCTGCACATGAAAAAAAAAAAAACGGGCAAAAATGCACTTACAACAGAAGCACCTTCTGTTGCTGTGCAGTGAAGCACAGAGCTCAGAATTTCTCTGAACTGCTTTATCACAATAGGCCGTGCAGACGTGGCTTCCCTTCCAAACCACAATAACAGATAGCCTATCACTGCTGTGTTTCCCTGAACTCAATGTTCCAAAACATAATTTAGCTGGGCGCTGCTCTCATACAGACTGACACAGCTTGTTGATTGTTCAGCTGAAGAAACAAAGCCGTAAACTTCTCTGCCTCCATGACGGCTGCGGCATGTGAAAACATCTGATTCTCCTGCAGTCAAATGTGACTTTACACTCCTCCTGGAAAACTGTGTCGTCTCCCTCAGTGCTATCACTATTTCCATTCTCACTACTGTAAATAGAAACTTTTCCATCAGACATCAAAAAGGTCAAAGATCCACTTTCATTACTGTACATGAAACAAGATCCTGATCAGATGCGTTAAAGTTGTTGTGCCAACACCCTAACATTAATATACTCTTACCTTTAAGACAAAACTTCTAACTGCACAGGAGTTAAGATATAAAAATTCAATAAGTAATATGAGAAGGTTATTATAGGTTATGAACTCAAAAGGATGAGCAGGACATGACACAAAGCATCCCCTTCTTCGACATTATCCTGCTTTTTTCATGACTATTAGCTACAAACAATAATGCTTTTGTCCTGAATCACGACTTAAAATCATTTTATTGATTAAAAAAAGATGCCTCTGTCAAAAGGTTATTTCTGTAGCCCCCTTACAATGAGCTAGCTTAGGTTTCAGGTAAGGTAAAACTAGGCAACCATGAATTATATGAACAAGAGTTTTTTTTTTCCTCTTGTCACTGTCAGGGTCTGCGACCATACTGTGCTCTTTCGAGTGTTTACCTCAAGTGCTATCCTCGGTTTTGTAGGTTTTTCTAACACGCCTACTTTTTATGCCTTCATTCTCTCTTGTCTTTTCTCAGATTTCTTTGCCTCTTATCTTGTTTTCCCACCATTAACAATCTGTCCCCAAATTTACCAGCCGACTCTTGGAAGTTTGGTGTGACTGACTGGTCAGTTATAGACTCTGATCGAGGCTTCCTAGTGACGGTCTGCTATGGAAAAAGGATTGTTGCTTGGACATGTTGTCCATGTCATTAGCATTCAGAAACAAGCACCTAGCATAGCTTTGAGAGGACGCTATTCAACGTCTCTCATTCATTCATCAAAAGAAAATCTCTAACCAGTTTCAGTAACTCAAATATTTTTTATAAATTAGTTTCACTATTCTTTGTATCGCTAAATAACAGTGAGACAGTATCATATAAGGAAAAAGATTGTGCTATAATCACTGCTTGAAGGGGTTAAACATGTTTTTGAATTAACTTTGCAGGTCTCAACAGTGCGACCGTTTCACTTGCATTTGCCACTAAAAATAGATGTGTGTGAATTGTAAAATGTATTTAGGGGCACACGTGCGCATAATAAAAAGAAGCAGCAGCAACAAATTTTCTCATGTAAATACTGCGGTGAAGTTAGTTTTGGGTTGGATAGGCGATGGACATTCACTGCGGATCTACCGGTGTCTTCTCACTCTACATAACTGGAAATGGCATCAGCAGCGCAGTTAAATCCACTCGGCAACATTGCTGTTGATGTCACGGTTGAATAAGGGACTATCAATAAATTACTGGTTGATGTTCTCATAAAAGGCCGTTTTTCTTCAATGGCTTCCATGTCATGTGACCAGTTGACCTAAAATTGATTTCAAATAATAGTACCAAGGTAGGATGATAAGACGCACCTCTTTTTTTCTCATATTTGTCCTCCAAAAATTTTTGGGTGGGTTTTTTGTCCCCCGAAAGTTCTTTGTGTGCTCCTTACTTTTTTGACTTAGGGGCACATGTGCTCCTTGTGAAAAAAGTTAGTGTCAAGCCCTGCTTTATTCATGAACTGGAGGAAGTATATTTAGATAAACATAGTACCCGTTCTAATGATAGCGTGATACTAACAAAGAGGTTTACACAATAGTTATAGTTCAGGTTTTAATTCTATTTTGACAAACAGTGCATCAATCAGATATTGATCGCTCTCTTCCGGAAAAGATAAGATACTCCTTTATTAGTCCCACTAATGGGAAATTCCCAAACAAAAGAAAACAAAGAAACATGTGAGAAGGAAAACCCTTTCAGACTTTTATATAAGAAAATAGAACCTAGATTCATGTCGTGTGGTGACCTTTCATCTGGCCCTCATATATGACTCTCAATTTGACAAATACTTACTCTGTGACCATGAGGAGATTGAGTCCTTGCTAATTTTGTCAAAGACGTTAATCCAACAACGTTCCTACAACTATTTAAATGACCAGCCCTGATGACCCCTGTCCCTCCAGGGACAATTTCAGCAGCTGAGTTCGTTAAAACAATCTTATCATCCTCATACCTTATATCATGAAGTCAGTGTCTATTACTGTATCCAGTACATTACAATTAGTAGTCTACCTAAGCTCATTCTGCACAGTGGGAAGTTTGTAATGAGGCCAGTTCACAGAAAGCTGTCCTCAGACAACCTGCTATCATGTTTCTAATCCTCGTCAAGCTCATACACAAACACAAACACTGGCACATACATTCTTACAGGGTATGTACAGAGACTCCACATAACATAGGTAAACTGTTGTTTAAAGCTGCAGGATTGAGGAAATTTTTCTGGTGCATGACAAGTCTAAGTCAGCAAAAGCCAGTAAACATAAGGAATACAAGAAACACAAATGAAAGGTTATAAATCATGTGTGAGTTCTAGCAGGCAAGCTGGCGCACTTCCAGCCAATCCCTGGTCGACAAACCTGTATCTGAACCACAATGTTCTAAGAGTATTGCGTGACATCTGTTTTCCCTTCAGCTTGAACTTTCTGGAGGGTGATGCCCTCCTTAACAGACATGCAAACATGTCTCTTAGAATAGCCTAATACTGCCTCTGGCCACTCTCTACCATGCCAAATCACATGTAAAACTGAAAGTACAACTTAGATTTTGATTGTGATTTGATTTGTTTTGACACGTACAATTGTTCCACTGATCCAAGTCATGCAGAGCTCTTTAATGCCAATGCCCCTGAGAAACTCGCCCGATAAGACCTGGCTGCTATGACACCCGTCGGTGCCATGAAATTAAATCCTTTCTAATCACACACACAACAAACACAAGCAAGGCATAGTGCTAATCTGTCCTCAGATGACACTGGCTAATCACATATGCTGTCCTTATGAAACAATATCCTGTGATGACTCAAGCAGTTTCCAGTCATTTGACTTAAACGGCGGCTATTTCGATGTTGATTATGCACACTAAAGCATCTAGAACTATTCTCTTGCTGTGCTGCTGCTCCATAGTTCCTTTCAGCATTCACTCATGTATGCTAAAAAGCGACAGCTGAAAATAGAAAAGGTGGTGAAACAGGAGAGCTGTCCTGTACCACAATGTGACCTTGCAACATGCATGAATATACGTGAGATTTTGTTACAGTTGACAGAAAGTATAAGAGTGAGATGAAGAGATCTATTAATAGCCAGTCATCATCATCATGTCCTTAGGCGACCTCTCAGACCTCTGTTCTGTGAAGTCGGCCTTGTGACTCTCAGTGGTGTCTCAGAATTTCAGCTCTGGTGTCTGGTGTAACTCTTAATCTGACAGGTGGACAGATAAATTACAGTCTCACTCTGCACAACTACAGTCAGTAGGAAAACATTTACTGGAGCTATAATGGGCTCCTTAATAAGACGCACAATGCCCCACAAATAGAAATCATGAACTGTTAGTTAAATGTGAAAATGATCACATTAAGGGATTCAAAAGAGTAGATCATCAGCCTAACTTAAAAATAAGTAACTTCATTTGAGAGACAAGATTATAAGATTGCCAAACTTATTCAGTCTTTTACAAACCATTATCACACAGATGACAAAGGCTTGAGTTTGCAGCACCATCTGCAACTTTTAAGTTCTCAGAAATGTCTCCCGCACCCTCATGATCTGTTCAGTGCGCCTAATTAGGCTAAAGAGGATAACATTGTTTTCAAAGCCTTCCTGAGAACAAAATTTCCTCTCCGACATCCATCAAGAACACAACCTCCTCAGAATAAACAAAACCTATTATCAGAGGGCGAGAGGAAGGATACTGGTTGCCAAACAACATTTCCCAGCATGCTGCTATAACACCGTAATGAGACTGCAGGGAGCTGTTGCTTTTAACTGGATGATATAGGCTACAGTGACCTAGAAGAGCTAACATTCAGGTCAAAACACCCTTAGGTCAGTCCTGAAAGGTCAGAGTTTTGATGATTTACGAACTGAGTTTATGGAGATGAACTTTCATTTCATGAAATTAGTACTTCAACCTTCTGTATTTCAGCAAACTTCAAATGTGCTTTTATATCATGATGTGAAAAGTTAAATTTCTAAATAAATGCTCCTTTTTGTTGTGTCATTTCAACATCGAGTGTAAAGCTTAAACCTTAGTTGAACTGTCTCATACACTCACCTGATGGCTCTCATAGTAGGTGTGGCTCATGGTGGGAGTTGGAGCCCCAGGCAGTGCAGGGGCCCTCCTCTTCTTAGAGTCGGCCTTGGGAGACATCCTGGTTATGTTCATGACTGACTGAGACTGGCCCAAGGTGCTGGGCTGGTCTTCTATCACCCTGGACACTGTGGACAAACCCTGTAGTGATTCAAATAACATAAAGGTAAGGTCCATGTCTTATAAATGTATCTTTTAAACTACAAAATAATTAATGAGACCTCTGAGGATCTTTTAGCATACAGTTCAAGAAAGTAAAACACATGACTGCTGAGTCATTGTGCAGTCAAACCATACACAGCTGTTTAAACTTGAATGCAATGTGTGATTTTTGCCTCCAAAAGTGGTCTGAACAATTAATTAAACAATAAAAACTCCTAGTAGGAGTTGGAATCTGTACTCTGGATATGGAAGTGAAAAGATGGATGACATGACAGTTCCTTACAGCGAAGCCAAAAGATTTTACAGCTCTGCCACTAACTGGCTACAGTCCAGGTCATAAACTTTGTCCCCTAAAAAATACCAGATGTGATATTGGTCAAACTATGACATCAAAATAAACACCAAATGTATGCATTTATATTTATTTATATATGGTAGAGTTAGCACGTCTCCTTCTTTCAATCAAAATTGATAATCTTTAATAAAACAGCATGTTCTGGAAATTAACAAACAAATAACTAACTACATAACTTTATCTACCTTATATGGATACTCCGGCGTAAGTAGAGTGTGGAGTAAGTGTAGAGTTCTTTTGTATCTTGTATGTGCACTGCAGATGTGGTCGTTTTTCTGCCTTAGCATCTCACTCTGATTGCAGGCCGAAGAACTACTACGTCTGCAGTGCAAATACAAGATACACAAGAACTCTGATTGCATTTCCATGAAGTAATAATCAAAAATTTTCTTTCTGCGAGCTGCGGAACTCTGCTCAGGGCTCCCCCACAAACAAGTGGCTGCTGGAGGACAGTGGGTGAGTTGTGTTTGGTCTTCTTTTTACCAAGGACCCTCTATGTGCTGTTGATAAAGTTAGGTGATGTTTTAAGCATTGTTTGTGGCTATAGAGTGGCTTTTTGGCTGCAATTTGCGCATTGAGACATAGACCACTGTGTATTGCTATCGTGCGGTCTTTGCTGAAGTTGGTGGAACGAGAGAAGCAAGCGGTTGACAAAATTTATCTCTCGAGGGGGGGGTCTTACTAGGTGTTATGGTGTGTTTGACCATGACTTAAACGTACGCCGGAATATCCCTTTAAGGTTTAAAATAGACATTTGTTTTAGGGTCATTTGATTTCAATCGAGCCTAGAAACTGATCTCAATTCCTTTCACTGTGTATTTAACCAAAAAAACTTAAAAACATCCATAGAGTGTTCATGATATCATTTTAATACATGAAGACAGTTCATTTCTTTTCTCATTCATAACAATTATCTCTGCATCCACTCCACCAAGTTCAAGTGCAACCGCATTTCCAAAGGGTGGCTGCTCTTGACAAAAACATTGGACTGCAAATGGTTTTCTATATCTGATCAAAGAGAGCCCAAAGTGCTCCTGAAAATCTGAATCTCCCCGTGGCTCAGCTTGGTACAGAGCCGTGGCACAACGGGGGGACCAAACTGCTCACACCCCCATGATTCAAGGAAAGAAAAGTGTTTGAAAGCAGATTAATTGATGGGTTCAGACAATGCCTGGATACAGCATAAAAGCAGAGCAAAGAGGCTGCAAAGTTCGGGTCACTAGAATTAATTGGACCTGGGGTTAGAACATCTCAGTTGGAAGGGTTGGGAAAAGAACAGGATTCCTGGAAAAAACTCCCTGGAAAGAGAAGTACAGTACAAACGCCTGCAGTTACTTTCATCCATGTGAGAATGCTTTAAGTTCTGATGTTATTTGGTTTTCACTTAACTTTACATGATATTTTATCAAGAAATCTTTTGCTAAACTCTGACCAAAAAGATGAAGGAAGACAAATTTGAGCCTTTTTGGTTGAGTGAAGATATAAAACAGCCTCAAAAAACTTTGACCACTTTTGGAAAAACTAGGAGAACTCATAGTGCCTATAACTAAGGTAGCACCATGATGATCTGAAAAAAAAAAAAACATTAACAAAGTTGAACCAAAGCTTAAAGCAGAAAATAATATAATTCAGGAAAAAAACACTCATTCAGTCAGTTTGTCACTGCAGGGACTGACAGGAGTAAGAGCAGGGTGAGGGGGAGCTTGGGTGGATGGCAGATGGAGGCCAACAGAACAAAAGAGAGACGTTGGCAGTAAAGGATTGATGCAATTTCAATTTGGAATCCTTAAAAAAAATAAAAAAAATAGAATAAAGAGCGTATTTTCACCCAACAAAAATATAATGTTCAAAGCAGAAATTTCACATGAACTCTGTCTGACTTTTTCACCTGCTCTCTTCTGCTCTCCCCTCTGGGAAACAATCTGAAATGTGTCACAACAGCTAAAATACAAAATGTAAAAACTGCCCTAAAGCATTTGGGGGGCATACAAAGGTAAAGGTCCTTTTTTGACACAGAGAGCAATACTTCAAGAGACATATTAAACATCTAAGCAGTGTTTTATTGCTCAAATGACTGGTCCTATTACAAAAACACAAGTAGAGTTGTGAAGAAAAATGATGGTTGCCATTTACAGCTGCCAATAAATGTCACCTCCTTGCTTATAATACTGTCTTTTAGTGCTACAACACCCCACAGCAAAGATGAATCATCCTCCAACTACTGACTGACAATAAACAACAATATGCAGTTATTTTACATATTTTTAAGACCAAAGGGTCTAATTAAATAAGGGATTACATTGCTTGACAAAAACAAGATTGAGGAAAAAGTTCTTGTGAAAAAGTGTCATGTCTGTTTGATCTCAAATCACACAAAACATCAACACCAGCTGGGTGTGGTCAGTGTGAACTTAAGCATCTACACCATACACATCAGTATCATTTGTTGTCATTTGCCACAAATGGAAACCACTGTCACAAGTTCTACAGAAAAAACAACTATGATTCGTTTAATTAAAGCTCCTCCTCCTTTAAATATGAGTCAGTTTTGGCACCCCCTGGGGTCAAAGTCCTTTGTTGATCTTGCTCTCTTCATGCTTATGTAGTGTAGTAAAGTGTAGTAAAATGTCATCCTTTCGACTTTTGACAATGCAATGCAACATTTTTTTGTCAATATTTTATGTGGAAATTGATAAAACAGGCCTGTTTCTTCAGCTTTCAAGCATTAAAAATTACAGTATAGAAATGATCAATAATGTCACTGGTGGTTTAGTATATTTTTGTAAATAATAAAAAGACATGAATATGAATTTCAGTGTATTTCCTACGATAACATAATCATTAAATGTTTACAGTAACTTCTAGATAGTTAACATTGCAGAATGTTAATTATCTACAGTCCATTTTATTTGGAATTGCTAGTTTTGCTGGAATTGCTAGTGATTGTTGGTACACATATACTGTGTACCAACCATAGACTGTATATACTATGGACAACTTGGTTCCGCTTCCCGCCTGTATACGGATTTGAAGCCAAAAAGCTCTTGGTATATTCACTGTGATGACGCTCAGCTCAAACAGAGTTTCCCCCGGGTGAGCTACGCAATCCCTGAATGCCCATAGGCTGTATCAGGTGTCAATCATAGCAAACATGAACCCCCTAATAACTTCACAGAAAAATAGGGACTTGAGCACAAACCAGTCTGACAGTAACTACATGTCAACACCGCAAGCGGGTGGGAAAAAAAATTATATTCTGTGTAATAAATTTCTAAAGTTTGTCCACAGCCCCATAAGCTTTGCTGGCGGAGGCGGGATTTATGATCTATACTGCAGCCCATCAACAGAGGGTGCTGTTCTCAGAGTGGCTTCACCCAGTGAGGAGGCAGACTCTGTCCATTCTATATACAGTCTATGGTACCAACAAACTGAAAAAAAAAAAACTTTTAAATGACCGCAGAGATGTCAAAAAGATTACTGTAAGAGAAAAAAATCAAAACTTTTCGCAGGTTACATCGTGCTCTTTTTAATTAGACTGAATTCTCATTGTGCTTAGAGACATGCCAGTATTTACAATATTTATACAAAAAAAAAAAAAAACTACCAACAACCTGTTGGCCAAATCACTTCAATGCACTGCATATACGGACATATGTATGAGTGAGAAATCATTAAAGAGACTGGAGAACGTTTTCAGATTTCTCTGGCTTATTTCTCTGGCTCTTGTTTTTTTTTTGCTTCTGCAGCTTAATGAAACAGTTGTGATTGCTAGGCTTGTGTGAACTCAGTGAGTTGATGAAGTTGGAACAGATTTTATACCCTCAATGTGTTGCAGCAAATTAGCTTTTCAATATCTGATAAATGTGGGCCTTGAATACTTTAAAAGGTAAATGAGAGAGAGAACAAGCACAGCATCAAGTTTTAACGGGTATCACATCTGCTCTGACTAGACGCACTTTGAGAGCGTTACTGTTTTAAGACCACACACACACACACACACACACACACACACACACAGTAGTTTAGCCTCTAATGAACAATTACAGATAAGAGGCCTGGGCTTTTAGTGCTAATGTAGCCAAGGTAGGGTAATCTGATGCCTTCAGCCTGATAACATTATGTGGCCAAATGTGTGTGTTTGTGTGTTTGTGTGGGTTCGTTTGTACTTGGTTGTGTGCATGTGGTCTGAGAACAGTCCCTGGCTGAAAAACAATAAAAAACAATATTAGAAAAGAAAGCCCAGCTGCATTAAAGCTCACAGTAAAAGAGGGTGTGGCTGATAAATCATGGTATAAGGAAGTATGAATGATTCAAGTTTTTTTTTTAGAATCAATATCCTCAAACTCTTTGTCAAAAAAACAATCTTTATATAAGTTTGAGTGTTTGATGTCAGAAAGATGCAGACACAAAAGAGTGTGAGTAGGTCTACAAAGCAGTGTATGTTCTTCAGAAAGGGATGATAATAATGACAAAAAGACTGATTCAGTGTAGGTGAAGCAGACAATGAGAACAAAGCAGGGTGTAGAAGTGGACTGAGAAGCTCTGGACTCTGTGGGGCAGAGTGAGTGAACCAGCTGGCATTTTTTTTTCCAGCTAACACAATAAAACATCATATTGATCTGAGGTGAGCCACAGAGGCTGCTGCTGAACTGGGGTTCATGTCTTTAAAATCAAATCAATGTGATTGAGTTATGAGTATAAAAGGTAGAGAGTAGCTTAATGCAGCATCAGAGGGGACAGCTGGTTATCATCAGTGTTCACTTCCACACACTGGAGTGAATGCAGGGGTTATTATTCAGGTAACAAATGTCAGTGGTTATGTTTGTTTTTAATGCTGAAAAACATCCCATCATTGAAGCCTCTTGTAGTTTTTTTCAGCTGCTTAATATTTGGTCTTCTTACCTATAAACTCATGTAAGGAAAATTCAATTGTCCAAACTGCTTTTTGAACAGCTGACTAATAGAGACAGATGCTGCCCTCTTGAGGCCAGCAATGCACATGACAACAACTCAACATTCACTTCGGCAGAGCAACAAGGACTTATACTTTGAATACTGTCCTGAAATTAAATAACTTCTGATTACTCAAATCTATTTTTTAGATTTTTAGTTTGTATTGTATCGTAGTTATGTCTTACAGGTAAATTTACCTCTGCTTTCAATCAGTTTTGTGAAAAATTTGCCTATTGTATCAGTGCAGATCATGATATCTTTGCAATCAACATTTCAATCTGGCTTCTGATACCCTCTTCATAAATCTGGTTCTGAAAAAGTTATGATTTAATGGCAGATAAGTGCAAAAAATACAAACGATCTATGATCAGTAACTATTCACAAGTTGTTGATACAGAACTCATTTAATGTAAAATTACAGTAATTGCCTATACTGTTTAGAGTTAGTTCGAGGTCATGCTTGTTATACAGGTTGTTTTTTTTGTGTTATATGCAGCCAAAAAGTTTCATCAACCAGCCAGGAAACTTAAACCTGATCAGTAATGAGCTGTGGGAAAACTAGAAAAAAAACCACCCTGTAATCGTAAACAGGGACCTATCTCAATATGTCAAATGAAATTTTGCTCAGGGAAGTGATTCCACATTGTTGTGCAAGTTAGTTTTCTGTCTGTGCCTTTATTAATTTGAAATATTTTGTAAAAGTTGTCTGTCCTACACTCATAGATATCTGAAATACCTCAGAGTTTAATTTATCAACACCACATTTAACAGGAAACCTTTGATTTAATTGAAAACATTTGAGCATTGCCAGCTGCGTTAGCAATACTTACATTGTTTTGTGAGTCTGTATTTTGGAATACTCTATCATCATAGTCATCCATGTCCAGAGAAGTTGTCTCTGTCTGCAAACAGAAAGCATAGCAAACATGCAGCATTCAATAGTTCTGCCATGCAATTAGCCTGCTTTAGTTATCAATCTGAAAACCTCTGACATGCAGATCTCCAGGTTAGTTTGTTCATAGTGACACAGCTTTAGTTTTTTCACACATGCAACTAAGTCTCTACTGTGCTATGTCAACAGTTATAATGTTACCCTTGCTCCACAATTACAATATTGCGTATTTGTGGCCATAACTAACTATGATCATAAACTAACTATGAATTAATAGTCTCCTTGGTTAAAACAACAAAATGAAAACTGTGATCTGATATCTTACCTTGTTTTTCCTTTTGCTGAACTGGAAGATACCCAGGAGGCCTTTCTTTTCTGCTTTACTCAAACTGGTAGTGCTGGATCTGATGGAGTCTGAAGCCAGCAAAGAAGAGGAAAAGCAACAGGTCAGGAAAGAAGTTTTACAGTGATGAAAAGCAATTTGATCAATTAAATTCAGAAAGAGTTAAGAGATAAATAAGAGATCACAGTTCATTCTGGTGAGCTGAGATTGAGGTTAGCAAACAGTTAGATTGCTGCAATAATTACATTCCTTCACATCGGATATTTAGTTAATTTGACATAATTTTTAGTTTATTACTTGAAGTGTTTTTTAAGTATTCATGAAATGAGTTATGTTTGAGTTTTTGCAAGGCCTTTTTTCATCAGCAGGGGGCGCCAAAGCTTTATTTTTCTTCCAACGTCTTGGCTATAGAGCAGTAAAAATGTGTCCTGTTAGAATGTTTGGCATTGGCTTAAGGACAGGGAGGAGAAGTGAAGTTACTAATTAAAAACTTTCAGATCAGGTTATCTGAACTAAAAGTAGAGAACGCGGTTAGTAAGGTCATTTTAAAGAAACACTGATTAAGGTTGTCAACACAAGAACCATAAAACACAATGACATTAAAACAGTTGATGATTTTCCAACACAGAACAAAAGCAGGGTTAATAAGCAAACAGCAGCATCTTGGGTTAAAAAGTGCCACGTGGTTGAAACCAGCAACACTAAGACAACAAGACTTTCAGGGACTTATACCTGCGTAGTTTAGAGCAGGGGCTGAAGCCATTTTAGGCTGAAGAACTGGAAAACATCAAAAGATACAGCCAAATTACATCTCTTTTATAACTCATAGGAAAGCCTGAATATATGGAAAAATGGAGTCAAGAACACATCGTAGCTTTTGCTATAAAAATTACACATAGTCTCAAATGTTACTACTTTTATCTTTCCTGACCATTAAAAACAAACCCTGCTCTTAGATCACACCCCATGACAAGAAGAACACTTTAAATAGCAGTGGGTGTGGACTGTTACCATGGTAATGAGCCATAATATCTGTGTTAAAACATAACTCCCCTTCCTACACAAGATAATGAAGGACTTTGGTCGTTACAGAGACATTTTCTATTTTCCAAAGTTCCTTTAGATAAAAAAATGTCAAAGACAAAACCCATGCCAGTATTTTTAAGACTAAATGCCATCAAGACTGTTTATCTACATACTCTTTATGCTGTACTGCACAATCCAATGTAATGCTGACTTTGTGGCCAATTGCACTGAAGGCATTTTAATGAGTTGCTTTGAAGATTTTATATGCAATTCTTACTTTGCTCAGCGTCCTGTTTAAGCACAGAGTGTCTTTGACACAACTTATCTTTAATCGTCCAATCTGGTCTAAGATGGGAAGGGCAAGAAGGACTATGAAAAGGCCAGGAAGGGCTTCAGGCTCAGTCTCAGAACACCCAACACTCCCTATAAGGCCTACAAGACCCATTAAAGTTTTAAAATGTACAGAGAGCCCAACTGACTCATGTAAAGCGCTCTTCAGTTGGTTCACAGGGATTGGAGATTGATCATAAAACACTCTATCTGCAAATCAGCAAGTGGGTGAACTTACGGGGCCCTAAAAGAAGCTTACATAATAGAAATGAATGACAATTCATCCCACATTACATAACCTCTGTCTTATTCTCATCTTATTTTTTTCTTAGTAAAATAATAACATTTCTGATTGATTAATGTAATATCTTGGAACTTTGTTTTTCTCCCAGTTTTCATGAGCAGTAATACATCTTTCATACACGTTCAATTTTGAGAAACAACTTCTTCCAATATTACATTAAAATCTATAAATGAGCCTTCTCTTTTAGAAAAATAGGTTTTGTTTATATAAAAATTCACACTAAGACTATCTGATCATTTTAATTTCAATGCCAACAGTATATTGCAACAATGGCTGGAGAAGTCATGGCATTCTTCTCTAATCACTTAGCTTATACAGGCCTAACAGTAGTGGGATCATTAGTTTCTATGGAAATCTGTTAAAATCATTTCAACAATAAATTCAATCTAGGTGCTCTATTCAAAATAATCTCCTTTAAATATTTTCCCTTGTACATTGTAACCTAAAATAACATTCCTGTTATCAGAAATTCAGTAATTTCAAAGTGACTGATCCGAAAAAGTGAATTTTTATAGACAGAATCAAGCAGTAAAGTTTACCTAGACTCTGGTCGTGTACATAGAGCTCCTTGATTCCCAGTTCTGTCAGAGATTTATCCAATGGCAACTCGTGACGGCTGATGCTATCCTTCAGGAGTAGGACATGTGCTGGCTCAAACTCACACTTATCACAGATGACCGGTATCAGAGCCTGGAGTGGTACCAACGGGTTGACCCGCACCACTGCTTTCTGGCTGCTGTGGAAGTTCACCATCAAACGTACTGTTTTCTGATGCAGAGAAGGAAGAGTTTTAGAAACTAATCAGACATCTTTTTTGAAGTGGAGGAGATTTAAGGCCAAGATTTGATGAAATCTGCAGACACAGAGTAAAAGTTCTGAAACTTTCCCCCCCCGTGCACTTCACCAGCAGGACAACATGACACATCGCTAAGACCTGCAAAGTGAAGAGAGGTTGAAAGTGGAGAACAAAGCCATTAACAGAAAACGTTTAGTGATCAAACAAAAAAAGACACCATATCCAACACAAAATTTTGAACCAAAACATCAAAGATTAGTCTAAGTAATCTTTGTTTATATAGCCTCATTCACAGTATTAGAAAGAAGACAAGTGAAGATTTGAGAAACATAAGACTATGGACAACTTACAACTGGTGTTCAGCTTACTCATATCGTACAAAAACATACAGAATGTAAAACAGAGGAGCAGAGAGACACACACACACAATCTCAACAATAAGTAACTTCAGCTTAGACTTTGGTTGCTGACTGCAATAGGAACATTTTAAGAGACCAAAGAGGAATATCCTAATGTGTGCATAAAGACATGTGATCCTAGGAAGTCTGTATATGGCGGTTGTTAAAACGACAACGCTACATAGTGTCCTGTGGTTGAGAACAGATCTCAGTCTGTAGAACACTCCTTATCACTAAGCGGTCCACATCAGCCTCTATAAAAACACACACCTCACTCAAGGGTTAAGAGCCTGGAGAATTCATAACACGAATCTTCAGACTGTGGTTCTTGAGAAACTTTTGCATTTTAAGTAAAGGAGATTTAATTTTTGTCCCAGTGTGTAGCAGTCGCATCAGGACACCATAACTAAGACAAACCTGTTGGCAATGGATACCAGAATAATCTCATAAAAGAGCACTGCAGTGGTCCTTAAATTATGAAAAAGCTGGGTGAGCTGGTTTGATGGCAGGGCAGAGAAGTCACAGGTCTTTCCTAAAGTCAATAGGAACAACATTTCCCAGAATGTCTTTTATGTATAGCAGTCTAGAAACCTAACAAGTAGACAATCTGACACACAGATGTATATGAAAAGTACAACACCACTTATGCATGTTACTCTTGGACTGTAGGACAGGTGTAGACTCAAAAATCTGTGTGCTGTTTTTGGGGTCAGAAATACATCAGCCTTTTGAAATTTATCAACTTGGATACAGCGTTTACATATGCTGAATTACTGTTTGTCTTTTACTGTAATACAGATTATTTATATAACAGAAATTCATCAAAATGCCATAATTTTGATTTCACTACTGAGACTAGAGGTACAATAAGAGACTAAGAGAAGAGTGGTGACTGACAGCACTGTCTGAAATAGTGTCAGTCTCTGGCCTCAGGCCAGGAAGAGTCAAAGGAAGAGAGAGCAGCCAGCTATCCCCCAGAGGAACAGAGAAATAATGCATGGTAACTAAAGGTAAGGCACTCATCAAATATTCAGACTGTAGGAGGAGAGCAGAGGAGAGGTAGAGAAAAGAGGAGAGAGGAAGAGGCAAATGTTCAGCAAGTAGGTGTAAAAAGGCAAGTGAGCTGTAAAAAGAAATGACAACAAGTCAGTAGGAATAAAGAATATAAAGACAGGGAAACACTGTCACACTTTACACCAAGTGTGGAAGAACTGACTCCAGAGTCATGCAAGGCCAGTTTGATCCCCACTGGCTGCCTACCTTTGAATTGACTCTTACAGGTTTCACTGGCCTAGCTGTCTGCCAGCGGTCAGAGGTAAAAAGGTAGAAGGGAGGGACGAATATTACACAGAGCTACAATATAAGCAGCTGCACAGTCTCCATGTTCAAACAGCACTGCTGTCTTTTAAACAATTAACTTTCCTTATTATCACATTATTAGCATACCAAATAACACCTTTCTACATTCCTACAAAGTAGAGATAGGTTTGACCTTTCTTTTAATTTAAGCCAAATATTCAAATAAATGTCTCTGCTTTTCAATCTAATTTCTGTCACAACATAAAGTCCTGTTATGAATAATAAAAAGCACAAAACATGGAAATCACCCAGATTACATAATACTATATTACAGATTACATAATGGACTCACCTCTGGCACTTTGGGCGCTGGTCTGCGTACCACTTTCTCCTCACTGACTCTCTCCTTGATGTGGACGTAGGCCACGTTGAGAGAGCCCAGCAATGCGTTGGGCTTGAACCCTAAAGAGTGGCCCTCGGGAGACTGCAGCTCCAGGGTGTGCAGTGCCGGGTTCAGGTGGTAGCGGCTACATAGCTCGACCAGTAGGTCCATCAGTGCCTTACTGTGGGAGTGAGAAAGGGAGAGAAAGGGGGGAGAGAGAGAGAAAGTGAAAGAGAAGGGGGAGGAGGGAGGGAGGGAGTTAGGAAGAAAGGGCCGGGGGAGGAAAGGGGGAGCAGGGGAGAAATAAAAGGATGCAGCAGAGAGGATAGGGTTACTTAGCATACCTGGCTCTGGCTTTGCTGAAGAGAGTAGTGATTACTTCACATAACAAAACAGAGACACACTCACACCTGATGCAATTAGCAGAGCTAAGTGATAGCCAACTGACTGACATAAAGGGTAGAAATTACACACCCAGCTGTGATCACAGGCCTACTGTAGGCTGAATATTAATAGCACTGATTTTATCGTGAATATAAACAGCTTTTTTTGCAAATAAAGCAGGAAAATCTTGAACGAAAGCCTGATAACAATAATAACAAAGGACAGAGAAGCCACATATTATCCTCTTAAGATTTAATCTAAAAAAATATCTCTATTATTAATTTATCTAAGTGTAAGTATTTTTTGTATACTATTTAAAATTATTCTCATTACATTCACCTTTATCATTTTATCATCTTACTTCTTTAACTGAATATTTTTCATTTTACTATCTTGTTTATTATCCTTATTTTTACTGTTTACTTATCCTATCTTTAGATTCAGTGTTTTATTCTACCTTATTAAGATCTTGTGATAGTGTTTTATCAGTTTGTCAGCACTTGACTCATTGAGTCTAACTCAGTCTTTACCTTGTATATAGATTTTGGGCCAGGGGGTTGGGTAATTGTAAACTGTATAGTACCTGTTGATATGACACACTACTCATGTCCATCAACTCACAGTAAGGACTCTGGAGTCTGCTTTGTTGCTTTGTGTGTCCGTAAATATGCGTATGTGGGGGGCTATAGCTGATGAGGAGGCCCACAGTCCTAGCTGTCAATCCTCAGATAAAGAAACCAAGAGACAGTCTCCAATGTTTTCTGGGAACAGCCAGATCAGATGACAGAACTGAGAGAGGTACTGCTACAAAGGCACCGCTGACATTCAGCAAAACACGGACACAGTCTACAACCAAAACCACAATCTGTAATCAGATGATCCAGTGTCCTACTGTGTTATACCTCAGAGGATTGTCTTTTTCAGACTGTATTTTTATCAAAGACTAGTCAAAAAGAAGCACTATCAGGAATTATTTAAGTAATATATGACAAAATTTATGTTTTATTCTAATCTCTAAAATCTACTTATTACATTTTTTGGGGAGTAAATATTTACATATAAATAGGTACATAACTAACTGCTACAATCAGATGCGGACACAAATGCGGCCCATTTGTACGCCATCCTTGTGACCCCATTTAATATAGACTTTGATATTTCCCTAAACTATCACATCGCTGAGAGGTAAGAGCCACACATACCGGTGCACACTATGTTTCTTTTCACTGACTCCCTTGCCAACAAACATATAGCTTACAATGACGTGGCTGCAGGACAGTAAATTGAAAAAAAAGTAATAAGAGACAGAGAATTACATAATAACTGATTCAAACAGCTGATACTTTTATTTTCAATTTCTAAAGTAGCTACAAGCCCAAACTTTACTGACCACGGCACAATGCTAATGAGACGCAGCATCTGCTCTACCTTTACTGGCAGTAACACTGTCCATCTCTTGTTTTGCAAACATGCTGTGTTACGTTTCTGCTGGTAAATATAAATATAATACCATTATCAAAGTCTTTTGACTTTGGATTGAGTCGTTTATTTAATGTCTGTTATGTTTGTTAAATCTTTCTGATCATAAAGGTTACCGCTAAAAGAAATTCATAACCTGTTTTTGGCATTTTTCTCCAGACAGTGGATTTTTTTTGTTGTTGAATATTAGTTAGTAACCATATATTTAGACCTTTCTTTTTTTGTGGATTTTTTTAAAGTCCTGAAAAAATATGGATTGTGCAAAAAAAAAAAAATTATTATTATAAAGTTACTACTCCTGCCCCCATCTGAAATCAGTACCTTTGCAGAACACAGAAAAACAAAATGTACTCCAGAGCTACAGTATTGGTGCAATACTAGCACTGATAGAGTGATATATCACAGACATATCAATGTCTTTCAACACACAGTTTAAAACACTGTTAATTGTTTTTACATTCATTTTTCAATGTGTCAGTTCCCACCCTCGCTCAGTTTAGGTGTCCATGTTGATAAAAGAAATGATAATAGTATGACACCTCAGTCTGATCTTATCTGTTAGTATGTAAGCGGCAGATAAAAAACTAGCACATCTAAAAGCTTAAATGTAATGCAATACATACGATTCCTTTGTCACCCTCCGTACAATAAGGACACCAGACACTCAGAGGGCAGTAACACAATGTAATCTTATTTTTGACTTTGTCTGTATAATAAAGCTCACTGGTTCTGAGATTCCTATTGGCCTAAAGCACGTCTATTTAAAGAGCATCTTGTTGTTCTGTACTCAGGAGGAATCCCTGATTTCCTGAGAACCTCATTAGAGACAGGGATCATTAGCAGGTCAGCCTTCATCTGTTAGCTCTTTGAGACAAAGCTTATGCTGAGACTGGGAACACGACCCCTTTACAAGGCCTCCCTGGCACAGAAACCCAAACAGAAGCAACAAATAGGTCTCGTACTGTTTGTCTGGTGACTGGCAAATGAGGTTGGAACATAATATCAAACTGATGAGGGAAGCAACAACTCTGATCCGCATATTCATGCACAGAAATAGTGTATGAGAGGATGGCCGATGAACTGTGAATTTTAGCACTAAAAATCTATAAGCAAAACCAAATGGCTCTAAACTGTTTGAAAGTAAAATTCAATGCAAAACAAGGCGGGCTGAACAAAATCACGGTGAAATAATTAGTACTGCCAAAAAAAAAAAAAGTCCTTGTCCACTCACCTGCCGTCCTCAGTTACAGAGGTCTGGTACCCCTGGGGCAGAGTAAGCTTTAAATCCACCATGTGTCTCAACATGTTCTCCTTGGCCTCCATGCCTGATGTCCCTCCTCCATCAGGTACAACGTTTCTGAAGATGTGGCGTGGGGCGGGCTGAGGGGCCTGTGGCGGTGGAGGCGGGGCACGGGCCTTCATTCTCCTCCTGGAAAAAGACAAAAGCAAACATACACAGTGAAAAACAATATTAAGTGTTTTAGTTCAAGCTTTAGTTTTTTTTTCTGTTGTTGTAGGTTTCCAAGTACGACCAGGATAAAATACTACGCCATTTAAAGTTATTGATTTACAGTCGTGTTAAATTTATGGTTCATTAATCACTTAGTCATCTTATCTATCCAGGACACTAGATAGATGGTTAATAATAAACAGTTTATTCTTTCTTAAATAAAACATATTCTTGACCTGTTGTGTTTTTTATTCAATTCTTATTAGAAATAAAAAAAAATGATAACAGTTTTGTGTCTTTTAATCATTTTTGTGTATTGAATTCAGTCTCACATAGCCGAGTCTGATGAATGCAACCCATTAAGTGCAACTGAATGACAAAACTGATGATAATTTTTCTGCTTCTGTTTGTGACACCTCCTTTCTGTTCGATTACCTTACATAACAGTGCACTGATACGCAGAGAGGACCCCACCTTGACAACCCTGGAGTTGTCAAGATGATTCAGCCCTTAGTAGCTGCTTATTCCATCTGTTCCTGACACTCCTGTGAAAAATACTTTAATAATAATCATTACTCATCTCCTCTGATCTTCTTCTGAAGTATTATTATTCATAATTATATGACATATAGTGCTTTAAAATCAGTGTTTTCAAAACAAAAAGATTAACTTTAACAAACATCGCTGAACATTAAAAACCAATTCTAGGCATGGACAATCGTAAAAGATAATTACTCAGACATTGTAATCAATAACTGGTGTTTATTAGTAGGCAAAAATTAGGCTGAAACTGTCATGTTTACAAAACATCTGACACTGTCTTATTAAACCAAGTTCAATTCATGTAGCAGAACAAGTTCAGTAGCATCAAAAATCAGGTATTTGGTTAGTTAAGGTGCTTTCCATGTATAATCAAGTGTGTTGATAGCAACTCTTAAAGAATAACATGCATGGAAGATAAGACTACAAGCCATGTTTAAAGCACTGCTCTTGCGGGTGGAGTTGAAGCAGATGTCAATGACATCCTGGCAACGAGATGCTACTATCTGCACATTTGACCCTGATTCAGCGTCAACTGTACCAAGCCTGACGGAGACAGCTGATTAGACAGAAATCAAACACTTCACTCTGGTAACAATGATAAATAGCAGCTCTACGCCACACATTTCAGCACCAATTCTCTCTCTGTCCGGGCTGCACAAATATTAGCCTCAGATAACAAAAGAGAAAACATCACACTCACGTCACAAACAGTCCTTGTGTTGATTAAGTGTTCCAAAAGGGAGAGTGTTTATAAATCCAGCTCCAAGGTTTAGGCGCACACTCAGAGACAATGTGTGTGTTTCATTGGGTGGTGTATAATCCTGTATCCCTCAAGGTACTCTTGCCCAGCGTACGGCGAAAAGAGCACCGTGGAGAAAGAATGCACGTGAACATAGCACAGCGAGCGGACTCTAACCTGGCTGGAGTTATCCATTAACAGCTGAGTCTGATATCAACTGACTCTCACCCACAGGATCCATGTGTCATTGGCTCATTATGTAATAGTAGAGTGTTTTTTAATGGACACATCATGGGAGTGGCGGACTTTGCTTTAAGATCATCAGCTATAATGGAGGAGATCATTTTTAATCACCAGCTGCTAAATAAATAAATTCAAGAAAAAATAATGATTCCTAAGTAATAGAGGATAGAAAGTGATAGCTCAGAGACTTTTAAATGTGAGATACTTTTTCTGTTGAGTCTGTGTTTTTCAAGGTAAACAGAACCGGGCTCTGTGGAGCTGTGGGACTGGGCCCTGGCCAGGTTTAACACAGTCAGCCAGTATCCGTCTCCATCCTTCTCTCTTGCTTTCCCTCTCTCTAACACACACAAAGACTCCTTTAGGAGAAGCCTCGTCTCCCACAGAGTTAGAATGGGCGAGCATAGACAGAGAAAGAGAGAGTGAGAGAGTAAGGAAGAGCAGGAAACCCTGCTCCAGCAAAGGAGGGCGGTAAGTGCTGAGCTGCTACAGGGACTGGGTTACAAATGGGCACACACACACATACACACACAAAAGGTTACTAATGGACCTTTCAGAACCACCCTGTTCTTTTCACTTGGCTGAGCAGAATTTAAAAAGGATATATTGCTTTCACTATCCTCCTTTAAATTTGTGTTTTTACCCAGGACAGTTTTGGATAAGATCTAAAAAGATGCTAATAATCAAACTTCAGGTCATAAAAGTTGTAAAACTAAACCAAACAGCCACCCAATTCATTTCAAACTGCCTAAGGCAACAGGGACTCCTGTGGTCTGCGGTAAAATCACACGAGACAACATGTGAGCAGCTGTAAGTGGAAAACAAAGTGAGCAGAGTGATACTCAGTCTGGGCGCTGGTTTAAGAGAGTGGTAAAAAGAAGTCGCTTAGTAAACAAGGCAAGAGTACAAACAAGATAAATGAAGTACGCTGTAATGAGCAGGAAAATGATACAGATAGATGTATATTGCATCAAATGTTATACAAACAAGAGTGAGAATTTGAGAACAACTTACAATCAGCCCTTTGGACATCAAATAAATGGATAAATGGATGTGTAATACTCAAGTGTTAAAAAACAGATACAAATGTATATGCACTGATAGCAGTCATTTTGTGTTACTGTATAGAGAAAACAAACAAAACAGTAAGAAAGATGGAATATGCAAATGAAGTCAAACGTATCCTTGATGAAAATGTGAATCAAATCCCTTTAAAATTGCATGTTCAGTGAGATCACTAACACCAGTACAAGTCCATGAACCTCACAGTCAGGTTGCTGTTAATAGTTGGGAAGTCAAATTACGTAATGCAGCTCAGGCATACTGGAGTTTTTGAGCTCCTTGCAGGGAAAGAAGTAGCTGTAAGTGTCTGCATCAGTCCAACCATGGAAACTAAAAAACTCTCCACTCAGCAAGTTCTTATTAAAATAGTGGAATCTCTTAGTTTTTTCCATACTGGGGTCTGTCAGCAAAAACTCCACCGGATTTTGACTTTTATTTTGAAATATTTCTGTCCAACCCTGTTTTGTTATCTCACACTAAACACTAAATTTTGAAGAGTTATGATGTTTTACACCCCTCCTTACAGCTCCCGTCATTCAAATATGGTAAAATTGGTCTGCTTTGCCTTCAGTGCAATAGTAAACCCCATGAGAAAAACTGAGACAGACAGACTGGACCACTGTAAACAACAAAGTCTACTGTGGATGTGAGAAAGATAAACTATGAATTAAGAAAGCAGACGGCAACAATACTCATGTAGTCAGAAAGAAAGACGATCTCCAGTGTAGACAGACAGCCAGATGTGTGCCCTGTTAGAGACTCGGACGTCCAGCCTCTTCAGCAGCAGACAATAGGATCACTAAAACAATGAGCCACTATCCACTAATGAAGACAGCCGACTGGGAATGGAGCAGATTAATTGGCTGAAAACAGAATGCTGACTGACCTAAAATCACTTTGACAAACGTTGTGGGAAAATAAAATAAGAGGTAAAACTAAGACTTTGTGCCACATAATAAAGGTTGGCTGTGTAGACAAGTGTCACAACTTAAATCAATTGTTCAATTGATTTGAACAGCCTGACATGATTTTTTTTTTTGACAAGAAATGAATTCTACCCATAGCTGGGTGTCACTCATCAGGCCATATTACAGCCTGTTTCTAAATTTCACAAGAGCCCTGTGTTTCAGGTCTTATCAGTCTTCACAAACATACTTCAGTGATCAAAGCAAATTGTTAATAGTGAGAAATTAATGTAAACTTTGTCTCACGCAATTTTACTTAGCATCTAAAGTACCAAAATACCTGCGGACGTTTCTGTTTTAAGAAAAAAAAAGTCCCATTCTTGGAAAATAGGATATACCATAGTGAAACATGAAAATGAAATCTAAATGTTTTGTTTTTCTTTTGGGTTTTTTTGTAACGACTAGAAAAGTGATCGGACTGAACGGTATCATTTTACAATTTCACACTGTTAACACAGTGAAATCATCCTTTAAATCATAAGACTAACAATCCCTACCAATAATAATGTAAGCATACTGCCTCTGAGCCACTAAGAGAACACACCCACTATATATGTGTATGGACAAACACACACATAAAAGAGCCTAAGCTACAGTTGTCTGGGTACACACTTGAGTTTTAACCTCCTCCTGTTCATCAGAGTGTAAAAGCTGCACATCCTGGACCTGAGGCCACTTACACTCACAAACACCGTCCTGCTATGTAGTCAGCATACCCGCTCAGTGTCATGGTGTCTCCATGGAAACCTATATTTACACCTCTTGACTGCAGAAGGGTCTAACCCCTCAGCTAAGTATCAGCTGTCGATTTTAGGCACTAATAAACAAAAGCTAAGTGACCTGGAAGGAAGAAAAAACAGAAACAAGTTGCAAGAGTGTGACGGACTTTCTGATTTAGAAGTGACTGTTAGACATATGAGCCAAGAAAGCATCTGTTTGCAGTTGCCAGGCGCACAGCCTTCTAGTCCAGCATATGCCTTGATGCTCAAATTACAGTCAGAACCCCACCCAAAACATTGACAATGTCACTCTTACTACAGTTTTCATACATCCGAGGTATTCAACCAAATTCTTTCATCCCATCTAGCAGGAAATACCAAAATGCAAGAAGAATATTAAAGAACATGATGAGCAAAGACTGCTTTTACAACAAGGGACACAAAAGAGTTCCTCACAGGAGCTTAGCTTGATCTTTGGAAATTACACCAGTTTTGGTGGGAAACGAAGTAGCACCACTGAAAAACAAGGAACCTCAAACTATATTGAGAAAATACATACAGTGTGTGATGACATGGATAGCAGAAGAGACCGGTTAACATTCACATCGGCAGTATCAAAATCACTGTCACATAAGATAACCTGCAGGGTAAGAGCCTGATATCGACAAATACCTGGATAGTTTCCAACCGACACATAACTCCTGAAAAATCAATAAAGCTCCAAATGCAGGTCAACAACAGGGGGACCAAATCCTCCATCCACTGCAGCAGAAGACCCAAATCAATGATTCACTGCATACCGCTTTACCTCATTCAATGGTATGTGGCCAAAGGGTCAAACAACCTCTTTCTCAGTACAACTGTCTCACTGGAGGTTAAAAAATGTAAAGATCACAGAAGTCCAAACCATCAATGCAGCTCTTAGCAAATCTTTTGTTTCCAGTAATGACAGAAAATTACATCCAAGGCTATGAGACTTAACAGCACAAGTAAGCAATTTACCAAACACAATAGAAATATTATATGTAGTTCTAGTTTGTATATAACCATTCGGATTGTACACCCCTTGTAGCCATAATTTCACTACATTTCCATACAAACTGCAGCTGTATCACACACTGTATTAGACATTAGAGGTACAGTTCAGCTGAGATTTTTCTGTAATGTAATACTTCACATGATATCCAAGGCCTTAATGAAGACATGCTGGTCTAGAAGAAGTTGTTTGGATTTAATGTAATCCTGTTTATTTGATTATCAGAGTCTGGATTATCGAGTGATGATTGTTAAATGAAAAAGGAAGAGCTCGCCAACAAAGGCAGTAAAAGTACCATAACAACCCAGGGGAGACAAAAAGACAGCAGAACACCACAGGTGCTAAATGAATTGTTGCTCGCTGGGATCAATTAGGTTGCTTACAGTTATTGGTGTTCAGGGTATATTGCAATGGCCCAACAGCTAAGTCTGGACCAGAGATCTGAGAGTGTCTGTTACACGCCTGCTTAAAGGAGAGAAATCCACTTACTGTAATAGCACCCCACCCTACACTACCCTCCTCTGTCCTCTCCTCTCCTGACGTGACACATCATCACAGTCATTCTGTCCTCTTATGACCAGTGACAAAGAGGCACACCAGACTTGTTCCAAGACAACAATAATTATACCAATATAGAAGCAGGAAACCAGCCGCCGACCGCTCCTTTTGAAGAACTGGAAAATAAAGCAGTTTTATTTTACTTAAGGACAGCTGGCTTGATTTCAGATGATCGACTCTCCTGTAAACCTTTGGTTAGAGTGTTTCCATTCTTTACTGAGCAGACCAGAAGAAGCTTTCTGGCCACACTTTCACTGTTTTTGTGCCTATCTACTGTCCTCTGTGGTTGTAACAATACCTGGGTGACCCCCTTAAACCAAAAATAAGCATGAGAGCATTTTTTTTTTCAGGTTATTTTGCATCAATCAACCTGTGGGTAGGTGACAGGGAGCTTGAGTTTCATCAGACTGCATGAAATCAGGTTAAAAGCATGGTCATATTAGCCAGGCCTTCATCTAAACATGCTAAGCTAGAAACATTGCTTGTTTACAAATATATTGAATTAACATTATTTTGATAAAGTCAAGACTTAAAAACATATCACCTCTTACGACTCGGGTTCTGTCATGGCATTTTAGGCCCAAAGCATTTGGTAAAAGAAATATCAAATAGCATCAAACTACTTTACTTTTTTAAGAACTTTGACTTAATTGTGATCAAAACAGTTCAATTCAAGACTTTTACTTAGAGTAAAGTTCTTGTCTGAGCTTGAAGTATCAACGTACAATTACAGGTGCAACAGTAAAATACCATATTTTTGGACTTAAGCTTTGTGTTTATGTTTGATTTAGATATATTGTATTCTCTATGCTCCCTCAGTCCCTCAGCTTAACTAACACGCCTCATCCTCTTGCACATGAATATTACCTGGAAACATAACCAGAGAACGTTCTATATAGGATAAAATGTATTAAACACAGAAAGGCAGTCTGTGCATGTCGATCTGGCATTTTAATTAATAAGCACATATTGATTCAATATCCAATAATACCTATCAATCATGTTTCTTTTATGCCAAAATCATTACAATTACATTTTAAAATTGAATTTTAAATAATTGTGGAACCATAGATCATAATATCATGTGATCTCATTTTACCTTATTGAATAACTCATATGTCTATAATTATCCTCACAACGTCAGACAAACTCATCAGTTTTACAGTCACGTGTATTTGTAATGTAATTACTGTTTTAATAGTTGCACAAAGGTAAAAGCTGAGCTCTGTGCACCAGCTGCAGTAAACATGCTGTGGGTGGCAAACAAGCCCGCAGCAGAGGGGAATAGAGATTTAGAAAAAAGGAAAGGAGGGATAATGAAGGTCGATACCGAAAGGCTGAGGAAAGCTCAGGTGGCAAAGACCCATGTGGCTGGAAAGTAACAAGAGGGGGGAATAGAAAAGGATAGATGGGTGGGGTCTAGCAGAAGCGAAAAGAGGAAAAAGAGAAGGAATGTAGATGCTGAACAGCAGGAAGTGATAATTAGTCTGTTCTCTAGTCCCTAAGCTGCTTGTCCAATTAGGGAGCGAGGGAGAGAAGAAGGAAACCACTTAGGTTACAGATGTTGTAGGATTTAGCAAATAGATTTGTCCATACTATCTGTTAACATTAAATAAAGTTGTGCTTTTTTTATTTACCCATGGGGTATTTATACAACTATAACACAAGGAGCCAGAAAAGCAACTATTTAAGAGTATGCGCCCCCAGCTGACAGTCTCTTATTGTTAATAGCAAAACAACACATTGTCAAATGACTAAAGTGATGACAAAAAGAGGTTATACTTTGCGTATTCTAAAAATACAGCAAGAAATTATTTGTTTTTAATGGAGTATAGCCACAAAACCATCACAGTTTGTGCAACAGAGGGTGCGCTTCACCACCTCAGCCTTATCACAGGGTTTTGCTGCTGAGGCACGTCAGTTGGTGTAAGAAGAGTCAGTCCAGCCTGTACACACACACACACTCCCAATCTGTCTGTCTTCCTCTCTGACAAACCCACATACCACAGGGACTAACATATGACTACAGCCCTCCAGAAATAAATCCAAGCAGCCTGTAACAGCTGCATAACAAGAGTACAGTCAGATACCCCCTCATAAACTGATACTGGTATACTTTGTTATTTGGGGGGCTGTTTCTTTAATCAGGGTTACAGGTTGGCAGGCAGCAGAAGAGGGAGGACATGGGGGGGTCTAAAGAGCACAACAGTCTATAAACAGCAGACTGGATGTCTCAAATGTTTCAAGTGTATCGGGGGCATGTCTATGGAGTAAATATATTTAGTAAACATGTGCTTGAAGAACCCATTAATTACATCCTGCCGAGCCCAACAAACTCCAACTTGGAACACTTCCCACAATAGATATTGGTGTATTAATTAAAGCTTGTAACCTCCAGTTAAAGGTGAATAAGAGCAACACTTTGAGCACTTGATTAACAATAAAGCTGTTTTATCTTAAGTGCGGATAAAGAAGTATCAGTAGCATGATATTTATCATTGCTGCTGTATATTTCCACAGCAATGAATCATCATTAATGCATTAACTGAGCAAACGTCCTATTGTATACTTTGGATTTAATATGTTCAATCAGTATGTACTTTGGTCAAGCTCCTATCCTTGCAGAACAAGCTCTTAGAAGCCCTGCATCCACACCCTAGCGATTTAAAAACAGCCCTGCATGTGAAATGGATGCAGAGTATTACCAGATACATACTGTACCGCTGCCAACGATGCATAGCCTCAAATACTCTCCCACTCACTAGCCTATCTCAGTTTTCATAGGAGATATATTTAACCCATTATAAAAATAACCCCCAAATCTCCAGATGTGACCACATACACTGAAAGATGTTCCACTTTGCTTCAAGTAAATACAGTAAGGGAGGATAAAGAGGGAACTCCCTTAGTCAGCGGTGCTGAGCCGGTGGCTGACCACATGAACTTCTAAATAGAATGGATTTTCTGAAGGAGGTTTAGGGTGTTGAGCTTTTGTGTGCATCCAATTTAAAATATCCAACTATTTAAGGAAGACTTAATTCAAGAGGAAAACATTTTCATCCAAAATCTGAGCGTTTTCAAGAGAGAACTATTAGAAACTGACTGTACAGACTGACAGACACACATGGCAGTCAAATACTGTGCATTCTAGTCCAGTGGGCACAGTTTCAAATTCAAAGAGTGTGTGCGCTACAGTTGGCATATGGTGTCAATAACCCTTCAAATACAGAGTCACTGAATGGACCTAGGCATGGATGAACAGTAAACAAAGACAGCTAGGAGCAAACAGGAAAGCAAAAGTTATTTGTAATCCTGGTATTCTCATTGCTGCCCGCAGAAATGACTGGGCAGATGAAACGTACACGTCACAATTTCAGAGCCATTTTTGTGAAACGGCTATGTTTTGCGAGGTGGACCGATGTAGGTATTTTACGTTTTTGAGCGAGACCACGTTGCTCATTAATATCAATATTAATGTCAGACAAATTGAGGGTAACAAATATTAGCAGTAAATTTATTTCAAATAAATAACCTACCAACAATGCTGTAGATGAAAAAAATAATCCTGGAGGCTGATAAGGCTTTTCTATGCTTCTATTCTTTACCAGCAAAATCTTAACTCAATAAATATGTGCAGCCTGTGACAACAAATAGTTTATTTGTTTAGATTAAGATGTTGGTGGATCATCACTGCACTGTGGACTGAACCATAAGACCAAAGTTGACTCACAATGCTGTGACATAAAAAAAAACAGGAACTGGCTATAATACTTGTAACAGCTCAGTAAACCCAGTGAAGGTTTTTGAAGAATACTCACAAAGAAAGCAATTTCCTCTTTATCTTTATTTATCCTCTTTTTATATTAGTTTCTTGCTTCCTTAATGCTTCTGTGGAAGTGGATAATTTACCAAAAGCCTGTAACAAACCCACATCAATCAGAGGCTTCTTAACGAAAGCTCACTCTGCATGCAAACACGCCTAACATCAAGCCCAGACCTGGAGAGGAAAAAACACCACTGTGAGCCAATTACAACTGCAGAGAACATGGACAGCTTCACAGTGTACCGAGTTAAACATTAAATGTGCTATGGTACCCTTCTCTTCTTTATAATGATACAGCACATCAATCAATGCCCCATCAACATGCAGAGGATCATTATAAGAAACACCTGGCATTTTCTGTCATCAGAAAGTAATAGAGAGTAGGGCCCGGCCGATTTATCGGTGAGCCGATTAAATCGGCCAATTTTAGCCCGTTTGAGACTAATCGGTAATCGGCCAAAACTCGCAGATATTTTCAGAAATAAAATACAAAGAATAATTTGGTTTAACTTCGAAAATGTTCTGCCATTTGAAAAGATCCCCCGACTTATCCTGTAGATGGCGCAGCGACCTCATGACAATCTTGATCCACTAACAACCTCACAGCACAGCAGAGTGACGGATCTGAAGCAGGCAGCTCAGGGACGCACGGAGGAGAGTGGTCCGCCTCAATGGTAAATAAACTTTGTGAAATACACAATAAGTCAACAAGTGTCAGTTCAACCCACTTTGCGATGCTCCCCGATGTGCTGGTCTTGGTGAAGCACCATGTAATATGCAAGCTAAAGTTAGCGTGAGCCATCTGCTACTAGCCTTGCTACACTGTTAGCCATGCCAATAATAATAACATGTTAGGCCGCTCATTTTGCCCCTATCTTGTTACTTATGCCTTACTATGACCCCTACTGTAAGACTAGTTCAGTAACCTCATAGCTACTTACAGTCAAGACAATCCATATTCTGTTTTGTTTGGTTTTTGTTTTTTTTTGTTTTTCTCATCTGGCTACACAGCAGCTGACAGGAGTCCTACTTTTCCACTGCAATAATTCACATAATGTTCAGAAGAATATGAACAGCTAACTCATGGTACTTTTCCTCTTAATGTGGGAGATACATATCACATAGTTTTCTGATCTCTTTTCCGAGTAAGCACAAGTTTACCAGTGAAACAGTTGAAAAATTTGTTTATTGTTTTCTTTTACAGCATCAGTGCAACATTGTTTATGTGTCTGTGAGCTGGGTGATGGATGCATATGCAAAGAAAAGGTTATGCATATCGTATTACTTCATGAGTTACCCTGCCATATTTTTCAGAGCCTGTTTGCACTCCGCTTACTCTGCTGCTTTGTACTCCAAAGTGTACTGTGTTTAGATTAGGTGGAATTGTAAATAGTATTGTTATTTTTCATTTAGGTTTATTTATGCTGATGCTGTAAATATTATATTTTAAAGTTTAAATTAATGTTGATTTTAATGAGATTCTTTCAGGTTTTTATGTAAACTTTTACTTTTTATCTCTTATTATGTCTTGTGTCTCATATTTCCTATGGCTGAGAACTAATTTGGTTCTTTCCTCTTGCAGACTGGAATGACCAATAAAACTCCTTTGAATCCTTTAGAATGAAAAAAAAAACTTGTTGCAAAATGAGGAATGATGGCAATATTCCACATGTACAGTAATATTTCCCTATCCTCCTTTTTTTTCTTCTTTCCAAATTTATCCAAAGCTGGAAACTACTGAGACTATATCCCACAGTTTTCCACAACTTTTTCAATCCTGCTTCGGAACACTGTCCAACTCACACAACACAGAAAAAACATCAAGAAAACGCTGAATCGGATTATTTTCATGTGCTACAAATATTTTCAACATTACTCGTTAAAAGATGCTTTGTTGACTCTCATCTTTTTGACAGTCTGTGGATTTTTGTTCAATCTTTGACTCAGCACACTGTGAGAATAATCAGTTCTCATTTGTTCTCTGGGAAAGGGGTGTTGTCTTTTGTATCCAGGCTTCATTAAAAGGACTTTAATGCCCTGAACTAAGACTTCATCCAGGTAACCTATCCTCCATTCCTGGGGTACACACTCAGGCTTTTTAACACTTACATAACATCAAACATGCACAGTCCCACAAACCCACTGCTCAGATTTCAATGACAAGGTCCCAGTGAATATCCCTCAAAAGAGCAGTCTCTTCCTTTCTTATCTATCTGCTTAGTGACCATAGTCTGTGTGTGTGTGTGCGTGTAGTTTTATGAGCTGTCTTTCATTAGACTGTGCTATGTTGTAAAGTAAGGATGACGAAAGAGAGATCATCACACACAAAGGCAGTTGCCGTGGTAATTTATATGGATAGAAATGTCACACACTGACCGGAAGAAGAAGGTGTTTTGGTTCCTTTGCCAGCTGATTGTGACTTCTCTACTTTGTAATTTGGCCAAAAAGCTCTTTAATGTGGGAAATCACTGTGTTTAGGTGCCCTTGGTTATAGGGACCTTCGCTTAAAAGATCAGACTGGTTGTTAAATCACCACCTCAACACTCTTAACAGCATCACACGCTTCTCATGTTGCCCATGAAGAGTACTCACGTTTTACTTTACATCTGAACCCTGAAGTGAGTCAGTCATTCAGAGGGCCCCTAACTACAAACTCTAATACAGAAAATATGCAAGCCCTACACAATGACTGAAATCCAAACTTTAAGTGACAATTACACTAAAAACAGCTAGCCTTAGACTAGAGAAAGTCAGCAACATTTGTGTAGCACAGCTTATATATTGAAATTGTTTAATATTGTGTTGCTTTTCTCTTCTTTTAACATCAGCCCGTAAAGCAAGGTGGCCAGTTTCTGGAGTTAAATTCTTGACTAATATGGAATTTCCGCTGCTCAACAGTTTGGGGTCCCCTTTGTCATGTCCTTTCGTTTCATGATGCACAAATTTTTTCATTGGGTGACTAGTTGGGGAAGCAAGCAAACCAATAAAGCACCTGGACCCTTAAACTATGAAGCCATGCTGTTGTAATACATGCAGAATGTAGCTTGGTCTCCTCCGAGAAAAGCTTTGTCTGAATAGCAGCACATGTTGCTCTAAACATTTTTAATTCTGTTGGGTTAATTTGGTACCTTCTAGATGTATAATCTATCCATGTCATGGGCACTTCTGCAGCCCAATACACCACTGACACCAGCTTTTGAACTGTGTTGATGATAATCTAGGTGGTCCTTCTCCTGCTGGGAGTGGAAGACGCAGCATCTATGATTTTAAAAAAGACCATCAGACCATAGGACAGTTTTCCATTTAACCTCAGTCCATCTTGGGCTCTGATGGGGCTCAGGTCCAAAGTAATTGTGTTTATACTGGCATCTGCGAATGCAGCCATACAAACTGTGGTCACAAACTGTAGCTTATGTTTAGATCATGTTGCATGTGGCAGTTTAGTCTTGGTGTTCGACTTTGTCCCTTTCATCCCAAGATTTTTTCAATCTTTAAATGATTAATGAGTAGGATAGTAGGAAATTGGTAGAAATGTGTCACTGATAACATAAAGGACAGTGTCAATAGTTGAAGAAGCAAAGAAATGAAGTAGTTTCAGGGCTCTCAGCAACTGTTTGTCAATTTCAATCAAAGAAATAACAAATACTTAGGTGTTTTGCAGGAGCACATTCTTCATTGATGCTCCTGCCACGCCCCAAACAATATCAGTGAGTTGAATTTTACAGACAGCAGCTATACAGGAGCTGTTGTTCCACTAATAATAGGTCTTAGTTTTCCACACACTAACGACAAACTACACACACTTTGGTTCAGTGTACTGTTCACATGAATTGTCAGTGAGAAGCAAAAAAGAGTGGAGGTAAATGGAGAGGAGGGTGACCCTGCTGCTGGAACACTCTCTGTTGTCACTACTGTCTATGGACAACAAATGCTTTTTCACGGTTGCTGTGGACGATAAAGCCAAATTAGTCGCGTTGTTGATTCACCAAAGTAATTTTATGGAGACAACATGTTGCTAAATGGCGCAGTGTGTTGATATTACCATTTTTTTTGCCCAAAATAGAGCAATAATATTCGATGGTACAGCATAGTAGCACAAAATGATTATCCAAACGATGATTAAAATTGTGTTGTTTTACCAAATCAATACACCAGATAAGAAACAAACCTATCATTACGTACTGATTTTTTTTGTGGACTGTGTTATCTCAAACGAAATTAGACATTTCATCGAGTTTGTTTAGAATAACAAAAGCACAAGTTAAAAACACAAACGTCAAACTTTTGCAGTGGAAGTTGTATTAGAAAAACTCACCCTAAAGGCGGTTTGGATGATTCAGTCATTGCAGTGATTAGACGATATCCAACTTCAGCTGGGGATGGTTCCCAAAGTCTGCTGTCGCTTTCACAATTGGCAAATATCCATTATAAATTTGAACCTGCACAACAAGATTGAGGCATTTGTTTTCTGCCTGTCAAGTTCATAATTCTGCAAGTACAGCGGATGTTTCTGGTGAAAAAAGCACCGTGTTTTTAATTTACTTACAGGTTCAACAAGTGGCAGTGCGCGGAGATGACAGTCCAGTGTGACCTGAAGCGCCTAGCGCGTTGTGTCCGTTAGAGCTGCCAAACGACGACTAAAGAGTCCTTCAACCCGCACTATGTTCAGTCTAACTTACTTCAGTCAAAACGGTCAAACTGAGTCATTCTCACTGACTCAGTTACAACTAAAATCCACGGGATATAATCTTCGTATCCACCGGCTGACTTTCCCCCCCCAGGTACCGTCAATGTCATCGAATGACTACATTAAATACCGGTGCGACCTTTCAAAATAAGAGTCGAAATAAAATTCCACATCAAGAAAATCTTTTCTTTGTGGATCATATTAATGTTAATGATGTTGTTTAAATCTATTTAATAATTGTATTGCTATTGTTAGTAAAGAACATTTGAGGAACATTTCTCTTTGTATTGAAATATGTTAATTTTTTTGTTTGTTTTTACATCAGTTCTGATGTTGATTCACTTTTTGATTTACACTTTTTTATTTTCTTTAATGTTTCAGTTTGTGTTAAGTTTGTGTATCCTGCAGCCGATGATAGACTACATAAAACGCATGTTTTATAGGACGAACATGGGCGTGGATATCAAATATTGAAAAAAAAGGCCAACAGTTATCTGCTAAGCTTTTATATAACTTTCCTTAACACATTGTTTTTTTTCAGTTCACAACCCACCCATGCACAAAACAACTCATTAAAACCATGAACATATGTGTGTTATCCAGCATCTTGTCAGCTGTTGTGAAATGGTTCAAATTAGAGCTCAGATGTCAATATTTTAATTACTACAAATAATAACTTTATTTATATAGCACTTTTAAAAACAGAAGTTTACAAAGTGCTTTGACAAACAGTTGTAAAGCACAGAATATCAGCACATGAAAATAAAGACAAATAAAAACAAAAGCTCAGTTAAAAACAAGGTCTCCAAACTGAAGGCCAATTTCATTTTGCATAAGAAACCCAGGCAATTCAAGAACCCTACAACATAAAATGAGACCATAAGGACCAAAATAAAAACATAAAATAGGTAGGAAAAAGAAATGAAATAGAAAAGGGGGGCAGAAAGCAAGAAACAGGATAGTAAATATAAAAGAGGATATTAAAATGATAATAAATTAAATTAAAATAATAATGATGGTAATAATAATGATAAAATGGAATAATAAAAATGAGCAGGAAAATAACAATAAAATCAATAAAAGGTCTAAAAGGTAAAATAAGTAAAGATTATAAGTAAAACAAAGGCCAAAAGGACAGTAAGTCGAAATAGGATGGAGGTAAAAGAGATAAAAGAAAAAGGTAAAAGATGGCATCACATAAAAGCAAGTCTGTAAAAGTGAGTTTTTAAATTTGACTTAAAAGAAGCGACTGTTTGGCAGGTCGTTCCAAAGTTGAGGAATGGAGAAAGCTCTATCACCTTTAGTTTTAAGCCTTGACTTTGGAACGACCAGGAGGCCTTCACCAGAGGATCTGAGGCTGTGAGTTGGCTCATAAGGTATTAAAAGCTCTGAAATGTAGCTCGGAGCAAGACCTTTGAGCGCTGTAAAAGTAATCAATAAAATCTTAAAATCAATTCCAAAACTGACAGGAAGCCAGTGAAGGGAGGCTAAAATTGGAGTGATGTGATGCCATCTACTAAAACCATATAAAGTCTAGCTGCTGCATTCTGAACTAGTTGGAGGCGATAGAGTGATTTCTTGTTTAAACCAGGGGGGAGAGAGTTACAGCAGTCCAGCCTTGAGGAAATGAAAGCATAGTTTATTTTTTCAAGATCTGGTGGGCTGAGTATCTGTTTAATCTTTGCAATAGAATGCAGGTGAAGGAAACAGGAGTGGACAATCTTGTTGATATGGGTGGAGAAGGGGAGGTCAGAATCGTTACTCCCAGGTTTCTGGCTGTTGGTTTGATAGACATTTAACACAGTGTTCAAACATTTTTTGAGTGTAAATCCCGGTAAGCAGTGACTGGAAAGTCTAAAACTGTAGAAAAGCGCCTCTCTTTAATTTATAAGGCAATAATGCAGGATTTCCGGGTTTCTTCTGTTTAACTTGACGTTTCTCTGTCCAGCCCGCCTTCGTCAGCAGATCTCATGTCAATCATCCTCATTGGGAACTCTTGTGAGCGCCAGCTGGAGAGCGACGGCAACACAGTCTGTACTGTGCAGTACAAATAATTCAAGTCAAATTCTAAAGTCTATGAAATAAAGACCCACAACTGACACCAAAGAGAAATGTATATGAATGAAATCTAATTTAGTGGACATGTTATTGTCCGTCTCATTATTATCGGCTGTAATATTTGTGCTTTTTTCAGACGGCCTTTACTGAAATTCAGGGACGAGGATTCAAATCGGTCTCCCGGCTTGTTTCTCCCAGAATGCTTTGTGTTCCATGCACATAACTAAGATATGGTTATCTACCACAAGAGGTCGCTCATAGACCACTCTGCAATTTTACACAGTTTGGTCTATGGTTGGAAGTATTCAACTGGCATAAGAAGTGGTGGCAGAGGTTGAGGAAGAGGAAAAGAAGTTCTCTACCAAAAAAAAGAAAAAAAAAGAAGAAGAAGAAAAATAGATCAACACAGGGCTGTATCCGTTTTTAAGAGCTACTCAGCAAAAATAATCTTTAAATAAATAAAACAAACACACAAACAGTAAAGATACTATTGCATTTGCAGGAATATTTAAAACTAACACCAACAAATGGATTACACAAGTAAACATGTTTAAATTCAACACCAAAACAGCAGCCCTACTAATATATTTGATGTGCGCAAGCAACACCTCTTTGATATACTGTAAGATTTAGTGATTTAAGATTATTCCTAAATTAGTAAATTAATGCTATCGCTTTACCCAAATAAAATGAAAGATGTGTCTCTAGAAAATACCAACAAAAAAAAATAATAATAATAATAAAACAAGAAGCCATAATTCTTACTACAATCTGTTGGAGTAACACTTCACTTTATCTGTGGATAAATCTTTAAACTTAAGCCTGTAGTTGTTACATTATTATGTGTGAACCTGAAGTTTTTTTTTTTTTTTCCTTAAATAGTTGTTTTAAACTTAAGCCTGCAGTTATTAAGTGTAAGACTAAAGATGTTTGTATGTTTGTTTTAATTATTATTATCTCTGCCGTGCTTTGCTTTTTGTGATGTTGGCGTGTGAACACAAACATCTGAGAATTCGATGGTACTGATAAGGATCTTGCTGTCACACTTAGGGGGACGTGCAGGAAACTGTGTAGGCCTACTTCTCTTTCTGCTTCGCTCATTGACTGGAGACTGCTGACTCTCTGACAGTTTTTTTCATCACTTCTGTTTATTTTAAGGACATCGCAACCATAAAGATTCATACTGAGTTATATGGACCTCTGATGTGCAGCTTCTGAAGGCAACACGGAGACAGAACCATGTCAGGTGACCACATTTTGAAATCTACATTTTTTTTTCCATAATCATCAGAATCAGAATACTTTATTTATCCTGGGGAAGAGTTTGGTCATTACAGCATTTCACTTGCTCTTGCTAATACAAAAAATAGTAGAAGGAGAATAGAAGTAGGAATCAATAAGAGGAAATAAGAAATTGCAACAGTTTTTAAAATGTGCAGAGTATGAGAAATAAAGCTATTTATAAAGCACAGGGAGTTTAAGAAATAAGCTATGTACATGCATAAAGACTAGGAAGTATGCATAAGATATTGATGTATAATTATTTGGATCTGCATTAATCCATGTTATTATTCATGTAAAAAGATGGAGTAAGATGATACTCTTTTGATCGCAGTTGTTTTATCATTATTATACAAATATTTTAGGAAAAAGAGCAATAATAATAGAAGTTTGGATAAGTTCAATATCTGCATAAGAGATGGTCTAGTAAATTTTATAATTTTGTGAATTATATTTTCTTTTCTTAAAGAACTTGCAGGGGCTTTTTATTTTTTACCATCTGTACAACCTATTAGGCAAACAGTCATTCAGACCACTACCGTTAATAACTGAAGTACTGAAACTGAGTCATAGAGAGAAAAATGAGTCATACAGAGAAATTATGAAAAAAAAAGTATTTGCCAGTTTCAAATCCTGTCCAATCCCTGTTTAATTCAGTTGCCAATATTTTCTCTAAAACACATTCCGAATGTGTACATCTAAAGAGATTGTGACTCTGAACATGAGTGAAACACTCTTTTTCTTTCAAAATTTTGTTGTTTCAAATTGGTAAACGTTTTGGATGTTCCTCAATATGGGGCCAGCAGGTGGCACTGTGGCTTCATTATAAATTCAGGGCTATTTCATGCAAAGAACCACTGATGATCTGTATGCTTGACTAATTCCAGAGTGTGTTAATTTAACACAATTTCTTGGCACAATAACAATTACAAACAGCATTAATGTTTCCCATCAGTCCAACTCTGATCCTTCACTTTGATTTCTAAAAACTAATTGTATATTCGTGTATACAAAGGAATCAAGACAGTTTTACTACAATACTCACAGTGCTTTGGCTAAACATGTAAATTTTTTTAAACTCTCTGCAGGGTATGAGGCAAACACCACCACCACCATGGCATATGACTACTCATCCTATTATGGTCTTTCTGAAGAGGATGACTTTGCTCCATGTAAACTTACTGAATTGAGAGATTTTGGGAGGATCTTTCTGCCAACTGTTTACAGTTTGGTCTTCATCCTTGGCTTCATTGGTATGTATTTGAGTGTGTGTGAAAACGAGAGAGTAACACAGATACACATGCAGAGACAGCTAATTAAAGAGGGGTTTTTCCAATTTAAACCTTTCAATAGATTCAATGTCTGAACAAAAGAGCCAGCGATACAATTGAAAGATGGTCTACAAAAATATACTGTAAACAATATGAGTTCACAAAGTCTATTTGTATTATGTTTGAAAAAAAATAACTTACTTTAAATAAAACACATTCAACTGCAAAATCCAAATCCAAGAAACTACAAAACCAAAAATAAACACTGGAAGCAAGGAAGGACACAGAAGCACTGGGAATACACAGGCTTAGACAATAAACCAACAAAGAAAGAGGGAAAGACAGGGATGGAATACACACTTTGGGAAACAAGCAACATGTGAGACAGGCAAGACAGGTGAGACTCATGAGTAATTCAAAAAAGGAGAGAAAACTGTGGAAGTAAAACCAGAATTGACACACAGGGATTGACGACTACAACAAAAAACAGGGAGTCAAACTAAACCAGATATCAAAGAAGAAGCAGCCACAACATAAACCAGGAAACAATGAACACTAACCACAAGAAGAAAACACTGACAGAACAGGATCAGGGAGGAACTTTAAACTAAAAATGGAACAGAAAATCCAAAAAAAGTTAAAAACAAAACTACGAGAATAAGTCATGACAGATAGAGAGGCAACAGTAAGTCAAATAACCACTCTTCACAACTAGAAGGTATGCAGAATATACCATCTCTAAATACACAACACATCCAAGCTTGAAGCAGATGAACTACAGCAGCAGAGGACCACACCGGGTATCATTCCTGTCAGCAAAGAACAGGAAAATGAGATTACAACTTGCACAAAATTTGACAATAGAAGATTGGAAAAATGCTGGCTGGTCTGATGAGTCTCGATTTCAGCTGTAACATTCAGATGGTGAGTCAGAATTTGGCGTAAACATTATGAAAGCATGAATCCATCCTTGGTGTGGGGGACATTTTCTTGGCACACTTCGGGCCCATTAGCACCAATTGAGCCTTGTTGAAAAGCCACAGCCTACCTGGCCTGGGTGTTGTTGCTGACCATGTCCGTCCCTTTATGACCACAGTGTACCCATCTTTTGATGGCTTTTTACAGCAAGATGATGCGCCAAAGCTCAAATCATCTCAGACTGAAACATGACAATGAGTTCACTATACTCCAGTGGCCTCCACAGTCACTAAATCCCAATCCAATAGAGCACCTTTAGGATGTGGTGGAACAGGAGATTTGCATCATGGATGAGCAGCTGACAAATATGCAGCACCTGTGTGATGCTCTCATGTTAATATGGACAAACATCTCTGAGAAATGTTTCCAACACCCTGATGAAAATATGTCACAAAGAATTAGGGCAGTTCAGAAGACAAAACAGGGTCCAACTCAGTACTAACAGGGTGTACCTAATAAAGTGGCCGGTGAGTGGATATCAATATTGTCATCAGTCACTCGTAACTATGATACAATGTCCAAGACAAACCATTCCATCCTCAGGCACCAACATTGTTATCAGTGATGAAAATATGTCACAAAGAATTAGGGCAGTTCAGAAGACAAAACAGGGTCCAACTCAGTACTAACAGGGTGTACCTAATAAAGTGGCCGGTGAGTGGATATCAATATTGTCATCAGTCATTTGTAACTATGATAAAATGTCCAAGACAAACCACCCCATCCTCAGGCACCAACATTGTTATCAGTCAGTTTTAAGTCATGAAATGTCTGTTTCTTATCTTTTTTGGTGTGATGTAAACAAAGTCAGCTCCCTGGTTACAGAGTCTTGAGAACTTCCTCACGTATGCTTAAATGCTTTTTTCCTCTCCTCAGGTAATGCCCTCGTACTTTGTGTCCTGTTGAAGCACCGCAACCAGACCAGTCTGACAGACATCTGCCTCCTTAACCTGGCTGTCTCCGACCTCCTCTTTGTCTTCACGCTGCCATTCTGGTCCAGCTTCGTTGTTGCTGGTCAGTGGACCTTTGGGAATTTCATGTGCAGCTTCGCCTCTGGCTCACACAGCACTGGCTTCTACTGCAGCATCTTCTGTATAGTTGTCATGACAATCGAGCGCTACATGGCCATCATACACGCTCACCGGATGGCACACCTGCGCACCGTCAGAGCAGGCGTGGTCCTGAGTGTGGTCATGTGGATGCTGAGTTTTGGTGTCTCTCTGCCTGTTTTTATCTTCACAAAGGTGAATGAGTCTGACCTGACCTGCTCCTACGACACTCAGAGCGGTGTTTGGAGGCATTATCATGTCTTCACGGCTAACATATTGGGTCTTTTCATCCCTTTGTTGGTAATGGTTTTTTGCTACTCCAGGATCATCCCCATAGTGATGAAGATGAAGAGCATGAAGAAGCACCGTGTTGTGAAGCTCATCATCTCCATTATGGTTGTGTTTTTCCTATTCTGGGGCCCATACAACATTTCCCTTCTCCTGAATTTTATGAAGTCTAAGCTGCCAGGTGATGTGTGCACCCTGGAGAAAAACTTGAGGCTTTCAACAACGGTGACGGAGACCTTTGCCTACATACACTGCTGCTTGAACCCCATCATCTACGCTTTTGTGGGACAGAAGTTTATGAAACGGGTCCTGAAGCTACTGAAGAATTGTATACCCTGTATCCCCTCGACCTACACCTCTGATTTGTCATCAGACTCTTACAGGAAAAGTTCAGCCATATCCAGGTCATCAGAGATCACCTCCACTTTTGTCAAGTAAAATGGGATGGATTATTTACAATAAGTATATAAAGATGGACCACATGTCTCCACAGCCTCCTGTAGTAGAAAAGTGAAGCCAAAATAACCCCACAGGCGCTGAGCTCTTCATGAGTCTGTGCAACAAGGATTTGAGGCCTCCTGCTCAAAGCCTGGCATGCGAACACTGGAGCATGCTCAGAATGTCTCAGCCAGCTTCAGTCCAGTTGTGGTGCATGTTAATTGATCCCTAACCACATTATTCAGGTACGTTAGTCCAACTATGCGAAGTTAGGTTTAGTGTGATTTCAGTTGGACTAATGTGTTTACATAATTTTTAAAAAGTCTAGTTTTAGTCTGACTTTAATCCCATCACCTGTCATTCTTACTAGATAATCTGGTGAACCTTAGAGCAGCTTTTGGCAAAAGAGCTGTCAATCATGATGTATTTTTTGTAGAGTCAAATTCTGTTTTAAAACTAAACTTTGCTGAACGCATACACATAAGTAAGCATGATGACAGATAATGGCAGATAATAAGAGATAATGCTTCTTTTGACTTCCAAGTTTTCCCCCCATCTGATAATATAGAGGAAGAGGGCACAATTACGCATACTGCAGCCTGTAATCGGGGGGGAGCTCCAAACTTTTGGCGTCACTCATGTGGAGCTTTTGTGTTGTCCATCTTTTTATACGGTCTACAGGTGGGCAGATGGAGAGTGTTTCATAGACATGCCCTCATGTTTGTTACAGTTTCATCTTGGTTGCTCATGTTCATATGGCTTGAGTTTTTTTTCTTTTACGTCTTAATTTTCCACATATGATGAAAGCTTTTTTTTCCTTTACATAAAAGCTGGTTTCCTTTTTCCTGTTTGTAAGTCTACTTTTTTTTTTTTGGTCTGTAAATATGATCTGTTCCAACAAGTGATAAACACCTGATTCATTTCTCTTTCAACTTTTTCCATTGTGTACGTATGATCAACTTTAGGTGTTTCTGTATTTAGCCTTTTTTTTTTTCTTTTTTTTTGTTATGGCAGCATTAACAACTTTTGTATAATCTCTGCTTTTTAACTAAATGCGCTGTAACACTCCACCTGTTCATGCTTCATTGGAGGAAACGTGTATAGAGGTGCTTCTAAATGTGAGAGAAAAAAAAAATGTCACTCAAAACACCTTGCAGCCCGTGTTTGTAGCAGACTCAAACCGCAGAGTTAGCTTTTCTCTTCCTTGCATGTGAGTTGTTTTTTTTTTTCACACATCTAGTGATGAGGCTGCAAGTTGGTACAGAAACACCCATACAGTGCAGAAAAGTTACTTAAAGAAAAAAAAAAACTCTTACGAAATGGAATTTTTTACTCTTGTTTATGGAAGAAAGTTCACAATTAATCAGAACTGAAAATTTTATTACTAAAAGGTTGTCTGGCACCTTTTGCCCACATGTTAAGTTTGCATTTGTATTTGTTTATGAGGAACAAATTTAGGCTCATTATTCATGCCTATAATATTTGTACTGCGCTGGTTTTACATTACATATGTGTACACATTTAAAGTATTTTCCATGTTTTCATCTTTTTTTTACATCGTGCCATTTAGGCGGAATGATTTGTACATCACAGTTTGATTGTCCATGTTTTTGTTAATTTTTTTTACCTGATGCTGGTTTATCATGTAACGATTTCTTTTGTAGAAGTTCAATCTGCCAAAAGCCATTAAAGCTTTATAAGTACCAAACACTGATCATGTCATGTTACTTTTCTCAACCAAATCACAAAATCTGAAAAACACAAAACAAACTCTGCACACATGAGACAGTTTGATGAAAATATAATGTTTTTTATAGTGCTGTATTGGTATAATGATATGGAGCTTTTTAAAGCGCTGGATTTTTGAAGCATGAGTATTTGAAGTGTGCAATCTGGTATTATATCATATGACTTGGAAAAACCCAACATTACATTAAAGGGTTTGGATCCTTCTTATTTTTGATAAAAGAGACCGAAGAGGAGTTAAGGTTTGAAGTCAGTGAACTTTTTTCCCCTCTTGATAAGGTTGTTTTAAAAGTTCTTTAACACTGACGTTCTGTGTTTGACAAGAACAGAGAAAAGGACAAAAGTTCCTACAATTCCCCTCTTGTACATTTCCTGCCTTATGCTCACGCATTAGGGGACATTTCTCAGAAAACCGCACTGACACCTCTGTACAGGTCTAACACCGAGCGGAGGAAACTACAAAACTAAGAGTTCACTTTACCAGAAACGAGCCCTGCAACAGGATTTGACACAAAAAGCGAGCGAATGCAAGTTGACAGGATGATATGCAAGAGTGACGCACCTCACGAGCAGTGATTGAGAGGACAGTAAGGTAAGCACAATTACATTTACAATTTAAAAGCTTTTCATGCTGTTTATTAGATCTACTTCTTCTGTTCCTCGTTCTGCAGCTGTAAACACACTGTGCAAAGTGTGTGTGTGTGTCTGTGTGTAAACAATGTCAGCCACAGGAAGTGAGGGTCTGTAGGGGTGTCACAGAGATCAGATAGTTCCGCAGAAGGTGCTGGTAAAATAACCAGATGTGGTTTTGTAGAGATCACATCTTCTTGATTATGGTCGCTCTCTGAGGAAGTTAGGGGTATAAGTAGAGTTTAAAAATTGAAATCTCAACCACTGATGGTCATAGCAAATGTTGCACCTCTGACACCAGTCCAAGCTGAGAGGCAGACAGTAAAGTGAATCCACCAAAGTTCTAATTCTTATTGCTGTGAATGTCTGCCAGATTTTGAAAAGCTGTTTTTGAGACAGCAAAAGCTGAAGTCAAACATTTGTCAGGAAAGCCTTTCAGGCATGAGTCACTTATTGATTATATATATGACAAGTCAAACTTAAAGGGCAGGAAATTCCAGCAGTATCTCTAAATCCCCTTACATTTAGAGGCCAGTGTTTTTCCAGAGTATCTCTTTAAGTGTTTATCTGCCTTTAGTGTAGAACTAAGAGACTTTTCATGATGGTGTGGAAGATACTATCTAATCTAATAGCTAAAAAGGAGAAACCTACAGTCCTCTTGTGTTTGTTTCATTAGGATCTGATCTGAAAGGAGAGGCAAACCAAGACTTCTGAAGTATTTTTTGACATCACAAGAAAAAAGCCCTAGAAAATAAAAGTCCTGAAGTAAGTAACAGTATATTCATTCATTATAATTATTTAGCTATTTGGCTTAAGAAGAGCAAATTTCAAGTTTCAAAATGTGTCTTCTATTTTGACATCAGTTGTGCTTATTGGTATTTGATGAAAATGTGTCATTTTTATTGCTGTTTTTAATTTACACCTTCCTCCTGTTAGATATCCATGTTGTGTGGTGTTTTAGGTCTGGTTAAATTGTGCGCCAAAGGGACAAAGTTAAGGTCATTACACTCATGGAGCTTTATTCAGTTACAACATGATGACAAAAAGCCCCAAAATAACTTTTTGCAAAGTCATTTAAAACTAACCCAAATGGCCTTGGTTGAGGTTCTTGAAGATCCAAAAGGCCCAGTTCTGAACTGAACTGTCAAGAACTTTAATCATATGTAGTTGCCTTTGTACTGAATTTTTGAGCCATGATCTGTATTTGTGAAACCTTTAAAAGAAGATTAAGGAACAGCACAGAGTTGTGAAGTGATGTGTAGTGATTAAGGAGGCTATACATAAGGTTGGGACAAACTTGCACCTCTAGAGCTAGTGCTGCAAACTCTTATTTGCCAAATTTTTAGTACAGATTCTTGTTATTTAGTGCAGAGGTAAAAACTAAGCACGCCAATGTTACAAAGGAAATGACTCATGCACCAGTTTCCTGCACTTTCAAATACCATGGCAGTTTTGTCTTGTTTGAAGTTTTTTTTGCACTTGACACAGCCTACTCCTCTGTCTTTAGCTTCCTTCTGTAGCAAATTCAATCATTGCCATTCACAGACTTTATCACCTTACTCCTACATCAGCCACCAGAATGACTTTACACATTTCTTAGTTTTTAACCATCAAAAACTTCCATAATTTTCTCTATAACAAAAATTTTGCATTTAGTGAATACCTGCCTGCCAGTGTGCTGATACTTCTGCATTTTAAAATTCTACTCTTTCAACTTATCTTGTCTGTGCGGAAAATGTGCATTTGGTTCCTCCACAACGTGTCTGACTGAGTTTCCCATGCCTGACATGGCAATGTTTGATTGTACATTTGTATTTCTGCCTTCACATAATGTCTCTTCTGTATGCACAGAGTAACCCTCCTTGTTCTGGTCTTCTCCACACAGCAGGATGTCATGATTGGTTGTTGTTGTGTTATTTTCTCCTGGTTTTATTTAGATGTATTTTCTGTGTATTTTACCTATTTTTCCTGTTCCCCTGTGATCCTGTTTTGTGAGTGTTCAGTTTACGTCTGGTGTAGTTTGACTTCCTGTTTAATTTTGTAGGAATTGATCCCTGTGTGTATAGTCATGTTTCAGTTCCTGCGTTTTCCCTCCCCAGTGACCGTCTGCACCTGTGCCTCAGTGTGTCACCTGCCTCTTGTTGCTTGTTTCCCAGTGTGTGTATATAGTCTTCCCCTCTTTCTTTGTTGGTTCATTGTATGTATGTACACTACAGGCCAAAAGTTTGGAAGCAAGGGCCATTACAGGCCGAACAGTTGGGAGTAACTTCAAGTTTTTGTTCACAATGCTTTTTTCTTTAAATCCAGCATGAGTTTTATGTATTTTAGGATGTATTTACTCCATGATCATATGAAATGCACCATTTTACTCCATTTACCTTTAGATATACATTGATGTTAACAGACCATTGCTAAATATATGTCAGCAAAAGATAATAAGGGCTTAGTTTTAGGGTTGAAACATTTGCAAGCGTCACAACTTCAGTGCAAAAGCAAAAAAAAAAACAAATCAAAGTTGGATTATTCACTTTAACTTTTTGGCCTTTGAGAGCCTGCATACAAAAATCCTAATAAATCTCAACTGCATCAAACTTCTGCAAAAATGGCTAGAAAGAAGCAACTGAGTAAAGAAACAAAAGTACAGATTTGTACATTGAGGAAAAAAGGATACACAGAAAGAGAAATTGCAAAACGCCTAAAGGTGTTTAACAGAGGAGTCCACTACACTCTGAAGAGACTAGAGGACCTGGAAGTTATGAGATTTGTTTGAAGTAAAGGGTATCATGAAGAAGGAACAGTACCACTCCATCCTCCAGCACCATGCTGTTCCATCTGGACTCAGACTTGTGGCTCATAAGTTTGTTTTGCAGCAAGACAATGACCCTAAGCACTCTGCCAAGCTCTGTCAGGGTTACTCAGACAAAAAAGAAGAGGAAGGTGTTCTTCAAAAGATGGTTTGGCCCCCTCAGTCTCCAGAACTTTCTCCAATTGAGCTTGTGCGGGATGAAATGGATCGATTGGTCAGAAAAACGTGTCCCACGAATCAGCAGTGTCTTTTTAATGAACTTAAGAAAGCTTGGAATGAAATCCCTGGAACATACCTCAAAAAAAACTTGTGGAGCGAATGCCTGGTATATGCCAAGCTGTTGCTAAAGCCAGAGGAGGTTACTTTAAAGAAAGCAAAGTCTAAGCAACAATAACTCTAATACCTAATAACTATGGTCAAAATGTCTTCTGATAAGTTACTCTTTACACAATAGTCATGTTTATTGTGTTGCAAATTATATATATGAAACTATGATCTTTTTTTGTACAAATCTGATCTTGCTTCAGAACTTTTGGCCTGTAGTATGTATGTACGTATGTATGTATGTATGTATGTATGTATGTATGTATGTATGTATGTATGTATGTATGTATGAATGAATGAATGTATGTATGTATCCCCAGTTGATTTGCTTGTGATATTTCTAGTGATTTTTTTATTTTTAAGTTGGACATTTTAACAGTAAGTTTTTCTTTGCCTTTTCATTATTTGCTTTAATAAATCCTTAATTCTGCATTTGTTTTTTGTTTTTCTTTGTTTATCCCTGCCACGTGACACAGTATGAACATATCCGGAAATGAGACAGAGATGTACTACGACCAGATGTATGATTACAACGAGACTACTTACACCTTCTGCGACCCAGATCCCAGTCTGATGCTGCCAGAAGGAACCAGGCTGGTTCTCTACTATGTGCTGTTTTGTTTAGGTCTACTGGGTAAGTTAATTAAAACATAGTCTGTCTCCTTCTTTATACATTTCATAAATGGTTGCATTTTAGGAATTAAACACTATTTCCACTGATCTCACAGGCAACAGCACAGTCATCTGGGTCCTCCTGCGTTACATTAAGCTGAGGAGTATGACAGATATATGCCTCCTCAGCCTCTCCCTGTCTGACCTTATACTGGCTCTGTCCCTGCCTCTCTGGGCTCACAACGCTGAGAGCCTTGCATCATGCAAACTGATGACAGGAATCTATCAGGTGGGGCCTTCCTTCTTCTACCTCTCTTTCTTGTGTCTGTTTGTTTGACCTCATTGTAAATACAGCATTTGATAAAAATATATATATATACTGTATCTATATATTTTTTTTCATTCTTTATATAAACAAGTAGGACAGCTGAAAAAGTTGTGGCTGGAGGTCAAACATGCAACTGCTATAGTCTGCAGATAGGGGCCCAGATCTAAAGTAGTGTAAGGCCAACCACAGCTTTGAGGTGATATGAATTGTGCAAGTCAGAACATAAAACACCCCAGCAATCAAAAAAAGAGGCATTTCACAAACAAGAGGGTGTTTTGCCCTTCCACGTGAGGGAGAAAAAGTCTGATGAGTGGAGAGCACATCCTACCCTCTGTTCTGTGTACTTACTAGATAACAAGCTAAGGAAGGAAGAGCAGCAGGAAATACCTCAAGGGTGCAGAACAGAGCCGACATCAATGACGCTGATAATCAGACAGCATAAAAAGGGGGAGCTGGGCAGAAGAAGGGTTGCAGAACTGTTAGCAGAGGATGCCGCAAAAGTGGCAGTTCAAAGAGAGCACTGATTTTGATATTTGCCAATTGGTAACTGGAAAGTAATTGGTTGAGCTGTCTGCAGATATGATCTGCCAGTAAGATTAACTGATGTACTGAAAACTGAGCTTGACTTTGTGGCCTGCCTGAACCAGAAATTATGAATAATGTTACAAGACTGAATTCCATGTTCAAAATTTCCATCAAAAGTGCCATATTACTCATCACCAGTATTTTGATGTTAAAACTCTGCTTCTCTTCTCTTTGCCTTTTTGAACAGTTGGGTTTCTACAGTGGGACATTGTTCGTGACCCTAATGAGCATTGATCGCTACCTAGCCATCGTCCATGCGGTTGCAGCCATGCGTACCCGGACACTTCGATATGGAATCATAGCCAGCCTCACAATCTGGATCATATCTGTAACAATGGCAGCACCTCAGGTGGCGTTTGCTTCTTTGGAGTTTGAGGATAACAGCTCCCAGTGTCAGCCGTTGTACCCAGATGAGTGGGAGGATTTCTGGAAGATGCGAAGGAATTTCAGTGAGCTCATAGTTAGCCTCCTTGTGTGCCTCCCCATCATGGTTTTCTGCTATGTAAAAATCCTCATGGTGCTGTCTAGATCCAGGAACTCCAAAAAGGGAAAAGCCATGAAGCTGATATTCACCATAGTGTGTTTGTTTGTGGTGTGTTGGGTCCCCTACAGTGTCACAGTTTTCCTCCAAACACTAGAGCTCTTTCATGTCTTCGACAACTGTAATACCTCAACAGCTCTCAACACTGCCATGAGCTTCGCTGAGATCATTGCGCTGTGTCACTGCTGTGTAAACCCCATCATCTACGCTTTTGTTGGAGAGAAGTTCAGAAAGTCCCTGATCACTGTGTTGAATAGGAGCCTTGGTGTGGGTCACCGTGGAAATGGGGTAGTCACAGACACCACAGACAAAGAGACATCCAACACAGCTGTCAGATCAGAATATTAACACTTGTTAGATAAGCCTAGTTTATATTGTGTTATAATGTGCAAGTATAGAGTAATTATAATTCCTGCAAAAAGAAAGTAAGATAAAAAGGTGAGAAAATGTTGTTTTGTGTGTGTGTTATGAATGAGGTTGCCGCTTTTGGAAGCTGTGAATATTGCTCAGGTTGTCCACAATAGATAAGAAATACGGACTTGAAAGTAAATGGACTTGTGTAGAAAGTTGTATTCAAATGTCATTCAATGTATATTTTTAAGTTTTTAAATGTGTCTGCTTGTGTGGTCAAAAATACTCGAAATAAACTTGGTTCCCTTTTTCATTTCCTTTTAAAAAACAATCCGACTGCTAGTCTCTGATTTTTCTCTTGTATGCACGTGTGTGTGTGTGTGTCTGTGTGTGTGTGTGTGTGTGTGTGTGTGTGTAACCCTCTAACGCACCTCTATACTCTGACACACACCACCTAATTGTCAAATTAACCTTCCTCTGTGATTCAAACAATGTCACTTCATAACACCTTCGCTGAGTAGAAAGCCCTGTCATGGCTGTTTGATGTACCCTCCCTCCACTTTTGCTGCTTGTGCGGTCATCTCTTCCTAGCCTTGACTCATCTTCCTCTCAGCCTCCTCCTCTATCATCATTACTGGTCACCAGTGCTGCCACTGTAACAGCAAATAACATAAAAAGTTATTTTATGCATTTGGCAGCAACCGCCTGAATGGATGTCTTTGTTGTTGTTGTTGGCTACAGTCAATTTCCTTGCCCCACCATTGTGTTTCCTCTCCATTTCTACTATTGATTTATCTGTACAGTGTGACAGATTCAGTCCCAAGCATTAAGTAATAAGGGCTAATAAACACAGATAGCGCAGTTGTTAATTCTTATTTCAATAAAAATCACCTGGTTTGTGGAAAACAACCACAACAGCAGATTCTGTGATATCTGAGACTGAAGGGAGGTCTTTAAAATGACAATGGGCCCAAACCTTCCTGGCGGTGGGTGAAAATGAACATGAGCTGACTGATGGGTCTGAGGATGCCAAGCTATTAGTGTACATAAGTGGAAGTGAGAGATAAGGTATGTGCCTCTTGACGTCACTCTTGCAAATGTTTCCTTATTTGACACCTGCCTATGCGAGCAGAACTCACTGTTGTTTTTACAATAACAATTGACATTTCCTCATTGAGAAAATGCTTTTTAAGTTTTAACTTCTTCTGAACAATTGTCAGTCAGATTACACTAATGTATGAGTCAGTACTATCACTTCCGCTAAACATTAAAAGCACAACTCTGCAGACACCTCAGCAAGCTTCCAGATGTGTTTGCATACGTGCAGGTCTGGTCAGAGTCACTCTGCAACTTAAAAAGCTTGCACATGTGGACTTGTGGTTCTACATTTCAGCAGACTTTGTGGGTTCTTACAAGAACAGCATCTCAGGAAGTCACAAACCATATCTTATATGCAACCCCACATGGCCACAAGCCCACCCTAGGCAGGGTGAGGGGTGAGAGAAACACCCTCTTTACTACTTATTGCAGAGACTTAGTTTAACTCCTTGTTGAACTTGTTGCACAGCTGATCGGATCTTCTTGGATATCCACTTTATCGCTCGCAGGCCTTGGATTATCTCTTCCCTATCTACCAGCACAGACAGGTAACTTTTTTTTAAATCTTTCCTCATTAAATTTAAAATTCAAAATATAAAAATGAAAACTCCAAAATGTCTTCTTCTGCTAGTGTGAAGAACTGACTGAGACATATCAGCTGAGGTTATTATTTGTCCAGCTATGAAAAGAAGCTAAGCTGTGGTTATGTGCTATAATAGAAATTGCAAGTGTGAGCAGTCAGCAGACTGGAACACAGTTCAGTTGATTCTTCTATTTATTTTCAATGAGCTCAACAACACAGACAGGTAAAGAAAACACTGTTATTGATCGATATTGTTGATAAATCTTACAACATGTTGAGAATTTTATGTTGTACACTTGGGTCCATTTGCAGTTATATATTTTTTATTCCAACAGCATGATACATCTATGTTAGAGCGCCTTTGTAGGAAAGCATCATCCAATGAAATTGTGATTTTTTAGCAATTCTGACTAGCAAGCTAACAGCATGAGACATTCAACATTCAAAATACTGACACCGAGCTGATGTTTTTTTTTTTTTTTTTTTTTTTTTTTTATGTCTTAAAAAAATTCAGACATTAAGCTCAAGGCTTTAGCTGAAAAATAACAGGAGGGCAAAAAATGACATTTGCATAAAGCCTTTTTGACAGACCTGAACCCTGACATATCCACATTCTGTGCAACTTTTACTCAAATCAAGACTACTACTACTACTCTAACAGTATTAAATCTCAGCAGCTTAATCTGAGACTAAAAACCTACATTTCTGTCTGCAGAAATACAAATCAATGTTCAATTTCATGATCTGCACGCTGTGGCTCCAGAGCGTAAGCTTCTTACTCAGGCACCAAAAGTGCAACAGCAACTAGCAGGTAAAAATACACAATTGAAACCCACAAATGCTGCAACACCATATGTCTTTGTCTTTGGTACAAGTTGAGGAAATAGGCCTCATTATTTCACATATTTTCATGACAGCATAGTGATAAAAAAGCTAAAAAAAGACCTTGGAGGCAATGTTAATGCTGTGTTGCAAGTGAAACTTTGATTTTTAGGAAGAGCTGACCTCTCCAAGGGTGTGAGCAGATTCCTTCTTCCTTTTTTTTTTCTTTAGAAAACTGGGTCATGGTTTTCTAACTTTTCAGGCAGCAGACGATGGCGGTATCCACTACAGCTGTGACTGCTTTTATTGGTTCAAGTGAATACTCAACTCCAGAAGTCTCAACAAGGTAAGACTACACTTATAGCTGACACATATCACACCTCCTTTGCTGTTTTTGTTTTGAGTCTTTGTCAGTCTGTGCCTCGCTGTCTTTGTCTGTTTGACATGTGTTTTTATTTTCGTTGTTCACTCTCTGCCTTCAGTGGAATTTGCTTCGCCGTCGCAGCTCACTGAGCTCACTTTTGAGTCTGGTAATTTGATAACCTTTCCCAAAGGATCTGACTATTTGGCTGACATGCGTTAGTCTTTATCCTTCATGTTTGTTGAACAGCGCAGCTTATCTTTGGCTCTGTTTACATCTGATTTTAATAATTTCCTGCTGTAGTTGATCAGAAGTAGACGGTTTTGAAACAAGCAGGATGAAATAAAATCATCTTTTATAATCTACAAAAGCAAATGAGACCATTTGAGTGAAGATTATGTCATGTCTATGCCGTCACTCTGTTCTCTGTACCAATAACACATTGAAAAACACCCTTTTTGAAATGATACAGATTACAAGTTGTACATTAAGTGTTTCAAATAAAGCAGGCTGCCAACCCAAGAGTTTCACGCAGGAGCTTGACTAACAGCTGTAATTAAGCAAGTATTCAGAAAATTTAGGACGGTCTGAAACACAGTGTCTCAGCAGTCTGTACATAAATATGTCCTGGGACACATTTCCTTTCCACCTCTTTTCCATCTCCAGGGCAATGAGTGATTAATTATTGGTTGATTTTACAGTCTCCTGCTGTGTCTCATAAAAAATCTTTGGTGTTATCATTATCATCAAACATCACTCCTTTTATAGTCAAACATGGATCAGAGTGGAATTTGGATAACTTACAGGACAAACAGTTCCATGTGACTTGCTATGAGATCTAATATAATCTTATTCCAGACAAAAAAGAATTGAGCCAGAGATGAAAGACCAGACTCATGGGTGGCTTATTTGTGGTTTATTTCCATAGTTTCCTGCAAATCTATTCTCTTTTTTTCCCAATGTTTCCAAAAACTCAAACCTGCAGCCAAGTTTCTACACTGAGTGTGTTTACATGGTGTTGTTTTTTTTTTTTTTTAAATATCCTGTTTTTGTGTTTGTGCATGTTAACGACCCTAATTTCAGAAAGTGGAATGACCCCTTCACCTGGATACTGTAGCAAATTACCCCGGTTTCTGACAACTGCTGATTATCTGATAGCCTGGTGTTGTCAGCTTCTTCCATTTTTCAATCAGCAAGACACATCTAAGTGCCTCTGGGAGGAATTTTACAGACCTACAACCAATCAGATTAATGCAAATTAGTGTATGGCAACAGAAATGTAAACAGATAGCAGCATGCTGAGGAAAGAAAGACCTTTATTACCATTAAACACTGTATGTGCAGTTAGTCATTTTTATCCTGTTGGCCATGATAGCATGTCCTATGGACCTCCCAGTGGCAGAAGCTTCCATCTTTGTAGTTTAAAGATACCCTGGAGTAGTGTCATTATCTTAAAATAGCTCAAACTTTATTCAGATAATTCATCTGTTGACACTTGACATGCTATCAGTTTACACATGGCATGGAGAAAAGCATCAGAAAGTACTGAAAATAACCACAATGCAACAAAAACCCCAGAAATAAGTACAGTCTTACTGATAAGTATAATGTCTAACATCGTTGTGCTAAGCCTCTCATTTTTCTTGAAGTTCAGAATCACCACATGCTTTTTGTCAAATATCAGCATCTCAGGAACCTGCATAAATAACATGCAATAATCTGGAAAAGGTGCAAGTATTTTTTTAATTTTAATTTAATTAACAGGGCTACACAAAGCCAGATCGCTGTGGTGCATCTAAAAACCATTATTAAACTGGGACAAGGCTAATGGCATGTAAATGTACTCGTAAAATTACTCGCCACAGAACTTTTTAGAAAAATCTGAGAGTTTTACATCAGGTCAACCCTCCTATTAATATCCAGGTGCTTGCTCTATTTTTCTGCATGAGCCCTCTCTCTCTCTCTCTCTCTCTCTCTCTCTCTCTGCTTGGAGTTTTTGTCTCACTGTTTTTCAGTGTATGAGTTCATGTGCAGATAAATGTGACTGGAGCTATATAATTATTTGCTTATTGGTCAGTGGAGACACATTTCGAGTCAAATGTTGATATGTGATGTGATCAGTTAAAAAAACCCTTCATTTTTGATGGTTCTGTCTTGTTTCTTGCCAGCTCTCCTACAGAGGCCTTCTTCGAGAACGGCACAGTTTATCCCTCGGATTACTATTATTACCCTGACGATGATGACTATGGGGTGTGTCGATATGAGAGTCATGGGGCGACTTTTCTTCCAGTCCTCTACTCCATATTCTTCCTTGTCGGTCTTCTGGGGAACTCTCTGGTCATCTGGGTCATTGTTTGTGGTGTGCGACTCCGCAGCATGACAGACGTGTGCCTCCTGAACCTCTCTCTTGCTGACCTTCTCTTGGTTTGCACTCTTCCTTTCCTCGCCCACCAAGCCCGAGACCACTGGGTGTTTGGGGATGAAATGTGTAAAGTGGTCCTGGGCATTTATCACATAGCTTTCTACTGTGGGATCTTTTTCATCAGTCTAATGAGCATCGATCGATACTTGGCAATAGTGCATGCTGTGTACGCTATGAGAGCACGAACAAGGTCTTTTGGAATAATGGCAGCTGCTCTTGCGTGGCTGGCTGGATTTTTGGCATCTGTCTCTGACGTCATCTTCCTCAAACAGCAACAGCAAAAGGGAAGCAACTTGACTTACTGCTACTCTCAATATCCAAGTGATACGTTGGATCCTTCCAGCTCAACCAACCCTCACTTCTGGAGGGTGTTCAACCTTTTAAAAATGAACATTGTGGGTTTATTGCTCCCAATTGTCATCATGGGTTTCTGCTACACTCAGATCATCTGGAGGCTTCTGTGGTCTCAGTCGTCAAAGAAGCAGGCCATCCGTCTAGTTCTCATGGTGGTGGCTGCTTTCTTTTGCTGCTGGGTGCCTTACAACCTTGCATCCTTGTTCAAAGCACTGGAATTGTTGCATGTTTATACCGCGTGCGAAAGCAGCAAGGCCATCAGGTTGGCGCTACAGATCACTGAGTCCATCGCTTACTCACACAGCTGCCTTAACCCAGTCCTGTACGTGTTTGTCGGGCAGAAGTTCAGAAGACACCTGCTGAGGTTGATAAACAGGGCTCCATGCAGACTGTGTCAGACCATCAAGGTTTTCTTGCCACAGGACAGAATCAACGGCTCAGCGTACTCACAGACCACCAGTCTGGATGAGAGGAGCACTGCTGTGTGAACTATGTAGACGTGCTGAAGATGGGTGTGTGTTTCTGTTGTTGAGACAACATTTATTTAAAGCCAGAAAAGGCTCTATTTTGGTAATTCTTTCTCAGACTAATGTGCTTCCTTGGGGGTTAAATTCATGTCATTTGTGTTGAGCAACTAGAAGATGACTTAAGACAGACGGAGTGACAGTAGTTTAGCTATTGTTTAATAAGTTATAAAAGCAGTGTTTGAGTGGAATCACAAAACCTTGAAATCTGAGCTAAGTCTTAAGTGTTCAGAGGAAAGATCCGAGTTAGGCCCAAGTCTCCATTATTGTTAATATGAATATTCATCACACGGAGGACAGTTATATTCAAAAATATGTACTGAATGAACCTCACCTGACTGCGGGGCAACTTAAACTTGATTTTAACATCTTCAACATAAAGACTTCAACATAAACATGGGTAGTCAAACTGGAATCCCACAAAGTTTAATTTCTCAAAGTCAGATACAGAGGGGTACTGGGACGTACACACCTCAATTTTCCCATGAACTAGCCTGAATCCTATTTGTACCAAAAATAAAGCACAAAGCAGGTAGAAAGCTTCACGATAATCATGAGCATAAAATATTGCAATGACAAAATGTTATCACAACACTTATGGCATACTTGTAAACAAACAACACAGTCATTAAGACTGAAGAAAGACAGGACAAGGTCATCTGTTTGGGTTGATGTTTGAATTTATGATTTATTCCCATCATTGTCATTGTCATTGCCTGTTAAAATGAATGTTTTTGTGTAGATAATTTCTTTGTACATTTAGTTTGTCTTTTTGCCTCCTATATTGTAAATCTATGCTTTTATTAGAGCCTGAGAAACAAAACAGAATGAAAACAGAATGGTTAAAAAATATGAATTTTTAATTAATAATCAGCCCCAAAAACGCACAAGCGCCAACATTGTGCTTGGATTTCCAGTAAATCTATCTGACTATAATCTACATAACTATCAGTTTTTTTAAAAGGGCCTGATCATTTCTCAGGGGGCTGCCACAGCCACCTCACCTGGGGTTGTTGCCTCTTTTTCTCCTTTTATTTTCCATTTGATGACTTGTGGCTTCCACATTGAAGGACCACCACTGTGAACCCACGGTATTACAACATGCTTATTTTTTGCACAATTATGTTTATCTTGTAAAGATTTTTTCTGCCAATACCAGAACATTGCAACAGCCCTATTAAAGAGCTGTAAAATTATCCATGTTTCTATTGTTTAACACATCACCAGATGACCTCTTGTTCTAGTCAGTTGTTTTGATGTGTAATGTACATTAGCTTGAGGACACATTCATATGTTTTTTTTATATTTAAATTTTGTTTCTTGTGATTGATAAGAAAGTAGATATACCTGCATTTCACACGCGATTCCAGATAACAGAAATTCTAAGTAAAATCTAAAGGAAACGGACCTGCACCTGCTGTCAAACAAGCTCAGTGCAAAACTGTGTCAATTGAATCAGCTGTCCACAGTGACGCTCTAACAGCAGCCGCAGAAACAACCTTCTGCCAAAGGAAACAACAGTAATACTGCAACTAGAGAAAAAAACTTGACTGTTCTGCATTAAATTAGGGCAAACAATCACATGGCAAGTGTAAACTCTACTCGCACATAACAACCACTTTCACACCCTTTTACTTCGAGTGTTATTATCTGCCCTCTGTGTGCAGCTGACAGCCTTTCTGCCTTCCAGTATGAGTTACAGCAAATTTGCAGCTAACCTCAACCTGAAGAAAACCACAGCCTGAAAACGGAAGAGTACATCCGAGTCTTTGCAAGAGCTGTGCAAATGTGAGCAATTCAAAGTCAAATGTCCCATCAGTTGATTTAAAACCTTTCAAGACCTATAAAAACACAATACACGCAATACTTTGACAGTTTAATTTCTGGAGTGTTTGGACTGGAGATCTTAATGGTAAAAAACATGATTATCCATAAGTCTGGCAGACTGAATGTCTGTCTGATCTAATAATTAAACAAATAGTTTAGGTTTAGGTTTTTTTTTACAGCTATTGTTAATATTAAATGATATAAGAAAAAGCCGGATATCATTCAGCAAAGACATAAGCAGTATCATGTTGTCCACAGAGGGCGCCAAAATCAACTCATTCAGAAAGTTCCACACAGCTTTAGGCGGTAACTTCTCAGTTGCTGAGAGATTCAAGAGATACACCTTTTGAAATATAAATACATATTTTTAAAATAATGTGATGATTATGTTAACTCAGGTATTTATGTATGATATTGATCCATATACTGTACATTGTTACATTTTTATTTTTTTCATAAATTGTATTTTTTTAATGAAAACCTTTGTTAATCTCAATATTTAATGAATGTAAAAGATGAGCAGTGATCCTACAGTGGCCTTGTGACTTTCTGTTTTCTTTTTATTTTATCAATTTATTTTTTATCAATTTGATAATAAAACAAAGGAATCCTGTTGACATATTCTGAGTTATTTTTACTCACCATTTTGTTTGCTTTGATGTTAAACATTAAAACTCACTGGGGTTTCAGAATCTTGAAGAGAGGGCTAAACTTTGACATAAACAGACACAACCCAATCCCAATATAATGTTTCAGATGACTTAAATCAGGAGACTTTTGTTCCATGCTAATTTGTCTTGTTATTTTTAGGTGAGACACATAAATGGGAGAAATGGAATATTTAAAACCGAAGGAGTGTCTAGAACCACTTCGTAATTTGGAGTCACAATATAACATCCAATACTTTGAGGTTTTAATTGGACAAAATCACTATTGTGTCTTTAAATGGTTTGCTTCAAGCTTTAATAAATTGACTAAATTCAAGAGGACAGAGAATAGAGCCCTGAGGGACTCCTCAAAACAGAAGAGCAAGATATATTTCAGACAAAGGTCAAAAAGCTGCCTGTTGGACTAATTTTGAATGAAAAAGCACATAGAAAGATTATTAACTGGCGAAAAAAATCCAGGATAGGGGGACAGAGGGATGATATTTTTCTTCAGCAGTGAACTAGTGTCAAACATGGGTAGAGATCAACTCTAAACCAAATTCTGAGTAATAATGCCACCGAAATTTGACTGAACAGTTGAAAAATAAACTCTTTTGCATTTATTTTTCTGTCACATGCCAGAGTAAAAACAAAAGGGAAAGGACCAAAAATGCAGACAAAAATAAAAAGAGTTATTTAAAAATAATTAAATAAGAAGCAACAAAAACTTACTTTAAATGTCCAACTGAAAAATTCCCAAAGGCAAAAAACCACAAGAAGCAAAATCCAAAGAATCAAAAACCACTGGAGAAAAATCACAAGGGGACAACTGGGGACGTAAGCATACGCACACATTAGCATAGAATAAACCAACAAAGACAGGGACTGTATCCGTAAACAAGCAACAGGTGAGGCAGACGAGACACAGGTGAAACTCATGGGTGATTAACAAAGAAGGGAAAACTAGGGAAGTAAAAACAGAATAGAAACAAGAAACGAGACTAGAAACTAGAAACACAAGGAATAAACTACCACAAAATAAAACAGGAAACACTAAGAATTGATATAAAGAATAAGACATGGAGAACAGGAGGGAAACAGGGTCAAACACAAACTAAAAACTCACAAGACTGGACTACAGGGGAACAGGAACAATAGGGAAGAGAAACACTGTGGACAATACACAAAATGCACTCAAATAAAACCAGGAGAAAACTAAATAAACAGAACACATCATGACATTCTCTTCTGTATTGCATGTCAAGACTGCAGCTGTCAACTTCTTACGTCTTACTTCAATTATCACCAAGGATGATGGTGCTGCGGTCCTCATGAGAGGAAAATTGGATAACAGTATGGGCTCTATTTTCGTGCTCGCTGGCGGCGTGGCATAGGTTAGGTCCGCTGTGCCGACAAGGCGTGCCCAAGCACATTTCGGTATTTGGGTGAGCTGCACAGCCCGGCGTAAGTATCCCCCCTCCCTAACTCAGCTCCTCCCAGCGGCGTAAGTCGTAGAGAGGGCATGGATTGAGTTTAACACAGCCGAGACCTGTTTTCGCCAATCACATCAGCTACTCTCCTCACCTTTAAATCTGCCACCGTTGAGGTGTATTACAATTTTCATGAAGTAGTCAAAGAGATCAAGAGATGGCAAAAGACAACAACGCCACACAATGGCGACAGAAGGCAGCCCCTCAACAGGTGTTGCTGTAAGCGCTGTAGAGGGCGTCCTCCACACTCTCTCATATGAGCACAGATGGATTTGGTGTGTGTAATGTTGGACCCACTGGTAAGACAAACACCCTTTTCCACAAATAAAGACACTCACATAAAGTTGCATATATTCAAACCTCACGTGACAAAGGTGGGTTGAGCGCACAGATCACATCATAAATTCCAATAATGGCATTAAAATCGGAACCATCTGGGCGTAAATGACGCATCGCATTCCATGGCCTGGCTCTTTCTTTCATAGATGTTGGCATATAAAATAAATTTGGCCCACAAAACTGAATATTATAATATCCGTATGTAGGCTTAAAGTAAATAACTCATCTGAGCACTGAAACAAATCATCTGTTCAGCCGGCACAGCAGCAGGACAAGAAGGACACAGACACATGTCCAGGTCGAGCTGCGCAAGAAATAAGAGGAAGAGGAAGAAAGAAAAGGAGGGAGACAAATTAAATATCTTGTTAACTTCATCATGTGTGTCTATTGACTAGATATTTAATTTCATTTAATGCGGTTTCAGCTGTGTTGATTCGGTCAGGTTGTGTGTCCAAGCGCGTGCCAAATGCGCTCATCAGATCAGATATAGATCAGAATATATCGATATAGATCTAAATGTATGTGCTGACTCAGATTATTAGTTGTTGATGATTATTTATTGCACTGAAATGTGCCTGACACTGTGGTAACCTGCCAGTGAGGCATCGGTGACGTATGCCGATACGCCGCCGGTCTACCAAAATACTTCTAGACCAGCTGCGCTCCGCCTGCGCTGAAAGCTAACCAGGTTTGAATCGGCGAGCTTTCAGCGCACTTTCTATGCCGCCAGTGAGCATGAAAATGTCACTGCGGCAGCTGATTCTGTCGACACCTCCCCCTGCCACGCCACCTTGCCCAGCTTGGCGGACCTCTGTGCACCTCAGTCCACGAAAATACCAAACTGGCTGTGCACCAGGCTCCACCAGATGAAAATACCACTGCGCGGGGTCCGCCACCCTCCACCGCCTCACCGGCGGACACTAAAATAGAGCCCCATGACTTACTTCTTCCATTTTAACTGATGGATGACATTAGTTATGAAAATTGTTACAAATATGTTCAAGAGCATTAATCACTAAAGTGCCAAAAATGTATTCTTGATCACATTACTGAGAAAAAAAAAAAAACACAAGGAGTGATGTTACTGTCACAAAATTAACAAGCGCCACTTAATTTGCAAATTTTAAGGAAGTGAATACAAAAAATAACTTAATTTGAATGTCCCAGCTGGGTAAGTCTGTACACTATACCTCTGCTCAACGTGCAATTTTAGATAATGGTGAAGGAAAGGGGAGACCAAGATAGTTGATCTTTCATCAGGAAAAAAAAAAAAAAAGCAATATCTCCTGGAGTAAAATATGAAAAAAATAAAGCAAATAGAGCCAGAAAGATTACATCCTGTTACAAAAAGCAATATGTCCATACAGCAAGATCCACTGTTATTGTTTTTCAGTCACAGACAGGGGATGATCTAAATGCTCACCATAAGCTCTTTGAAACCATCTAGTGGTGTTGTAGAATATTGCTGTACAGCAAACTCATTTTATATAACATTCAAATCTTACAGCCTGCATTGGTACAATCATCTGTGTCAGTCACGATCGTATCACTGAATTTACTTTCTAGGAAAAATGATGATGGCTAAACAATCTGTAAATTGGTCATACAGGTTTCAGTGGCATTAATAATGAAACAAAAGTTCAGACTGGTTTTTTTTCATGAGTAAATACAGAAATCAGTGGGTGAGGGACATAGAAAGATGCCAAGAAACTTCAGTGGATGAGCTGACACAAGGTGGGAAATTATCTCGATTCTAAGAAATATAGATAAATAAGCAGTCACATTATAAGTGATGAAAACAAAATGCCACATAGGTGAGACAAACTAAGTGAACCACGACACATAAGAAAGAAGAAACAGCATGCAACACCTTCACTCTTGACTGCTCTTGCATGAGATCGAGATCAAATAACAGAGATTGCACTGATATTTCTTCCATGGTGGTTTCATGCAAATCCATTTGCTGCTAAGAAAAACAAAATAGATTTAACATCTGATAACAGTGCTCCACCTTGAACACATGTGCAGAGTTGGTGCTGCAGATAACCAAGGTAACAGCCCGGCTCATTTACCACAAAACTTTGATGTGATCAACTTTTACAACAGTTACAGAAACGTACAATAAATCATTTATAGGTAGATCATCTACAGATAATTTTTGCTTCCTAAATCAACACAAACATAAATATGATTAATGTGATAGCACAGCATAGAAAGCACTATTCACATCTCACTGTAGATTCAAGCCGACATGAGTTACTGACAATGTCTGTGGGTGAAAAAGGTGAGGGATTATGGGTTTTGTGCAGAGTCTGCAGAGGACAGATAAGATCAGCATGCCTCTGTTTTTGAAAGGTTTTCTCAGGTACACATCAGATCAAATGATTAGTATGACTGTGGTTGTCCTCTCACCTTTTTTTTTTGGTGTGTTAAACAGAGCTCAGTTGCACATACCTCATGTCCTGTATGTGGGATTCAAAACAAGAAGACTAAACCACGTGTGAAGCTGAAGTCTCAACTTTCTCAGGAATCTAAGTTATAATAGCATTAATTGAATATAAAGTATTAACAATTTGCAAACTATATATATATATATATATATATATATATATATATATATATATGTATATATATATATAGTACCGATATACCAACCGATTCTAATAAATTAGATTTTTCTCTGTGACAAGCAGAGACATATTCCCTTTCTTGCACTATTTTATATTTGTGACAACAATACCAGCCCCCTTTCCAACATTGTGTCATATTATTGCATGTCACACAGATCCTCATGTTCCTCCGAGCAAGAACACTGTCCCATAATCATTTATCTGTATCTCCATCAGGTGGTGCCCTGTGTCAGCTGTGTGTTCAAATCTGGCCTTTGTGTGATCACCATTACAGTTTTAAACAAGGAAATAATATAATATATAATAATAATAATAATAATAATAATAATAATAATAATAATAATAATAATATTATTATTATTATTATTATTATTATTATTACCATTGTTATTATTATTATTTTATTATTATTATTATTATTATTATTATTATGACAATAATATTTTGATCACACTCACAATGTTGTTTTTATAGCTGTTAATGTTCAAGACTGGACAAAAATGTAAGACTGACAG